TTTTGTAGACATTGATTGGGCTTAGAGAGTGCTTGCTCCAACCAGATCTCTGTATTATGCGATTTCGGAGTGAAATGTACAATCTTGTATCTATTGGAAAATATCTAAATTAATCTACAAAATAAACACCTAAATCTCACCCTTTTGAAGTTCTGTTAACACAACACTCGACAATTCAATCTTTTGAAAATGTTCAAGCTCCAGCTTAATATGCTGTGCTTTGTCACCCATATTCAAACTCTCAAAATATTTACTCAATTGGAAGGATAATCTTATGAATTGAACCTTTACATTTTCGATATCTCTAATATTCAAACATTGTCCTTGTAATACCTTCCACGAATTCAATAAAACTTTACATTGATCGGAAGAAATTTTCTTCGTTTCTAATTCAGTTAAGATCTTCTTATATACTTCCGTTGCTTGTAATTTTGATCTCCAAGTATTCTCAATCAAACTAGAATTGAAAACAGCATTCAATTGTTCAAAAATGAAATTAAACAATTCCGGATTAAATTCCGGATCAGTATAGAATACATCAACAAAGTTTTGAATATAAACTAATCTCTTTTCTTCCAACTCGATGTTTTCCTTTGTATTTATGACTCGGTCTCCATCTTCCATTTCCTCATCACTATCATCATCATCATTATAATCCGACCGCCAATACTTATCACTCAACACTTTAGTCATGATTTCAATATAGACTTCCACAATCTCTTCATTCTCATGGAATTCATGGATATATTTACCCAAAGTAAGAATGGCATGTTTTTGATATTCCTTGTTTCTTCTTTTTGCTTCAACCACGACTGTTTTGTTAATCGCTTGGAGGATATCTTCATGTTTGGAAATATATGATTTGGACATAATTGCGAATGAAACCAATGATTCAAATACCAACTCTTTTCCATCCCATGATTTTCCCTTGTTTGATTCTAAAAGTAGTTCTAAGATCTCATTGATTACTTTATCCGAAAATTGATTCAAATTATCAATCACGGTACATAAATCAGATAATGCCTTAGCTAATGTTTTACGCACAGCAAATTCATTCGATTTTAAATATCGTTGAATAAAATCAAGAATTTCAATAAGATATAACTTAACAGTAGATTTACTACCACTTGTATGTTCGATCCATTCCTTATCGAAATTATTCACCACTTGTTTATTAGAATCAAATTTCCCAATATAAGCTAAAGGTAAAAATGCCGAAGCAACAATATCAAACCGATCACCAGCATATCGTGAAACAGATTCACTTGCAATTGATGCCAAAATTCTCAGTCTATCATCTCCAACTTCGGCAGATTCAAAGTACATCTTGGTGATTTTTTCAGAATATTTAACAATAGTGTCAACTTTAGCAATCCGACATAAATATCCCAGAGCAGCTGCATAACTCAGTGCAACAGTATCATTACGATCTTTCATCTGCGACAGGGAAACTTGAAGTAATTTATCTCCATATGGTTTAATTAACTCATATTGATTTGTGATTAATGAAACAAGCACTCTTGACCCACTGACTTTAGTTGGTAATCCAACACCTTTCTTTATACATGTTTCCAAACGTCTAACTAAATCTGGCAATGTTTCTTCATCCAATTGTCCTAATAAACTCTCAATTGCTTCCATTAATGGTGAATTCCCAACATTTTTCAATCTGGTTGCATCAATAACATTGCTTTCAATATTGTATTTAGATGCATTCAAAACTAAATAATTGACAAATTGCGGTTCTAAACTGGAGAAAAGATTAATGAAGTTTTCAATAAGTTCAGGGACATATACTTTAATTGCCTTATTTCCCGATTTACACAATTTTAAAAGGGTAGCTAATGCAAAGTCTCTGACTTCCTGTGAATCTGATAATAACCCTTTATTACCCAAGAAAAATGGAATCAAAAATTGTAAAATCGAAGAAATCTTTTCTGTTTTATTGGAATAACGATTGGATTCAAACATGGTGGTTAAATTAGTAGCTAAAGATTTAGTTAACTTAATACCTTCTTTACGAACACTCTCTTTAATATCATCCATAGCTCTGAAACTCATAGTCCAAATATCGTCTAATTTAGATTCATATTGATCTAATTCAACCATTTGTAATAAATCGTTCAATGCAGCAGTACTGGCTTGTCTAGTTCTCCACTCTTTCTTACCCATACTACTCAATAATTCTGAAAGTATTGTATTAAAATTGGCGACCACTGCTTTGGAAGTATCCTTCACAAGAGCATTCCAAATATCGTTCATCGATTTGGAAACACCAATATTAGGATCATATCTATATCTAAACAATTTCGGGATTAACCTATCTGCTAAATTCTGGTTATTCGCTAATAATTTATCCAAAGAAGTCTGTGACAAAATTGATTCCAACCCAAAGGCAATTCCTTTTCTCGATGACCACAAAGTAGATGACTTTGCAAGCGACATAAATTTATATACCAAACTTGGATCACCAACATCCTGGGCCAAATTTAAAACATCTTTATACGTCGATACAGATCCCTCATTAGTTCTCAACAAGTCCGGTTCAAATAATTCAGTGTCTTCTTCAACTGTACCAGCTGTGAATTTCGCAGTTGTGCTAGATTGAGTAAATGATTTTAATAACGATTTAACCAAAGTATCTTTCAATTCTACATCTCCCATTTCATAGACTAAACCTAACCCTCTTGATGCCGATTCTTGAATAAGTTCGTCTTTATCAGCCAAAAATCTCATAAATGAAACATGCAACTCCGGTGCCCTAGATCTGACTACCTCAAGGTGTCCACAATATTGAACTAACGATAATAGCCAAATACAACCAGCTTTCCTTAAGGACGGCTTTGTATTTGAACATGCCTTTAAAACGGTCTTCAAAATGATTTCGACACGAGAAGTATCACGACTAATGTACTTGACCGATTCGCCTTGAATATCCAATTGCTTGTCCAATAGTTTTGAATCCCAACCTGCTGATGCCAATAGGAGAGCTTCACTAGAGGTGAAGATATATTCAATTTGTTTGGAAATATGTGTGTCATATATTATTTGTTCGTCTTCTGTCATTTCCTCGGTGATTTGTCTTTCACTCGTCAATGTCAAATAACCAAGTGCTAGGACAGACCTTTCGTCGATTTTCTTGACTTTTGCTCGGATTATCTCTCTAAATTTTTCGATGTAGTTAATTAGATCTTGATTGATAATTGGGCCTAAAGTTCCAAACATACATAATTGCGAAATAGAATCTAATGCAATATAATAAAGACCTGATTCCTTTAACATTTTTTCAAGACACTCCAAAAGTGATTGAAGTATAGAACTAGAAACAACCCCTATTCTATCTCTCAAAATTAATCTGGAAATCAAATAAGATGAACACAATACTCTTCCTTTAATCTTATGAGGAACCATATCTTCGAATGAAATTCTCTTGAAGATACTCTCAATACTTGCATCATCATTTTCAGGATGACTTGCAATTATACCAATTGCCTTACATATTTGTTCAACGGCCAAATCATTGAAAACTTTGGAATCCAACAATTCAAAAAGATCAGGAATTCTCGGGATCATCATTGCAATAGCAGGGGAAGATGCAAACGAAAGTAACCTTGCCAATATAGTTCCATAAGATGTATGACTTACAATTGAAGTTGAATTAATAAATTGTCCAGTGAGGGCATCAATACAAATCGACATTAATTTACAAACTGGAGTTTGAATATCCTCTGCTTTCATTCTTTCCGCTATCAATTTTCTAACCTTTTCATTCATTTCAACCGCTTTCTCTACTCTTATAGCCCAATCCTGATCTGCAATTACAACAGTATCGTTGTCCTTAATAGATCCCATAACCAATATTTGTTCTGAAAATTCAATGGCTTTAGGAAGGGCTTGAAAGATGATACCTTCCCCAGTGCGTTTAGACAGTTCTATTTCATCCACAAGGGTGTTTATAAATGATTCAAACGATGGGAAAGTTACAGTGGTTTCTTGACCTAGTAAATAAGATGTTGATCTAAATTCAAGGGAGTTATTAGCTTGACGAAGGTTAAACCAATGTGGATGCAAACCATTCTGAGATTCTTCAATTGTATCTGGCGAATTCTCTTTTGCAGTTCCAAGAACACAGAAGAATCTAGCAAGAGGGTCTTCGAACGGGAATGCTGCATTAATGTACTTTATTGCCATATAGCGACATGCACTAGTATTCACACTGCTTGATCTAGAGAACGCCAAATATCTTCTTGATAATTCCTTTAAAGATGATTTCTGGCTTTCTGACAAATTAGACAAATGAACACTCAAACCAGACAATGCATCTTGGATTGCGATTCTGAAATCTGCAGAATCTCCTTCAAGAGATTCAAATAAAAATTCAACATATGACCAATCTTCGTAGAATAAATCCGGGCTAGATTTCAATATGTTCCCCAATGCCTCATACTTCGATTGTCTATCTTTGAATCTAATCAGATAATTCACCAGTCCTTGAGTTTCCATACTTGGCCAGCCCTCTGCTAATATACCATCTCTCAACTTGGTTGCAATTTCTTGATTATACTTTTCGATTCCGCTAATCATAGTTTCTGATTTTCCGAGCCACAGAATAAGTTCAATTGCCAATTGTCTGACTCTGGAATTATCCGAATTCAATGCTAAGGTGGTTATTTTTGATATTTGGGAGTGGCAACGCACTTGGTTACTCTTGACCAACACTTGAAGAATCCTATATTGTAAGCTTGAATCTACTGGAGGTGCACTTTCACCCAAATATAACCCCACAATGTGGTCAATAAATGAAATTCCACCAAATACCGAAATGCTATCAAAATCAACATTCAACTTTTTAAAAAGCACTTCTGCTGACTCACCAATGGTCGATAACGGATCTGCTGAAGCTATAAGCAATGGCAATGCCAATTGTTCATTTGAAAAACCAGCTTTCAAAAACTCGAGTATGGAACGTTTTGTCACAACAACTTCTTCTTTCGTCTTATAAGTTACACCAGCCTCAGTAGTAAAAAATGCATTGTCTTCAATACTCAATCCAGGGGTAGCTTTAGATGCAGAATCAGGTAAAAGTAACAAAAATTTACTCATAATAAAAGCCAAGAATCTTTCATCCTCAAGATTTTCATCAAATTGGAGAACTTTTCTCATATTGTCATACTCTTGTGTTCCCTTAAATGGAGTTTTCCAGGACTGTAATAATTTACAGAGAATACTGAACATTCTTGCTCTAATGCCATTAGGGTACAAGTGAATGCCTTGCACCACCTCCGGAACCAATAACGATTTCTCCTCATCAGTTAACCTATCAATTCCACGAATAATAAACAATGTTGAATACAACCGTACAGACGATGTGTCAACACCTTCTTTAACACTAGGAACTTTCACTTGCTTTATGAGTGCATTGACTGGAAGTTTGATATTTCTAGATGCCGTAATTCTTGGGATCAAATGCTGAACAATCTTAAGTACTGTCTTTCTAACTTCGGCATGTGGACTTGCCAATTTAAGTAAAACTGGGGCAAGATATAAACTCAAAGCATGTTCAAACTGTGTATCATCTGATGCTAATGCTATACGCAATTCAACCTTATTGATCAATGACAATTCACTCTCTGCCATTGTAATATTCTTGTGTCTAGTATCTGTGTCTCTATGTCTCTATGAAGAAAGTGGAAAATTTGGTTGTAAAAAAAGCGAGAGAATAAATTGGTGGCAAAAAAAAGAGGGACTTTTTAAAAAAGGTAATAACGGAAGACGGAAGGTTTGTATTAATTAACTTTCTATTTATAGATATTTATATAAAACAAATATTATGTGTTCTTATATTCTCGTAAGATAACTGGAACGGAAGATGGAGGTAATGATCCTAATTCTGTTATAACTTTGTCTATATACTCTGGTGGAGTCAAATCATACATAATATTCAATATATTCAATGCTGGTAAATCCTTCCAATTCTTTAATGGATCCGAATCTTCATCTTCTTGTATCTCTTCATTTGGTTGGTTACCACCTTTTCCTTTTGGTTGCTGCTTTGATTTGTTCTTATCTGCTTCTGCTTCTGCTTGTTTTATAAATTGTTCTAACGCAAATGATTTCTTTTGAGGTGGCTTATTAGAAGCTATATCATTAACCAAATCGTCAGAATCGGCCAACTCATTGGTTGTTACTGAATCTAATTGAACTTTATCCGAGAACTTAATAGATTCACAACAAGTCAAGACAGGTATATTTCTAGTATGAGCCATCATGGCAATTAAAGCTGTACCAACTCTAGAATAAAGACGACCATTAGATAACATCGCATGTGCTCCTAAAAAGACATAATCAACATCATCCAAAAGGGAGGAAGCTAGGGAGTTTAATAAAACATATTGAATGCTTACATGAGTCTTTGTTATTGGAACACGAACTGGGGCTACATTTTTGCTATTCATTGATTCCAAATCATTAATCTCCACATCTTCGTCGAAATAAGTATTGGCTAAATTCTTCACTAATTTCTTACCTTCAAATAATGGTCTTGAATCAACTACAATCAACTTAAATTTTTTACCTTGTTCAGTTACACAATATTGGAATAACTCTTCCAAGACTTGTGAATGTCCATAAGTCAAGACAGTAGATCCATCAGCAATATGCTTCGAGGCGATATCAACAATCAATCGGTCAGAAAATTCAATCTTCTCTTTAATAAAATCATCAATTTTTCCGCATAGTATTTCCTTAGCTTGTTCTTCGGTAGTATCAATTGAAATATGGGAAATCTCTTGCTTCAACCATCTGATGGCATTACCCATGGAAACTGACAATGGACGTCCAGATTTCAAATACTCAATCTGGTGGGATAAGTGTCCAGTTAAGTGTCTGGTTAAAGTAGTATTTTCTGGAGTGACATAATCTTCAATGATCCTCTTAAACACCAACAACATATGTCTTAATCTTGAATTAGAACCCACAATTTTATAATTTGAATATTTTAAAGTCAATGAAAGAATGGCTGGATGAACGATATGACTAATTGTTGGAGATGATGCGTTTCTTTGTTCACGAGTTTCCAAATGTCCAAATAAATGTGGAACCTTTCTTCTTTCAGGCTTGATCAATGTCTGATCCATTTGCTTCTTCAACTTAGTAACAGTGGCAGTTTGCTGTTTCTTCTTTTCAATCTTCTGTTCGGCAATCTTCTTTTGGTCTTCAGGACTGATACCAATTGCCGTCTTTTGGGCTGCTCGTTTGGCAGCCTTTTCTTTCTTCTTCAACTCTTTCAATTCTTTATTGGAAAGCTTCTTTTCATCCACATCAGCCGCAGAAGCAGCAGCTGGAGCAGCAGCTGGAGCAGCACTAGCTGACTCTGCAGCTTTTGCAGCCACGGGCTTTTTATCATTCACTTGTTCTGACATGATTACGGCGATGATGTTAGTCGATGGGATCTACGTACGCCTTCCCATCTCTACTACTTTTCCCAGAAAATTTTTAATAACATCAAAATACGAGTCGTGTGTAGATCAAAAAAGGCACAGCTATTTACATGTACAAATAAATTAAATATTAATCTTTACTATCTATACAAGAATACAGTCTATGTCTTAATTAAAAGCTTCGGAAACTACGTACTTTCCGTCAATTCACCAAAGATACCTCTCTTCTTAGTAGTATCATACAATCTAACAATCTTTTCTTGGTCTTGGCCATCAACTTGAGAAAAGGCAAACCCTCTTTGTTTCTTAATTCTTTGCACTTGTCTAACTTTCCTAATTGCCTTCTGAAACTCTTCCATTCTAGGTCTATAATCTTGAATATTATACTTTTGGATTTCTTGAACATAATGATAACTTTCGGGACTATATGCTCTCTTCAAGAATTTCCATGCAAAATCACGAAGTAAACATAATACTGCTACTCCAAACACCATAGCCCAAAATACAATCGAAGGATATGTAGCTCTAAGTACCCCACGGAATTCCATGGAGACACCAGTCATAGGAGCGATATAAGCATATAATGGGTACCAAGCTAACCAGAAAAGGAATGAACCAGGGATTGCGATTAAAGTAAATTTAGTCCATAAGGTCACGATCAAGGCAGCTTTACCCAATGCCACTAATGTACAGGTAGTATACACCGTAGTACCCCAAGACCAATTATCAGTCAATAATCCACTTGACAAGGTATTTCCGTATCTAAAAATGAAAAACGAGCACAAGAAAACCACAGCTGAATGATAGAAACCATTAGCAATCCATCCCCAGAAGACAGGCACATTGAAAAATTTCCTTTGTTGACCTAATTGATACAATTGAGGATAACGATCTAATAATCTCGCACTGACAAATTGATCAAAAACACCTAAAACAAATGGAGGCAAAGCGGTAAAGAAAACATTATAGAAAGTTAATGTCCATGATTCCATAATGGATTGACCGGAAAATCCATTAGCAAAAACAAACCAAAACTGGGTCATGTATAATGCCATGTTTTTATAAAATGAATAAAGAATAGCATTTGAAATACGTTGATATGACCAAGAACCATGAACCAATAACAATTTCTTTAAATACTTAAATTGACCAATGGATATATCTGCACTTCGTGCTGCTTGCATCCCTTCCATACCACTGATACCGACTCCAACATGGGCAGCCTGAATCATCGAAACGTCATTGGCACCATCACCAATAGCTAAAAGCAATGAATTCTTCTTCTTTCTCTTGACCATTTTGACGACAAGTGCTTTTTGTAATGGAGAAACACGACAACAAATCACTGCTTTACATCGAGACCCTAACTCGATAAATAAATCTTCTAAGTCGGGTTCTAATGCATACGCTAGGGAGTGTCCATCAATAATCAATGCCAATGATGATTCTAATGATCCGTCTTCAATATCGAATTGATGTTCTTGAATTGCAGTTAATTTTTCCATTAAATTCAATCTGGTATTTTGTTTAGTTTCCTCATTAATGATTAATAAATTCATATCTTCACTTAACAATTTACAGGACATACCAATATTAATTGCGGTTTCTTGTCTATCACCAGTCAAAACCCAAATTTTTATACCGGCATTTTGTAAAGTATGAATAGTTTCTGGAACACCATCTTGTAATTTATCTTCAATAGCAGTTGCTCCAAGCAAAAACAAATCAGTTTCAATTAATTCAGCGGCAGCATCTAATTTTTCAGTACGTTCATCCAACGAAGTTGAAGCTTCATAGTAAGTTCCTGACCAAGCTTTGTATTCTTCTTCAGAAACAATACGTGAGGCAATACATAAAGTACGCAACCCTTCAGCAGCAAAATCTTCCAAATGTCTCAATGTGGCATCTACAAATGGTTGGTCTTCAGTTTGAGAAAGTCTTTCCAAAATCACAGTATCAGCACCTTTACAAAACAAACGAATAATTCCATCTGGGCATCTAAAAATGGCAGACATTCTCTTTCTTGTAGAATTAAATTCGCAAATATTCAATAATTCATATTCTGATTCAGTTTGGGTTAAAGTATTGGAAATCGTAACCCCTTTAGGTCTACGGATGGTAAATTTGTAGCCTAACATAGCTGCACCGTCAACAAGGGCCCCTTCATCAGGAGAAGCTGCTTGATATTTGATAGCACCAGTTGTTTCGTTAACTTCTGGAATAACCGTATGACAAGTACTCAAAAGAGTTAAAAATTCATTTATGATTGCTGATTGCTGAGAGCTGGTATTTGCTAAATCACTTCTTAATTCCTCGAAAGTATGGAACCCGATTTCAATTCCATCGATGATTTGTGCTTGACCATCTTCGGGAATTTCTTCAATATAACATCTACCACCAATTGTACAAGATTTGAATTCCATTACATTTCTGGTTAAGGTTCCTGTTTTATCACTGAAAATATAATTAATTTGACCTAATTCTTCCACAAGCGAAGAAGTTCTAACCCCCGTTGGAGTGTCCGATTCTTCATAATACATATCTAAATCACTACCAATCATAAATGCTTGATAATATTTAATTAATTCAACAGTAACGAACAAGGAGATAGGAACTAAATTCGAATACAAGATCCAAAAGGTTAATAAATCCTGGAAGAATAACCTCACCATTGAAGTACCTTGTAAATGTAAATAACTCAAATCATCACGATCGGCAGTAGATTTAATAACATTTCCAATTGAAGAAATCAATGCTAATGTAATTAAGACACAGAAAAGGGCGATAATCTGCAAGTTAATAATTCTTTCCACATCAGTACGCTTAATTGGCGTTGCTGTAGCATTACGCATTAATTTAGTTTCATGACCAGTAAATATAACAACCCCATGAATCCATTGAGTATTTCTTAAGGTGGCTCCTCTTAACAATAATTGATCCGGGTTTAAAGGAATATCACCACCTGATCTAAAATTATGTAAATTTCCTTCATATGTATATAATGAAGAATTCGGTTGTTCAGACATAATTTCAGTTTGCGCCAAATCATGAACCAAATCTCTTGGATTGACTAAATATGCTGTTTCTGTTTTAGCTTGTTTGATTTTTAAATTTGTTTCTCCATCCAAGTTTGCAGTTTCGATATAACATAACCCTTCAGGTTCAGAAGAACTTAACAATACTAAATCTGCTGGGAATGGTTCTTCATTATTGACTCTCACAACATCACCTACTTGTACTTTAATCCATCTTTTCAGTATAAACTCTCCACTCGCTGGGTCTAACACAAGAACTTTGGTATTATTTAATTCTTTATCTGCATTAGATCTTTTAATATCTTCAGTTATTTCTTTGATAGCCGAGACTAACAACACGATTGTTAATGTACCAATCGTAGTAAATCTATTAGTTGGGGACACATGCGGTACTTGTTGAATAATTGAAGTGAATAAAAAGAACAAGTTAGCATATTTACTAAATTGTTCAAATAAGAATTTAGGTATAAAAGTGGCAAAATTATATTTTGTAGTTGAAATGTGATTTCCATAATAACCTTTACCTGAATTATTAACATGATCCATTACATATATTTGCCTTGGTGTGGTAGCAGTTTTTGAATCAATATTTATTGGTTTCCCACTTATTTTTCCTTTTATTTTCTGATATATATGTCTAATATCAAAGTCTCTAGGTTGTTCACGATCAACATTCAATTCATTCATATCAATATAATCTCTATTTCTTTTGAAATAAGCATTCTTAGATGGTTGTGGAGTATTGGACGTATTTAGTAATGGCACTTGTCTATGACCAGAAGAAGTAGATGTGTACGTTGTATCATTGCGGTGATATTGGTTGCCATCATATTGGTCATGTTCATCATTGTCTTCATCATCTGAAATAATGAATTGATCCGCGAATGGGTCATTATTTCGAGAATAATAGTTTGAATGTGGTTGATAGTGACCCAGTGGTTGAGCTTGTGGATATACCTGATTAGGATTAAATTGTCCGTATGGATTGACTCTATCAAAATCCATGTCTATCAAATCATTGTCATTACTGCTGGTATTATTAGCATTATCTGAGAATGGATTCTCATTTGAAGATTGTTTAGTCATGCTATTTGACGGCAGTAGTTCTTATCAACTATGGTTGAGTCCGTTTGTCAGGAAATAAAATATGTACTATGCAGCTACTCTAAGACACTGTATATAAGGGATGACTAAAGCAATGGGATGTATGTGGGGGGTGTTATAATGTATGGGTGTGCTGTACTTAAGTGGATTGTTTCTTGTGTGTTGTTATATTTAGCACTGCCCTTTCCAATTTGGTTGTAAAAAAAAAATTGTGTGGTAAAAATAACGAAACGAACGAGAAATTGGAATGTCGCAAATATTAATTATATGTCGCATAAATTGATGATTGTCGCATTCCTTCTTGATAGCTAAAAAAAAGTGAGTCAATCTAATCATTTTACTCTGCCCAGCGCTCTTTAATATCGACTGAAAAAAAAAAAAGAAATCATTGGTTTACTAATCAGAGTCAAAGTTCCATAAATCCCATTCCATTTAGGTATAAGAAATATCAAAGGATCAAGCTATGTCATCTGAATCCATTGCCAAGGCAGCAAACAGTGCCTTCTCAACATTAAAGACCCTTTCAAATACTCAAAGATCACAAGCATTACAAGCTATTCATGATGGACTTCAAGCTCGTAAAGCAGAAATCCTTAGTGCCAATAAAATAGATATGGAAAATGCAGTTAGACATAATTTGTCTTCTTCACTTATCAAACGTCTTGATCTTTCCAATTCAGGAAAATTTGATGCTATGTTACAAGGTATTCTAGATGTTGCTAATTTAGCTGATCCAATGGGGAAAATTACTTTAGCTAGAAAATTAGATGATGGTTTAAATTTATATAGAGTCACTGCTCCAATTGGTGTTTTATTAATTATTTTTGAATCTCGTCCAGAAGTGATTGCTAATATTACCGCTTTAGCTATTAAATCGGGTAATTCTGCTATTTTGAAAGGTGGTAAAGAGTCTTATTCAACTTTTAAGATTATGAGTGATATTGTTAATGATACTTTACAAAAAGAAACAGATGTTCCAAAAGATGCAATTCAATTAATTCAAAGTAGAGAAGATGTAGCAGATTTATTAAATCAAGATAAATATATTGACTTGGTTATTCCAAGAGGATCCAATGAATTAGTTAGATCCATTAAATCAAATACAAAAATTCCAGTATTGGGCCATGCTGATGGGATTTGTTCAATCTACGTTGATTCCAAATTTGATTTAGAAAAAGCTAAAAAGATTGTAATTGATTCAAAAACAAATTATCCTGCTGGATGTAATGCTGTTGAACAATTGTTACTTAATGCATCAATCCCACATCAACAAATCAATGAACTTTTACAAAGTTTGATTGATGCTAAAGTCACGATTCATGTCACTCCAGAAGTTAAAGCTATCTTATCTACAAGCAATACCGATTTCGTAAAGGACACCGTTGAAGATTCCTTTGATAAAGAATATCTTTCCTTCGATATCTCCGTTAAATTAGTTTCAGATGTCAATGAAGCAATCAAACATATTAATGAACATTCATCCAAACACACTGATTGTATCATTACTGAAGATAAAGCAACAGCTGAAAAATTCTTACAAAGTATTGATTCTTCAGGTATTTATTGGAATGCAAGTACAAGATTTGCAGATGGGTTCAGATATGGGTTTGGAACCGAAGTTGGTATCAGTACAAACAAAATCCACGCCAGAGGTCCTGTTGGATTAGAAGGATTGATGAGTTATCAATATCAATTGAAAGGGGACGGACATGTGGTTGGAGAATACGTTGGTGGTGGAGGTAACAAAATGTTTGTTCATGAAGATATTCTTTAAATCGATTAGTTTGTATATACATAAATGTAATAATAAGGAGATATTCATTAGATACTATATCATAAATGGTTTGTTAAATTCTATATAAGCCGTCATTCTATCTCAAAACCTCTTGCTTGAATTCTTCATAATCTTGAGGTGGATAATCAGGAAAGTACCTTATTATGTTATCAACATATTGAAATCGATTATCATGGGGAGGAGGCGAGGGCGGAGGAATCAAATTCAACTCGCTCCATTCTTTAAGGGTGAAGAAATCGGTCAAAGTCTTGATCCAAGTCATTCTAGTTTCAATACTAATTAAATCTTCACCATCCATAACCAATTCACGTAATCTACTTCTAATCATACCTAAATTCTCAACTGCTCGATTCATATCCACATCTTCGAATTCTTTACTAATATTATCTTTAACTAATCGTGATAATCGAGGAGATTTCCCATTTGTACTAACCATAATTTGTAAATTATCATAATTTAACATTGATCCAAAATAAAAATCACATAGATGTGGCTTATCAGCAATATTAACCGGTAATCTAAGATACTTACATTGATAATAGATCTTGGTGCTCAATTCATAATCATCAATACAACAACATATAATAGCAAATATTTCATTCATAACTTGATCTTGAATAATTCCATATTTTTCAAATGTAATTTCATCAAGATCTCGAATATTAGAATGAATATTTTCATAAGTTGTCAAGTCATTCGATTCATAATCTCTTTTAATCAATTTAAATATTTTGCCTTGTTCATTTAATTCAATAATATCAGGATGGATCTTGGAATCTCCACTAACAACGGTGATCTTAGCCTCAGCATTAAGTAAATGATGGATTCTCGATAAGGCAACATCTCCTCCTCCGATAACCAAACAATGCTTGTTTTTGACTTGCCATGCAAGTAGCAAGGAAGCTTTCTTCTCTGACATCTGTTTCTATATACAGCTGACAATATTGATCAATATAATGAAAGTTGACGACTGTCAAAAGTCAAAATGGTAGTGTGTAGGTTCCAAGAAATTTTATAATAATAGTCATCATTTAGATGGTGCTACCAAACGTACAAGAATTCAATTCTTTGAACTGATATATCGGTGCTACAAGACATCTATTCAGAATGCAAGTTACAGAGTCACACGAATTCTAATCACATACAATATATTATTTTTGTAAATTCTATTTAATTCTAAGGAAACGAACCTCGTTCTACATTGCCTTTGAAGCATTACCACCAAAAGACTCCCCGTAAATATACAGCACACTACCGAACTCCAACCTCTCCAACCCAAAACCATGAACGAAACATAAACTGCAAGAAAGCGAAAGTATCAATCCAGAAACTCGTACTCAGAGTCAGTTTCCATCTCCCACAATGCAGTATTATTTAAGCGAATAAGCAAAGGACAATCTTCTTGCAACTCGGTTAGAATTGTTTCAGGGTCACATCTTGGATTCTTATCCAAAGCTATAAACCTTAACCTTTTGCAGTTGGACAACTTTAAATATCTAAATGAGCCATTGGTAAGATTATTTCCTCGAAGATCCATTTCTACCAAAGAATCTGGAAATTGGATATTGGCCAATTTCGAAAGGTATTTATCGAGTCCCACATAAGCAATGCCTAGTTTCTCTAACTTCTTGAAGCTCTTAAAGAATATCAGATTGGGAATAGTTATCTCATTATTACTTAAATCAAGAATCCTTAACGTGGTTGGAAAAAGGGATTCTAATCTCGTGAGCTTCTGGTCAGATAAAAGCACACTTGTCAAGTATTTGGACCTTTGTAAATTCCAGCTAAGAACTTCTTTCGATGTAAGATAACCAAATCTTCCAGCTAATCTCTTGATGGACCTGGGAAGTCTCAAATTAAGACGGTTATTGTTCACAAGGAAGGGGAAATCACGGGGCTTTGGGTCGGGCTCCGGATAAAACTGGCGGAGAATCTCACCACCGATTTCTAAGCAGATGACCGAATCGGGTATTTCGAAGCTTGTGTGATCAAGACTTTCTATTTTGCATCCTGTCAAGTCAAGCATTTTCAAATTTGGAGCAACAATGCGGAACTTCAAGAGCCCTGAATCTTTCAAGTTTAACAGCTTTAACAGCGCAGTGAATCTCGAATGAAACTCTCCAATATCTGAGCCGGTTATACTTAGACTGACCAAATTAGTCATGCTTGTAAATTTCAGCAATGTCACAGAATCCAACTCACATGCTTCCAAATTTAACGAAGTCAAAGACTGAGGAAATTCTAATCCTATTAGATTCTGTCGCGCAATAGTTAATTCCGTGGTATGAGCAGGCATTTCTAACCGTGACCGATGAGACAATGAATATGGAGATCCCTTTAAGTTCAAAGTATGTAATGAAGGGGGGAATTCGAATTCTGCAAGTTTGAAATCCACGTTCCCATCAATCACTAGATACGTAAGATTGGGTGGAATAAGAAATTCTCTTCCAACTTTAATTGGATTTATAAACTCAAAAAATTTCATAACAATCATATCAATAGATAAAACTTGTAGACTCTGAGGAAACGGGATCCCATTGAATATAGTCCCATCCCTATTTTTAATAAATAATGATTTGAGATTACGATATTTGCTGAAAGTATCCAACGCTGGAAGTTGAGTATATATACTCAAATCGGCAATCAGTTTAGGTATATTGATTATTCCTACAGGGACTTCGTTCATGCACCGTAAAGATTGTAGATTCGTTAAATGGGATAAGTCACATCTTCCCAATGGCAGTTGAAAAATCAATCCTAGCTCCAAAAATTGCAAAGATATAGGCAAATTAAGGATTTCACAACCCTCGGTTTCCAAGACCATAACTATGTGCAATTTTTGTAAATTCGATGGGATGTAAGCTAATTCTGATACTTGCACGTACTCATGTATTGTCAAACTACGAAGATTTGAATAATGCTCAGGTGGTACAACCAGGATTAGATCCATTACTTCTACCTCGGTAACGTTGTACGGAACTTCATAACCACAATCTCCTGCGTACCGTAACTTTTGAAACTTGAAAGGTAAACATAAGATCTCTTCTTCTAACATGGAGCTCGTCAAATTTAAAACCTGAATATCTGCTCCTTTTAATATGTATGGATATGTTTTGAAAGTAGCGTACACATCATTTAGATTGTAAAAACTTATAATCTTTGGGTTTGCACTAGGATACATCTCAATGAAATGGAGGAATTGGTAGATTGATGCAAATTGAAACTCATGTGACACGTAGAGAACTGGTACAAAATGTCTCTTCGGGTAAACTGATTCATTTAATTCAAGCCGTTCCTTCAGTATGACTGAATCATTTCTAACTGGGATATGCATTGTTGATCTGCAAACATTTGTTGTGCCGCTTTCTGGAGAATCAATTGTAACCTTGGCAAATAGTGTATCAAGTGCATAAGTACCAATTAGTGGATTATCAATGTATGTATGAAGATATTCATCGGGGATTTTGGCGAATATCAATTCGATTATATCTTCAGGGAGATCTAAGAGGTTGTCAATGAATGGTTTCTTCATTGCTTCTTTGTTTCAATTGATGGGATTGATAAAATAGATAAGATATTTTATTTGTTTATTTTCTGTAATTAATAGGAGATTGGAAATATTTTTTGTACTGTAAATTGCAAAAAATCATAATTACACAAACCTACATTAGTCTTCCATTATTACTATTAAAAATCATCTTAAAAAATGTAATGCTAGATCTGAAAGAGTTCTCAGAGTTATCTCTGAGGACCATGTAATCCCGGTGGATTTGGCTAGTTCCAGGGCTAGAAAATGACATACTAGATTTATAATACCATTACACCACTTAAAACTAAGATTAAAGTGAATCTCGGCTCTAAGTTAGTCCACATCAAACTTTGCCAGTTTTTCATTAGTAAAGAGCTGGCTCTAGTTGATATTTTTTAGCATTATTTATTTAGTAATCATTTATGTAAGAGTTCTTTTTTTTTTGATAGAACCTTGATGATGTTAACTCCTGTACTTACAATAAGAGAAGTACATCCTCGTCTATGTGCCAGAATAACTCGACTTATTTGTCTCACTATGTAGACAAAGTCTGGTCTGGCCATATACTATACACATGGTGTATAGACTAAAGCGAACATACAAATGAAGTCACGGACTCACCGTGCTACCAAATCTAAAGACCGGAACCAGGCATACAGCGAATGTCATTGTGTTCTATGTGGTGCTATTTAGACGTGAAAGCAAGGGACAATTTTCTTGCAACTCACGAATGATCATTGCAGTGTTGCAACGTGGATTCTGAAACAAGGCGATAAACCTTAAGCGTCTACAGTTGGATAACTTTACATATTTAAACGATTCATTGTCAAGATTATTTCCGCGTAGATCCAACTCAACCATGGAATCAGGGAACTCGAGTTTCTTTCTTTGAGAAAGGTATTTATCGAGACCAACACAAGCAAGACCTAGTTTCTCTAAATTTGAAAAGCACTTAAAAAATGCCAGGTTAGAAATAATTATGGGATTACCACTTAAATCAAGAGTCTTCAATGTATAAGGCAAATGCGATTCTATTTTAGTTAACTTATTCCTGCTCAATGTCATATTTGTTAAAGCTGTGTAGCCACTTTGAAGATTCCAAGTTCGAAGAATTTCGGATGTAACAAAGCCATAGTCTCCATTGAAACTCTTCACAGATTTTGGTAGAGTCATATTCTTTGCATTCATACATGGAAAGTCTCGATCAGAGCAAAACATTGAATCATCCTCTCCAAGCAACAGCGTAAAACTGTTACCGCGCATCTCCAATTGTGTGATGGAATTAGGTACTATGAAGCTTGAGCCATAGTTATCTATCGTACACCTAGATAGAACGAGTATTTTTAATCTCGGAGCAACAATCCTGATTTTCAGAAAATAAGAACCTTCCAAGCTTATATGTCTCAAATGGTCACCAAACAGATGGTCAAGATCTCCAAAAATTGCATGATATATGCTAAAACTCACTAAATTACTCAAATTTTTGAAATCAAACTTTTCTAAATAATTCAAATGACCTCCTTTCAATGTTAAAGTGGTCAAAGACTCTGGAAGGACAGCTCCATGTATGAGGCTCTGCGAGATAGTAAATTTCAAAACATTAGTAGGCAAATTCGATCTTGACCAGATACCCCAAGAATTACTAGATCCCACAAGGTCCACAAAATATAATGAAGGGGGAAATCTAATCTCGTCATGCTCAAATCTCACATATTGGCCATCGATCTTAAGGTAAATGAGACGTGGGGGAACTTTAAAGTTCTTTCCAAGGCTAACTTCTTCTGGGAACATTCGTAGTGCAGATGTCATTATATCAATATGTAATAATCTTAGGCTATTAGGAAATGGAATTCCTTTAAGAATATCTTCATAAAATGTACAAACATATAACGATTTGAGGTTGAAAAATTGACTGAAAGTGTCATTCCGTGAATCATCTGTGCTAATACACAAGTTTATAATCAGCTTAGGCAAATGGAGTTTTGATAAAGGTATTGTCTTTCTCAAAGACGTGAAAGACTTAAGGTTTGTTAAGTACGACAAGTCCCATTCAGTGAAACGGCCCAGAAATTCTAACTCTAACTCCAAAGATTGCAAGGATGTAGGAAACTTATTCTTGCATGGCCCACCAGTCCACACCAAATCCATACTCAAAGATTGCAACTTGGGTGGGATGTAAAGCAACTCTTCTAATTTCAAGGGCTTGCGAATCGTCAAAGTTTGAAGGTCTTCATAATAACCAGGATGTTCAAGTAGCTCCGTGCGAAGTATCTCTATATCTCTAAGAGTGCTCGGAAGTGTATAATCAATTTTTCCCACGTATCCCAATTTGGTGAACTTGTAAGGTAGGTTCAAGATCGCTTTCTCTGCATGACTACCCTTCACATCATCAACATGTATCTCTGCAGATTTCAATATTTCTGGATATGCCACATGAACAGCTAGAACGTCGTTTAAATTGTGAAAGTCTATAATCTTTGGTTTCAGATTCGGATGGTTATCAATAAAACTTAGAAACTGGTAGACGTTTTGAAACTTAATCTCGTGGGGGGCGATGAAAACAGCTTCCGAAAATTCAGTCATCAAAAGTGATTCGTTACCAACTGGGAAATGCATAGCTAGGTCGTTAATATCCAAAGAATCACTAGTACCAATTGTGACCTTGTTAAATAGCATGTCAATGGCATAACTTCCAATCAATGGATTATCAATGTATGTGTGCAAGAATACATCAGGAATGTTTCCGAATATCAATTTGATGATCGACGGATGTAGATCGACTAGATGATCAACGAATGGTTTCTGCATGATGTCTGGGATCATTTGTTGGATTCATACAGCAAGAGGGAAGTCACAGAATAATTTGGGAATTTAAATTCTATAAGGGATGCGATGGAATCGATTCTTGACGTTTATCGTTTCAGAAAGTTTAAGGAGTAAAAGTTTCAAAAAAGGGGGTGGGGGAGGAGCAGTTTAAGCTGAAATTTTTTCTCTTGCAGTCGCAAATTAAATAGTAATTAATTAATAGAATTTACATTCTTGCTACTCTCTGCGACTGAAACAAAAAACTCCAAACTAACTCAGATTGTGAGTTACTCTACTGAGATACAAGTTTATTATATTGGTACAAAGAGCTGGAGTCTTGGTGCTTCTGGCCCAACCCGTTCTTCTGTTAATCTCTAAACTAGTTGGAGAAAAGAGGAATTCTGGAGCCTCGCATAAAATTACAGATCCTTAATTTTGGACTGAATCTGGCAGGAATGAGTCGAAGGGTTTTTCTTCAGAGTCTATCTTTACCATTCACCTATACATGACAACGTCCGCGTATTAGAATATAACTTTGGAAATTGACTTCACCGTACGATTGAACTGTATGGAAGTTATTCTAAAGTCCCAGTCCCCAGTTCGATTCAACTACTTCAGTAGAATCTGTAGTTGTGAGTAAGAGACTTTGTCTGAACTACTATGTGTTTCAAGATTCAATTGATCGCAAGGCGCTGCTGTTTAATTTAAAAAATAGAACAGGTTCCCCCTTTATAAAGTGACGAGAGCTATTCAACAATTTTTTCTAGAACATCTAACAATGAGAATGGTTTTCTTAATGTCCAAGCAAATGTAAAGTCCAATGAAAAGAAAGCATGTTCGCTGTACCATCATTTAATTATGTAAAAAAAAACTGGCAAAATAAGCCTCTTTTTTGTGGCAAGTAATGGATTATTTTTTAGTGATTATTTTTCTGATCGTGCATAAGCGAGAAAATATTTTTTAGAGGGATTGACCCGGGTGGGATTAGGAGAGAATGTCGCTCGGATTCCATTGTCAACTATATATCAAATTACGCACACTATTCAGGGTTTAAATCTACACTACGAATGTCTTCCTCATTCTTCCGGCGTTTGGAAACCAACGTTAGTGGGATGTGCCTGATGCTGATAGATCTCTAATACAACCACTTGTCTCCAACAACAAAACTTGAATCAATGCATCGATATGTCCGTCTATTTCGCATTCTATTCTCTGTAGCTTAAGCGGGAGAGCAAAGGACAAGTTTCTTGTAAGCCAGTAATAATTGTAACAATGTCACAGTTTGGATTCCGGGTTAAATTAATAAACCTTAATCCTTTGCAGTTCGACAACTTCATGTGCTTAAATGACTTATTATCTAGACCATTTCCACGAAGGTCCAACTCAACCAATGAATCGGGAAATTCTAAGCAATATCGTCCAGTAAGGTAATTGTCGAGAGCGACATCCCCAATTCGAAGTACTTCTAATTGTTTGAAGCCTTTAAAGAATCTCAGATTAGGAATAATTATCTTATTAGAACTTAAATCAAGGATCCTAAGACTGGGAGGGAAATGAGAATCTATTTTCGTTATGAGATTCCGACCTAAATTCACAATCTCCAAGTGCTTGCAACGGCTTCGTAAATTCCACTTTTTTAACGTTTCTGACGTAAGATTGGCAGCTTCTGCAGTTAAATTCCTAAGGGACTTGCTAAGAACCATATTACTTCCCTCCACAGTTTGCCTTGGGTCAAACGGTGAACCGCCTTTCATATAGCCATTCATTCTAAAGTAGATGACAGAATCGGGCATCTTGAAGGGATAAGCACTGTCTATGTTATGACAAGACAAATCGAGTATTTTCAAATTTGGAGCCACGATCAGAATTCTCAGAATGTAAGAACCAGCAAAGCTCAAATAATTTAGACTGGGACCAAAACGACAATCAATATATCCAATACGAGTATCTCTTATGCTCACCTTGACTAAGCTAATCAATTTTTCAAAATTAAAATAGTCTAAGGAGTACAAGGTGCATGCAGTTAATTTCAACGTGGTCACCGTTCGAGGAAGATTTAACGACTCTATATCTTGCTGTGAGATACTGACTTTCAGAATATGACTAGGTAGCTTTAAGAACGGCCAATCAAGTTGCTCCCCATATCCTCGAAGTTTCAAATACTCTAGGGAAGGAGGGAGTTCCATATCTTCGGGTGCGAACACAAACTGATCGCCATCAACCTTTAGGAATTTGAGATTGGGTGGAGGAAGGAAGTCTTTTCCAACTTCCACGTCTTGTGGGAGTCGATATTCCAAATACGCCCCCTCGATAAATAACAATAACAAACCTTCGGGAAATGGTATCCCATAAACCATCTCACCATAAACAGTATGAATTTTTAATCTCCTGAGATTAGAAAACTGAGTGAACGTATCAGGTTGTATATCATCAGTATAAATACTCAAGCTGGTAATCAGTTTTGGTAATGAAACCGAACTTAAAGAGATTGAGTTTTGTAAAGAAGTGAATGATTTAAGATTCACCAAATAGGACAAATCAAACGGAAAGAATCGGACATCAATAATAAACTCTAGTTCTAATGATCTTAACGAGATGGGTAATTTAACTTCTCGGGGACTATCTTCCAAAATTAACGTCATGCTTAAAGATTGTAACTTTGGAGGGATGTAGCGCAACTCCTCTGCTTTCAATCCATAGTGTGGTATGCGTAACATTTGAAGATCATCATAGTAACCAGGAAATATAAGAAGTGTTGTATGCAGTAATTCTACATCCCTGACAGTGGTTGGAAATCCGTAATCACGATGTTCTGTGTATCCCAACTTAAGAAACTTATAGGGTAAATTTAATATTCCTTCTTCCGATCGATCACTATACAAATTCCGAACTTGTATATCGGCAACTTTTAATTTGTTTGGATGTGCTTTGTGAGCAGCTAAGACCTCGTTTAGATCGTTGAAGCTTATAATCTTTGGATTTGAATTCGGATACTTGTCAAGAAAATCGAGAAAATGGTAGACGTGTTCAAATCTAATTTCGTGGACCTCTGGCAAACCAGGTGCAAAATAAGCATTCAGTATATCCAATTCATCTCCTATTGGAATATGAATATCTGGGGGACCCCAGTAATGGTCAGTATCGTTAGACTCGATTGTAACTTTTGAAAATAGCGTATCAAGTGCATAAGTTCCAATCAATGGATTATCGATGTATGTATGAAGATACCGATCGGGAATGTTTGAGAATATCGAATGAATAATCTCCAATGGGAGTTCTACTAATTGATCAATAAATGATTTGCTCATTGTTCCTTGTTTCAATTGACGAGTTGATCAAAGCATGGTTCATGATTTTTGTTTTTTCTGTTAAGAAGTTATGATTGGTTGCAAATTTCAAATGATATTTTTTGCAGAAAGTAGTGAAATGCAATAAGCCATATGGTTATGGACACCAGCGGGGAGATATCACCATCTTCTACAGTAAGTGACATTATTCTCAAAGATATAGCTCCAGTTAAACATTTGTGGGGAGGTTAAGCATTGAAGTCATTCAAAAAATGTTTAGCAACAGGGAACAAAGCTTATGATTTGTTACATAACGCGTCTTGGCTATATCCGGTGTTTACCGGCGGGGAGCTAACGGATCACATCTATAACCAAGGAGCTCCTTATGGAGTCCTAAGACTTGATGATCGTTCCTTCTGGCGGGTTTACCTGCAAAATGTGTATCTGTGAAAACAGTAATTATTCCGGTATTCCAATACTCATTTTTCCTCACGCTTTCTAATCTATAACTAGCTTGGCTGTTTGCTCTAATCTAGTTAGACACTGATGTTACTGGAGAGATAAGGTGTTAGTATTTTCTAACTTTGAGACGTGGGGATGTTTACGCATGACAACATATTGTAATCACGTCAAATGGAGTTCGTATATAAGGTGGATCGTTTTATAGTTTGATTTAGATTACAAAGCTATTAGAGTTAGTCTAATCTATATGCGAAATACCATTCAGCTAATTGTTAATGTATACGCCAACCATTCGGTACAACCCCATAGGTTTCCGTGGAAAATAAAGAAGAAAATATAATCGTGTCCCAACCAAATTGCGGAGGGAAAATTTTTTTAATCTAAAGCAACAGTTGGAACCGAAATCTACACGACCCCCCAAAAAAGATTTGCATCCGTTAGTTCCATATTTCACCAACTAGATTCTTATGCTGCGTTTGTTGTTGGAATGTGATTTAGGAAACGTCTAATTAACTAAAAGGACCTCTCTAGTAGTAGTGCTTATCAAAATTGATAGATAGGGCGATATTAGATTAATTTTACATTGTTGTTGTATTTTGTACTGCTGTTGAGGGGTGGCACTAAATCAATTAATTTATCATGTGCCTATGTATGCGCGTTTTTTATTCAAGATTAGTGTGGTGGTGGTTATAATTAATAATAAAATCTAATCTATTCCCCCACCAAGGTTTAATTAGTTTCTGCAACCTTACACAAAAGCTTTGAAAAAGAAGGAAAAATTGGAGAAATTGAAGAAGAATTTTTAAAACTGTGTCACCAATAAAGATCACTAAAACCACGCGGTTAAGAAAAAAACAAAGAGTTGTCTCTCTCTCTCTCGTGGTGTGCTTGTGTCTGTCCGGCTTTCCTGATTGACTGACTCCAGTTTTTCTTAGTCTAGGAAATAATTTAATAGGCCTCTTGTTCCGAGAATTATGTTGCAGAGGTAGTGGTGGTATGACTGGAATTACCAGTAGAACTATTTGCTATCAAAATATTATTTTTATTAATTGCCGTTCTCTCACCGTTGTACACTTTTTTGTCTAAAAAATTTTTTTGTGGGTGTTTAAAAATTAAATCCAATTTTTTTTTTTAATTAAATTTTTGTTCAATAATTTTTAAAATTAACAAGCTAAAGTCAACACACTTCTTCTTCATCTATTACTATAAATTACTGTTATATTCCCGCGCTCCTCCCCTTTACTATTTATCAAAAATTGCTTTCCTTTTCCACATTGACATTCTTTTTATTTCTGTCCATTAAAGAGATTTACTGGTTAAATTTTTCAATATGAGTTATATAAGACAACAGCAAGAAAGACGTAAATCAATGGCAGAAAGAAGACCATCCACAAACTATTCACCTTCTCATATTCCACACTTAGTTGGGTTGGAAACTCCTCAAGAACAACATTCATTGAGTATTAAGGAATGTGATGTTCTTATATTAGGTACTGGTTTGTCTGAAAGTATTTTATCAGCAGCATTATCTTGGCAAGGTACTCAAGTTTTACATATTGATAATAAGAATTATTATGGAGATTCAACATCTACATTAACTATTGATCAATTGAAGAAGTGGTGCATTGATGTTAATCATAATAAGATTCCTCATTTCAAAGATGCTCAAATTTATATTCCTCCTGGTAGATTTAATTCTAAAGATTATGGGATTGATTTAACTCCAAGAATAATGTTTTGTAAACTGGATTTATTATCATTACTTGTTAAATCTCGAGTTTATAGATATTTGGAATTCCAGAGTTTATCTAATTTCCATGTTTTTGAAAATGATGATTTTCAACAAAAAATTACCAATACCACTACTAAAGAAGATATCTTTATGGATAAATCTTTATCATTAATTACAAAACGTAATTTAATGAAATTCTTGAAATTTGTATTATTAGATGAAAATAAAGCTTTAATTAAACAATATGCAACAACTCCAATTGAAACTTTCCTTGCCACAGAGTTTAAATTAGAAGAACCTCAAATGAATGAATTGGTTTATTCAATTGGATTATGCGTTAAAGAAAACACGTCTACAAAAGAAGCTATCATTCGTATTAAACGATTCCTTGGATCATTTGATGTATATGGAAAATTCCCAGTTATGGTTTCAAAATATGGAGGTCCAGGTGAACTTTCTCAAGGTTTCTGTAGAAGTGCTGCAGTGGCAGGTACAACTTATAAATTAAACACAAATCTTACTGATTATGATCCAACTTTAAAAATTGCCCATTTTGATGATGGATCCAAAGTTAAAATTAATGAAAAATTAATCATTTCTCCCACGCAATTATCAAAATTCTTAACTGCTTCATATTCAAAAGTTGTTGAAAACCTTGAAACATATAATATCACCCGATTAATTACAGTTGTGAAAAGAGATTGCAAAGAATGGATGTCTCAACATGAATCTTCAGCTATTGTTGTGTTTCCTCCCCATTCTCTCCCCACCGATAACGACTATGCCGTTCAAGTCATAATTCAAAACGGTGATACCGGAGTCTGTCCACCTGGCCATTCAATTTGGTATACTCATTCAGTTGAACCGGATCTCGCTAGAGCTAAACGTGATTTGGAAACCGCTTATGAAAAGATGGAAAGTGCATTATTAAGAGAGAGTAATCAACATGAAGAAGAAATGATGTTAATGACTGGCGGTAGTACCGGTATAAATTCAACCGCAAGTTCATTCAAATTAGGTACTTCATTAACTAATAATTTCATCCCTCGTGAAAAAGTGGAAATCGTTTGTAAAATGGGTTTTGTTCAACAATCATATATAAGACCAGATTTATCTAATGTATTTAAACCTACTGAAGAAAATAATATTGTTTTGAAACAACTGACTGAATGTGAAGACATTATATTCACTAATATGCCAAGTGGAGAAATTAGTTATGATGGTATTATAACTGATGTCAAGTCCATCTATTCTAGAATTGTGGGAACTGATGAAGATTTCTTTGATGTAGATTTTGAAGATGAAGAAGAAGAGCAAGAATCTTCTGCAGCTTCATCTTCTCAAAGAACAAATGTTTCCGCAGGTGGAGTCCATGGAGGAATTGTTGGAGGTGGCAATGTACGTAATTATGAAGAAGTGATTGAAAGTGATGATGAAGATGATCATGTTGATTCCGATGACCACAAACCATTCGCCGCAGACGAAATGGAATTGTGATTTTTTGCATATGTGTTAATGTTTTTTATCCAAATTATAATCTAATTCTTGTATTTTTTGTATCTGCTTTGGTTTGACTTTTGTTAATGTTGTTGCATATTGTTTTATTATTATCGTCCTTGATTGTTTTTCATTTGTTTTTAGTTCTGTTTGTCTTTTAGGCATTTGATATTTCCCATCTTCCGTTATGCTTTGTTCAAATTGCTGTTCTATTTATCTTGTAACTTTTTAATTTAATATAATTCTTCATATCCATCTTGTATATTGTGTAGTCATGTATTTATTAATATCATAACTCAATATTGCGGTTTCCCTATAACTGCTGGAGAAATGGTTGCAAATAAAAGAGGTCTTGATTTTTCACCTGTTTTCTGGAAGTCTTCAACGCCAGGCTTCCTTAATAAAATATTGTATCGATACTAAACCGTAGCCACCTTATCATTCTCAACCTCTTTTCCAACAAAGAACTCAAACTTGGACCCCAAACTGATAGTCGATTCTAGGGGTAGCTGGCTACCAAAAGTGATTGCGAAAGTTTACAATTTTGTTTTTCTGACAACAATGATCTACACTATTAATGAGATACACTAAAAGTTAATACATAAAAACTTACTTCCCTCATCACACTAGAACATAAAAACAAAATTGTTTAAAACAGAATAGTTTAATAATTTTAGTGTATTGAGTTATAATTCTCTCTTAACTTATGTATAATTTTTTTAGTATATCTTGTTAGTTGTATGGTAAATAGTTTGTACATTATGGTTGCAAAAAAAAAAGATACAAATTGACCGACTGATTTCACATTTTTTGCTTGTGGAGGAAATATTCATACTCTCGGTCATCGTAGCCATTATTCAACCAATGATAACACTTGCCCTTTCTGTGCTAAAGATATTCAATCTATTCGAACATCCAATAGGTGTTAAATTGTGAGATTTATCAGAGTTTGTTAACTGCGTCATTGAACAAAGAGACTTAGAAAGTGATATGCATATGGTCAGTGAAATAAAAGAGCAACTATATCCGAATGGGTCACGTGGCTAGGGCTTCTGCCCTACCACAATATTTTTTTTTCCACTCATCTGAATTTTTTTTTTTTTTGCTCAGCTTCGAGGTCTCTGGTTTCGCACAGACTGAAAAATCAAACTACCCTTATTCATTTTCTATATCATTCTTTTAAAAGAAACCACTGAGCAGTAATCATATTTACCTGTCGAAGAAGTCTACAAATTCAAAAAAATGTCTGACGTTGAACAAGAACAAATTGTCGAAGAAGTTGCCGTTGAACAAGAATCCGGTTCCATCTCTATTGAAGACTGTCTTAAGGTTGTCTTAAGAACCTCTTTAGTCCACGATGGTTTAGCTAGAGGTTTAAGAGAAGCTTCTAAGGCTTTATCCAAGAGAGAAGCTCAATTATGTGTCCTCTGTGACTCTGTTACTGAAGAATCTATCGTTAAGTTGGTTGAAGCTTTATGTAACGAACCAGAAGAAAAGATTCCATTAATCAAGGTCTCCGATGCTAAATTATTAGGTGAATGGGCTGGTTTATGTCAATTAGACAGAGAAGGTAACGCCAGAAAGGTCGTTGGTGCTTCTTGTGTTGTTGTCAAGAACTGGGGTGCTGATTCCGATGAAAGAAACATCTTATTGGAACACTTCTCCCAACAATAAATTATGTAACAAGTTTCCTTTACTTTAACATGATTTATTACTAGTGAATGAATTTGTATTTGTATATTAAGTTTTAATTTATAATATATAAAGTGGTTTACTATTGAAATTATTATGATTGAGCTACCAGTTGTAGAATCTTCATCTCTCTCCTCTCTATTTTATACTGTCTAGGATGTTTAGTATAATAACCTACCTAATGTCCTCTAGCAAGTAACGATTCAGGATACAAGCCGTATTATATTGTTACACGTTTATATTGGCATTTGATAGCTGCTAAGCTAACTCTGCACGTATGTGGGTCTGTAAATACAATGGAAATCTTAAAAACGCGTATTAATTTGAATTGTTAATATTTTTTTTTGGTGAGGCTGGGATTATCAAAACAGAACATTCACATTTCTCTTTCTTGATTTACATCAGACACATATAGATAGACTCAATCATGGCCACTCATGATGATAGAGTGATACGTATGGCCACTCGGATGCGTGGATCAGGGTATGTAATTATTAATAATTTCAAATCTCAACACAGTTCATACATACTAACAACAACAAAATATAGTGCACGGAATCTACGAGCAGCTGAATTAAACTTATCAAGTCCCCGAGGAGTATTACAAATGAAAAAATGGCAGATAAGATTACTTAAAGAAGATCCCTCCGACAAAAATGGAAAGTCCCTGTTAGGATTTGAAATCCAAGTACGAAAAGATGATATATCACTGACTTCTGATGATGACTTTGAATTTGAAAATGATGGAAATGATACCCGAGGATTCAACACTTCAAGAATAAGACAAGTGAAAGTGTCAGATATTCTGATTGATACAGTTACCGAAGCTGAAACTGATATTAATTCCGATTTCCCTGATTTTGAAAAAGCTGACCAATCTAGTAGTCTACAAGTAAGTTCCTCACGAACTCCAGGAATACTTACTGGCAACGATTCGATTATGGGACCACCCAGCAGACCAGCTAGGATACAAATGCTGGACGTCAATTATACGGAGGCGGATCAAGGTTCCAGGACTGGAGATCTGGATTATCATGATTTCCGAGGTGACGAAACATCAGATAATTATTTTACTGAAGTTGATGAGACATATAAAATACGAAGATCTGGTGAAGTTGGGGAGACATATAAATTACAAAGGTCTGCATTAGGAATAATACTGGAAGATGATTCGACTATTCAGTCTGCTGCATGGAGGTATGGTTCTGAATCAGAGAGTATTCCTAGGCTAGCGGATCAGAACAATGACTATCGTGACCTTATGGGAGATGAGACTTCAGATAATTATTTTACTCAAGCTGATGACGAATATAGAAAGCGTGTGGGTAGAAGGAAGGATACTTCTGAAGATGATACATTATTACCACTACGACAGGCAATAAGGGCCGATTATCAAGAGGAGCCCAAACGAGATTTTATTCTTCAGCCGGAGCTAATAAAGGATGCACAAATCTTTGACGAAGCTCCAGAGCAGGATTTTGCCTATAGTGAAGATGAACAGGAAATAAGCGATAAGGAAAACCGAGAGCCGATAGAGGTAGGGGTTGGTCAGAAACGAGGCCTAGATACAATCCTAGAAGATGAACCATTAGCTAAACAGCCACGCATAGAGGAAGCGGAAGAGGCACAGCCTCAACCAATACCATTAAATGAAACTACTATTACTGGACGGTTTCAACCTATGGTGGTTGAATTGGATAGATTAGTGGACCAAGAAAATCCCGACGAAACACCAACTGTGAATTTGTTAGATATTTTAATTCATTTTATCAAATTATATGAACCGACAGAATTCCCCAACACTATTGTGAATCAAGAAGCATTACATGCTCAATTTAAAAAACATGCCTTATTTTTCATTGATAAATTACTTGATTTGCATGCATGCATTAATGATATGTCCCAAGATATTCTCTACATTGAAAGGACCAAACAAAAGTATAGAAATCTAATTTTAAAAATACGGAAAGATCAAGCTAATGTTGATAATCAATTAAACAAACTACGTGCAAATATTCGTGCAAAGAATCAAGAACGAGAAGATATTTGTCTTGTTAAAGATAAACTAGAATTTTTGAAACTTTCGATTCAGAATAGAGACTTGGGTCAAGGTGAAGGAAAAGATGCTTCAGTTAAGTTGCTATTGAATAATATATCAAAGATGGCTAGTCCTCAAGTGGGGTTATTGCCGAAATTGAAGAATATCAATGCAAAATTGGAACGGTTGGAACGGCAAGTATAGAAATACAGTGTGTATATTAAATTAAACTCTGGTATGTAACAATTACAAACTCATAAAAATAAAGATACCTAACGACATAATGGTTGACCACAACTATTTCGAAAAAGCCAACTGGGTTTCTCTCATTTCGAAACAAATGGTTCCTCTTCTATGTCATTCTCTCTCCTGGTGCCTTCTGGTTCTTCTTCTTTCTCTTGATATATCCCCTAACTGTCGTCATTGACAAGAGCCATGATCATTCTGTACAAGTAGAAGAAGAACATCAACAAGTGGAATCCCAATTTCAAGAAAGATTCCTTCTTATGTTTAGATAAAGTTCTAAAGATTTCGGTAGCATCCAATAAATGATTCTTGTTGATGAACTTGTTGATATTATAAGCAAACAATGGTAAGTTCAATAAGAATGGGAACCAATATCCATTGATTAAAAATAAGATAGTAAGGAATGCATGTAAACCAGCTTCTGGAAGGAACCATGGATTTAACTTATTACATAATTCAATTGGATTGATGTAATCACATTCCAAATCGGAATACATGATAGTGAAGAACACTTGTGAGAATAAGTTAACTGCGTTAACGACAACTGCAAGAATGAATATCCTAAATATGATTAATCGTTAGTATTTATTAACAATTGCTATCTGGAGATAACCCGATTTCTCCCTCGCGTGATGATTTGAAAAAAACCAGGCAAGTACCGTTCAGTATAAAAATCATCAACTGAGTCTATCCGTTACCATATGGGGGTGTATACATACCAGCTTTCTCCTGTCATTGTTGCTTTGTATAATTATATATCTATCTATATGATAAGAATAAACTCCTTCTGAGAAATTCTAGAAGGCTTTTCCGTTGAACGATTTTTTTTTTCGTTTGCTTTTGAAATTTTCGTCGACGAATTTTCAATCTCGTCTCAGAAGTAATTACTTGAGAAGGCTAGGGATGGTTTAGTTATGCATGGATTAGTTTGCTGTGATTTCTCATATGGACTGTGTCGGGTTTGATAGAGTAAAGAAGAAGTTGAAATACGAATCATCATGCTATTCTCAGCTTCTGCAGTAGTAAGCATCATCTAATATATCACCAACTCAATCCACTTTAAAAATTGGTTGCAAAAATTGGTTTTTCTATTGTTGCTCAAAATCGCCGACAGTGAACAAAACCTTCGATTACAAGTCTATTTATAACATTCACAAGATACAAAATACAATATACAATAAATAAATAACTACATATTGGTTTCAGCCGAAGATCTCCTTTGTTTGGCAAGCTCCCTTAAATAGGCTCTCTTTTCTTGAGTTATTTCATTCCCATCTAATTTAACCAATCTATAAAAACACAATATCAAGCTCTGTTCATATAACTCTCTTCTTCCAAGTGTATATCCAGAACAAAATTTACGATCTCTTTCATTCCAATCTCCCAGCTTTTTCAATGAATGATAATGGATTGAAAAATTCTCAATATCATCAACTGTTTCCAAATTGATCCCATTAACTTCATCAGGACTGAACATATATGGATAAAATTCCGTATTCATTGTATTCAATCTCACATCTAATGATATAAGTGATCTTCTTGAGGGATAAAGCGAGTCAGTTATATGTTGGAGCCTTTCAATATTATTGGAAACTAAACAGCATTTACGTAATCGTAAGTTTGCTAATCCGGAAATATCATGTAATTTATTAAAATTCAAATTCAAATCTTGAACATTGGGGAATACATGATGGAATTCTTGAGGAATTGATGTTAAATTGATAGCAGAAAGGGTTAATTTAGATACATATCGGAATTTTATTGTGGGTAATGCCTGTGATAATTGGATATTTCCTGATAAATCCAATACCTTGACATCTGGGACTGCTGAAAACAATGAATCAAGAATTTGTGGTGCCATTGCTTTACATGAAACTTCTTCAATTTTCTTTAATTCATTTATCCAATTAAGATTATGAAGATTTCTATTACCATCAATTCTTAAATATCTCAAACAAGGAAAACTTTCCAAATCCAACAGTTGTAAGTTATTAAACTTGACTGATAATTTCTTTAAATTCTTATGATAACCACTAGTTAATTCCGTCAAATTATTTTCTTCAAGATATAACACTCTTAATTCTGGTAAATTTTCAAGCCCACTAACAACTTCTAGTTTATTTTCATCCAAATATAGAGTAGCTAACTTAGGTAAATCAAACATTTGAAAATTCAAATGACCTGATAATCGATTCCCTGAAAGATCCAAATCAATTAAATGGACTAATCCGCCAATCCCATCAAGATTATTAATATTGTTCTGGGAAAGATTCAACGTGGTTAAATGCATACATTCTCTTAAATTACTCACTTGAGTAAACGCATTCCCACTAAGATTCAATCCTTGTAAATCAAATAATCTCCCAAATGAAGTCATATCATCTATTTCATTCTCCAGTAAATCCAATGCGAAGATTCCTGGTGGTATACCTGTCAAATATCTAATTTCATTCCTTGATAAATCAAGTGAACGTAAATTAGGTAATAATTGATCTAAATCTTTAACGTTATTCAAATTACATTGTGCAAGTGATATTTCATTCACATGTTCCCAGGAAATACCACTAGCGTTTGCAGATTCGAATATTTCATTAATGATTGAAATTAATTTCAGATTTGATTGAGAAAATGTGAAATCGGCATCTAATTGAGACATTCTAGTCACATCAATACCAACAGGACTGGTTTTTTCTTCTGATTCTGACGGTAAATGGAATGAAACTTCTAATTTATTATTACTATTTCTTCTTTTCGATGTCCAGGAAGGTCCCTTTTTCAAAATACTTTGATCTGGATGGCCACCATTTGGAGACGCATCATCATCGGTATTTCTGATAAATTTCGAATTTGTTGTTAAATCTTCTATTGATTCAAGAGTATTGAGGGATTTATTTTCATTGTTAGTGATGTTTGATTTAAGTTTCCATTTATGTTCCTTATCATCAAGTATCATATTCCCATATTCTGTAGGTAAATTTTCATCAGGCATGAGTCTTCCTTTAATCACATTCGATTTTTGATTCGGTTGTGAGTTCGATTGGGCCAAACGCAATTGAGAAGCATTTTTCCATCTAATGATTTCTTCATATGTAGCATCTTTATCTTGTAAATCAAAAGCAGTGGAATTCTGTTCCGCCATAGGACTCAAAATATCAGCACGAAGAACCTTGTTCTCTTCCTGAGCATGGGTATTGAAGATACGTACTTTCTCTTGGACTTTGCTATCTATAGGTTTATGTGGACTTTTCAATCTACTCTTTGTGTATCTATAAAAATCTAGCTTGGCACCATTGTGTTCTTTAGCATTTACCAGTTGTTCGTTCTTCTCCAAGCTGTTCTCCTCGTTATTGTCATCTTCTCCGTCAAAAGTATATTCTGAACCACTATGTGAAGATTGATATGGTGATTCCGTGTGATCGATGCTTTCTTTAGTATATGATGTATAATTCTTACTCATATTATCACTATCGTCAATCTTTTTAATATCACCATCATCATTCCCAAGCGATTCAAATCCACTAGTATAAGAAGCATATTCATTTTCACTTCCAACCTCATCCTCAATATGAGAGATTAACTTATTCGTTTTTGGTGTTGAAGTTGCAGTAGTTTGAGATCCTAATTTTGATTCATTGAAATTTGTACTATTTGACAATGTAAACCCTCTTCGTTTTATATTTTTGAATACATTGTCTGCATTCTTTTTATAGAAATCTTCATTATATGCTCCTGATTTTACAAAATTCTTAATACCTAAAGGATGATTCTCTTCATTTTTATTAGTGGATGATGGCCTACTAGGATTATTCTTGACTTCATTGATAGGAGTATTCATGTTTGATTTACCTTGTAGTTGTTCAAGTACTCCATTCAATCTTTCTTTAGTGTAGGTATCATATTGGGCATGATATAATTTCAATGGAGATTCTGGATTATTCAGTCTTGCTGGAGTCCTGCTCTTATCTTGTTCGAGAATATTTTCCAATTGTGTTGAATTCTCTTGGCTCAATTCTTTAGGAATACTCATTTGTTTAGTTATCATTGGTGTGGATATGTTTGTGGTGGTTGAGAGGGACTTGTTATTATGATTGTTATTACTCTCATCGTGAGAATCCATGGTATGAAATATATTTTGCATATTGTTAACGGGTTTACTATTCTGATTGTATTCATTGTTTACTCGTTTCCATGCGGGTGTTTCAGCCGATTGTAATTGTGAATGATGAATGATTGTATTGATACTACCAAGCTCTTTGTCAAAGTTAAATGAACTGAATTGAGGTTGGCTTGATCGTTTTGTTATTCTTACGGAAGAATTAAACTCCGATTCTCCTATTGGTTTTGGAGGACCATCTACGGAATACTTAAACTCGTCAGTATTTTGAGTGGGCCATTTGTCGTGTAATCCGTCAGGCATCCATGGAGGAGTGGCGCCCAGATTTGGTTTTTGTATAGTACTTGTCTTGAATGGTGGAGTATTTTCATTCTCTTCTTGTTGTGAGTTTTGACGTTGTAGCTGTTGTTGTAGAAGCTGGTTCTGTTGCTGTTGGTATTGGGATTGCGAATGCTCGCTTGTTGTCTCATCATCACTGACCATTGCAATTAATGAATTCTTGGTTTTAGCATTTGGATGAGATTTGTATTGGAAAGTATTTGGAACTGAAGGACCAGGTGAATCAAAAGTACGTTCTACAAACATTGAGCTTCTATTTCCAGAAAAATCGTGATTAGGAATATATTTCAAATGGTTTTGATAACCTCCATTGGATGGTTTGATATGTTCTGGTGATGATTGATCCAATATGGAAAGATTTGTTGGTTCTGAATTATTGGTTGGATATTCTGGAATCACTTGAAGTAAATGACCGTTATTGGAAGGGTGTGTGAATTCATTCTGTTTCTCCATAGTTTCAACCCTATCAGTGGCTGATGTAGGTGTATTTTCATCGGTGATATGGTTGACGCTGTGATCACTTTTGTTTGTTTGAGGATAACTGGCTACATCACTAAGTTTAGTTTCTTGAATAAAGGTGTTGATATCCATTCCTCCCATACTAACAACAGATGATGGAGCTTCCAGTACAACTCTAGTTGTCATTTGTAAAGCTTTCTTCTTTCTCTATACGGCCTTTTAAAAGTTCAAAGGTTACTGTTAAGAAAGGGTGTTGTAAAAAAAGGATCTATTGTTTACATTTTTCTGTTTTTGTTTTGTTTGTGGTTTTGAAAAAAACAAACGACATTTTCGGATCAGAGACATTTTTCAACAACGAAAAAGGAGACATTCTTGATCTGGAATAAACTGTCACAAAACCTGGCAGCTAATAACTCCGTGGTGGTCTGTTATGGAAGCTTTCAAGATCAATATCAAGACTTTAAGAAATGGTATTAATCAAGGGAGATATCCAAATGGGAGTGTGTGTAAATGTAAGCTATAAAAGAACTCCAGGTTTATGATACAGCTTACATTGATTGTAATCTCAATTTGACCAACGGAATTCTCGATTTCTCTCCGCCTGTCACAGGTTTGACTACATTCGCGCTATAGTTGTGACACCGCCCACCAATCAAAAAGAACGGTTTTTTGTGTAATGAAAAATATCTTCTACATTCACTAAACTTCACTTGAGTTAGGATAAGTATATATTGTAAGTATCATGAAAGTAAGGTATTTTCTAAAACCATATGGGAATGATCATTTATATAAAAAAAGGTCAAAAAGCCCCGTTAAAACACATAGTTACCCAGTAAAAGCGTTTATTCACGGTTCGTCGTTTTGTTTTGTGTAATATCCATGGTAAAAAAATATTATTTTTTATTTAAAATCCCATTGTTCTTCATGCAAGTTTATGCACAAATCTTTTGTTTTGCGTGTACTGTTCAAATTTTTATTTTTTTTGTGGGTATTTACAGATCGTCGACAAAAAAAGATTTGTTTTGATTTATTCACCACTTTTCTTTCTTCCTTTTCTTAACAAATACCACTTATTTAGAGTCAATTAACATCAATCCATCAAATAATGACATTAATCAATCACTGGGAAGAACGCAGGATGTCTATATGCACTTTTTTTGGTGCAACAGATACGTTTTTCAAAAATTGGAATAGTTAAGTGTATTTTGATAGTTTTTTGATAATTTAGGAGAGATAACTTCACAGAAACTTCCATCTTCCAGAGAACTACATACTACCAGCCCTGTTTAACACTTAATATTGCCGTAACTACTTCTTTAACAAGTTGTTCTTCTAGTTTTAGTTTTAATGGAGCCTTCATCGTCGATTTTTCTATATTTATAGGCTGTTTTCTCTCCATTTATTGAAAATCCCCAATCTCTCATGACAGATTGAAGTAGAAATGACATTTTGTTGTCCAATGAGATGGAAATGCGATTACTGGGACGTATGTTAGCATGTTGTATGTGTATGCTCGCATGTTTGTATGTCTTTGCATGTTTTCTAGCACATTTAAGTATGTTCCGGATGTTTCAGGATGTTTCCTGGCACATTGAGGTATGTTTCCGTATGCTTTGGATGTTTCTACGTATGTTTAGTATGTTTAAAATGGATGTTTCTATATGCTTTTGATTTAACTTCATCACTTTACAGTGTTTGTCTTAGTATTTTACAGATTTTTTTCACACTTAACACTTTTTCTACTAACACTGAACGAGAAGATTATTTTTTGAGCTTTACTATTGCTCGTTGTTCTTTTTCTAAAAAATAATTTTATTTTTTATGCTTTTGTGTAACAAAAATGCGACGAACGGTGAATAAAACATTTTGGGGCATAGTTACCGTATATTGACTGTTATCTATTAAAACGTTAAATAGTGAAAGATTGGATCTTCTTTTTTTCGCAACCACACGACAATTTCGATGCAACGCATTATCAGAGAATACTTATGAAAACACAGCTCAATAAGAGAATTGGTTGGAGGAAAGTATTCATTTCTATTGGATAGTTGTCTTATGATATTTTTAATTTACCATTTGAATAAAATATAAACTTGTAATTGCAATTAATTTGTATGGCTGAGAATTTATTTATTTATTTCTCTGATCATCTTCTTTTTCTTCTTCCCCCATATTTCATTTTATTTAAAACAATCCCCCTTTTAAAAAAAATATTAAGCAGAGAAGAATTCCATCAAGTTAAAAAATTAAAACACAAAAAAAAAAAAAGAGAAAAACCTCAAAATTCTCTTTAATTTAATCATTTTCATTTTCAATCATTTCATTCAACTTCCTTTTGATTATTAATATTTTTCAATTGATTTAGAAATTATCAATTTGGTGATTTTTTGTGTTTTTTAGTTGAAATTAGTTGACTTGATTGGTACAACTATATTTAAAGTCATTTGTTTTAACCCAACCCATATTTTTGGCAGTGCTGCTTTTTTTTTTATTGTGTTTTTGGTTACTTAAACTGATTTTTCATTTTTAATTTTATATTTTAATTTATTTGTATTTCAAGTTAAAGTTGAATTGATTTTATTGATGTGTTTTTAAAAAGGATTGAATTTGAAAGTTTTGTTAACCCTCATTTATTTTAAATATACAATCCCCCCCATATTATTAGTATATTACTGCATTTAAGTATATCCCCTAAAGGCCATTGATAACAGATACATTTCATTTGACAAGGCAGAATGTCATATATATCCAATCAAGATGATTATCATACATCATCAAGTTCAAATACAGCCCAGTCCTTAGCATCAAACTATCAAGGTTCTACTACAACTAGTACAGAACAACCACCACAACTGCTGCCACAACTGCTGCCACAGCAGCAACAACAAGTACAATCTCAATCTCCTATGGTTAATCCTGGATCTGCTCCTAATACCCCTACAAGAACTACTACAGTCCCTAAAGCTACAATTAACCCCAGTGCTACCACATCAAATACTGCAAGTCATCAACATCAACAGGAACAAGAATTATTATCTGGTTATACAGTGCCTAACCCTCCTGTATCAACTCAACAATCAAGTGTTATAGCTGCCGCAGCTGCTGCTGCATCCACATCTGAATTAGATCAATCTCCTACTGGTCCTAACGCTGGTGAAATTGAAAAACCAAGGACGTTATGGATGGGAGATTTAGATCCTTGGTTAGATGAACAAGGAATTGTTGATCTTTGGTGGAATATACTACAAAAGAAAGTTACAGTTAAAATAATAAGACCTAAAATAACTAAACCTGATCCTAATTATCAAGGTTTAACTAATTCAGGATATTGCTTTGTAGAATTTGAATCTTTTGAAGATGCTCAACAAGCCCTTTCATTAAATGGACAATTATTACCTGATGTTGCCATGCCATCACAACAAAATTTCCCAAATAATCCAGATAATCAAAAGAAATATTTCCGATTGAATTGGGCAAGTGGTGCAACATTAACCGCTCCAATTGTTCAATCTCCTGAATATTCATTATTTGTTGGTGATTTATCAGCATCAACTACTGAAGCTCATTTATTAGCATTCTTTCAGAAAAATTTCCCCAATTCAATTAAAACTGTCAGAGTTATGACTGATCCAATATCTGGAAAATCAAGATGTTTTGGATTTGTTAGATTTACTGATGAACTGGAAAGACAAAGAGCATTGGTTGAAATGAATGGGGTTTGGTTTGCAGGTAGACCATTAAGAGTTGCATTAGCAACTCCTAGAACTAATACCAGAAATAAATATTTAAACCCTCAACAGCAACAACAACAAGATTATGGTTTAGGTCTTGGAGGTCCACCTCCTGGATCGGGTGCACCACCACCTTCTCAAGCACCTCCAAATGTTGGACAACAAGAAATGATGTATATGTCACCCGTGCCTCCTCCAATGCCTCCACCAAGTGGATCAGGACAAATGAGAAATGCTCCTTTGTATGGATATTATGGAAATCAACAATCTCTAGATATGTTACAACAACAAGCCGAAATGGAAGCATATGGTGGTGGTGGAGTTGGAGGTGGTGGAGGAATGGGGATGGACTTAATGACAAGTCCTTCACAGCAATTGTCACAACAATTAGGTCCTGGTGGTCAATCAAATGCTCAACAGCCATTTGCTGATCCTAATAACACCACAGTTTTTGTCGGTGGATTATCTTCGGAAGTCACTGAACCTACATTATTCACATTATTTAAACCGTTTGGAATTATTCAACAAGTGAAAATCCCTCCCGGGAAGAATTGTGGATTTGTGAAATATTCAACTCGAGAAGAAGCTGAAGAAGCCATTGCTGCAATGCAAGGATTCATCATCGGTGGGAATAGAGTTAGATTAAGTTGGGGACGAGTTTCAGCCGCTAATAAGAAATTCCAACAACAACAACAGCTGCAACAACAACATCACCATCATCAACAACAACAACAGCAAGTTGCACAAATGCAAGTCGCAGCCGCATTATCAATGGGATTAGATCCAAATATGGCAGCAGCAATGGGTGTTCCATATCCCCCACCACCAATTCCTCCACAGGGAAGTGCTGGCGGTGGACCGCCCCCACCACAAATGGGTTCAATGCCTACTCATCCAATGGGTATGCCCCATCCTCCACCAACATCCATACACCATCCATTCCAAGACATGTCAAAAGATTCCGATTCGTCCTATGATTCAAGAAATACAGCATTGTCTCCACCGTTTTATATCCCTCTACATGGACATCCACCACCACCTCCTCCTCCACATCATAGTGGTCCTCCTCCTCCACATGGAATTCATGCTGGTCCGCCTATGGAGTTTATGTATCCTCCAACTGTCCCCGATGAAGATTTTATCAATGCGATGAGAGGGGTGAATTTGGATGATAGTGAGTATGTTGATGAAAGTGGAAGATATTCGCGGTTTGAAGAGCAGGATGATGGGGGAAGTGGGGGAGAAGATAATGATGGAGGGAATGATGGGTTGGAAACCCAACAAGAGAATGGAAATGATGAGAATAAGGAATAGTGTTGATTATATGGTGGATATTTGATTTTTTTATTCATGTTTGATTTTATGTTTTATAATAATGATAATAATGATGATGAAAATTTTTCTTTTTATTAATTTATTAACTTATTGTGTGTTTTTGGAATGGTGATGATGGTGATTATTTATCTAATGATTTTTAAGGTGATGTTTTATTTGAATTAGTTTTCGCTACATTGATATTTGATTTTTTGATTTTTATAATATTTGTATATTTGTTTTTGGTTACCTACAATTTGTTTCATTTACTTTTTGATTATCTATCTTGTTTGTTTTGTCTTTTATTGTTTTGTTATATATATAGGAAAGAATTTGATTTACTTTTACGACTGTTTCTTAGAGTTGTGGGCGGGATTGGTTGTGTAACCATTGCTTTCAACAGAACGGCGCTTATAGGTGCAATGTTTCAATATCGGTGGCTGTATCGGGATTCTAGGCACAGCTCACAAAGAAACTACACAATAAACTGGAAGAGAATATAGATATTGGCCCATTCGAGATTAATTGGGTTCTGTCACGAGTAGGCTGTTTTTCAAGCGGTTTTCACGATGCTTGCGCTGATCTTCTTTTCTACATTCTCTGTTGCAACTTTCATATTGCCACACGCTGAGATTGAAGGACAGCATTGAATCCGGTTGTTCAGACTCGGTGGCAATTTCTCTAGTTAGCTCTACTTGCTCGTTTAGTTGCCACCCCTTTCCCTTAAACTACAAACGGTACAAATACACGCTTCTACAAACGCCCCCATTATACTCAAGAAACAAAACTTATCATTCAAATAAGACTAAGCAATATAAAGAAATAAAAGGAAACTAACCGTTTGGTAAGATAAAATAACGAGAAATTATACAATAAAATTACTTATAACCAAATAACCAAAAATACAAAAAACACCAGATAAAGGGATAACCAATCTAAAAATCAGGGTAATCAAATTCCCTAAGATCTTTCACCTCTTAATCTTCTTGCTAATTGAATATCTTTCTTTTGAATAGTGACTCTCTTGGCATGAATAGCACACAAGTTTGTATCTTCAAATAAGGAAACTAAATAAGCTTCAACAGCTTCTTGTAAAGCACCAATAGCACTACTTTGGAATCTTAAATCAGATTTGAAATCTTGAGCAATTTCTCTAACTAATCTTTGAAATGGTAATTTTCTAATCAATAATTCAGTAGATTTTTGAAATCTTCTAATTTCTCTTAAAGCAACAGTACCTGGCTTATATCTATGAGGTTTCTTGACACCACCAGAAACTGGAGCTGACTTTCTTGCTGCCTTGGAGGCAAGTTGTTTTCTTGGAGCCTTACCACCAGTAGACTTTCTTGCTGTTTGTTTAGTTCTAGCCATCTTTGTTGTTGTATATTAAATTTGTGTATCAAACTTAAAGAGAAAAGAAAAAGATCTAGAAAAAAAAAGGGGGTGGAAATGGTGATAGTTTTGAAGATTTTTGTATTAAGAAATTGTGTGTGTACTAACCAGAAACTCGTGGTGGTAAGGAAGTGAGAGTAAGTTGAATTGTGTGAGTGAGGCAATTTAGTTTTGGTCACATGATTATAAAATCCTGCCTTATATAAATGTCATGCCAAAAATGATGGTAAGAAAAAATCATTTTTTATTGTTGACTTGAGAATTGCGTAGTTTAATTAGTGTAGGACAGAAAATCAGATTTTTTTTTCTGTTGCTCCATTTTTTATTTAATTTAATTTAACCGAGACAGAAAAAATATTATAAATATGACTTCCTAATCGGGAAAGGTGATTGCAACTTTGACAACCTTGCTAGAATATACCTTCTTGTCTTCTTAAGAGCTTACAAACTATTACTGAGAGTTGCTTTACTAAGCAAATCACCCTGGAGGCTATTGAGTGATGCTTCTACTTATTTCTCTATTGTAGTAACTATTTTCTGACACAAGTAAGCGATTGTGAATTTTTTTGAAGATTTTTGATCAAAAAGTGTGCTTGTTCGAGGTTTGGCCAGTTTAAATCTTCCACATGTAATACAAGTGGATAGAAAGCTGGTTTATAATACCGATAAAGTACTGCTATATTGTAAAATATTTTGAATATTTCTTAAAAAGATACTCGACTTTTCAGGCTGTTTGTCAACAACCTTTCACATGTCACATATTGAGGTCAGGCATATCTCAAAATATAAAGAAAGGAGGAATATTTGTAGCTTTACAAATAGAATTGCGTTTCAGTTTAGTATTCGAAGCTACCATTTTCAAGTAGTTAGTGCCTACTAGGAGTATTTCATTTGATGAGAGAAATATTTACTGGTCAACTCAAGCGCAGTCTGTTAGCAATTTTCGAACTTGATTAAACATTAAAATATGCTGCTACAAATTTAATCCACTTTATCACCGAATGATATCTCATTAAAAGACTAGTTAATAAAAAGACTATACATGACCAACGAGAAAGAACCTATCAAGCGTATTGTACTTCAAATAAGCGAGGGGCCCTTTGAAATCCTTGAACAGTCTCCTCTCCTGTCATCTGTGCAATATAATATACAAAATAAAAAATAACATGCAAGAACAGTTGAAACCTAACTTCTGTACCATAATCTTGTGATTCTTGTACTCATCATCTTCTTTTGTAATTGGAAAACACCATACATCAAAGCTTCAGCAGTTGGAGGACAACCTGGAACATAAATATCAACAGGTACAATTCTATCACATCCTCTAACAACAGAATAAGAATAATGGTAATAACCACCACCATTAGCACAAGAACCCATAGAAATAACCCATCTTGGATCTGGCATTTGATCATAAACTTGTCTCAAAGCTGGAGCCATCTTATTAGTTAAAGTACCTGCAACAATCATAATATCCGATTGACGTGGAGAAGCTCTGAAAATAATACCCAATCTATCTTGATCATATCTTGGAGCAGAGACATGCATCATTTCGACGGCACAACAAGCTAAACCGAAAGTAACTGGCCAAAATGAGGATTTTCTAGCCCAGTTTGCAATCATATCTAATGAAGTTAATGCATAATCAATAGGACTTGAAGCCGTCTTTTCTGACATTAATGGGAAATCAGTAGCTAATGGTTTTGGAGTTAATTCTTTTGTAGAAACATAACGAGTAGCAGTATATGGAATGACTGATAATGGTTTCAAGTGTCCTACTTGATTTAACATGGATTTTCTGACTATTGAGTACATTATGTGTGTGTGTTTATATATGTATATGATGATAAATAAAATGAAGTCTAAATGATACAGACTTTTGATTTTAGAATAAATTAAAGGTGAATTAGAATTACAATTGGGTTCGTGGGGGGATGTATAACTCAACTTCTTCAAAACGTTTGAACCTACTTTTCTTTCTATTGATGGTTACTTTTTTTCACCTCTGTTTTTTTTTTGGTTTAGTGGGAAGAAAAAGTGATCAGCAAAAATTTATTGATGGTGATTGGATACGACATTTTTAACTGGTGGAATATCGCGCGACATTGTCTACTAATTATGGATTTACATATTGAATGGGAGAAATCATTGGGGCTATATATATAACCTTGGCTCTTAAATCTATTCTAACTTATAATACAAAGATTTAACTAAGGAGAGCAGGAAGTATTTTCTTTAAGCATGTTGAACAGTTTAGAGAAACCTTTAAATTTTTCAGTTTCGTTTCGTTTTTAGACCATTCAATAAATATTGATTAACCACTATGCTTAGGAGGGTATCCTCCTCTTCTATCAACGACTGTCAGACGAGCTTTATTGAATTATTCCATCTAAATATTGCTTGATTCTTTCTAATATATCTTGTTTAACATCTTCCGGTACCAATTCTTCTGCTTTTGGTTTTACAAATGAAAACAATTGATCAAAATTTTGTTCATTTTCATTCAATTCTCGATTAGCAATTTGTGATACTTTATCAAACCATCCTGATTCATATAATTGTAATTTTAGTTGTTTATTTATTAAATCATAATTTCCTGATGATATTAAATGTTCTTGAATCTTTGCTTTTATTTGATTTAATTCTTCTTGTTCTTTTGTCATGATCTGATATTAAGTGCTTTCTGGTTGAAGTTATACAGAGTTTGGTGTTGACTGTTTAGTGTACTTGCAATGATATGTTTGTGTACAAGCACTTGTATTGGTGGTCTTTTTGGGGGATGATGCAACAAGATTTTCTTGGTGCTTCGATGTTTGCATTCAAGCGAATTTGCGAATTTGGTGAACAATTTCTTCTTTGCGAATTTGGTGAACAATTTCGAATGCAAAACCTCCTTTCCATTTCCAAATAAATTAAAATATTCCAATTGCTTTATCAAATGATAGAAGTCTATTTAAATGATTGCTCCGAACAAGCTTTGTTAGGGATGTACACGGTCATGTCTAACAAATATTTGTTCTTATTTGACTTGCAATCAATAGCAAGTGTTAACTATTCGGTTGCTGATTTTTTCTTGTGCCCAAGCGACGACCCCCTATCAAATCTACATTCTTCACGCTTTATGTTTAAATTAGTTTCAAAATCATTAAGATTTATCCGTCGTCGTTCAATGGCTTCTTCAATCGTTAAAGCATCTCCATTTAAGGCTAAGATTACTTCAATTGAACCTCTTGAACAAGGAAAATGGATTCAAACAAGAAAAATCAATTATCAAGACCCTGATGGTAAAGATCGGGAATGGGAAATGGCAGTAAGGGTAACTAGAAGTGAAACAACTAATATTGATGCAGTATCTATTGTGTCTGTATTACATAGTGAAACAAAACCAAAACAAATTGTTCTTGTTAAACAATTTCGTCCACCTACTGAAAAGGTTATAATTGAATTACCAGCAGGATTAATTGATCCTCATGAAACAATTGAATCTACTGCTGTTAGAGAATTAATTGAAGAAACTGGATATCATGGTACCTTTAGAAAGAAGTCTAGAGTAATGTTTAGTGATCCAGGATTAACTAATGCCAATATGGTTTTAGCATACGTTGATGTTGATTTAAATGATCCAAAGAATCAAAATCCTCAACCTCAATTAGAACCTGGGGAATATATAATTACATTTACTTTACCTTTAGATAATTTATTAGAAGAATTGGAAACAATAATGAAACAAGAAGATTGTAATGTTGATGCGAGATTGTATCATTTTGCTGTTGGTTTAGAATTAGCAAAACAATATTTGTAAAATCCCCACACCCTACAAATCAACTCAGCCCAACCCAACCTCCAAAACCATATAATCTATTCTATAAATTGATAGTTAAGTAAGTAATTTAGAAGGGTATACAGACACCACCAGAAAAAAGAATTCTTATATAAAGTCAATCCCCAAACTTTTCAATTTTTCTTTCCGAGAGTAATTTAATTTAATTTTTGTTGACTCTTTTTCTTTCTTGATTCAAATATAATTAATTATGACAGATAACAATAACGACAACGAACCCAAAATCTGTTGTTTCTGTTTAGGAACTGAAACTGATATCCCACCCTTTGGTGAATTAAAAGATGGAAAAGATTTCCTTCATCCATGTTCTACTTGTTCATTGATTGCCCATAGAAAATGNGATATCCCACCCTTTGGTGAATTAAAAGATGGAAAAGATTTCCTTCATCCATGTTCTACTTGTTCATTGATTGCCCATAGAAAATGTTTATTAGATTGGTTCAATTCAATCCCGGTAGATAAATTACATATAGTACATACAAGACATGGAGAAATACGTCTGAGACCAAGATCACTGGGTGATGCCCATATGGATGATATTGGTGTGGGGGCACCGGCACCACAGGAAAATCTGAATCATATAAACATAAATATATCTTCACGGGCAATTTCCAATTGGTTACGAAGTATGTCCAGTAATGGAAACAACAATGACACTCATGGTGAAGAAAATACCGACAATGAAAGCGACCACGATTTTAGTAATGAAATAGATAGACTTATTCCAATACCAGGTTCATATCCCGAAAGTGAAGATCACATGTCTCCACCACCTGGCCCCAATTATGAATTACGTAAATATTTACACCTTCGTCCTAAAAGCAAGAAAGATGATTATCTTGCCTATATTGTGGCACCTTGTCCTCAATGTAAACAAGACATTATATTTACAATGTATAAATCCAAATTATTAGCATTCCATACCCGTATTAAATCAATGATAACCACTACTATTGAATCAACAGGGATATTTGTGGTTATTACTTCGGCAATCACGGGTATTCTCTCAATGGGATATATCGGATTAACTTCATGTGGAATGAAAATGATGGATTGTATAGTCCCAGGTCCATTATTAGTACAAACCTTAAGAGTAAATGATCAAAATTCTTATGGTCCATTATCTCGATTATTGTTTGGAAATCCAAGTAGTTATTCAATTGATAATTTGGAACAAGCATTAGCAAAGGGACTTATTGATCCAATTAAGTTTTCTCGTATGCCACTTTTGCCACTTGTGTTATATCGTGCAAGATGTTCTTCGATTTTGGATTGTTTCTTTGGGAAAAATAGAGCAAATTCATGGTATACAGAATTAATGATTGCCGGATATTTTTCATCTTGGGGTAATCATGAATTACTAAAGGGGATATTCCGTAATTTAAAAAATCAATCGATAGACATTTTCAAGAAACCAAGTTTAGCATTAAATGGAATAAATCTATTGAAAGGAATTAATTTATGGAAAACCAACAATATAATCTCGATGTTAGTCCCATTGCGTTGGGTGTACGATATAATCTACAGGTTGACCATAAACCGAGCATACTTCCAAATGACTTTGTCCACCCGTCCTCGAGATATTGCCAATCGATCAACTGCTGAACAATTTGAAAAATTAGAAAAACTTAGAAGTGATACGATAGAATTATCTGTACGTCTCAGCGAGGCCAGCTCATTATGTTCCGAACATGTCAAGATGCAGACAAAGGATTTCTTCATTAACAAAATACCCATTATCTCGTCTGTCTATAAATATATTAAAAGCAAGATTATGTTTTTTAGGCATTTTGGATCTTATTCGTTTTATTATACCAGGATGAGAATGTTTTTGGGGTTACATTATACATTAGCAAGTTTTAGAAATGATTATTCAACAAGTTGGACAGTTCAATCAAGAACAATGTTTGCATTAACCACGATACTATGGCCATATATCTCCTCGAAAGTAGGTAGTATCCTTGCACCCTTAGTTTCAAAATATCTAGTCAACCAAAAACTCATCCCTGAGAAACATATCTTGTTGAGTAATATAGCTGGTCTTGTCACAGTCGCAATCATTAGTGAATTGATAAAATTCTATCTTTCCAGAATAAAAGCAAAACAAATGACACAAATCAATGCCCTAAGTTTCGATAATGTGGAAGATATAAGAGAAATCACCCAGAGGATATATGGTGGTTTGCAAGATGAAACGGATCATTATGAAAGTGAAGAAGAAGACGACGACGAACATTATCGTCATTATGATTACGATAATGATGATTACGACGATGATGATTATCCTCATGACGGGCATCGTCTTAGCTTTATTCTTGAAGATGATGATGGTTCGGACGAGGAAGCGGACATCGAATTGGCGGGATTTAGAGCAGCATTTGCAACAGCATTTTAGTTGGTTTGTTTGTACGAGTTCATGAATATATTTGCGTCGATTGTAGATTTATTTTATTAGCATTTTGTAGTTTGTATCTATGTACCGATTTAGCATTGATCGATACCAATGCACAAACCCTCGCTCGTCAAAATTTAGTTAAATCTATAGTGGAAATACAGAAGTTAATTATAATAAAAATACATACTTAGAATACATACATGTACAAAAAAATGATATAAAGCGTTTCAAACAAAAAAAATATTAAAGTCTCTCATTGCAGTCCTTTTTAAAAAACTTACCATTTACAATCATGAATTTATTCATCATCATAGTTCTCATCCTCTTCTACTTTTCTCATTGGTGGTTCAACACTTTCCTCTCCCTTCTTTTCCTTCTCCTCCTCCTCTTCATCGTCATTTGAAACTGCAGAAACTGGAGCTACTGGAGGGTTAGCTACTACAGCCGCTGGTGCTGGAGCAGGTTGTTCTGGAGAAGCTGTAGCTACTGGTACTGCCACAGGAGTTGCTTCCTTAGGAGTTGCTGATCTCTCTTTCTGTGTTTCATTTTCAACTTTGCCAGTCACATTTGATGAGAATTGAGGAACAGAAGTATTGGCTATTGGCGTTTCTTCCTTTTGCGGTTCACCATTAGAAACTGGTGTTGCTTCTTTAACAACCGCTGGAGAAACGTGTGACGCAACAGGAGAAACTGATTTCTTAGCTGCAGCTGCAGCAGCGGCCGCAGCGTGTTCTTCTTGTTGTTGCTGTTGTTGTTCTGCATCAGCCCTAGCTACCGCATTAGCAGCATTCATTAATGAGCTTAACGAATTTCCATTGTGTGATTCAGTAGCTGGTTTCTTAATCACCTTATCATCAGTCTTATCTTCCAATTCACGCTTAACATTGAGTTCCTGTGTTGGCTGGTGTTGGACAGGTTGTGTAGCTGGTTGCATTTGCACAGTTGGAGAAGATGATTTACTCACCTCTTGACCAGTTGGGGTAGCTTCCACAGTTGAATCACTTGCAGCTGGTGCCGGGCCTGGCGCTGGGGATACCTTCACAACAGGTTGTGATACTGGTTGAAGCTGTGATTGAATGGTGTTAGGCTGTGGATATGAAGCTGGTTGGATAGTTGGTTGAGCTGATGGATCATTTAATTTGGCCGGGTTAGAACTCGGAGTTTCTTGTTGTTGAACCTGTGGGATTGCAACTGGTTGGATTGGTTGTTGTGGTTGTTGTTGAGCAGCTGGGTTGTTTATTTGCAGAAGAGTTGGAGGAACTGATTGATGAGGGGCACTTTGGTGAATGGGCTGTTGTTGTTGTTGTTGTGGCTGTTGTTGTTGCACTTGTTGTTGAGCTGGTGGTTGTAATTGTGGTCCCATTGGTACGGCATTTGCGCTCGGTGGTTGCAATGGATGAGAAAGCATGTGTGCTGGTTGCTGTTGTTGTTGTGGAGGTGGAGGTGGTAACTGTTGAGAAACTTGTCCTGCCATCAATTGCGGTGGAGGTGGGCCTTGTTGATTACCAATTTGTGGTCTTGGTGGCTGTTGTTGAACAAGTTGCTGCTGTTGTTGTTGTTGCTGTTGTTGTTGTTGCGGTTGCTGCTGCTGCTGTTGCTGAGGTTGCTGTTGAGGAGGTTGGTTACTTTCTAATACCATGCTTTGAGGCAACCTTGGCTGTTGAGAAACTGGTGGTGGTTGAGGAGGATGAGTGTTACCTTCTTGTTGATATTTGATCAATTGGTCCAATCTAGCTTTGATGTGAGGATTACCAGGATCTAATCTTTCCGCTTGTCTGTAGGCATCCAAAGCATCACTAATTTGATTATTACAAGTTTCATATAAAGTACCCAAATCATACCAAACTTCACTAATGTAAGGATTTAATCTAATGGCTCTAGTATAAGCATCTAAAGCATCACGATATTGACTGATTTGATAATACAAAACCCCAATTGAACACCAGAAGGTTGGATTTCTTGAATCACGATTCACGGCTTGTTGGAACGCTTCATAGGCAGCATTAAAATCTCCTCTAATCATATGTACTCTACCTAAATAATACCAAGAATGTGCGTCGCTTTGATCAATTTCCAAAGATTGACTTAAATACTTCAAAGCAATGTTTAGATCTTGTTGAAATGGTGGTTGACCATGAGCACCAGATCTTGGAGTTGGTGGGTTCGATTCAGCTTGAGAATAAAGGCAACCTAATTGTTGCAATACTTTAGCATGTTGTGGATTCACTTGTAATACTTTTTCGTATGCTTCTTTCGCACCCATCCAATCTTTCTGTTGTTCTAATACTGACCCAATTTGGAACCAAACATCTGGTTGAGTTAATGGATGAGGTGGATTATTCAAAATATATTGGAAACATTCTAGAGCCAGTTGTAATTTACCTTGATGTTTATAAATAATCCCTAATCTGAAATAAATCTCATTTGCTTTATCGAAATTAGGATCTAATTCTAAAACTCTTACAAACGCTTCTTCTGCATATTCTAATGAACCATATCTATCATATAAGATACCAATACCATGCCATAATTTGGGAACATTTGGATTATCTAAATAGTACAAAGCACGTTGATAAGCAGCATATGCTCTTTGTAAATCATCCAACATTAAATAACAATGACCTAATAGACCCCAAGTTTCACCATTTTCAGGATTGAAATTCAAAGCTTGTTCATACAATTCAGCAGCCTTGAAAAATACATCTTTTGAACGATATATGTTGGCTAATTTGATAAGAGCATCTGGATTATTTGGAGAATGTCTTAAAGCGGAATCATAAGAAGTCAATGCTCTTTCCATATCTCCTAAACTTTCAGCTAAAGAACCAATGGCTAACCAAGTGGCAGCAGTTGTCTCTGCAAGAATATTGGTAGGACCAGCTTGTTGTTGTTGAGCGTCATTGGCCGCAACGACGGCAGCTGCTGCTGTAATTAATCCGGGCACCCCTTGTTGTTGAGCTTGTTGTTGGCTGAGAGCTGCTGCTTGGTGGATTGCTCCATTCAAAGGTTGTTTACCACCCACAGCTGCTAATTGTGCAGGATGTTGCGCGGCGTACATATTTTGTTATTGTCGTTGATATTATTGATAAATAATGTCTGTCTGAAATGTCAATCCACAAGTGATTTGAAACTCTTGTTGTTAATTGCTAATACAAAAAAAAATAAACTAACCAGATTATTATATAACAAACAAAAACAAAAAAACGTTGTTATGTGTGGTTGGTGGTTCTTCTTTGAAAATGTCTGTCAAAATAAAAAATCTCTACTAAACCGATTTGTTTTCAGCTTTTTGTCTGTCTGTCTGTCTGACTTGTTTGACTTTAAGTTGTATCTTTTTTTGATATGTAGATGGATGTGTTTTAAAAGAAAAAGAAAACAAGTTTATGAAAAAAAAAAAAGAAGACTGGAGAGTGACAAGAAAGTAAAAGGATCCCAAAAAAAAAAAACTTGAATTTTGGAACCCACAGGAGGAGCGAAACAAACAACGAAATATCATAATTCAATTTTAAATTAACGTAAATGGAAAAAGACAGACAAAAAAAAAAAAACAGGGAACAAAGTTAAAAAATATTTAAAAAAGAAAAAATAGCGAAAAAAAAATACAAAAAATAAAAATAAAATTGACAACCGACCATGCCAAAAAAAAAAAAATATTATAGGAACCCTCACAAAAAAGGAGAAGGGGGGGTGGACCAAATAACCAAAAATAGAAGGATTTTTCCTTATGATTAGCTGTTCCCAGTTGTCATAGACATGTTGGGTTGATCCTACCAACCTTAGAAATTGTCCTTCTTGCAATATCAAATGAACTCTGACTTTTGTTTTGTTTCACTACTTCGGAATTTTTGTTCGATTGTCGGATTGATCAAATGAAATTTTTTTAACTGGAATAAGAAAAAAAAAATTAAGTCAACAGGGGGTGCAAAAAAATGTTTTAACTTTTTGTTATTCATATCTCCTTCGCCCACCCACCCTCTGTGTCTATTCTTTTTATTGAGGGGATAAGCTTTTACAGCAAAATTTTGCTTAACTGTCTCCAATGCATAATGAAGGTAAGTGGAAGTAAGTTGAACGCGATTTGGAATAGCAAAATAAAATGTGGAATCTTAAGCGACATGGTGCGTACGTCATCACCCCGGATATATAAATACAGGGGGTGAGATTTTATTGGTCGGGGGTGAGATGTGTGGTAAAGTAATGGAAAACGAAAAAGAAAAAATAAATTAGCTTCGCAAATCTCCCGAATGATGAAATCACGAACAGAAAAAAAAGATTTAAACTTTCATTTACATAAGAGGGTGCAAAAAAACAACCACCATTGCCACTACCACCACCACCAAAAAAAAACACTACGCATTTACTAAAATTAAAATTCTTAGTCTTGTAAAATAAAAAAAGAAAGATGCTTTTCAAGCGGAGCAATCTAAAATGTGTCATTCAGTTCTTGAAATATATTGAAGTTATCTTAAATTGATTTAGTTTAGAAATCTTTCTCTTGACCCTTTCGCCCTTGCCACCCGTTAAAAGATAAACATGTAAATCTTGGGATTAGATTATCTATGAAAGAAAATGAACGAGATTAAAAAGATAGGCTAATTAAAATGGTCCACCAATTAAAATCGTTTCAAACTATTTAAATAGTGTTTTTAAAATTAGTTAAAATTAATTAAATGACTTTTTTCTTCTGTGTCTCATGCAAAATATCTAAAAAAAAACAATGATAATGATCTAAAGGGGGTGCAGATGAGCTTTGCACCCCTGGTTTTGATATAGATTATGAAACATGGTTGCGCGGTATCTTTTCTTTCCCCTATCGCACGACGAAACTAATAACACACCATATCTCTAGAGAATGTTCTTTCTTTGGAGGTTCAACTAATCAAATTGTTTAAGATCCATTCTATGCAAGATCTACAATGACCGTTTCAAGTCTAGTAAAGTTGCAGACAATAAAAGTAATCAAAATCCAATTACTAAAAAAAAGCGCGGCGCAAAACTATCCTTCTGTTCCGTGATGACATCTCCACCTTCTCCACTACAATTTACTCTCGGTAAATGGTCATATCCTTCGCTAACTATTTCTAAATATTGCTTGATTCTTATGGTTCTTTAGCTTCTTGCACTTATTCCCTAAAGGCTAATTGTTGCGTACTTCTAAATTCAGGTGTAAGAAAAGCAAAGATCTAGACAATAATATAGATTTCTCTTTGTGTCGTGACGAGTCATATTCTAAAAAAGAAGGTAGAAGGGAAAAAATAATAAATTAATAATTAAAATGGCACCCCCTTGACAATAAGTGGCTTTTATACAATAACAGAGAAATGGTTGCTTTTACGAACAATTAATTGTCGGTCTTAGTATCAAATTGATTTGAAATAGGCTTACTAAACATGTCGCAGTTATGTTGTCGCCGAGCACGACATCTATTGTGAGCTGCACGACATTTTTGGTTGTAAAAAAACGTCAATGTTTTTTGGTTGCTAAAAACACCATGGTCAATAGTTCTACATTGTAGTATCAATCTCACATGTTTACGCACTCACTAAATAAATATATAAATACATAGGTGTCCAACAGCATTGACCTATAAATGTTGTGGTTTATTTTTTTGACCTCTAAACCCACTATTAAATCCTAACAATTCATTAATATCTTTTGTCCAATCATTGGGTCCTTTAGTAATACACCAAATCCCCCATGATTTCTTCTTATCGAGATCAGGAGATGTTGGCACATGTTGATCCAGAACGACATGAATCTCATCACCTACTCGTAAATCATGTTGAGAAATCCCATCTATAGTTAATTCAATAGATGGATTTCTATTGGATTCTGATAATTTAATCATGATATCTGACGTGATTGGTAATATCAATGGTCTGAATGATAATGATCGTGGACAGATTGGTGTTAATAATATGCATGGTACAGCAGGATGGGTAATTGATCCACCGGCAGAAAGTGAATATGCAGTTGATCCAGTTGGTGTTGCAAATACTAATCCATCAGCAACTGTAGTTGTAAAAAATTCATCATCAATAAATATATCTAATGAAGTTAAATTTGGTAAACTACCACGATGCAATGTAATATCATTCATGGCATGAATCATTTCTCCATTTTCTTTCTTAGCTTCTGGATCTTTTCTAATCACATGACATTCCAATCTATTTCTATGTAAAGCTTTACTTCTTGATTCATAAACCATTCTAAATGTATCAAAACAATTCTTAAAATCAAATGGTAATAAAAATCCAAGAGTACCCATTGCAAATGACAATACTGGTGGAACAGAAACATTCAGGAAATAACTTACACCTCGTAAAATAGTCCCATCTCCACCTAATGTAACCATCAAATCAGTTCTTTCTACAATTTCTTTTCTGGTTCCAGTATATATTGTATGCTTGATATTTGGATCAAATATCTTAGATGTACTAATTAATTCATGAGTTAATTCATCAGCAACATCTTCACTTACAATGACATTGACAGATGGATATTCTTTATGCAAATGATTTATAAATTCAATCATTGCTTCTCGTACAGTTGTATCCCAAGGCTTTTTCACCACATATATATTTGTTGGTGGAGCTGATCTCCATATTACATTATATAATTTCCCAGTTGCTTCTTTGATATATTCAGGAAATCTCGCACTTGGTAATTCTCGACATTGTTCTATTGAAAGTAATGGTTTTGACTGCATAGTTAAGAATCGTAGCAATAACGGTGAATTGGAATATGGATTTGCTATTCGAGTAGTATTACTATTCTTAGGAATCAACCGTTTAAACATTTATTACAAGAGGGTAGAAGTTTTTTTTTTTCAAATTGTGTTGACGTGTGGTTTTATTTGAAGACGAATGATTTTTTGAATAAAATTAGGAATCCCTGGTAAGATTTTGGCAATTTTAAACTTTTGGTGCTGGTGAATTTAAATAAACTATTTAATTAGTCAAAAATTTCTTGGGAATGAGAGGAGGAGAAAAGGATCTTTGATGCAGCTGGCTCATTTTATTATTAGTTTTTCCTGAAGCGGCGCGGCATCGGTTCCAAAGAATTGTGTGACTAGGTCTGTTGAAAAAATCCTTCCGTGGTACCGCGGGGCAGATCCTATTTTGCCGCTTAAATAGTCTACGGGGGTTTGCCATTGATCAAAAGAGGTATAGGAATGGTCGGTTTTACTACGAGATATCGAGTTTTAATGATTTTAATTATAATACAAAAGATATATAGAAATAGTTCAACTAAATACTTTCATTCATCTCTCTGATTTCCTTCAATTCTTCATCAGTTAACTTGGTAGTACTAGATTCTTCCTCCTTTGGAGTAGTGGCGGTTGTAGCAGGGGCAGATTTGTGTTCAGTGACATCTTTCAGATCAATAATCATCCTATCTTCTTTATCCTTGAAATCCTCTTCATAAAACTCATTATCTGGTTGTATTGCCAGATCTCTTGCAATTTCAGATCCACCTTTAGTATCCATTGCTTCAGCTGTATCCTCTTCAATATCACCCAAATCTTCAGCATCATTAGGCACAACGTTCATTTGTACTGATGGGGCATGTTTTGTATTTTCTAAATTGGAAATAATATTGGTTAAGATTTTATCTAAGAATTCCGGAGAATTACTATTATACATATTGGATGGTCTGACATCTAATTTATAATCAGGTGCATAATATTCATAATATTCATTATATGGCAATTCAGTAGGTAAAATAACATTGTTTAATAATCCTGATTCAAATGCCCAAGTACGAGCAACATTTCTCATAGTATATCCACCACCACCTACAACCATCAAAGGGATATTAAAAGATTTAACAAAATTAATACAATTAGCATGGCCAGACATAGATAAATTAAAACAACCTAATCTATCTCCCGAAAGTGAATCACCACCACATTGTAATACAATAGCAGATGGTTGGTACCATTCAACAATTTTAGAAATCAAAGGTTCAAAAATCGATTTATAAGTAGCATCATCAATCCCATCTCTCAAGGGAACATTGACACTATGATATTTCCCCTTGCCTACTCCAATATCTCTTAATTCTCCTGTCCCGGGGAAAAATTCCCCATATTTATGAAATGAACAAGTCATAACTCTATCAGTAGTATAAAACGCTTCTTCAACTCCATCACCATGATGAACATCAATATCAATATATAAGACTCTCGGATGATATCTCAATAATTCAATTATACCCAATACAATATCATTCAAATAACAAAACCCACTGGCTTCTGATTTTTTAGCATGATGTAAACCACCAGCATAATTTATGGCAATGTCACATTTCCCTCTATTTAATCTTGCAGCCCCTTCCATAGATCCACCACCACTAATACCACAATATTCAAACAATCCATCAAAAACCGGACAATCATCCCCGACATTGAATTTAATTTGTTCTTTAGCAAATAAATCCAAATTATCAGGAGAAACACGAGATATGAAATCAATATATTCATCAGTATGAAATTGACACATTTCTTGTTTGGTTGCAGGTTTGGCTCGATAGATTTCCATTTTTTTATAAAGTCCATAATTCATGATTAATGAATGAGCCATTCTTATACGATGGGGTTTCATTGGATGACCAGCACCATAGGCATAGTTCCCAATATCGGCATCGTAGAAATAAGCGATCCGTTTCTTTTGGTTGGGGTCGACTTTTAATTCGTCAAATGGTAGTTGAACGTACATTTGGATATGTTTGTGGTTGTTGTTGTTGATTTGAAGAGGTTGGAGTTGGTGAAATTTCTTGTTGATAAAAAACCTTTCGGTCGAGAGATTTTTTTTTTTTCATCAAAACTTTAGGCGGCGGTACTAAATTGGCACTGGGGAGGCTGGAGCGAGCATTTCAAGAGAGATACCCAAGGCAGAGACGGGGGAGAGGTGATTCCCAAAAAGCCATTAATTAATATTTTTATAAATCTACACCACCGGCTATATAATTACTGGGTACGATCTCTTCTTAATCTATTCTTATAATCTCGTAATTGTTGATTTAATTGCTCTTGTAATTCAGCATTTTGACACCATCTAGCATAAGATTCTTCATTAACTCTAAAATTAACTCCATTATTAAACTCTTTACTTAGCAATGATTTATTAGTTACATTTATAGGTAATAACCAAGTTAATAAATTTGGTCCCATTACCAGTTTCCAATTTTCAACTATTCCCAAGTCATAAATATTTGTTACTTTTTTAGTATTACCAGTTTGATCAAATGAATATGTAAAACTATCATTTATACCATGATAATTCCATCTTCTTTCTTGAAATTCAATTGTAGTCAAATTATTCAAAGTTAAATAAATCAGGAATCCCGCGAATACTCCCACGGATAAACCCATTGCAATCCCTAATACACAAAGGATAATCAAATTGATTGAAAGGAATTGTTCTTGATATTTCTCTTCAAATATAAAATTATAAACAATTGCAAAACTAACAGCAAATACAAATCCACAATATATGGCCACATAGACCAAAAATTGAACAAAGAATTTATAATTAAAATATCCAATACAAGTTGAAAACCAAGGGCAATAATGATCCATTTTTAATATACATTTTCCTGAAGATGAACAATGATGACTACGATCAGGTTTCCATACTGAACATTTATTACAATATCTATATCCTTGGCTTCCACTACATTTCAAAGAATGTATAGTCATGTATTGAGTTGGAGGTTCTTCGACATTTGGTTCAACTTGATTATCATCTTGATTATAAAATGGATTATCATTTAATGCTGCAAGATTATTAATTCTTAATTCAGGATAATCTAATGGAGATCCTGGACCCATATGGATAATGCGATAATATGTCACAATACATAATGAATATAGTATAACTCCTATGAAGTTGATAATCAGTTTTGTAGTTGATGATTCTATATAATCATTGGTGGCAATGAATAGCAATACATAAATTGACCAAGTTAAGATTATTGTACAAAATACTTTAGGAAATAATGAAGCAAGAAAACAACAGAAGCTTTCTAGCGATATCATAAATGAACTCTCAGTGAATCTTAACATCGTCATTCGGTCTACCTATACATTTAGATACAACCCTCCCTTGTTGAATCAAGTTGCTGTTGCTAATTTAAATTTAGACTTCTTCGTTACAGAAGAAAATTTAATAACTGTTTTATTTTTCGGCTGGCTAGAGTTTAGACTTCGCCTGAGTTTCTCTCATTAAATTATTTTTAGTTCACTACGGAGAGAGTTACTCCAATGAATTGTAATGGCTTGCACCTTTACAACTGTAAGCATTAATGATTGAGGGATATTGTAACCCATTCGTAAAGAAAGGATGAAGGCATCTAAGGTGCGGGTAACCAATTCAATAAGAAGGGCACATACGCATAATAAACTTACAAAATATAAACTTACAATATTTCTATAAAATGCTCTAAACATCTATTCTATCAATCTAAACTTTTTTCTTCTTCTCTATGGAAGATTGTTCCTTAGGGTCGTGTTGTTGTTGTTGCTTACTCTTTAATTTAATCAAAGCTTCATATCCAATTCCTCCAAATACTAAGACTACACCTAACCATTGAGTTATATTCAATCTATGACCAAATAAAAATACACTTAGGATCATACTTAACATTTTTCTAGTTACTGTAGCTGTAATTAAAATGATTGAATCAAATTTCTCTAATATTATAAATATAAATACTTGACCAATTGCTCCACATAATGAAAAACTGATAATTTCATATACAACTTCATGATGACGATGAATGAAATTAGTAGTATCTTTAATCTCTTGATATTTGAATACCAAAGTATATGATAACGTTAATATAAATACAAATAAATTCAAAATACACATCAATTTTGAACCAGTTAATTTGACTTTATATTTATACTTAAATAATTGATCTTGAGTTGAATTAGTTAACCCATCTAATAACATTGATCCAATTAATAATAACATTCCTAATTCAGAATTACCATCATTAACACTTGTTTTCTTACTTGAATGAGATATGGTGAAAATTGTAACTCCTATAGTAACCAAACTTGCAACAAGATATTTATAAGCTGGAAATTTAGTTCTATAAAATACAAAATGAATAAACATAACTGGAATCAATTTACATGATTTTGCTAATAAATAAGCCAAATAATCTAAATGATTTAATGATTTATATCCTAATGGAGAACTTAAACTTGATGTCATTGCAATTAATACCATAGATTTAAATATTTGAAACCCATTAGCTCCATTATCAGTGAAAACATCAAATGGGGAATTTCCAGAACTTATCAAGGTGTATATTAACCCAACAATAGCAGCAAATAATGCTTGTATGATATTTACAATTAAAGGTGCTTGGAAATATTCATTGTTGTCACCATAAGGTTTTGTATTTATTCGTTCTTGTAAAATAGACCAAGTTAAGAAAGTACCATATAAACCAAGAACACATGTTATTAATGTTATTGCCAGACTATGACGTTTCATTATTGGCTCTGTTTCTGACTTTGTAGTTGCAATAGTTGTTGACATTTCATTAAAGGGTGCGGTGGTTTGTGGTAAAAGAAGGAAAGTAAAAAGAAGAAAAATGCAACCAATGATCTAAAAATGTCCTTTTTTAGTTCCGCAGCCAAATATAAATTTCCTTCCGTACTAAATTTTCTTTTTTTTCTTGCTTTTTTGCTGGAACTGCTGATAATTGCCAGCGCATAGCCTACGAAGAATGACCCCACCAAAAAAAATAACATTGTCAATTCAATTCCAGGGGACGTAATCATTTTTTGTTGTCTCTTTGGGACGCGCGCTGCCATACAAAGGTTTCTTTACTTTTCTTTTTTTGCCTGTCCATCTCGCTTGACAGAAGAAAAAATATTCATCAGATCTCCGTTCTAGAACATTCACTTCGCTACCACGACAGAACCGTTTTCGTTCTGGATCCAAAATACCCTTCGTTTGCAAAGCAATGGACGCAATTGACTAGCATTCAAGCCAATGTTCTGTTAGTACATTAGAAAAGGGAGATGATTTTTACATTCTTGCAGACTAATTAATACTACACAACTACAGAAAGTGTTCTAACTACGTCCAAACATACCAAAAAATCCCCCTCTCTTTTTACCACCTTGTTCTTCTTCAGCCGATTCAGTCACCACTGGAGATTTTGTAGTAGTAGTAGTCTTAGTTCTTCCTAAATCATATGAAATGTAATTGAACGCAACGTCAAACAATACAGGTTTAGGTAAAATTGGTTCAATCTTTGGAGTTTTACTCAAATTAATGATATTTTCAAGGTCTCCATTGGGGAATTTTGTCAAGTTTTCAATCACATATTGTGAAGTTCCCCTTGATGATAATGCAAATTGTGCACTAATATGAGATTGTAATAATCTTGTCTTTAAATCCTGTTTAAATCTATTGATTTCTTGGTTTGTACTTACATCAAATGGGAAATCTGTCTTATAGTATTCTTCATCTATTGATGATAATAATTCTTCTTCAATATAATTGTAGATTTTTAATGATTCACCAAATTGTCCATTATATTGATATGATTCTGCAATGACAATACTTTTTTGAGATTGATAATATTTTTCCAAATTCTCCAAAGACGTATATAAATCATCATCATTATATACCCCAGGAAGATCTTTCAATTCTTGTACAATGATGATTATACCATTGTATAACCTAATTATATCTTTATTATTTTCAATTTCTTTCTTGCTAGCCAATTGATCAATCAATAATAAATCTCTTTTTAATCTTGTGAATAATAAATTATAATTCAAATAAGTTAAAAAGATAGCACGATGTTGAACTTGTTCTAAATCGTCATCATCTTGATTCTTTTCCGTATCTAATTTATGTAATTCCAAAATTTCAGTCCAACTGGTAATAATAGAATCAAATTGATTTGGATCATTAAAACTCGTCCATTCTTGTTTATTATTAGACAATTCCATAATCTTGAATGCAATTTCATCATTGTATAATTGTGCATGGTGATCTCTCCAATCAATTTCTTTAATCAATTCAACTGATTCAGAAATATCAGAAACAAAACTAGGATCTTTCGATTCAATTAATTTGATAACATTCCCTAAAACACCAACTTCATTATCATGACAATGTTTACGTGATATGGATTTTAAATCGGTAGTTGCAAAAGTTGTGTCAGCTTGAGAAATCGCCAAATTTAATGATGGATCAACTAAAGTATCAACCAATTCATTGATCAAAGTTTTATTGAATTGTTGTTGTTCAATATCTTCACCTTCATTACTGATAGATTGTTGGGAATATAAGTAATCTAAAGAACATTTAGCAATTGAGAATGCATTAAGTGCTTTTGACCATTGTTTCTTGGTTACTGACAATTGTCCTTGGATTAATGCTGCATAGACATACAATTCAACTTTTCTCAAATCATCATTATCATTCTGAGTCAACTCCAAAACTTTAACAGCATTGGATAATGCTCTTTTAATTTTACTAATCATTAAAGTCTTATATGAACTTGATTTTTCATTACTAATTTCCAATAAATTCTTAATCTCAAGAGCATACAAAATATCTCTTTCAGCAGTCAACAAATAAACTAATCCATATTTCGAATCACGTTCATAATCTTCACCAGTTATCTTGGAAGTCTTTTCCTTAGTTGAATAATTTTTGGTATCACGAGTAATTAATCCCAATTCATGACGCAATTTATATAATCTTCTATTAATTCTTTTTCTTTGTTTACGGTAATCGTCAGGTGTAACTAAATAAGCACTCATACGAGCACCTAATGTGATGTTCAATGGAGAGTCCATGGTTTTTGGTGGGTTTGTTTGTATTGAACAAATACTAAGGAGGATTTGGGGTTTATTGGTTTTCTACTGGTTGGTGAAAAAAAAAATTTGAAGGAAAAAAAAATCATTTCGTCCAATCCCATTTTTTTGGGCATAGGTACACGTATTTTGAGATTGGTTGCAAAATAACAGTTTGTACAAGTGACATCTCTAAATTGAAAGATAAGAGAAAAATGAATGATTGGCACATGTCTCTTTTATTGAATTTAGGAATAGTATACTTTGCGAATGAAATGTTTTAATTGTTTTATAGGGTTAAAATTGTACCTTTCAGATTTTGTATATGCACTATTGTCACCTTCGTCCAGATGTATCGAAAATGCCCAAGGAACCCACTGTTGGCTTCCTCTACTTTTGAAACTCGCAAATCTTTTACGTAACTCGGAGGTATGTAAAGATGGGGGGATTTTTTAAAAAAACAAATCTAAGATACCGTAATACTAATCTGATGAAAATGGATTGCAGGTGGACTATGGTCTGCCGTTTCTTTTCAGATTATTAAGCTCATTTTTCGAATCTTGAGGATTTTGCATGACACTGGTGTTACCCTTGAAGGCTCGAATAGAAGTAACACTTAGTCCCAACAAGTTTAGATAACAAGCTCTGAATGACTACTCCTATCTTAATGCAACCTGGTAACATGAAAGGCGTAAACTATCTAAAGTATGCATCCATCTCGTAATTGCTTGCATTTTCCCATATTATTATTTTATTAACATTTTGGCATCAGCACATTTTTTTTGGTTGCAGCGAAAAGAGTTTGATCGGTTTGAAAAATATTCGTATATAAACCTTTTTTTATTATAGAATAAATAAAATATTTCAATAATAGAATGTCTAGTTTTTAAAAAAATATAATTATATAAAAAAAATATTCGTTGAATGAATGACTTGGTTTAAAAAATTGTTGAAAGATGGGAATCATATCATCGTCGTGATGCCGCAAACTAAATTATACGCATTTCTTGCCTGCAAAGTTCTTGTTATTCAATACATGCTAGTCGGGCATGGAGTTGGTCGCAAGTGAGATTTAGGGTTCTATGGTACACTCTATGCTGTTGCAATACTTGCAAGTGATTCCAGCTACTCGTTGTTTAATAACATGATCTCAACGGTCATCTTAAAGACTTATATTGATTAATGGTTGTATCAGAAAAAAAAAAATATTGCAAGTAATAAAAAATAAAACGATGACTATTTGCATATATGCCACGGCTTTAGATATATTTTTTAATACTTGATTTAAAAACCAATCTCAAAATGCCTTGAAGACATCCGTTCTTGCCAAAGCTAATATATCAATGGTCATTCATTGGCTGTCTGGCCTGGCCTTGAATACTATAAATATGCCTTTCAGCTTCCTGTTTTCAAAAACGTAGATTATTCTATTCATCACTACAACAACAAAACAAACTTTCCAAATGAACAGAAATATTTATCTCGCATTTTATCTTATCTTTTGCTTGTTTGACTTCCTGGATGCTGCTTGTTTATATAAAAGGGAGCGCAACACTCTCAAAGTGATTGATTCAACTAGCACTGGTAGCACAAGTAGTACTAGTAGCACTAGTTTATATAACAGGGCACGAAACACTGTCAAAGTTGATTCCCCTCGCCCAACCACTTATGTGATTGATGTCCCTGCCAAAAGAGATTATGCCCCTCGCCCAACCACTAGCAAAGTGAATGCGCCTGGCAAAAGAGATATTGATTCCCCTACTATTGATCTCCCCCCAATTGACAACACTGTCAAAGTTGATGTCCCTAGCAAAAGAGATATTGATTCCCCTACTATTGATCTCCCCCCAATTGACAACACTGTCAAAGTTGATGTCCCTAGCAAAAGAGATATTGATGTCCCTTCTATTAATGTCCCCCCAGTCGACAACACTGTCAAAGTTGATGTCCCTAGCAAAAGAGATGTTGATGGCCATCCCATAACCACCATTACTATTGATGTCCCCTCAATCGACTACACTGTCAAAGTGAATGCCCCAGGCAAAAGAGATATTGATGCCCCTTCTATTAATGCCCCCCCAGTCGACAACACTGTCAAAGTTGATGTCCCTAGCAAAAGAGATGTTGATGGCCATCCCATAACCACCATTACTATTGATGTCCCCTCAATCGACTACACTGTCAAAGTGAATGCCCCAGGCAAAAGAGATATTGATGCCCCTTCTATTGATGCCCCCCCAATCGACAACACTGTCAAAGTGAATGCCCCTGGCAAAAGAGATATTGATGCCCCTTCTATTAATGCCCCCCCAGTCGACAACACTGTCAAAGTTGATGTCCCTAGCAAAAGAGATGTTGATGGCCATCCCATAACCACCATTACTATTGATGTCCCCTCAATCGACTACACTGTCAAAGTGAATGCCCCTGGCAAAAGAGATATTGATTCCTCTCCCCCAATCGATGATAGCCCTAGTATGAGATACGTAGACAACACTGTCAAAGTTGTTGATGACGATCCCCCTTGCAAATGAAACCAAGACAACACTGTCTAGAAGACAACACTGTCAAGGTATTTAGTTAAAATTTACCCAAACTTAAAAAAAATATGTATAGCTTTTGTGTCTCTAACGATTATTATGTATGTCAATCCAATAACTTCTATTTATTGTTTATTACAAAAGCGCTTGGATTTCTTTGTTTTTCATTTGTGCAGTTTTCTTGAATTTTCGCAATAAAGCTTGACGTGATATTTTTTTGCAGCAATTGTCACAACTATGAGGAAAAATTCTTAAACCTGTGACAGCAATTCGGGCAATTAATAATCTTTTTTTTCACATGCAATCTGTTTATTTAGGTCATATACATACTAACATACCGAAGTAGAACAAACAGAAAAAATATACTTTACAGGCAAAAAGCACAGCCAAAAACCGTATATCAGCGAATGCAAACCTTAAAGGTCAAGTGCATATTTGTAATTACTTACAAACTTCGACGAATAAGATACCCATTTATGAAAAAAAAATTGACCGTGAGCTCAGTGTCCCTGCCCCCCGCCACGTCGGAACTTTTGAAATTTATAAACGAGTAGCAGGTCTCTATTTAAAACCATCATTGGAGTAGATTCTAGCGAGGTTTTTCAAACGAGTAATCCTAATTTCCTAGATAGACGGTGGGGATGATAAAGTTGCCAAATAACGCGCGTAACCTGACACTTAAAATAAAGATGATGCCTATAATAGTGACCCCAAATATATCTTACACAGAATTTATATTGGCGGTTCGAATGATAAGTGAAATGGCCCAAATTAAGACGGTGAAATGAATCCATACCATCTGGATAACAACTCTTTCCTTTAGCCAATGACTTGAAAAATTGTACCCAACTGGCGGGACCAAATCATGAAGATTCGACCAGCCAGGGATGACACATTGTTTAACCTCAATATTATATTATCCTCAATATTATATTTCTGTGATCTGCTGTTGAAAAAATCTGCCGGCAAATCATCAAATAATGGTGGAAGAATCGTAGATGGGGGGGAACTGGATAAGCCCTTATATTCATTATGAGAAAAATGGTACGGCTAGACCGTATATGCTTTTCGAATGGAACCAACTAAATCAAACCAGGCTGCCAAATATATCTTCTCGCGTAAAAATGTCACTATCAGCAACCATTGTAGAAATATCCTGACCCTGGAAATTAATAGTTAAACCAGCGAGGAACATATACCAAGGTATACCAAGGGGTCTTTACAATAGAGTCAGCAGAAGCGTAATATGAGTAATGAAGTGAAAGGATTACTAATAGTTCAATGCTACGCGGTCGGAAGTATGAATCCGTTTTGTAGTTGCTTTTTCGTTTTTGGCATCAATATTTTTTTTGCAGCAAAAGGAAAGAATTTGATCTGCTTAAAAATATTCAAAAAAAAAATCTTGAAAAGATGGGAATCCTAACATCGCATCGCTTGCTAAATAATATGCCTTTCTTGGCAGCGAAGTTCTTGTTATTCGATACTTGCTGGTAGGGCATGGGGTTGGTCGCAAGTGAGATTTAGGGTTCTTTGATACACTCTATTCTTTTTGCAATCCTTGGAAGTGATTATAACTACTAAGGGTCTGATAAAATGATCTCAACGGAGATATTAAAGGGTTATTTAACGAGTTGTTATAGCCGGCCATGGTGTGATAAAATGATCTCAACGGTCATTTAAAGGCGTATATTGATCAATTATCGTAAACAATAAAAACTAAACGATGACTATTTGCATCGATGACAAGGCTTTAGATATTTATTTTTTAAATACTTGATTTAAAAAATACTCCCAAAATGCCTTTGAAGGATTCTGTTGTTGCCAAAAGCTAATATATCATGAATCATTCAATGTCTGTCTGGCCTGGCCTTGAATAATATAAATATGCTTTCAGTTTCCTGTTTTCAAAAACGTAGATTATTCTATTCATCACAACAATAACAAACAAACTTTTCAAATGAACAGAAATATTTATCTCGAACTTTATCTTATCTTTTGCATCTTTGGCTTCCTGAATGCTGCTTATTTATATAAAAGAGAAGACCACAGTGTCAAAGGAGACCAGGCACTAACCTTTAGAGTTTTTAACAATAATATAAGGTATGCCGCTACGAACTTAGTTCAAGGAGAAAAGCCTTGGACCGAACGTAAAGATACACTCCTTAGGGCCATGCTGAAGAGTAAGTCTGAGATACCAACATTTATTACACTTCAAGAAGTACTTGTTAAACAACTTAACGATATTAAATATGGTCTTAATGGTAATGAAAATTCATATCCTTGGACTCATTTTGGAACTGGTCGAGACGATGGTGCAAATGGTGGTGAGTTCTCACCAATTATTTACAATGCCGAAGATTGGAAGTTGCAAAGCGGAACTCAAAAATGGTTAAGTCTCACTCCAGATATACCCTCCGCCCATCCTACTACAACCTATAAAAGGATTGTCACGATGTGTACATTCACCCACAAACAAACTGGTGCTGGGATTAATGTAGTCAATACACATTACGATCACATATCCAATGAAGCAAGAAATTATGGTTCCGAATTAATTGTCAAGTATGTTAGCGAATTCGTAAATAATTATCCTACAGTTGTTACCGGTGATCTTAATTCTGCTAGGACTGGTTCTTCATATAAGATACTTGCTAATGCATTTGCTGATACCTATAATATTGCAAGCGTGAAGGTCAATGAAAATTTGCCAACATTTTCTGGGTTTTCTGGAAAAGAAGGAGATACCATAGATTTTATCTTTGCAAGTAGAGGTATTATTGGTGCCTCAAAACACGAAGTTGTGGATAATTTGATGGATAATGGCCTTAGATTCAGTGACCATAGACCGGTAGTTGCAGATTTTAGTATTTAAGTAGTGGGCGTAGTTAAAGTTTACCGAAAAAAATATGTATGTCTTTATGTATTTAACGATTATTATGTGTTTATGTCAATTTAATGACTTATTTATTGTTTATTATAAAAGCTCTTGGATTTCTTTGTTTGCATTTGTATAGTTTTCTGAAATTTTGGTAATAAAGTAAGACGTGATATATTTTTTGCAGCAATTCATATTAATAATATACAAGCAACTTCTTTTAAACTTCAAATGTTTTATCAATCAGAAGCAGAGGAATAGCAGTAGAAAGGTGAGACATATACACTGGAATTTGACAGCAGGCTTTAGTTTTAAAAAATGTACAGCAGATTACAATCCAATATAAAGTTGAAAGAAGAAATAGCGACATGTTCTTTATCTTTCTGATCTTTAAATGTAGAGCGGGAAACAATACGGTCGTATTAGTGCGATAAGATTAAAAAGCAGCTAATGACTATTTCCGGATTGCCATTTTCCTTTCATTCCTAATAACTTTTCACCGGAATCAAAATGTGTTGCAAAAAATTTACCAAAAATTTTTCAGAAGTTCAATCCATTAATTCACCAAAACATTGTTAATAAATCTTCAAATAAATTACAGATACAATATGGCAAGCACTCCGAAATCAATATTCATCACTCAGATATTCTGTTGATCCCTTAGATGACGAAATAGGGTTCATGCAATAGCCATTATTTGGAAAAGCTCAAAAATCGAAAACTCAACAAATAACTCCTGGTAGCTTAGTTGGTTTAAAGCGCGAGACTGTAATGAGTACCTCAAAAGTAATCTTGAGATCGGGTGTTCGACTCACCCCCGGGAGATTTATTTTTGCTACTCTGTCATATCAATTAATTTTTATCATAAATTTATAAATAGGATTGATTTTGGGGCAGATTTGTAACAGCTGGAAGGTTGTCATGTGAGTTTAGGATGTTTCGTATTTATTTTAGTTTAAAAAAAAGAAACCTAAAAAAACGTTTAAAATTTAAATTGCGCTTTTCTGCTTTTCTTGTCACACCATTTCTATGCACTACTGACACATAACAAAGACAAGCCATACTATGGAGTTTTTAACCACGATGAAAGTCGGTATAGCCTACAATTTCGGCGAACTAAAGACCTATTGAAAAAGTTAGAAAATGGTGGATGACAATGATGTTGCTCCGCACTGGCCGGGATATCCACATTCAAAAGAAACTATCACTCAGTATTGGCCCATAGCATGCTCTCTCACAATATGCTTAGGCACCTAATCTCTTGTCTTTGTCTATTCAATCACCTGTGCTTAAGCTCTGATTAATGATAACAAAATCTTCCTCTTTTTTGTGAACCAAGCACAGCATAACAGAATTGTGCTTCCTGGATTTTAATACTTGTGATCATCTTCCTAGCATTTAATAATACATCATTTACTTCTCATTTGGGATGGCGGTACTAATTAAGTAACCAAGAAAGAATTGTCAACAATATGATCGAAAAAGACCTTGCTCTTCCAGTGATTTTTTACATTGTCTTATAGTACCATCCGATTGAAACTTAAGACTCTTCTTCGACTAGGAACTACATAAGAAGTGAAGTAGACTCTATTAGAAATACATAAGGAAGTTCCATTATTAACCTGTTAATTAATAAATTTATTTTGTATGCACTTGGTGATATATTCTATTGTTTAATGGCTTGACGTCACATATAGTTGCTTTAACCGACAAACTTAAATTTTTTTTGCAACCGTTTATTTTTCTTAACAAGCCACATAATATTTTAGCAGCCATTTAATCAATCATTACAATGAAAGAAACTTCTATTAAAATAGTAAATTAAATTAAAATAAATAAATATTAATATGTAACTTTATATAAAAACTCTATCTAGAAAAAGCAAAGAAACTAAAAAACTTACCACCATAAACACATGCAATAAATAAACGAAATGCAAAATTATTATTTTGGAGAAATCCACCAAAACATGCAAAACAAAATGTAATTAACAAAGAATTTAACCCAACCAAACCAAATAAACTAAACTAAAACAAAATAAGAACCCCAGACCAAATGCAGCAACAAGCCACCATAACGAATCCACTCCAAACCAACCATGAATGAGCAGAGGGGACGTCAGTATATCTATAATACATCAAATTAATACTAATCATACTGAAAACCAAACTCAAAGCAATTCCCAAGATTAACACAATCATCAATCCAACATTGTTTCCAATCAAGAATTGGGAATCAGTGGAAGATGAGGTAGCAAATATGGAATAAATGATGCCGAATTGGATACCTGAAAGGAATAATGAGATAAGGTCGAGTGAAAAATAAATATATGATAATGTTTGATCATATTGTTGATGATATTTCAAATGATATTGATTTCTTTGTAAGAAAGTTGGTGGTTCTTCATTGATTGAATCATATCCTCCTGGAGTACCAGTACCACTGTTGTTGTTGAAATTACCAGAATGATAACAAGATAAAAGTTTGGTATAAGGATCCAAATATTGTTCTTCATCACTAATAAAAACTGGATTTTCATTGATCTTCTTTTTTCTTGTAGGATTTTGAAGTTTTCTTCTTTTTGGTTTATCAACATGCTTGAATAATCTATTTTTAAAGTTTAACACAGTTAAAATGAAATTATTCAATGATGAATCATGCAGACCATGTTCATCCATCTTTAAATAAATCGCATAATCATCCTCCTCATCATCTTCTTCATTATCACCATCTTCCATAATCGTATCGTCATTATTAAATTGAACCAATTCATCAGGAGAAATACTTCCGCCATCTTCTTCTTCATTCTCATTGGAATTTGCAACTGCTTCAAAAATTGAATTTGTACTTGAACCCAAAGAATTGGTTTTTTGATTATCAAAAGTATTCATTGGAGAATGTAATGATTTCATTGACATCTTATGTTGAATAATCTTATATGATTTCTTAGTAATCAAATCATTCTCTTCATTAATTTGTTGATTAAGACTTTCGATATTTTCGAAATTCTTGAATAAATTAAGATTTAATAAGTTGGTATAATGATTATTGATGAATTCTCCATTGGGAATAATATTATAATAACAAGATAATTGATATTGATAGAAATTCAATCCTTTGAATAATGAAACACAATTATTATTTAGAATGGTTTGGACTTTTTTAGGTAATTTCTTCATGGTACCATATTGGTTTTTCACCAAACCATCCTTGACATCGATTAAGGTTTCCAATGACTTCTCAAAATTGGATAAGGTACTATCATTAGAATAAATAGCAAGATGATTATGAGGGAATAAATCAAATGAATCATAATTTTCTGGGAATTCCACCGTATTGACATAGGATTTCTCATTTGTAGTTGAAATTTCCGAATCTAATGCAATCAAGTATCTATTATCAGTATAACTACTGATGATTGATCTTTGGTCTTCGTCATCTTCATCTTCAACATCGTCATCAATAACACTTTCACATTCTTGATTGTTGTTCTCATTGACTTCATTAACATCATTTGAATCTTCTTCATCAACTATATATCTTAATCTCTTACAAAATAATTTCAAAGTTGGTTTTAAATTATGAGAAACAATATAATCTATTGTCTTTTTAGTTAAATGACTACATTCATTTTGTTGAAAATAATCAATTAATTGTTGTTTAATTTCTTCATTTGATCTATCATTTAAATGACTAATGAATAATTGAACAATATTATTAGGTAAGATACAATAACCATATTTTCTTAAGTCACCAATATGAGCAATTATAATTGAGGAATCACTATTTGAAGTTGAAACAATAGTTGAATGTTCAATACTTAAATTATCATGAGTTAAATAAATATATGAAACATAATCAGTTGAACTAGTTGAAATATTCTTTAAATTTAAATAAATATTAAAATTAAGAATAATTTCATTTAAAGTATTTGAATCTTGAGGTATCAAAGCATGTAATTGGAAATTCTTCTTTAAATAAATAGATAAATCAAAATGTGATTCTAAACTAATTGGATCTTGTTGAATATGAGGTATTGGTCTATTCTGGGATTGTGAACGTTGTGGTTGTTGACGTTGAGATGATATGCTTGCTTGACCAAATGTTGAATTATTTCTCCTATGATTTGGTCTAATGACTGAATTTTGATAATGAGTATCTGATATTAATGTAGATGCTATACTAAATAAAGATAATTTTCTGTCCATTGGCATAGCTGATCTTGAAGTGGTGGTGGTGTTGGTAGTGATTGTAAATAGATTATTAAACCTTCTTCTTTCATATTTAATTAAATTAATGAAATTTGTTAATTTTAAAGTTAATGAAGATAAATCAAAATTAATTAAAGATTTTGGATTTGAAGTTAAATAAGATTTTAATTCAAGGATAAATTTAGTATTATTCTTACTGGTATAATATTTTAAAAATTTCTTAAATATCTTTTTGATGGCAATTTTTTGAATTAATATAAATTTTGATAATTTCTTTAATTCAATTGAAATTTCAATAATTTGATAAAAAATTTCATCTAATTCAATTAATACATGTCGTATAACTTCTTCATTATTAGCTGATGGTGATGATGATATTATCAGGTTGTTTAATAATTGATGGAAATAAACTTCATAATAATTATATTTCCTTAATAATTCTCCATATTTAGTAGCAATAAATAAATTGATATAATCAAAATTATCAATAAATGATTGTTTTAATTTTGGTAATGTTTGAGTATTGTGTGAATGATTTTGAGTAATTGATCTAATTTGATATTTTAATTCATTATAATCTAGATTGTAACATTTCCATTCTGGAATTGATAAATATTGTAAATTATTACCAAATTTCATTTATCAAAAGATACTTGTTATGCTTGCTTTTTTGGTATTATGTCTCTCTTTCTGTCTGTCGGTCTATCTATCTATCTGGGTTAATGTCTGTTTTTGTGTGAGGAATTGTTGCCAAATATTTGTACGATAAAAAATGAAATGATATCGCTGGATAGGTCCCTTAAAAAACTGGCTGAATCCTTTTGTTGGATGAAAGAGTCGAGTGACTGTAGTCAAATGTGTGATATATTACCTGATCCTAATTTAAACTGGGAAATGATTTGTTATATATACAAATTCAAATTCTTGCTAATGCCACACACCTGGAAATGAATTTAAATTTTTAAATTTTAAAAAAAAAAAAATCAAAAGGAAATTTGGCAACAAGGGGAAACTTATAGCGATAGAAAAAAAACACCCAAAAAAATAAAAAATATAATTTTTATTAATCCAAATATAATTATTAGATAACAAAATAATTTATATTTAAATAAATGCTTGTCGTGGTTGAAATGATGTTGACAAGGAAATGAGGGATACAAAAATGATATTGTTTAACCAAAGATTGACCTAGATTCTGTATGGTTATGCAATGCTGGAAATCAACTACCTTAATCTATCACCAAATACGAGTAGTAGATAATATTTTAATATTAAATTTGCTAAAGCCAAAAAAAAAAAAGAATACCAAGAAATTCTTTTCTTACGTATGCTTTAACGAATGAGAGATCTACAAAGGGAACTTGCTCTCTTTATATACCGAATTAGCATTCATAATTTAATGACATAAAATCTTACGCTTTTTTTTTTCTCAAATTTCATACAAGTAATAAAAAAAAAAAAATTATTTGTGTCACAAGCTCTATTCCCCAATTGGGAAGATCATCTTGCTTATGCAAAAATATTTTTTAAATATTTAATTGTTGTATTTTATCAATTTAGAAAAAATATTATGGAACTGATTGTTTTACAATAGAACTTAACAATATTATTTATCTCTACTCTAATAGATGTATCTAAATTCTGACTGAGTTTGCACCCACGTGGTGGTGGTTCCTTACAAAAAAAAGGGGCTTTTTTACGTTTATAATTATTTATATTTTTGATAGATGTCAGAATGTCAGAATATATCCCTTGCATTAATGTTGGTAAAAAAAAGCCGCTATTTACGAAACCTTATATCAGACAAGCAAGAGTATGTACAAGAGAATTATCCCCGCTTGGCACCCACCTTGTGATTACCTATAAGTGGTGTGAGTCGCAGGAAAATACATCATTTTTCCCTTTGTATCAAAAAAAAAATATAGAGATACCCAGCAAAAGCCCCCGCCAATAAGCGAGAAAGAATACTGAATACAGAACTTGTTTCTTTTTTCTTGCAGGAGATCGAGAAAGCAGAGAGTTACACCATTTGAAGAATCAGTAACCCGCTATTGTCCGATCCCCTCTATGAGGGGGGAGGAAACATAAAAGAATAGAATCAGGAGAAGTATTCATAAACTTCTAAACGATAGTAATAATTAAAATTTCCATCAGACAAGAAATAAACTTCAAAGTTAAAGGTTCTAGACTGTGTAAAAAGCTAAACCGTTGTCTGTTCTAGAATTAAAATCTAACTAAATCTCAACCCGAAATCTAAAATTAGCAGAAACGTATGTCGCCTTCTCTTTTTTATGTCTCTCACAAAAAAAAGAGGCGACAGAATCACGTCTTTTTGGGTTTCTTTTTGATAATAAACTTCCCTATTTACATACAGAAATTCTCATTAGAAGATCGTGCCATCCACTAGTCCCCCAAATGACCTGGTTATAAAAGAAACTTTCAAAGTTTGCTAAAACAAGAGACGTTGCAGGTTTCAAAAGGCTTCCATTTTTATAGCCTGAAGTATAAACCGTAAGGCATAAAATAGATATTTTTTTAGGTTTCACATCAAGATTTTAAGACAAGAAAAAACCTAGTTTTGTCGATACGATGAAGTTGCAAATAACCAACAGACGGAAAAACACGATCAATTTGTGTCTACGGTGTTTCTGTTGTTGTATACTTTACGGAGCAAGCTCGGATTAGGACGCGTATGGTTAGCAAAAGAATAGATGGAAGGATTTCCACTTTTGTGAATCTATATGGCTTTGGAGGGCCCTCGTGGGTCCAAAAATTACAGTGATACAATCCCTAACAATATGAAGATTTTTTTTGATTGATTTGATTAGACCTCGTGTGAGCAAAATTCGCAGTTTGATCTCTTATTGTGTATTTATTTTTTCAACCAGAAATATTTTTTTAATTATGAATATTTTTTTGTTAGGCATGTCTACTATTTTTAAAATAATAAAATATTTTGCAATTTTAATTTCAATATTTTTTTAATTCGGCTTTATTTTTATCCTATGTCTTTTACGAAAAATTGTCGTTACAACAATCATCGGGTTCATCAATTCGTTTATATATGAGGAAAGTATATCCCCTGAACTAAAAAACTATTGGGCATCGCTCTTGAATGATCAGAAAATCACCATCTCACCCGATATTGCAAGAGGGAAAAGTGGTGTTGAAACTCGCACCGCACGGCCCTATTAATTATACGTCAAATAATGCCCCCCCACTCACATAAAATATCTAAAACAAAAAATCTAGACATGCATTATTCTTGATACACAAAGGCGATCCGATCTACTCTTCAAACCATCGAATTTTAATCCACTAACTACCAATTGAGAATTTTGAATAGAATGACAAGGGGTTTAAAGAAAAGTTGGAATGATCAAAACTGTTTTACTTCAAAATGATACAGGTCTGACGTTGTCCCGAGAAGAATGACCAAGAAAGAGGAACAATCTACAGGATCTTATTATTAGAAGTATCATTGCCTATTCTCCCCATTGTTTCAAGAATATTGCGCTTTTGTCTAAAGAATCTCGAGAAAATTTTTTATATTTCCATTTCCATAATAATAAAAAAGTACTAAAAAGAACCACACTCGCTCCTTGTTACCAAGTATTTCGCTCCTCGATTCCCTCCAATGGATACCAATCAACATGCAATAAAGGATCCAACGCCAAGGTACAGATTTTTTAGCATCGTAAAACATTCCCTACAAACAGCCAAGTAAAGAAGAACAAGAAGACCCTGACAGAAATCCGAGGTGTATGTAATTCCAGAAAATCTAGAGTTTTTTTAATAATTTCTTGACATTACCACCATGACATCCGCGGAAATTCGGCAGCGTTCGTCACAGCGTTTTCAACCCCCCCTTTCATTTACAAAGCTTACAACTGCTGACGTTGCTGTGGCTTCGAGTCATTGTTTTTTGTGAATTATCGCGTAATTTGGATGGGATCAATGGAGCTTAGATGATATTGTACTTGATGAGTCCCCTTTTGTCCGCCTTGGAAGGGGGCACAATAGGAAGAGTAGTCGTGTGATTTTGAAAATTCTCATTAGGGAAGTCCTACCAATATAATGAGGAAGGGAGTAGAGATGATCTATTTCTACCTCGTGATATTCCACAATTATGTAAGAGTTTGACACGGATTTGCAACCAAATTTTCATCCCACTACTTATTCAAGCAAACGAACAAGACTGCTATGTTCAAAGTTTGGCCCAAAATCATATTTCCTTTCATGCTGATGTCCCTGCTTAGTATTGGTCATTTCGTTGTCTAGTATCAGACGCTGAATAGGCACATTAGACCAGCTTCCAAAGTGATTGAATAGTATGGGAAGCTTCCATCAAATGCCATAGTTTCGAACGTTCCCCCTTCCCAATGCTGACTATCTGGCTGTCAAAATAAACTAGTTTTAGGGCCAAAGAGTAAGATGATTTATTTTGTTTGGATTTGCAACCATGATTATTATCTATTTGTCACATATAAACTACAGCTCATTCATTCAACTTTTTATGACTGTTTGCTTATGACCTTTATTTACTTACAATTATTACATCCAAGAATGATCTGCATTATTGCAATTGAATCCGCAGATTTATGACAAAATTTACACTGTATGATATAGATTGTCTTTGCTGTGAAAGGCTTACTACTTTCCACTAGAAAGGAAAACACAATTCATATCTTGTATTGGAAATATTTTCATAACCCTTTTGATTTATTAGTCCAAAGAGACGATAACAAACGCATCTTTTTATACAACCAGTATTTTAACTTCCATTAATTCTTTCATTGAATTCTTTATTAACTCTGAATGAATGCAATTCCACTTAAGAGGGCCCATACTTGACGATTCAAAATAAGGAACAAAACATCTATTAATACTTCATTTATTTATCTATTAAAATCTAGCTTAACAAACTGTACACCCTTTCAGTTCATCTTTCTTCTTCTTTGAAACTTTAGTAGCTTTAACAAACACAGGGATCATTCCACCAGTACCCACAGCAAAGGAACGATGTCCCACTGCCAATAATTGTGCTCTAATACTTCCACTATGACTAGTAATACTAACAATTTCATCCAGTGGATACTCATTAAACAATTGTTGTAAAGCCTTATTAATTCTCAAAGCTTGTTCACCCACTGATTCACGATAATCATCTTGATAATAAATATCTTCTTCAGCGAACCCTGGTTCGATTATAAATCCCTTGTCTTCATATTTATTGGCAATAATTGTACGAGATGATCTTTTGTCGCAAGTATGTACACCCATTGTTTCTCTCCAATTTTCTTGAATATATGGACCAAGCGATTTTAAATCAACGATATCATTCCAAGTATGGTAAAGGGTATCAATAGATCTACTCAAAGGAGACACGTAGAATCTAGTTGGGATGATTAAATCCTTATTTTTTGATTCATTATTGATTTGTTCCAGTTTCCAAGTTTGATTATTATCTTTTGCTTGCAGAATACCCAAATCGGTTAATAATGCATCTGGACCCCATACTATTTCTCCATCGCCATTTAATTTCGACCAATATTCATTCCATGCATCGTCACCGTATTTAGTATGGGCGAGATTATGATATCCTTGACCATGTCTAGCTAAATATAAGATCTTATATTGTTCTTCATCTTGGTTTGCCTTTTGATTTAATTCATGCAAATTGGTGATTATTTCATCCCATGTTCCCATTATACCGAAATGTTCTTTTAAATAATCAAATTCAGTTTCATCAGTTTCCGATAAGGATTGTTTAAACATATTTGGAACAATTGAAAATTTCCAATATGAATCTAAAGTATATTCATAATTTGAAAGACGGGTATTATAATCCTGGATAAATTCAGTCTTGACTTGAGAATCAAGAACATCAATAGTGTTGGGATTTGACTTTGACATTGGTTGGTGGGTTCGTTGTCCGTGTAGTGGGCGGTAACTGATATATTCTCAATGGGAACTAAACTTAATTTTTTTTAGAGTGGTTCCACATGGGACGGTCGACTGAAAAAAAAAATCTGATGTGTGTGAGTGTGATTTAATTTAGCTGCAAAATAACGGATATCAAATTTAAAGTCAACTTTATGATAACTTTAAAACGTCTCTACTTAAAAATGGGTCCCTTAGTTTCCCAATCATTGTAAATTATTCTCCCCTTCGATTGGTAGTCATACTACTAATAAGAATGTTGTCAATTAGACCAGTTCGTACAAGACACCACAATTTAGTCTTGTGACAATTAGTTACGAGAATGATTTAAATATGCTTCTGAAAACCCCTGTCTAGAAATATTAAAGGGCTTACTCAATTCAAAGGTATATTCATGTCAACTGAAATTGGATTTTGGGAGATTTTCATTTCTCGTTGTATGATTAGCTCGAACTATCAGTTTATCACTTACATCTCTCTCTCCAACAGTTTGACTGAAATACGACATTTGTGTCGTATAAATTAGTCCTTTTCTTACGAAATATAAAATGTCGTTTCTTTTTGCAATTAAGGAGAGAAAGAAACGAAAAAACGCAAAATTTCAAACTTCCAACGAAAAAAAATTATGCAGACAATTCTGTCAGTCAGTCAGTCAGTCAGACAGACAGTCAAGGAAAAAAAAGAACACACAATGAAAAAAAAAAAATGAGCGGACACTACGCTTTTTTACATTTTTACTTTTAATCAACATCAATAATTACAGTTTTTCAAAGAAAACAACCGTCCATCAAATCAAACCAACTAACTACCTAACAACCTGTAACTTATTCACATTACGTAATCTCCTACTACGATCAATTGTTTAATTAAATCATATAATTGTACGGCTCATTCTAATAATTCCAGTCAGACATATTCAAATCCCTCCCTTTTTTTTGACGACATCTACCAACACCCTTTAAAGAACATATACAACATAACATTACACAATGGAAGCTTTCAATGATGATTTATATCCATTGGCATTATTAATGGATGAATTGAAACATGATGATGTATCTAATCGAGTAGAAGCCATGCAAAAATTAGATACAATTGCAATTGCATTAGGACCAGAACGAACAGTAAAAGAATTATTACCATTTCTTCATGATGTAGCTCAAGATGATGAAGAAGAAGTATTTGCTGTGTTGGCAACCAAATTAGGAGATTTTATTCCGTTGATTGGTGGACATGAGAATTGTGAACCATTAATTTCTATTTTGACAATATTAGCATCAATGGAAGAACCTTTGGTTAGAGATAAAGCAATTGATTCATTAAATAAAATTAGTTTAGAATTAACTAATGATGAATTAAATGGCATCTTTTTAAATTTAATTCAAAGTTTAAGTCAAGGTAATTGGTTTCTGAAAAAAGTTGCTCTGTGTGGTTTATATAAATCAGTAATTATAAAAGTTGATGCCAATATAAGAAAAGATTTATTAAAATTATATTTAAAATTGGTGGTTGATGATTATCCAATGGTTAGAAGAAGTGCTGCTACTTATTTACCTGAATTAATTAATTTATTAACTGAATTTACTGAATCATCAACGATTGATCAAGTTAATAAAGTTACTAATGAAGATTGGGAAATCATTTCAAAAATGTTTCAACAATTAATTAATGATGATCAAGATTCAGTTAAATTCTTAAGTATTGATGTTTTAATTGCTATATTAGAATTCTTTCAAAAAATTCATGAATATAGTTTTAATTCTGATTTCTTATCAAGTGCATTAAAATTAATTAAAGATGAAAGTTGGAGAGTTAGATATACTGCTGCTGATAGATTTAGTAAAATTGCTCGTAATTTTGTTCATAATGAATCTGATTTGTATCAATTAATTGATCCATTTATTTCATTAATGAAAGATCATGAAGGTGAAGTTAGAAAAGCAATTGCAAAACAATTACCTGATTTTGCTAAATTATTAATTAATTTCCCAAGTACAAAGATAACAATTTTAAATAAAATTATTCCTGTGGTTAACGAATTAAGTCAAGATCCTCAAGAAAATGTTAGAGCATCATTAGCATCAACTATAACTGAACTTTCACCAATCTTGGAAAAACAATCAACAATTGAAAAATTATTACCAATCTTTTTAGTAATGTTAAAAGATGAATTCCCCGATGTTAGATTAAATATTATATCTAATTTATCAGTTGTAAATGAAACTATTGGTATTAATTTATTATCAACAAATTTGTTACCCGCAATAACTGAATTAGCTCAAGATCATAAATGGAGAGTTAGATTAGCTATAATTGAATATATTCCAAAATTAGCTACTCAATTAGGTCAATCTTTCTTTAATGAAGAATTATTATCATTATGTATGTCATGGTTATGGGATCCTGTATTTGCTATAAGAGATGCTGCTGTTAATAATTTAAAAGAATTAACGGTTATATTTGGATCAGAATGGGCACAAGCACAAATTATTAATCGATTATTAAATCAAGATGATAAAATTGATGAAGATGATAAGATTGATTATTCGAATTTTATTATTAGAATTACCTGTTTATTTGCAATAACTAGATTAATACCAGTGATTGATTATAAATTATTAGTTGAAAAAGTATTACCATTTATTAATAGTTTAATAACTGATAGTGTTCCAAATATTAGATTTAATGTGGCAAAATCTTATTTAACTTTAGTACAATCATTAATTGAAAATAAAGAGAAATTACCAACAAATGATGAAGAATTAAAGAAATTAATAAATTTAGAAATCTTATCAAATTTAGAAAAATTGGAACATGATGATGATGTTGATGTTAGGTTTTATTCAACAAAGAGTATTCAACAAATTAATGAGATTTTAGTTTAGTCATGACACTACCACTACCACCCCGGTGACCATTTCCATACACATACACGCACTACTCCCCCCACCCCCTTTACACTGCAATATACATACTGGTTTTACTTTTGGCGCTGATTCTTTTTTTATTGTATCAAAATCATTTTGATGATTAAATATTTACTTTTGTTTGTGTTTTCTAACTTTTATATATACTTCCCGTTTTGTTTAAATTCTGAGTCTTTTTGAAAGTGATTGTTTTCAATTAAAAAATGTAGGTTTGTTTTAATTTCGTTTATAGTCCCTTTTCCCGTCGTATTACTAATTATATTACATATACACAGTTTATATACAAAACTTACATACAAGCTCTCTATCAAGTGGTTGCCTCTTCTGATTTCTTTTTCGCTAATTTGTCAAAATCAAATTCAAATGAAGAACCACATCCACAAGAACTACTAGTATATGGACTATCCACAATCTTAAATTGACTTCCAATTAATTCCTTAGTATAATCCAATTTTGAATCCTGTAAAATTTCCAAACTAGATTCATCAATCATAATTTTTCCACCACTTTCCCGTTCAAATACTAGTAAATCTTCATTCTCGGCCAATTCTTTGGAAAGCGACGACAAATGTAAATCATATTGAAACCCATGACACCCTCCACTTTGGATACTGACCATCAAAGCACAATCTTGAGGGTTTGGTTCTTCTGCAGCAATGGAGTTGAGCTTGTCACTGGCACGGCTGGTTATAGCGAGATGAAGATCTGTCATTCCTTGGATTAGCTTCGTGGCTCTGAAATCGTCTATATCTTGTTGCGGAACGTTTGGTTCTTGCTTTGGTGGAGGTGGGTCTTTAGGAACGGCAAATGATGCGGATTTTAGGGTTTTACTAGTGGAAGTAGTGGATGAGTTATATCTGAGGGATAATATCTTATGAGATGATACGAGGAATGCTGAGATTTGGTGAGGGCGTTTAGGGAAGATTGTTCTGGGTATTATCCTTGTGTTATATCTGCATACTTTGGATATCATTATGTACTTGTCTATTTTCTATAAGGAAGAAGCTCAACAGAAGAACAGGGTTGCTGATTAATAAATCTTTTTGATTTGTTCGTTCGCAGGTTTTTTTTCCGGCAATTGAAATGAAAATTAATTCCACCAGAAAAGAAGGTTGCAAAAACTTGCACAATATAAACCAAGAACTTTAGTTGAAAACTATTGTTAACTTTATTACAGTCTCTAACTAAGACATATACAGAAAAAATATTATAAACAAATGAAAAATCAAACGACAAGGATAGGATGGTTTTGAATCATCAAAATCTCTCTCCTTCTTTCAAAAAAAAAAAGAACAAACTCTAAGTCCTCTAAGGATGACTCTCTAATGATAATCATCATCTGAAACTCTCCAAGATCTTAAAAGTTGTAAATGTTTCCAATCTTCTTTTGGACCTTCCATTCCCCAAGAGAAATATCTGAAATACCAGAAAGTACCACCAACAAATACATACAATCCAATAAAAATGGCAGCATATGCCAATTTCTTTGCAGTACTTGCATCAGAACTATTTAACTTTCTTGTAAAACTTTCAACTTCATAACAGAAAACAATCATGGCAAAATATAATGCAGGAACATAATGATGAACATATGTAACTCTACCCATAATCAAAAATGGCATAAAATGTAATCCCCAACCAAACATTGGATAAATACCTCCCATAAGGAATACTTTCAATTTATGAGGATCAGAAAAATCAACATATTGTCTTTGCCATCTAATCAAATAATAAAGAACGATAAATGCGAACAAGACAACACCAACTGTTGATGGCCAAGTAGTAGCTGGAGAACCAATCATGAAATATTTAGCTCTTTCTTTACCCCAACCACACATTCTAATACCGACATTTAAAGTCGGCCATTGCCAGGCAGAAGATGCTAAATCATCTTGTTTGTCATAATCTGGAACTAAAGCATTATTAGTTGCCATCATAGCTAAATTCAATTGAATAAAATCACGTAAGAATCTGGTTTTAGGTAATTTGAAATCAGCTGGTGGTGGAGGTAAGATGTCATTACGATTATTTTCAAGATTCCACCAAGTTCTCTTATCTTTTTTGAATGGATTCTTATAACAAACAACTTCACCTTGTCTGAACCCCCATTGTGGTAATGAAGTACCTGTAACACCTAAATAACATCCCATAATTTCATTCTTTAATCTGAAAGATGAAGTTAAAGGATGTAATCTCATTTTATCTTCATCACTTTGTTGTTCCATAATTTCAATAATCCAATTATCTTTCCTATCACCAATAGTCAAATTACCATAACATGAAACTTCAAATTCTGATTTTGTTTCAGGAGCAGGTACATCATGAGAATGTAAGTTTCTACCAGTCATTACATGCATTAATCTAACAGTCATACCATCGAAAACATATTCAATATCAGTATTATTATTAGAAGAATCATAATGTGGTTCTCCTCTAGGTCTTTGGAAAATCCAATTATTATTGGAATCTTTATGTCCATAAGTAGTAATTTGTTGTTGCTTTGAACCAATTGGATAAGTTTGAACATGAGAATGTAATAATCCACCAGTTAAACCTTGATTTTTGATAGTGACTTTAGAATGAACAATTGCAACTTCTCTTGGACCTCCACCTACATCAGATCCAACTAAATTGGCTTGGAAAAGAGAAGACATGTTAGCATCACCTGTACCTGACTTATATAATAAATCAAAATGAATCTTAAATGAGATTAAAAAGATGGAAATTGGAACAATGATTAAACCAATAATTCTAGCCATCCAATGACCAGAATATCTCTTCCATGAGATTGATCTATCACCTAATTTATTCCAAAGATCAACAATTGTATAAATACCAACTAAAGTGGTAACGAATAAACCAACCATTTTAACAGAACAAGTACATCCAATGGAAAATCCAGTTAATAATAACCATTTCCACCATTTTCTTGAAAATTCTTGTTTTTTGTTATTAAAATTATTAAATCTTGCAAAACAAAAGACAGTTGTAACTGTGAAAAATAATAACATTGAATCTAATAAAATAAATTTCCCTAATGTAACATAAGTAGATTCACAACAAACCATTAAAGTAAATAACCAAGTGGTCCAAATGGAAAATCCAATTTCTTTACAAGTAAAATAAGCAAATGGAACACAAAGAGCAGAAAATGTAGCATTAAATAATCTCATTTTAGTATAATCAATATAAGCAGGATATTCTTCACCGGATGGGAAATCCCAAGAACCATTATATCCAGCTAAATAACCAGAAAGACCAACTAACATTTTTCCTAATGGAGGATGAACATCATGATAAAATTCATGTCTTAAATAATAAGAACCAAATTTACCAAAATGAGCTTCATCCCAAACAACATGATTATTGATTGAAATACGATAAAATCTAACAAAAAATGATAATAATGTAAATACAATTGGAGCTAATATGGATTCAAGTGTCTTTAAAGATTCAACAAAATCTTTAGTTTCATCATATTTGGTTCTCTTTGAATCTTCTGGGGTTGTATCATCATCAACATTATACTTTTGGGCAAGTGATAATTTGTCATTTGGACCATTCCTCTGACGAACAGTTCCTGGTTCTTCTTGAGGTTGAATTGAGGTAGATGACATAGCTAATATATTAATAATAACAACAAGAAATACCGAGAATTAATGTGGGGTGGTCAATGGATCGATGGGTGTGATGATATGATTCAATTGAATGTACGTGTTGCAAAAATTGAAATTTGGTGAAATGTGCTATTAAAACCAATTGATTTATTTGTGTTTTCTTGGGACTACCAGATACTAATTGACAAGTTGTATGAAATATATGTCTTTATAGTAGCAGCGGCTGAAAAACAATTAAGGATGAATTGACAATTGGGGGATTATTGTTTTCCTTTTTCTAATAAAACAAGTGTTTTCTTTCTCCCCCCTTGAAAATTCCTTCTCTTGTTGTTTGACACGTAACAACTGGAAAATCTTTTTTTTTTCTTTGTTAAGAGTGTGCTGGTGTTTCTAAATTTGTTTTAAATGGAATGGTAGCGCTGGTGTACATATTTAGTTAGAAGATAATTGGTAGCTCTGTTAATTATTCGTTTTATTGCAACAGCAGTAACAGCCAAGAGAATCTCTAATGATTTTACAAGAAAGAATCGCGTAAAGCCTGAAACCACAGTTCTAAATTGACTTGGCTCTCTCTTTTCAAAAGGTAAAAATCAGATAGTTAGTAAGATATATATTGTAATTATGTATATTCTCTCTATAATTATAAACCTTCGACTTAATCTCTTTACAAATTCTATTTACTCATTATTTTCTTTGGATTGTTTACTGGCTTCAAATAAATACCAAAGAATATCATCTAATTCATCATTAAATTTAATTTTCCCATCATTTGAAAGATTCATTAAACTTGAATTCAATCTTTCAATCACCAATCGATTAAATCGAATCTTGGTATTTGTATACAAGAAATTACAAATATCTTCATATAATTGTTCAGTGTATAATGATTCTAAATCACTCTTTCGTATTTCAACAATCATATTCCTTAATAATTTAGTTTTATCTTCTGTAGTATACACTAATTCCATGGATCCATGTATATCCTCTAATTTTGTCAGTAATTGATTTATTAAATTTGGAATAAAATCATTAGGTAAGTTGAATGGTTTAATGATTAATGGATCATGATTTAAATCTTCCAATAACTCAACTATAAATCGATTAAGCTTCACTTTTGGTGATATTTTATTCAAAACTAATGTAAAATTATCATCAGGGTCAGTTATATCTTTAATAAATACAAACATTTGATTAGGTAACAATCCTGTACAATGAAATTGAATATATTGAATTCGATATTGATCCTTATCTACATTCCCATATGCTATCTTCAATACCCGAAGAATATCTTTATATGATTCATATTCAACTGAATCTTTGTCGTTTACTTTTAATTGACTTCTATATTGTTCATAAAGATGTTTACTCAATGGTATACGAATTTTATATTCTAATTTTTCGGAAGATATGGTTGGAGAAGTTGGTGATAATAAGGAGGTACATCTACCGATTCTAAATGTCTGAGTAAGTAGTAATGTAGTTATATTTCTGTCGTCATCCATACTTGCTTGCTGTGCTTGTCGTTGTTGATGTGGTGTGGAAAATATTTGTTGATGATTTATGGTGTGTGAATCCATTTATGGAAATTTCAATCCAGCCGCGCGTTTTCTGTTACATGCAGGATAAAACCACCAAACCGAAATCCGGTTCTTCCAAGTTATCTTGCATTAGTAAGTGAATGACTAGTTTTATTCCACAGTTTCAATCCAGGTGGCAAAATAACTAAACCAAATTTTGCAGTCAAATACTTCTCTATATAATTTAATTAATTTAAATCTCAAACGTTTGCTTAGTAATATATCTAGTCATTCAGTCCTCACCATGACGTCGATCGTTAGCAAAATCGATCCAATACCCCGGATGGCATTTTTTACAGGTTAGGTTTAAGTACAATAAACCTGACAGTTTCCACAACGACCAGGCGTTGGATTGTTTGTGTACATGTACTTCTCAAAAAAGAATATGGGGTATTAATCCCCGGGACATTGTATGTACAGAGTACTATATCTCTCCGGGGTGAACGGCGCGCTAAAAATGAAAAATGAAAAATGAAAAAAAAAGGTCCGAGTTGTATCCTCGGACTGGTAGATATTTTGATTCTGCAATTGTGATACAAGTGAAGTCCGAAAGAGTATGAGCTTGTGATGTAGACTTTAAAGTACCTCTCGTGATACAATACGTTTAAAAAGAAGAATCAATTGAGTCGGTGCAACATGTATTCGTCATGCCACTCCTGATCAAATTTCTACATTGTACAAAACAAATTCAGTCTAAAATCATTATGTCTTTTTATTTATCTCATTTGTAACTATAAATCATATTTAAAATACTAAAAACTAATATTATTTAAAGATGAGCTAGTTAAGCTTGGTTAGCAACGTGTTGTAATAAGTCAACAACTCTGGTGGAGTAACCGTATTCGTTATCGTACCAAGAGATCAACTTAACAAAGGTTGGGGATAATAAGATACCAGCCTTAGCATCAAAGATGGAAGAGTAAGAAGAACCTAAGAAGTCAGTAGAGACAACGGCATCTTCAGTGTAACCCATAACACCCTTTAATTCACCTTCAGAAGCAGCCTTGACAGCAGCACAAATTTCTTCGTAGGTAGCTGGGGTCTTTAATCTGACAGTTAAATCAACAACGGAAACATCAACAGTTGGAACTCTTAAAGACATACCGGTTAACTTACCGTTTAATTCTGGGATAACCTTACCGACGGCCTTAGCAGCACCAGTGGAAGATGGGATAATGTTACCAGAAGCAGTTCTACCACCTCTCCAGTCCTTGTGGGATGGACCATCAACAGTCTTTTGAGTAGCAGTGATAGAGTGGACAGTGGTCATTAAACCTTCTTCAATACCGAACTTGTCGTTAACAATCTTAGCTAATGGAGCTAAACAGTTAGTGGTACAAGAAGCATTGGAAATGATGTTCAAGTCAGAAGTGTACTTGTCTTCGTTAACACCAACAACAAACATTGGAGCGTCAGCAGATGGAGCGGTAATGATAACCTTCTTGGCACCAGCCTTGATGTGCTTGTCAGCACCGTCAATCTTGGTGAAGACACCGGTGGATTCAATAACGTAATCAACCTTGTTGGCACCCCATGGGATATCTGCTGGGTCTCTTTGTTGGAAAACCTTGATGGTCTTACCGTCAATGATCAAGTTGTCACCTTGAGAAGTAACTTCACCCTTGTATTTACCGTGGGTAGAATCATACTTGAACATATAAGCAGCATAATCTGGAGCAATAAATGGATCGTTGATAGCAACAACGTTAATATCTTCTCTAGATAAAGCGACTCTTAAAACTAAACGACCAATACGACCGAAACCGTTAATACCAATACTGATAGCCATTGTGATTTATTTATTTAATTATTTGTTGATGTAGATTCTCAATTGAATTCTGATGAAACAAGAAGAAGAAAGAGAAAAGAAGAAAAGTAAAAAAGAAAAATTATCAATTCTGAAAAATTAGGGAATTTCACCGTGAATTTATAAAGCTTTCTATTTGCAAGGGAAACAAGGGGAGAGTTGGATTAAATTTGTAATCTGTAAAAATATTGAAAAATTATTTTTTCAATTCAAGCAACGTAATAAAAAAAATTGGGAGAATAGCCACCGGGGCGAAGATACCCATTTTACAGTTTAGATGAAAAATACATACAACTCTATTCTTTTTTCTTCCATATCATTCCATTTTTTAACCACACACCTCAAATTTAAAAACTGTAATGAAACCGTTTCAAAAGCTGTGTGTGTGTAAATGGTACCAGCTGACTTTAAAACATTAGTTGTTTGTGTTTTCTCTGGGAAATGTGTACCATTAGCTGGTGCGCTTGGGATTATTGGTCCCGTGGGCATGGCTAGTAGCAAAAAGGGGGGTTTCGTCAGAGTTTAGCACTTGTCTGGTCAATGCACAAAGAAATTGCAGCCATTGAGTTCTAAGACATTATTTACTTGATTTCTTTGATGGTATAGTTGCTCGAAATATAACCAGTTAATCCGGTGCTAACAAATTGATTGCATAATGACGGATAATACTATTCGTATAATGATATTCCCTATAAGCTAAATCAATAAAAAAGGGGATTTTGTGTCTCTAACCTGTAAAAAAATGATTACCGCAGAACAGAACTCCGAGACCGAAAAAAAATTCTTTACTATCAGAAATCTGTTTAATAAGTAAGAATTATTACTCATCCGATGGCAATTAATTGCAAGAAGTATAAAATGACACGGAACAATAATGTGGTAGTAGTAATGGGTAGGTGCAACATGAATGAAACAAACGTCTCTAAACAGTGTCAAATTTAAATCACACCACGACTCCTCAACTGGTGGAAAAAAAGACTAAAATCCGGTTTTACACACCCGTTACCGTTATTAAATTAGCCATTATGCATTCTGGAACCATCAGGTGTTTCCCGGTGTTTCTATGTAAGGAATTTATTTTTACAGGTTACGTTGGAAATTGTATGAAACAGATTTTTTTCGCTGGTTATGTTCCGCTGTTCCAGCACACAACTCTCGGGGGATTATGTCTGGGTGGTTTTACCTATACAAAGAAAAGACATTCCTGTAACAACCGGGGTTGCAATACAACCTCATATGATATTTTATTTTGATTTCTTTACACCTTCGGAATTGTGTTCTAATTAGTTTTGTGGGGTATTAATTGATTGATTCATCGGACAACCTCCCGTATATACACAAGCCAATTGTCCGGGTGGATCTAAATTATACATTACTTCTATATTTGTTGGCTCTATATTCAATTGATTTGTTGGAAACGTATCAGTTGATGTGCTGGCTAAACTACAAAGATGTGGGATTCTACAGAGCTTTGAAAATTAACAGAAAATTTTCACGGTTGCTAGAGTGGAAAAAAACAAGGGGTTTATAGTCGCAAACAAAATTGCTCCATACGAGCACACGCTCTTTATCTCAACAAACCCTGCTAACATGTCCTATCGATTAATCAAACTCAATTCAGGCAACACTATTCCATCAATTGGTCTTGGATGTTATGATATCCCAAACTCAAGAACAACTGAAATTGTTTATAAAGCATGTCAAGTAGGATATAGACATTTCGATACTGCAGTATTATATGGTAACGAACAAGAAGTTATAAATGGAATTTCCAAATATCTACGTGAAAATCCAACAATTCCAAGAAGTGAGTTCTTCTATACCACTAAATTATGGAATAGTCAATTAGGCAAGACACAAACGAAAAGTGCAATTGAAGTTATGCTTCAACAAGTTGGAGATTTAGAATATATCGATTTATTATTGATTCATTCCCCTCTACCGGGAAAAACTCGGAGATTAGAAAGTTATCAAGTTATGCAAGAATATAAAGATAAAGGATTGATCAAGAATATCGGAGTTTCTAACTATGGTATCCATCATATTGAAGAATTGTTGAATTGGCCAGGATTGAAATGCGTTCCTTGTGTCAATCAGATTGAAGTGAGTCCTTGGTGTATGAGACAAGAATTGGCAAGTTGGTGTTTGGACAAAGGAATTCAAGTTCAAGCATTTGCTCCCTTGACTCATGGATATAAATTAGATCTGAATCAATTCAAAGATATTCAAGAAAAGTATCACAAGTCATTGGCGCAGATATTGATTAAATGGTCATTGACCAAGGGTTATATCCCTTTGCCCAAGACCAAGACTGAGTCAAGATTAAAGGAAAATCTTTCAATTGATGATTTTGAATTAACCAAAGAAGAAATAGCTAGAATTGATCAACCGAATGCGTATGAACCGACAGATTGGGAATGCACAGATGCTCCATGAATTCTTCGCATATGCAGTAGAATAATAATACAGCATGTTCTAGAATATTAATTGTCATCTAAAGTTCTTTCTCGGAGATAGATAAAAGATATTACTGTTTTCTTATTTTTCTGAAACTGAATAAAACGAATGAACTCGAGGCAAATAGAAACATAAAAATAATGACATTCCACGGCTATAGAAGTAGGTTCTTGCCAAGCACCTAGAAAAACACCTCTGTTTTTCAGGATCAGCATCAAAAATTAGAGCAAAAGAAACCCTCGATATGTTTTTTAAAAGCCATGTGAAAAGTTAAAGTCATTCCCTCGAAGATTCGTTATGAAATTGCAGATACGTTTTAGTTTATAGATGACCCTTTTTTCGTAGCCTAATTATTACGTCACGCATAGATCATTTATTTTTTTGCAGGGATGGAATTTTTCCGAGATCCGGCATTCTGAATGACTTTTCCGAGATTATGCTTTTCCATCTTTTAGGTGTACAGCTGTTTTACTTGCTAGAAACCATGAAGATGTCTGGATGTTGTTCAGCATTGTAGATATAGATCTAAGGTATACGTAGAAACCAATATCCGTACTCTTTTGTTCAATGGCTTCATACCTAAAAACGCTAATTCGGGAGCTTAAGTCCTTATTTATAGTTAAGATAACATGCAAGATGCAAATGAATTAGTGAATATTTTGTAAAAAATAACTCTCATAGGGTGATAAGATGATATGTTTATATGGATACGGATGACTCCTCGAACAGCCGTTCCTTTGACGCGACTATTTCTTTTTTTTCTTTGTTAAATCTTCCCCGAAATCTATTAGGTAAGAAAATAAAACCTGATGTTTTATATGTACTTCTCTGGGCTCATCTAATGACTGCATCTGGTCTTTTTGTCTTCAGGTTAGAGGTCTCCGTGGTTACTCAATCAAATTGCAGATGAATTACCGGAAGAGAAAATATCTGATGACTAGGCGAAATACATTTTTATTATTTGTGCAGAATCGAGATCGGCTTTAAAAAATAATATTCGTGCCGATCTCCCATTTCCGCATTGTTTTTGTTTACACGTAGGAACCAAGCTTGATCACGCTTTGTAGTCCGCCGTTATACAAGAGACTAGTTTCAAAGTCGATGCTTCAGATGGGAAGATCAGTGGTCATGAGATAGACATATACAGCTGCGAAATTGTCTTTAAATATTCCTTTAGGATGACTTTTTTCGAAAAAGTCAGCAACATGAACAATTGTCTCTAAGTCGATATTACGGAATCCCTCTTGCATTTATGCCGACATTAGACAATATCCTCTTTAGAGAAACTGTTCTCTAAAAAAGTGTAAATAAACATCGTTTTGTACGTTTAACTTGTTTGGGAAAATTAATTGTTAACGGATTGGCAATAGCCGTGAACAATTGCCATTGTTCTCAGAACCGGTGCATTATATGGGGTAACCAAAACACCGACACCGAAAAGTAATTGGTAAGCATTAGCTTTAGTGGCTATACGTAGAAATGTTCCCTCGATGATGTAAGCAGCTGTTGCCAAGTAGTTTCTCTCAATTATTACCCTGACCATATCTGATGATGGAAATATGCGGGCTGGGTTATTTTTCATGCAAGGCAAATTTATTTTATATGCATGTCAGGAAATATGTTATTTTTTGACAGTAATAAAACCTTAAAAATTATGGAATTAGATACAGAAAGAATGACTTATCACGATCATCAAGAGGAGATATATGTCCCCAACAGCCAATCTTTATCAGTGTCGGCTATTATTCTGTAGCATTGGATTAGAATTACGAATAAAAACGTTACATTGTACATAAACCATGAAAATACTATTAAACTATCTAGATAAAACATTAAAAGAAAAGGCAAGCATAAATATATACACTATATTAATTGAAAAAAATTAGTATTTCCCCATAAATGGATTGTTACCCCCATTCATAAAACTATCCAACCCATCAGTGGCAGTCAACACATCAAGTGATTGAAAGGGTTGCCCAAATGGAAACTCAACAGGACTACCTGCTTGGAGTGGCTGTTGTTGTTGTTGATGTTGCATTAATGGATCAGAAGGGAATATATTAGTCATTATTTTGTTATTATTATTGTTGTGGTTGTCAAAAACGTTATTAAATATTTCTAAATCTGCGCCTCTAATATCTTGATTGAAAAGACTTTGCTGGTTCATTGTCATTGGAGAAGGTATTATTGATCCAGAAGATGATGTTGAGGAATCAGCACTTTCTCTCTTGACCGTATTCATATTACCATGATTGTGATTATGAGAATGTATATGGTTTGGTTTGGAAACATGTCCACTATTCTTCAGTTTTTTGTGTGATAATGAAGATGAAGATCTTCTTATTGTAGACAAAACCTCCCCAGTAGCCAAAGTAGGGGTTGGTGTAGGTGAAGTGGCTGATAATTGGGGTGATAATAGTGTATGATTTTCATATTTGTTAGTCAATGATGTTATTGAAGAAGTTTTGCTTAATATTGGAGCATCGTAGACGAATAATGTAGTTGCTGGTTGACGATTATAATGATCTGGAGGTGATAGTGATTCTCCTAGTTGATTATGTGTAAGAGGATTGTCGAGATCACTGTCAAAATCTGACATTAATAATTCGTTGGTGCTTCTTTTATTAGTAATAGCAGTTGATAAGCCAAGATTTAAGTTTTCAGCAGCAGCAAATATGGGAGACGAGTGTTCTTGTTTTACTTTAATACTAGACTTCTTCGATCTTGAAGAACTGGATGGCTGTGATTGTGGAGATAAAACTGGTGATGCTGGGCTAATTTGTTGTCTATGGTTAGCAAATAAATTTGCAGCTTCATTTAAATTTTTCTTGGGATCAAAATTTGCGGCAATCATTGTTCCTTGTTCCCATTCAACAGGAACATTATTTAATAATCCTTGTTGATTGATCAAATATGAAATGACTCTATTAATAGGAACAACATCCGCGTCATCACCTTCACCTCCTTCATGTTCTTCATCTCCTTCTGAAATGTCGTCTGAAGAATCATCATCGATATCTCGCTGTTGCTGTTGTTTCTTCATCAATTTCAATTGTCTATTTTCTTCAATTATTTCATCAATAAAACTTAAATGAGGTTGTGATAATTCAATTAATTTGTTAAACAGTTTAGTTAAGATATCTAATCTAGTTTCTAATAATTCAATATATCCATTTGGATGATTCTTTTCTCGTTGTTTTTTCTTTTCGGTAAATACGCAAATCTTATTGTCTAGTATACATCTATTACATGGTTTCTTACCATCACATTTTGTCTTTTTGATTCGACATGAATCACAAGCTTTACCAACTCTCTTCTTTTTTATGTGGTTATGAGATGTTGAATTATGATCTTCTGATTGCATTTTTTTAGTATTCTATAGTATTATCTGTGGATTGTCGTTTGGTGGTTATTTATCAAATTTCAATGATAAATTTCTATATTTCTAATCAAAGATGAGTCTTATGGGCTGTATGTGGTAGGTTGGATTCGGACTCGGAGATTAGCTCGGGCCTGACTGAAAAAAAAGCTTTCGGGTCGGTTTAAAACGGTATTAATAAAACCTTAAATTAATGTATAGTTTCCTATTTAAAGCTTGAGGGGGGACCCTGTACACGGTTGAAATGATCTTGAACGAGTGAGTTTTTGACTAGTCGTTCAAATATTGTTAGTTGGGGGGAGTATTGTTGAATCTTAGGTGTCGTGGTTGTATTACTAATCGTAGTAGCAGTAGTACTTGTTGCAGCCTAGTTGTAGTTGTAATAGCTAATTGCGGTTGAAACAAATACAGAGTTAATTAAGGATAATAAGAATAATAAAGAGAGAGGGAAGTTACCAAATCTGAATGGAGGAGGTGGAGGGGGGAATGTTTGATTGTATTTATATTTTTTTTTTTTTGAAGTGAGTGACCGTTCTAGTAAAGGGTATTATTATTAGAAATAGAAATGTCAATATCATAAAAAATAATTAATGTATGTATGTACAATTTAAAAAATATAATCCCAATAAATTCATAGAAACAAAGACAGAACAAAATTGGGTCAGTCATTCCTAATTGTTTTCTATTACCCAAATTCATAAACTTTCTTAAGGGCTTTGATAATCTAGGCACACTTCAATTTCATGTCTGATGATTATTACTCTTTTATTATTAATGTAGGTATACTAAATTATTTTTTATTCAAAAATGTTTAGTAAGATTTATTTTTTAATTTGCAGCATCTGTATAAAAATATAAAAAAAAATATTTGAAATGGAAAAAACAAATTGGTTTTACCCGACTTCCCGAACCCGAATATTTTCTAATTATACACCCTACATATCGGGATTACTGAAACAGATCTTCTTATTTGCGTAAAACATCCGTACTTCAACAAAATCGCTCGGATATAAAGTGTAACCCGTTTTTTAATCTCCCGCGAGAAATGTTAGTACCGGACGTATCACAAAACATGTCCGGAAAAACCCTCAAAAGTAAACAGTCACTTCCACTGGATATATTAATCACATTTGAAATAGCGAGGCTATTTTTTGCTAGTACGGCGACTGCCAATAGCCTGGAAACCTGTCTGGTGGTGATTCTATATTCCTAGTTGATTTTCTACCAGTAGTAGCAAATGTGGCTACATACTTGAGAGATTAATGCTTCAAGCCACAACTGATATTTTAATCTCTACCCCGATCCGAAAAGAAAATTATATTTTTAACGATGAAAGTATAAAGCCGAACAATCTGCTTGCTTATTTTTAATTTGCAATCTTGTTGTGGGGGGCAAACTATTTTATTTTTACATTAGCGATTTCTTAGTAAAACAGGTTACTAAATTTCAAACATCCCATGAATGAGACACTCTGTTGATAGCCCTTTCAACCAAGAATCACGAGCGTTCACGGAAATCACTGGCCACTATCAAATTAATCCGTGAGCTGTAGGGCTTTAAAGTTTAGATTTACGTATAAATCATATCATTTTTTTTAGATGGTTAAAGATGCTTGTGCATTTTGGAGATCTTATGTCTTTTTTTTAAGTAACTTTCCATTTGCGTCATTTGAAATAAACGTTCCTTGTTGTTCAAATAAAATATTTTATTTTTGTTGTATTGTTCTCTTAAAAAAATGACCTCATTTTTTTTTCTAAAACATGTTCAAACGATAAAAAGCAATTGTATAAAAAAAACCTTAAAAAACCTTACTAAGCATACTCAATGGAATTGATAGACGATTGCAAACAGATAAAGTATAAATCTGGTGAATGAATATCGGATTGCACATCCCGATATACTTCCGCCTATTAATTAAAGGGAATCGAAGAGAGATAAGAAAAAGGGTCTGAATTCTGGTAATCAATCAATCTCCTTAACCCAATCCCCATATTTTCAAAGTTATAATTGAATAATTTTTGAAAATATACGTAAATGATTTTAATCTCCGTAGAAAATTGATAAGGCTCTATTGACCTGTCTCACTTACTATGGCACCGCTTATACTTCTTACATCTATTTAGATTCAGTAATATACCATTCTATTTCAGCATAGCCTTTCGGTGATACCCATCGCTGGTAAGTTGAAGTATAATTTCTATCGTAAAAATTGCCAAGTGAAAATTGATTGGAACAACGGTTATTATTTCTTTGTTCAATATTTTTTCTGTTTATGTAGATATAAAATCTTTGCGATTTTTCTTATATGCGGGGGAAAGCCCCATATAGTCAATCTATCTTATCATCGTGGGGGGGGGGGGCTCCCGAATGGCTAGAACAGAACCCCTTTCTTTCTTTTTTAATAATCAACCTTTGATGCCATAGCCCTATCTCTTCAACAGCCTTCCACGCTAACAAAGGAGATATTTTTTAATACGGACTTTGATTTGTCATGAAAGATTTTAGACTAGATCAACATTTTCCATTGTTTAATGGAATTATTCATCCGTCAAAGAACCCAAACTTATAGCCACCCAATTACGGTTTTGAATGTCCGCCACTAGCGCCTCTTAACGCCCTCCTCCTCCTATCGTCAATCAACTTCTCTACGGACGAGTTTCCAAAAGAGGTCTCTTTCCGAAATGAAACGCGTGGTTTTCGCTTTTCGCTAATAACGAGCGTTTTGGATGCAACATCAGGCAGTGTGTCAATTTTTAGAAGGACCCTTCCATGCATGAAAGAAGCTTGATGAGAATTGGAAAGTGATATATTCAAAGATAATTGCGTTCCTTTTTGTTGCCATCAAGTCACTTTGAAATATTTTTGCAGCAATCGCAAGCTAACACGGTAATTCTCAAAATTGTCCTCCAAAAAAATTTTTGGCTAGTAGTGGTTTGTTTTATACCCTGAAGTGGAAGTTCATAGATAAATATCAAATTCATATGTATCTGACATCTTATGTTGTATATGTCGACACCTTGAATTCAATCACAATCTTATATACCAGACAAAAAACCAAATGAATTAATCAAGATTACATTGTAGGGGCTGGTTTAGGCTCTGGTTAAAAAACTTCCTAGCAAAAATCCCAGCTAGAATACAAGCTTTCAAAATAGCTCAGTTCATTGAAGCCGAACAGAAAACAAACTGAGGCTGTCACTGATTTGGCACGCAGGAGTTCCTACCCTTTTTTTGTGTATAAAATCTGACAGGTTAGGAGCATATGAGCTAGGGTAGCTGAAGTGTTATTCCACAAATGTGAAAAATTTCAGAATCCTATTTTGATTTTTGAATGCAAATGAGCATTGGGTCAGGTTTGATTTGATTTCCAACAAAAAACATATACTGCACAGCCGAGTCATTTTTCACATGATGAATATAGGGACTTCTTCGGGTCACCCCCTTCTACTATTCTCCCACCACTATTCGCAGATTTACCGGGGGACTTTTTCAACAGTCGTTCAAAGAAATTTAATATTGAAGCAAAGCAATGTGTTATCCCGGAGGGTTGGTCTAATCTTTATGATTTGGATCCCGCTGATTGGGTAAAATTTTTTAAGATCTTGGCTCATGGCAAACGTTGCTACCCGGATGGTATGGACGCTGTTCACCGACTCAATTTGGGTCATTTTACGCATCATACCGACCGTGAATGTGAATTCTGTGGCCGTTATGTCTGGGGTCGGTACTATACCCATCATGTCTACACAAAGTGTCGGGTAACTATGATTCTTTGGCAACTCTGCCGTCCACGCTCGCTACCAAGGAAGCTCCGCCTCTTTATTTGCAATTCCTCCCTTCAAACTTTTCAATTAATGCAGTTAAATCGATACCTCGCCCTCCTTTATAAGTTTCAAAAATTTCCACGAGCAGGGGGGCGGAACGTTGAGCTCATGGTCCACTTCATTCACAAATGGGTATCATATGCTTCAAAGAGTCTTTACAATTATTCTTATTCACTAAGCCTCTAATATGCCACTGAAATAAGGTTTTAGGCACTGCTGCTTTTTGCCTTTAAAGTATATTGTTTTCTGTTTGTTATATTTCTGTATGTTAGTATGTATAAGAACTCAATAAACAGATTGTATATGTAAAAAAAAGAAAAATTTTGCTTCGATTCCTTACAAACTTGCAAATGACAAAACCGGTAAAAGAAATTCACATGAACAACAGTTAAAAGCCACTGGATGGCATTCCTACGAATATTCAATGTCTTTGGATATTGAATAAAAAACAAAATAAATCTTGTTGAGCCATTTTACAAAGTTTTATCGTTGGCTGCAAAAAAATTACTATATGTCCTGCCAAGTTCTCCTTCTCCCCACCAGCAAAGTAAACACTTAAACCCAGTATGTCCGGACAACAAATGAGACAAATACTATTGATTAATCATGTTTGATTAGAGACAAGCCTAACAAAATCAACAAGAAATTGACAAAAACGAAAATTTTATAGCCATTTAAATATCACTGGAGGTCAAAGCCGGATTTTCCAAAATTCAGAAATTGATGCGGTGGCTCAATTGGTAGAGTTTTGGATTCCAAATCCAACGGTTGCAGGTTCGAGTCCTGTCCGTGTCAATTCTTTTTTATTTCTTCAATGGTTATATTATAAATATCATAAATAACATAAAATCAAATTTGAATTGAATGAAATTGATTCATATTGTTAAGATTTTTTAATGATTAAAAAATTACGAGGATCCAACAAAGCTTATTTTTTTTCTTCTGTTCATTATTTGCGTACTTAATTACCTCAAATAGTAAGAAGCTCTGACGTCATACTGGTTTATGGGGCGTTTACAAATAAGAAACATCATTATCAGATAGTAATCTTAGATCTCTAGCATTAAGATACAGATAATTAGATATTATCCCAGAATATGGTATTAGCTTTTTGTTTAATTTAAAGTAAATCCTTGTTTCAACCCAGAGCGCTACCAATACAGATAACCTGAAAAAATAAAACTTGAAAAATTTCCATCTCTTCAGTATCCATCATCTTGATCTTTCCTCTCTAACACACACAATGGCCAAGAAAGCCAAATCCAAACAAGCTGAGCCAGAAGCTCCTGCCAAAGGGAAGAAAAAAGGAAATGACTCCAAATCATCCTCACCCGCCCCGACTTCGGATGATATCAAAAAACCTCAACGAGGATTAGCCATCGGAGAAAATTTTGGTTGGACCGGGAAATTACCAGTGACATTATTAAATGAACATTGTCAGAAGCAAAAATGGGGGAAATGTCAATATGACATGTCAAAGAAACCAAAAGGATTTGTGGGGATTGTGACTTTGACTTGGGAAAACCCTAAAACCAAAGAATTGATTTCAATTAAATATGTGCCTGATTATGAACCTAAAGCGACTACTAATGAAGCTAGACATATGGCAGCGACTTTTGTATTGCACAGGATTAATTATATTAAAAACATGAAGATGTTGCTTCCGATTATATTTAGAGATTACTGGCTGGAGTTGGAAGAAAAGAGGCTAAAGTTATTGCAGGAGAATAAAGGATTACATGACATCAAGTATAATGTGAATCCATTTACTGTGTATTTGCAACAACAAGAATTAAATGAAAAGAAAAAGAAAGAAGAGATGATTAAACAACAAAACGAACTAAAGGTCAAGAAGCCCACAATAAGTATAGGTACAACAGCGGACCAGAAATCAAATCCAAGAAAGCAGCAATCAACAAAAACAATTGAAGAAATCGCAAAGGTTCCTAGATTTCCAAGAAAAGTATGGGAGAATGCACCATTTATTGATATCCCCTCAGAAATTAGAAACTCAATTGAAGTATCTATCAAGAATCATATTGATTGGGTAAATAATGATCACGATCTACTTATTGACAATCCATCCTTGTCTAAAGTGTATTTGCAACAATTGTTAACTCTTGGTTTCAGACAAAATCATATTGAAGAATCTTTCAAGTACACTTCGAAGTTCATTGATTCTATAGAATGGTTATTGTTTCATATCCCTGAAGATGATTTGCCTCCAACTTTTACCAAATCGGAAAAGGATTCGCAAGTCTCAGTTAAGATTTCTAAAAATATTCAATTGGAATATATGTTGGGCAGACTTAGACAATCGGGATTCGATGATGATCAGATATTGGCAGAATTGAATCAAAATGATAACGATGAATTTAGGACATGTATTCAGTTGACCCATAGTTTGTTGTCATACATTCAAAAACAGGAAATGGTTGAGATGTCGAGCGAAGAAAGTCAAGAACTTTGGGAACAAGAGTTAGAAGCAATTGAAATGTCAGGATCCACGAATATCAAATTGGACGACAGCAAGAAAGTTGTAACTATTAAATTAAGTCNGAAGCAATTGAAATGTCAGGATCCACGAATATCAAATTGGACGACAGCAAGAAAGTTGTAACTATTAAATTAAGTCCGAAAGACATCCCGCAAAGAAATGTGCTTTCACTTAAATTATTCAAAACTGACAAATATCCACAAGAAATTCCAGGCATACATATTGTTGTATTAGATCCAAGTTATAAATTAGCAAATTATGTCAAATTATCTATTCTCAGAAATTTAGTGCAATATCTTCTTGATAATCACATGGTAGGAGAATGTATGATTTTCTCAATTATGGAATGGCTTGAAGAAAACATTGCTAGAATAATTAAAGATCCTGGTCAATTGGTTACTGGATCTATATCAAGGAAACCATTACAATCTAAGAATACAAACACTCTGACAACCATCTCCAAAGCCGGCTCATCCAGAAGAACCAACACACTCTCAAAGCGAGAAATCGACGAAATCAAATCTCTGCACATTAAGAGGGCGTCCAGTTCAGAACTACAAAGCTCAATCAAAAAACGATCCAAGTTACCCGCCTGGGAAAAGCAACAAGAGTTAGTTTCAATTATAAACTCCAATAAAGTCACTCTTATAACTGGTGAAACTGGGTCTGGTAAATCCACTCAATGTGTTCAATTCATACTTGATCATCTTAATTCCCAAGAAGACTTTCAGACCAACATTGTATGTACCCAACCTAGACGTATTTCCACAATTGGATTAGCCGAAAGGGTATCTGAAGAAAGAGTGGATAGATTAGGGAATGAGACAGGATATATTATTCGTGGGGAGAATAAGACGAATTCCAAAACCAGAATTTCATTTGTGACTACTGGGGTTTTGTTGCGTATGTTACAATCATTCTTAGCGTCAGGTGCAGACAACAGTAGTACCAACAAATCAACTGTGTTTGATAACCTTGGGTATATTTTCATTGATGAAGTTCATGAACGTTCCGTAGATGGTGATTTCTTGTTGATTATCTTGAAGAAAATATCGAGCAGTTTTAAGAATTTAAAGATTGTTTTGATGTCGGCTACTATTGATCCAGAAAAGTTTATGAACTTTTTTAATAGTCCTTTGAAACATGTACATATTGAAGGGAGAACCTTTCCAATTAAGGATTATTATTTGGATGATATTTTACAAGAGCTTGATTATTCCTTTGAGACCTACGATGGCGAAATTGTAAAACCTCTGGCGGATTCTCATTTTTTCAAATCAGGAAGTTTAAATTATGATTTAATAGCAAGGTTAGCTTTACATATTGATGAAAAGTTAAACAAAGAAAACAACACTGGATCCATATTGATTTTCTTGCCTGGTATAATGGAAATCAATCAATGTCTAAGAACCATAAACAAACTATTTGACCAAGAAGGCAAGCAAGTCATGTCGTTACCATTACATTCAGCTTTAACATCCAACGAGCAAAGAAGAGTCTTTAAATTCCCACCTAAAAACACAAGAAAGATAGTAATTTCTACCAATGTCGCCGAAACTTCTATTACCATTCCCGATTGTGTTGTGGTTATAGATACAGGAAGATCAAAAACTATGTTCTTTGATACGAAATTAAACACCACTAAATTGATTGAAAATTGGTGTTCTCAGGCTGAAATTGGCCAGAGAAGAGGTAGATCTGGTCGTATTACCAATGGGAATTGTTATCATTTATATACTAAGGAAACAGTGGAATCAATGCTATTGCAACCAATTCCGGAGATTAAGCGTACTCGATTAGAAAACTTATATTTGATCGTTAAAGCCATGGGTATTAATAAAGTTGAAGAATTCTTAAATAGTGGATTAGACGCTCCTGATCAGTCTTCATTGGTGAAATCAAAGAAGTTTTTACATGATTTGGGAGCATTAATTGATGATTCATTATCTAGTTTGGGGAAATATTTGTCATATTTGCCAACTGATCCTCAGAGTGGGAAATTGTTGATTTTGGGATGTATTTTTGGGTGTTTAGATATTTGTTTGACTCTTGCTGCTATAAGTTCTACAGGTAGTCCATTTATTAATAGTTTTGACGAAAGAGATAAGATCAAGCAGGTGCAAAGAACATTTGCTGAATCAAATGGTGATTTTATTGGAATGGCAAATGCATTCACAACATACCAGGAGATGAAAGATAATGGAGCCAATACCAAGAAGTTCTTATCTTCCAATTATTTATCATATACTACCATGAATGAAATTTCGTCCACTAGATCTCAATATGTTTCATTACTTATGGATTTAGGGTTTGTTCCATTGCATTACAAGAGAAGTGGAGAACAATATCAACAATTGAATAGAAATTGCAAAAATTATCCAATGATAAGATCAATTATAACCGGTGCATTCTATCCACAAGTTGCTAGAGTCCAATTCCCTGATCCCAAGTTTTTTAAATCGGCACAAGGTTCAGTCGCGATTGACCCGGATGCCAAAAAGATTAGATTTTGGGTTAGAAATGAACAATATATTGAACAGTTACAATCCGAGAAGATGACAGAAAATGAACAATTGCCGGCATCGAGAGTTTTCATTCATCCATCATCAGTTATTTTTAATGACAGTAACTCTGATTTCACAGTTGATGAAGAATTCTTATCCAAGATATCCAATGAAGATGGAAGTATTGATTATCAACAAGCGAGAGAATTAATGAACTTGAAGCCACAGGCACCAAAATCATCAGCATCGGCCCAAACGCTCAGATCGTCGTTCGTAGTATTCAGATCATCCCACCACACATCGAAATTGTACGTTCGTGATATTACTCCAACTTCAACGTTTGCTACTTTGTTGTTTGGAGGAGATATTAATTACAACTTAACAGTTGATATTATGAGAGGACAGACATCTCCAGGTATTGTATTAGACAGTTGGTTACCAATAAGAACTTGGTGTAAGAATGGGGTGTTAATTAAGAGATTAAGAAAGTTACTAGATGGTTTGATCGAGGATAAATTATCCAATCCTCATTACATCGACACAGAAGATTTGGGTGCAAATATTGATGAAGATATTTTTCAAATTGTAGAGAAAGTCGTGTGCTTGTGATCAAAAGGAAAACAAATCAAGGTGATCACGTGAAATGTTGCAACCAGATCTTTGATTTCGGAGTTTGATCGGCTCTTACCCAATTGGGAAAGATGGCATCAATTTGCTAAGTGATGGCCCCAAATTACTAATCGAGACAATTTATGGCAGATATAAAATCCCCCACAGAACATTCTCTGTTTTTTTAGATAAATAGACGAATTTTATAGAGTTCTTATACAATAAACGACAAATGACTAAACTAATAGAAGATCATATAGAGAGCTCGTCGACCGAAGAGAGCGAAGTACTCATACCGAAACAACAAGATGGAATCTCTCTTAAATCAAAAAGCAACTACGATTCCACAGATGCATCTGAAGAAGATGAATTTGATTCCGATGTTCTTGAATTACCTCAAGTAATTAGAGAAGTAGTTCCCCTCGAAGATGATCCTACCATTCCTGTTTTAACATTCAGATATTTCCTATTATCAATATTATTCATCATACCGGGAGCATTTATAGATACCATGAATTCATACCGAACAACATCCGCAGCATACTCGATATTTTTCGTGCAGATTGTCTCACATTGGATGGGAAAATGGTTAGCCAAAACATTACCGAAGAGACAAATACGAATTTTTGGTTTACCTCCGATCCACCTCAATCCTGGCCCATGGTCAATTAAAGAAACGGCTATGATAACAATCACAGCAAATAGTGGAGCAACAGGAAATATGGCAACCAATGCCATCTCATTAGCTGATTTATATTTTGGAGAGAAAGTCCCTACTTTAATAGCAATAGGGTTCATGTTTGCAATTGTCTTTGTGGGATATTCATACGCGGCAATTGCCAAAAACAGTTTGGTTTATGATTCACAATTAACATGGCCCCAAGCTTTGATGCAGACTACATTATTACAGTCACAAGCTAAAGCCGATAAAGATTCACGACATGCTAGTAAACAGATGAAAGTCTTCTTTGCTGTCTTGATTGGGGTTGCTGTATGGCAATTCTTTCCAGAATTCTTGTTTCCATTCACTACTTCATTAGCCATTTTATGTTGGATTGCTCCTTATAATGAAACGGTAAATTTTATTGGGTCAGGTTTGGGTGGAATGGGAGTATTGAACTTTTCATTAGATTGGGCAAACATTACTTCCTCAATTATGTTATATCCATATTGGGTTCAAGTTATACAATTTGTTGCGTTTGTTATAGGGGCATGGGTGCTTATTCCATTCGTGAAATGGGGTGGAATATTTGATTTCAAGTATGGATTAATGAGCAATAGTTTATTCACCGGGAATGGGACTATATATCCTACCCGAGAATTGTTGACTGCAAATTTAGAATTGAATACCACTGCATATGAAATATATGGTCCTGTTCATCTTGGAGCTCAACGTGCTTGGAATATGTTTTTCGATTATGCAGCATACGTAAGTGGAATCACTTGGGTGGTATTATTTGGATGGGATAAGTTCAAATTAGCATTTCATAAATTTACAAATGGGGGAGAATACTTGAAGCACATGCCTAAAGACAGATTAAATAAATTACAAGCCAAGTACGAGGATGTTCCAATGAAATGGTATTTAATGTTATTTATGATATCCTTTACTATATTAATGTCTATCTTTTGGAACGGACATATGTTTATGCCATGGTGGTGTTTAATAGTTGCATTGATCATGGGTTCAATTATCGTGACGCCTTTAGCTTGGCTTTATGCATTATCCAATTTTCAATTAGCAATTGGTACATTCAATGAATTAGTCTATGGATATATGATTCAAGGAACGAAAAGTAGACATCCAGCGGGTGCATTAGTATTTGGATCCATTGCTGGGAATGCATGGTATCGAGCCCAATTCCACTTAGAATGTATGAGATTAGGATTTTATGTGCATTTACCTCCCAAAGCAGTATTCTTTTCACAATTATTCGGAGAATTTATCGGGATTCCAATAAATTATGTTGCATTACGTTGGGTTTTGAAAACTAAGCGAGAATATCTTAATGGTACCAAAGTTGATTCATTACATCAATGGACGGGACAAACTATTGCCGCAAATCATACAAATGCTATCCAATATGTTGTATTAGGTCCTACAAAACTTTTCCAGAATTATCCATTATTACCATATGGATTCGTATTGGGATTGATGGGTCCTTATTTAATCTATAAGTTACACAAAAGATACCCTATGGATGGATTTAACTTATGGAATACCACCGTATTCTTCTCAAGTATGAGTAAATTCTATGGAAATATTTCTACTGGGTATTTATCAAGATTCATTGGTGGAACTATCACTATGTATTGGGCATTCAATTATAAGCATAGTATCTGGAAGAAATATAATTATTTATTGGCAGCTGCAATGGATACTGGATATAATTTGGCAGTGTTATTAATTTTTTTGATGTTTTCGTTGTTCACTACAGTTGAGATGCCTAACTGGTGGGGAAACAACGCAACGAGTATCGAGCGATGCTTTGCCTTATAGAACAAATACCTTATGTAAATATATATTATAGATCTAGACCTTTCTCTATGGTGTAATTGAATAAACTGTTGATATTGGTACAAAGTACACGACTCTATAATTTTACAGGTTTTTTTGTTTTGTCTGCTGGTTTTAAAAAGTGAAATTGAAAACTAACCAAGTTCAATATTCAATCTAATTAATAATAAAACCAAGGGGGGAAGATTATCAAATACAATGGAAGGAGGAAGTAATTCGCAGAGAAGCACACCAACGTCTTCCACCCCAGAGACAGAAATAAATCAACAGAAGGCAAGACTCTTAGTACAGAAGTTAAAAGAAGAGATTCAACTTGCAAAAGCTTCAACTGATCCTGCAAAAGCAAAAGCCCATTATCAAGTAGCAGAAAAGATTAAACGTGTATTGCTCACATTTCAAGCACAACAGGGTGCCAAACAACAAACCAATGAAGGAACTCCCAGTTCAGGATTAGGTTCTACACCAGTGGTTACACCAGGAGGAAGTATTATTCAACCACCCACTATCAATTCAGGAGTTACTTCTTCGGTTGCTTCTCCTTCTGTATCATCCTCTGGTGCAGTCTCAGCTATACAATCGCCAAGCCCTCAAAGATCAACTCCTGTACCAGCGTCAGACTCTAATACATCAAGCACGGGAGGACAGAAAGTCACTGTTGAGAAATTTAATCAAGTCAAAAATAGATTGAAGGAACTCTATGACAAGGTGAAAGCTTTAGAAAGCAATCGAGCTTTAGAAACTGATGAAAGCAAGAAAGCAGCCATGGAGAAGGAAGCTAAAATATTGACTACACAATTGCAGCAGTTTCAGAAAGTTGCAATCTATATGAAGAATCAACTAGTGCAACAGGGAAGAATTTCGGGAAGTACCACTCCCGTAGGGAACATGAGCTCACGTCTGGCCACGCCACCCATTTCACAAGATACATCGAACAAACCACCCGTTCCAGCAGCTACAGCACAACCAATTCTCCAACCTCAGCCTGTAGCAGCAACTACTAATACAACTACCAGCTCCCCAGCGGTCAAAACAGAAGAATCCAACAAACCAACAAAGACAGAACCTACACCCAAAGCAACACCCGCAGCGACAACCAAAGCCAAATCAGCAACGCCATCTAGCGCGAAGACCACCACAGCTCCTACGCCCACCGCAACAGCTGCCCCACCCGCTCCCCCTGCAGCAGTTCAAAGAGCAATGACTACGAATAGCGACATACCCAAACTCAAACAAGCAATCGCCTCCACCACCGCAGCTACAACTACTCCCGCCAACAATACAAACCGAACTACCACCACTTCAAGCATCACTTCTTCGACCATGCCAACCTTGAACAGATTCGCATCTAGTCTTGATATGAGTTCATCTTCATCAACGGTCACCCCGGCAAATATACCAGATAATGGAGGTCGAGTGTTGACGAAACGAAAGCTCGTCGAGTTGGTGAATTCCATCGCAGTCGACCAATATGGGGATACCAAGACCTCAGTAGATGTGGATGTGGAGGATTTATTCTTGGATTTGGCTGATGACTTTGTGAGATCCGTAGTTGGGTTTTCATGTCGATTGGCCAAACATCGAAAGATTGATGAGAATAAGATTGATATTCGGGATTTGCAATTGAATTTAGAAAGAAATTGGGGGATACGGGTGCCTGGATATGCCATGGATGAGATTAAGGCAGTGAAGAAATGGCAACCAAATCCGGAATATGTAGAGAAGGTGAAACAGATTGAAAAATCGGAAAATAAGGAAAGAAAATAAAGAACTGTTAAAAGTTAAATATGTATTATTATTATTAAGTATTAATAAAAGGTAGCCACCAAACTAATTCTTTTTAAGATTATAATTACCGTTCTTAAGCTCGAGTTTGTTTTCTTCCACGAGATAGTCCAAATATTCTTCTAATGAACTATCAGACACATTATTGATATCGATTTTCTCCTTCGGAACCATTATTTTCAACAATGTTTTGATTCTCTCTCCCGGTAATGACGTTATATTCTGTAGCATTGTTATAATATGTGATTCTAATTGATTTAATTCGCCAAATCTGTTATTACCAATATCTGCGGATTTTTGAGTAGCTGAATTATTACTTGAGGTAGCATTACTGAAAGCCATAATATCACCATTCGCATCATCATCTTCTTCATTTACAATATACAAAGTTTTGGTTAATTCCATTAGAATTCCTTCTTTGACCCAATAACTTAAGCCTTTGGATGCCATGTATTCACTCATATTAAGTGTTTTCGAGATATAGCTCACGGATAATTCACTTTCTTGTTCACTAAATAACGAGATGATTGCTGCCTTATCTGGAGATACTTCATAGGCAATGTTTTGCTTCTTGAATTCAATATTCAATTTAACTAATCCTAAATTAGGAACGAATTTCAAAGTCCGACCCGGTTTAATTTTTGAATAAGTTTGTTTGAAGCTTTCGAATTTTTGTTGAATTATTGTAGGAACATTAAAATTAACATTATTGATTTCTTCCAATACACTAGGCCAATATAAATGAGATAATACCGAACTTGAAAATACAATATTATCTGTGTTATAATTTTGAGCATCTGCTTCCTGTTGTAATAATTGACTTTGTTTAATATCTCGAATCATGATATCTAAAGTTGTAAAATTATTCTTACCAAATCTTAATTTCAATAAATTCAAATTTGATTCAATTTCATTAATATCCTTAAATTTGATCAATTTCTGACCAAACAATTTCGTAAATTCATCTATAAAGATTTCTTTTGAATTAAATATCGAAATTAAGGATTCTATTATGTCTTCCAATTTACCCTTTTTAAAATCTGGCAACGCATCAATTGGATCAGGAACCCAATTCAATGAATTATCTTCTTCATGTTGTTGCTGCAACATTTTGGGACTTCTTGAAGGTCGTCTCAATTCTTGGGCCAATTCATATAATTCATTAGTTTCGTGATTGTCATCTAAGAACCCATAAACAAGTTTTATAATTATATCATCTCTGAATTTAAGATATTTCCTGATTGGTCTAACAACTTTATCTAAAAGTACACCCTTTGGATCAATAATTAGAAACGATTTAATAGTTTTGGTATAAGTAGTTATCACATCTATGGTATTTGCTCCTGAATGCAATAAATTATCTTCACATTTTTTTATAAACATTTCAACTAATTTTGTTCTTTGAAAAGCTTGGGAATTGTAAGAATACGGGATTTTATTGAAATCTCGATGATTAAATTTCTGTGATAAACATTCATGCAAGTCATTTAAAGCGTGATAAGTGTTGGGGAACTTTAGAATTAGGGAGTAAATTTCTTTAATTCGTAATGAAACCAATTCATCGTCAGCAATTCTGATCAAATCGTAAAGTAGAAACAGGTTATCAACTTGATGATTTCCAGGATGTTGTGGGGATGTTGAATAATTAATTACTATTGAAAAACTAGGGAATATCTCTCGTTCAATGAAATTATTTATATCTTGTAATAACGGTTTATCCCAAACACACGTACAATTTTGAACTATATAATGATTAATCCTCTTAATGGATAACTTGATCACAATATCATTCAATTGATTCGTAAAGTCGATTGAAACCAAAGTAGTTATAATATCAATTAGATCTAAAGAATTTGCAGATTCAGGTGATTTAAATAATGTTTCATTAAAGTAAATACCCATTTCATCAATAAAGTTCGTTTTATCAATCAAGAAAGAACTTAATAATAAACTCAATTTCTTAATAAGCACTCGTTTGATCAGTACAGTTAAATTCAAATAATCAGATTGGATCCCAAAATAGTACATAATTGCTTTAATCATATCTATAAATTGTAAGAATGATAACTTATTACCAACCATTATAGGCGACTGAAAGAATTCATTAAATTTTCCATTAATTGAATTCAAATATAATCGAATAAATTCCAATTGGTTATGTTCATCCTTAAGACAACTTCGTATAGCAGCTTTAATTCTTTGAGAAGGTTCTGGAAATTTGTTATAGATTGTTGGGAAACCATCTTTATTGATATTACTTGTGGTTGTTAATAAATTTGGTGGGAAATATGGCGATAACCATTCAAGTAAGATTGTTATGTCATTATCTATTTCTGATTGGTTGTTGGATAAATCATTCAAATTGGGAGATGGAATAATTGACCTTATGATGTCTTTAGTTATAGCTATATCTGACATGATGTCATCTTCACCTGTACTGATATCAACAAACAAAGTTTCTTACAAAGAGAGAAACATAAATAGAGATTTTTTTTGGCAGCACATGTCGTCCTTTTGTATGCGACATAAATTTGATAGAGAAAATGTCGCACAAACTTTCAGTGTTGCAGCCATTCTCTTTGTCTTCACCACAGTTCATTACCTTACCAATATTAATCTAGAGAGCTTGCTTTACCAGTTACCAATTCATTGGGCTATGGAGTAGCAAGTCTAATGAGTTGTTATGCAACTGAAGATTTACTGAGACAGGGATCTGAAAGTCTGTGCAGAGTGGAAAACTAATTGCTAATATTACTGTCCATCGCTTTTGGATGTATTGAACCCGTTAGAATTGCTTACAGCCTCACACAGACTTGTCGGTAACACAGGGGATATATTACTCTCATTAACCAATCACATAATTTAATCGACTTTGCCTACTACCAAATCTCTTCTCTGGTCAAAACTTTCCCCAATGAAAAGTGAAACAAGATGTTCTTTTTTTCTTCTGGTGGTAGCGCGAAAGAAAGTTAAAAAAATAATCGAATGAGATTTATTCAGTCCCTTTTCTTCAAACCCTTTCTTTAGAAACATACACACATAGATACACACTTACACTTACGCACACAATTGATTTGACCCAACATAATCATTTTGTCAATAATATAACAGATGGTAAGTAACTCATACCCTCAGCTTTCTTACCCAGGATAACTTTACTAACAATCACTTACAAGTCCAATAAATCTCAAATTAAGCATCAATTTGCAGAATTAACAAATACATCAATAACAACAGCCGGACGATATTTAGATGCTGCCAACTATGATCTTTCCGTCGCACTCGGTACATACTTTGACAAACATCAAACATCATCCCCATTCTCTTTTTCTGCGTCTTCACCAAAGATTGACAATCGATTACTTGTCCTATTTAAGAAATATCAAGATGGAAAAGATCCAGAGATAATAGATGTAGATGGTACTATGGCATATTTGGAAGATTTGGATATATCCCCAGAAGATGTAAGATCTTTGACTTTAGCATATTTATTAAATTCCCCCAAAATGGGTGTTTTCACTAAAAAGAGTTTTGTTGGTATTTGGCAACAAAATAAAATATTTGATTTAAAGGGAATGAAGAATTTTATAATCAAATTTCATGATGCTTTAATTCATAAAGGTATCAGTTCAGCATCAGGATATGTTGATCTTCAAGGTGATGATTTGTCCCTTCAAGGAATGTATAATTATGCATTTGGATTTTTGATGGAGGTTGAAAATCAACGATTATTGGATATTGAAACTGCAATTGAATATTGGAAATTACTTATACCAATAATTATTACCTCTTATATGGTTGAAATTACACCGATTGATGAAGAAGATTTTATAACTAGTGTGAATGAAAGGATTAATCAATGGTATGAATTCTTAATTGAAGAAAAAAGTAAAAAGGCAATTACATATGATACTTGGTCAATGTTTTATTTATTCTTTAAAGAAGTGATATTGGATGATCCAGTGAATTTTAAGAATTATGATGAAATGGCAGCTTGGCCAAGTTTTATGGATGAATATATTGAATTTCTATATGATAAAGAATTATTAACCCCGTCATCTCATACATAAGATGTAACAAATAATATAAATATATAATAATAACCAAAAAGAATATAAATAACTAATATAAGTAAAAACAAATAAATAACACACCAAAAAGAAGTAACAAAAGAAGAACTGAAATAATAATACTAATATCAAAACCGAAACATGTTAATTCAACAAGCGATCAATACTTGATTTTCTTTTCAAGGACAATAAAGTCTTGGAAGCAGCATCTTGATCAGCTGAAACAGAATCTTCTCTATCAAGTGCAAGTGGACCTACTGGTTTAAATACTTTTTGTTTAGGTACTTCCAATTTAATATTAGGATTTATGGCTGGATCAGGTAAAATGAATTGATTGTTATTAAATGCTGCACCAGTCCCAACCCCACCCATGGCAGTAGAAGCGGCGACAATAGCGCTTAGATTAGCACTACCCAACATTGACGGTGAAAATGATAATGTAGATTTCAAAGGATTCGTGAATGGAGATGGATCAGTTGATCTCATACCCATATGTTGTGGAGAATATGAATTTCTAGATCCATATTGTATATTAGTGTACTTGTTCAACATTGTAAGTATTGGAGTAGTTTCTGGAGTCATGTTTGGAGAACGTTTTGGTAATTCATGAATACTTGAAGAAGTCGAGGTTGGAATACTGGTGGTGAAATTAGTAACATGAGGAGTTGCAGTTCTTGTACTTGAATTGCTACTACTAGTACTTGCATTTTGTTGAATAGGAACGGGTTCTTCTTCAGGTTCTTCAGCAATTGAATTTGTCTTGTAGAAAGGTTGTGAATTAGGAAGCACAGCTTGTTGATAAGGTTGTTGTTGGTATGATTGTTCCTGCATCTGTTGTTGTATTTGTTGTTGCTGCTGTTGTAATGATTGTGGTTGTTGTTGTAAAAGATCATTGAAATTAAAATCCTTATCGATATTTCTATATTGGTTAACATCTAAAGGTATCTTTGCAAAGTCAATACTAAAATCACTATGAGTTGAAGTATATGAAGATAATAATTCATGTTGCTTCCGTATTATATGATGTAAATATAAAATATATTCAACGGAAGATTTCAAAATGGTTAATTTATACATCCCATCAATCTTATTGTTATTATTATTGGCAGCAGCAGCTCCTCCCTTATTATTAGCTTGATTAGTGGAAGCATGAGTACTTCTACAAGCAGGTATCAAATATTTCAAAGCTTCAAATTCTCGATTAATTTTAATTCTTCTTCTCTTTTCAATTATTGAATGTAATTGTTTAGTTTCATGTTTTCTTTTAGCCAATTCTTCTGAATCAACATTAACTGAAGATCTTCTTCTCTTCTTTTTGTTTGGTTGTTGCAGGTTCAATTGTTGTTGATTAGTTACAATATCAAGTGGTCTACCATTAGTAGCAGTAGTAGCACCGTTAGATGAATTGGACTTGTTATATTCATTGGTTAAGATCTCATAGTTGTTGTCATCTGGATCCAATTCTTTGTTAAGTTGAATAATAGTTGTCTTTAATAATGGAGGGTTTGGAAATGATGAAGTCATGGTGATAGGGTTTACAGGTTCTTTAATGCGTAATTATATCGAGTAATATACTCTCAGAATTTATTATTGCAAAATACTTTTTTTTTAAAAAATCAATTGGGAAATATTAAGTTAGTTTTATATAAAAAAACCAAGAAAACTCGTTCCTTCTTCGTTAGTTACTGGTTAATAGGATTAACTGTGTATATGTGATAAGCGTAGATTTTATTTTCGGGGGTGTGCGGTTTAATAGCGAAATTATAAACTCAAAAAAAGAACCCACGTTTTCTGTTTTAAACATTTAAACTTTTTTTTATAAAAATATTTCTTTTATTATTAAAACGTTTTCCAGTCTTATTGCAAAATAATGACTCAAACGACTCGTAACTATTACCCTCTCAAGAGTTAAGAAAAAGGGAGAAGGGACAGGAAACTACATTGGCAAAAAGGGGGAGTAACAGGTCAAATAACCCTCACAAGATCTTAAATATCGATTAATTGAATAGAGAAAAACTTTGTACGATCTTTCAAATCGTTTAAACTTAAAGAAAGACACAATTGAGGAAGGCAAAGCAACGCAGATGAATAAAGAAACAAATGGAAGCACGCACGAGATCCTTGACCCCATGTGTTCATTCCATATGAGTTTGTCACAATAGACACTAAAACCTTCCCTGTCAATTTTCTGGTTTACGGAAACAAGTCACACGATTTCATATTTCTGATTAAAAATTATTTAAGAAGAATAGCCTCGTTTCGTCCTTTGAAACATTTTCTCGTTATTGAAATCTCTTGGCTTTATGATTTAGAGAGATTTTCTTGGTACAAATCATTTTGTCTACCACGTGGGTGCAACATAAAATTTTTAAGAATCTTGTGCAACCAAAAAAAAAAATGAAATAAGAAAAAAATAATGATTACTGTTAAAAAATATTTTTCTCATTGTTTTGTCAGTTTTTATTGAAGTTGCAGCCAAAAAAAAATAGGCCCCACGCAAACTAAATGAATGTACAATTGATAATAGAAGAGGATTATATACAGGAATAACATACATTTTTGACATATTAAGCCCCCCCTTGACCCCCCGAAACCAACAAGGGTGGAGAGGAAAAGTAAGGAGGTATTCCGCGTACACGTTGCTTTTTTTTTACAAGGGACACACGCACACGCTTATTCAGTAGTAAGTTTTAACACTCACGTGGACTCTTAAATCAAATGGGTGTGGCTTTTTTATTTTTCTTGTGAATTCGGAAGATTATCCATACAGAGAAGAGAACGCAATTAAATTGGCTTTTATACCCCATGAACACGCGGGAATTATGATTTCCTTCCATAACCGATATGTTGTCATTTTCTGTAATTTCTTGTATGACTTTCTTATGATCGTGTCCTCTTATGATACTTAAGAAGGATAAAGTTACGATAACAAAAGTTGGAATCATGACATGTGGGGGCCGATAGAACATTCTGTTAGACGGCCTATTTATAGCTAAATAAGCCCATTTTCTTTGCATGACTGTATTTTAACCCTTTATTAAATTAGTCACATAATTAGATAAAACAAATTTTTGGTTTAGTTGAGGAATGAAATGAACACGAGTTCTTTCTTTGTTATAATTCATTTTAGAAATGTAAAGAATATTACCCAAAATGAAGAACGTTTTTCATCAATCATTTCATTGTTGAACTGATTGCTTAATTAATAAAATGTGTAGATAAAAACAATGAGTAATAAGCAATAATAATCAGATTCTACGCCTCATAAAGTTTTCTATGGCATTTTTGTATTAATTTTGATAAATAACTCAAAATCAATTAATTATTACTATGGCTTTTTAACTAATTTATTATATATATAACAAACTAATTTAAAGTCATAAGACATTAATCAACGAAGTTTGGGGTAATAATTAATAAATTAGTCTTATCAACATTGTATCATTTTGCTTCCAAATACCAACCGATCAGTTGTTAGTTTGTTTAAATACACAAAAACACAAAAACAATGATTGCGAAAAAACTGGTTGCAGCCAAAAAAAAAAGCGTGGAACGTCAACTGTCAATCTTTAAGTCTTTTCTCATCAGAAGTCATCATCAATTCATTAACCTTAACATATCGGTTCACTTAAAATAACTTCATGATCGCTATGGATCTGATTACAAGTCATCACTCTTTGGGTTAGTTTTTTAGTTTCTGAAAGGCTTGGTATTTTTTTTATGCTTAAAACTTTTTCTACTAATTTTCACACATATTCTAACTAATAATTTCTATAAATAAATAACTGTAAGGAATTACTTAGCGAGTAGTATTTCTTGGAACAGTCAACTATTGGTCCAGTCCATTAAGCTTAATCAATCCTATTTGTATTCCGAAGAACACACCGTTGATTTTTGGTTGTGTTTATCTTATTGTGTAGTTTTTCCTTGTCTTACAGAGTTTTGCAACACCAATCTTTTTTTTGACAACCAACTTACACTCACTTGCACTACCAGAATATACAAATATCCCAACCCTTGGAAGTAATAAGGATACTCAATCAGCTCTCCTCCCCCTTGTTGCCTGGTCCCCTCATCCATAATTTTGTAAATTTTGCCATTGACGCTCCCATTGATACTTATCTACTTTAATACAAAACTTCCCCTTAGAAAACTCATTTATAGAACAGAAGGTTTAATAATACAAACCATCAATACACAGCAATGGTTAAGCGCTTATTGCCTGCACCTCCACCACGTACAAACGCATGGTGCTTGAATCAATTACTCAACACAGAAGCTCAATTACTCTCAACTTCACCAATTTTACATCCAGCTACAGCATCACGTACAAATAGTTCATTATATTTACAACAATACGAGCAAGATTCAAATTCAAGTATTGGAGCAGAAATCATCTCCAATCAAATCAGTTTGTCATCCCCGCCATATATGAAACCACAAGGGAGATTAAGTAGACTGGCACATCAACAACAACAGGAATTGTTTGTTGATGGCGGTAAACCTTTACTGGCTCCAAATATTCAAACTAAACCCTCACAGAAAAAGAATAAGAATGGTACTATTATGGTTAGTGTCGGTAAGAATACTATTATCAAGAAACCAAAGTTTCCCAAGACTAAGAAGATAAGAGGCGGCAGTGGTGTTTATAAATATAAGATTCGTGATGATCGGGGACCAATAGTCAGTGGCGGTCCTGGTCCTATTGCTATTCAACAACAAGGTTTTATTCCAATTCAGCATAGCCCTGCTGTGCAACATCACCATCCATATGATCAACAACATCAAGGGCCTCTGGAGATGATACAACCATTTATTCAATTAAATCAGAATAATTATCCCAATCAATTGATCCAACCCCAAATAATTACCCACCATCACCATCCACAACTTTCCAATTTCCATCCAACGTTGGATAACGAAGGACAGCAGGAACTTTTCTATTCAACAAATCTCGAACAACAACAATCGCAGCAACATCAGCAGCTTGTATCAGGGCCGGAACCTTGTCATCATAATTATCCAATGGTTATATATCCCCAATTTGGTATTTATACATTACCATTCTCTTATCCTATACTCGAGAAAGAACCGCTCCCTCATCCAGCTTCACAACTGCATTTCATAGTTCCAGAGCCATCCTCGCCATTATATCTACGCACTTACGAAAACATCGACATCAACTCCAACGTCGCCAAACTTTCAAATAGAGAACTAAAGCGCGAAAATATAAAACGACAAATTGAATATTACTTCTCTACTGAAAACTTATGCAAAGATAGATATTTACGATCATTATTTAGTTATGAAGATGGTTCAGTACCAATCACAAAATTATTAGAATTTAATAGAATGAAAACCTTAACTAAGAATGGAAAATATTTATCAATTTTAATTCAAGTTATTCAAGAAATTGAATATTTGGAATTGTTAAATAATAATCAAAATGTTCGAATTAAAAATTGGAATAATTGGATTTTGAAATAATTTCATGGTTTGCTATTGGTACAATATGAATTCTTGGCTAGTTGTTTGCAACATGAATATCCCCATTTCCCATTTTTATAAAAGCTTCCATAAATAGTTGTATGGTCTAGTCCTATTTGGTCTTCCACATATCGAGATTTTCTCAATCCATTCTTATCCAAGGTTGGATCACTGATTGATTCCAGGTTCTGGTCGGACTGGTACTGTTGTGCGTGTATCGGTGGTGTTATGTCAGTGCTGTCTTTGGAAGCAGAACTTGCACTTCCATATTTATTCAATAATTCTTGTCTTTTCAAAGCTGATCTCCTTAATTGTTCCTCTTTTGCTTGTTTAGCTTTCAACATCATCAAAGTCGGACTAGCTTCAAGACTATACTTCAAATCAGTCTCCGGTATATTTTCTGCTTCAATTTCTTGTTCCTTCAAAATAGCTAATGATTTCTTTTTATCTTGTTGATCTAATTCCCAAGCTAATTTTTGTAAATTAGTTAAATCTTTAGCATCTCCTTCACGTCGTTTAATAAATTGATTTTGATCATTTAAAAACCCTTTACTTGGATCCTTAGTGATTCTTGATTTTGGATCATATTCTAATCGGATTTTATTGTTTTCATTACTGGTGATATTATATATATAGGACGGTATATCTTGTCTATCACGTAACATCTTCTCCATAGGGTCTTCTTTGATATTACTAAAGATATCTTTCTTTTCGAGACCCAATTCAATTAATTCTAATTCATAATCAGTATCATCAGAATCTTCATCCCCATTCTTATTTTTATCTACTTTTCGTCGTTTTGTTTTCTGTTGTTGTTGATGTGACTCTTCCCATTTCTTAATCTGATCTAGCCATTCCTCCAGAGAATAGCCATACCATCTATCTCGCTTCATGTCATAATTGTCACCAGTCACATCTTTTCGAATACTTCCTTCGAAATTGTCCTGAATCCCTGAACCAATTTTGGCCTGACTATAATCGACGATTTCTTTGGGTTGTTTTCGATGATGAGATAGGTAGTCATCGGATTGGCCATTATTGTCGCCTTCTTCTTCATGCTTGGTCTTGGTTTGTTGCGCATCTTGATACCATGGTTTTGATGTTATATACTTCGGTATATAGGGGTTTATCTCTTTATTTGGTGCTTTAGACATTATTGTAAGAGAAGAGATGGGGAAAGAGATTGTCTCGATCTAAATCTGTATTTTTTTTCTATGGTTGATCCAGATTTTAGAGAGGTGGAAAATTTCTATATGGATGCAATTTTATTTTAACTATTAATTAATACATAGAGATATGTCTATTCTAGAACCCTTTCCATTCATCTTCACTTTCATCTTCATCTTCACTGGCAGAGTCTGCTTCACCGTCTTCTTCACTATCACTTTCATCGTCTTCGACTACTCCCCAGTCCTTCAATCTTTCATCATTCAAGACTTCGTCAGCACATTTCTCTCTTAATGTCTTTAACAAAGCATCTTTATTCAAATGCTCGAACGGACTGATCAATTGTTTAATTGGAATATCTTCAACGATTTGTAATTTTCGTTTAAACAACGATTCATATAATTCAATATATTCTTTATCATCCTTCTTATAATTCTCCAATACTTCTTGATCACCTTTCAACTCTTCAAATATTATCAACTCTAATTCATCTAAATAAATATCACAAATATGGTAAGGTAAAGCATATGCTATCTTTTTATCACCACTTAAAACGCCACCTTCTTTCTCCAAAACTTCCAACCAATTTTTCACCAATTCTTCATCCCAATTATTCAACTTCAACATTTTGAAATTATGTCTCAATACTCGACGAATTAATAAATAATATTTATCAACCCTCCATTGATCCACATTTGGCCATTCACTAATCATAATCACCCAGAATGAACTCACAAAACTACAAAATTGGTCACGAGAAATACAATCGGAAAATAAACTACCTAATTGTTCAGCCAATCTCTCTTGTGCCCTTGGTCTATCACAAAACCACATAGAATAATATAAACCTTTCCATAATTTACTTAAATCCAATTCTGAAAGTTTCTTTGATGATTTTGAAGAAAGGAATCGCTTGAGGGATTCGAGGGCAGCTTCTCGGGTTGGACGGTCGTTGGATGCAAGCTTTTTCACAAATGCAGATGATGTTGACATGATCTATTCTATATTCTATAAATGTCAGCTAGTTTATTGGAGGTATATGGGTTGCAGAAGGTTGAATAATATTTCAGCGATGAGAAGAGAGAAGAGATGCAAAAAAAAAATTGTACGAGCCGCATGCGAAATATCACGAGACAATATTTCCTAATTGGGATGTTGCTGGTGTCAGTACATTTGACAAGATTGTTCTCATTATACACATTGATTTGCATGAGAGATATTGACAATGTCGTTTGTAAATAGACAAGTATAAGCCTATGTTGACAGTTCCAGTAGTATGTAGTTCCAATTGCGATATTTTTACGTAAGTTGCTGAGATCTAACCGTCACTAACCATATGTGATTCCACTTTAAAATGTTTTTATATTTATAATTATTATACAATTACACAAGATAAACGTAACCCACCATTGCTATCATTACCAACACTCTATGTGGTTATTTGAAGAAACAATTTCATACGTTTCCTGAACAAAAAAATATTATCAACAAAGCTTTCACCATCCTCTCTCCCCCCCTTTATCTAGCTTGGATTACCTTTCTCTCAAATAGGTTTGTCAATTTCTTCTAACCATCCTCTAAACAATCAAGTATCTAATTGGGATGTGTACCAATTTAACAGCATAACCAACAACACCCATCATGATGAATCCAATACCTACAGCTCTAATAATCTTAAAGTATTCCTTTTGGTCTGGCTTTGTACATTTCTTAACGAATGCACTTCCATCTTTAAAGAATTCAACTGGAACTTCAGTAATCTTTTCTAATCCTTCAGCAGCCATTGTATGTATTTAATATTTGATTTGTAAATAATGTATCTCTATAGATTACGTGTGTCTTCATGAAAATTGGTAAATTTCAATTTTTTTTTGCTGTCGACAAACTTGGAGGTTTACGTGGTAAAAATTGGTTTACAACAAATTGGTAAATACACGTACTTTTGGCTGCTAAAAATCTTGTCCATTTGCTTGTAGAGTAGGTCGAAAGCATCTACCAAAGTATCGAAGGTATGTTCTTATAATCCCTTGGCAATACCGTTACAATCTAGATTATAAAATATCGCGAGTCTATCCATTAAATAATATTGTTTATAAATATATATCGTATCTATCTACAGCCACAGAAATCTTACATCAAGTTCAACAATGAATCACTATCTTCTTCTTCTTCAGCCTTCAATCTGTTCATAGCTTCACTTCTCATCATCTCAACATACTCTCTATATTGAGGTAATATATCATCTTGATACCATGTATTCAATCCAGTTTTCATTTCTTCATCAAGGGCCCATTCATCAATTAATGGTTTACATTGTCCAATATATAAGTGTTTCCATTTATGTCCAACTAATTGCTTTAATGTCTGTTCATAAAGAATTAGAATGTTTCTGGATTCTTGAGATGGTGACGTGAAACCTAAATTAGTTCTCGAAGTGAATGAATCTGAAGAAAGGTGATAAAAGTGATATTGCTTGGCTAAGGTGGTTAAAAAAGCATAATATTTGGTTTCGACTTCTTTAAGGTCAGTTAATTCAGTTAGGGTTTTCAAATAAGTTGTATAAATCTTTTTAGAAAATGGGATTCCTGCTTCCTGGCGGTATTTCCATATTTCATCAAATGTTCGTTGTCTTTGAACATGTAAGCTTTGAGTAAATTGTAAATAACCTTCATAATCGAAATTAGCATTCTTTTGTATTTCATCAAGTGATATATTCTCATTTCCACTTGATCCAATGTCAGCTTTGGTTTGTTTTAAATAGAAATGTAATGCACGGTCTGGTTCATATCTTGTGGAAATATCGGCCCATTTAAATAGCATTTGCCAAAATGTCACTTCTGCAGATCTTAAACTGAATTTATTAACATCAGGATAAACCTTTTGAAAGCCATCTACATATTTCAATCCTTCAAAGAATTGTCCATTATATGCAAAACATAAAAATAAGGTTGTAACAAGTTCCATAGTTGGATACATAGGATCATATTTTTCTACTTTTGGTAATCCAGGAATATATTTCCCGTTGGCATCAACTGCCCAAAGTGAAGCAACATATTTCTGAAGTTGATCAAGCTTTCCTGAATGTCCCAAAGAAGAAATCAAACTGGTATAAAAGTCAATTCCAACATCCTTGTCAATTTGGGCTTGATTGAATTCTCTTAATAATTCATTGAAAGATATTGGAGATTCGAAAGGGGATCTTTTTGGATCATGCGATGTATTGGCTAGTTTTGTTTGTTGAGCACCCCATGATCTTGGATTACCATCACAATAAATTGGAAAAACTAATGACCACATTTTAGGAGTCATATATTGAATATAATTGGGTCCATATTGTTTCTTGAACATCATGAACCAGTTGGAACATAAGTCTAATTTAAGATATTTGAATTCGAATTTCATTAAATTTTCATAATCTTGGGGAATCAATCTATATCCTGTAAGTTTTGAACTTTCATAAATATCCGTACTATTATTTTCATCATAAACAGATGCAGACTTATCAGTATATAATAATCGATTATATAAATTGGTAATTGCATCTCTTTCATCACATAACCTTTGAGATGGTTTCATACGACGCTGATTAATGTCCAATAATTTCAAGATTGGATAGATTGCCACATTATCTATGATCGATTTTGCATTATGATTCATAAGTTTTCCCACATATGAAGCGAATTGGTGTCTTCCAAGTAACTTCACCATTCCATGTATATCGTGATTGGCCCAAGTCGAAAGAACACTTAAAAGGGTATCATAATCTCTGTCCCGATCCAACTTCATCAATCTATTCTTGATTTCAACAGTCTTATCCTGTGTAGCGAGGGTTATTTCATTAGCTTTCGCATATGCTTTGGCTATTCTAGTCGAAGGCGCATGCGCTAGTAATGACTTGACAGTGTATTTGTTAGTTTCGGAGGAGGAATTACTGGTTGAAGTGGTGGTAGTAGTATGTTCATATGGGTGGATGAGATCTTCATTTAAAGAAATAGCAGCTGTTGAATATCCTCTGAGAGAGACACCAAGTCTAGCTATCTTATTTTTATTTCTTAATATCACTGTCATGCTTTCCACCCTTCTCTTAGGCTATATATAAGTAAATAATCCTCAACTAGGTACTTTCTTCGTTTATAATTTTAATTCTAAAGATTGAAAAATTTATTGAAAAAATTTTGTTAATTGGTTCAGAAGAAAAAGAAATTTTTAAACGACTGTCATGAATTTTGCGACACTCACACAAAAAAAACTAAGAGAACTAAACTAAGAATCCGAAGTTCGGTGCCTATTTTTAAGGGTTACCCGCACTACAAATGGTAACTACGGACGAATATATTAAGAGATGTAAATACCTTCTCACATCTTACTTTTACCTAAGAAATTAGAACGGGCAATATGATAAGCATTATAATTAGCAATATCCACTAATCCTTGTTCCATAGTATTACCATTTATCATATCCTGAATATGTTGTTTAGTTCCTCTAATTGCCCATCTTGGAACTGAACAAATCTTTTCCCCATACCTCTTAGCCAATGCAATACCATCTTCAATAGTTGGAACAACAGTACTAACAAAGCCCATTTTCAAAGCCTCTTCAGCACCAAATACATCACCCAATAAAGCATGTTGATATAATAACGATTTATTACTGACCAAAGCTGGGATTCTCTGTAATGTTCCAATATCAGCCGCAATCCCAATATTGACTTCAGCAATTGAGAATTTAACATCTTCTACTGCAATTCTAATACTGAAAGCAGTGGATAAATCAAGTGCAAGTCCATAGTTGATACCGTTTAAGATCCCAATAGTAGGAGTAGAAATACGGGCTGGTACACTCACACAATCTTGGAAATCCTTAATATGTTTCTTTAAATATTGCTCAAGTTCTGAAGTAGTTAATCCTTTTGGGAACAGTCCGGCAGCACTCTTAATATTCAATCCACTTGAGAATGATCTAGGGACACCGGAAGTGATTAAGATCAAAATTGTATCTTCATCTTGATCAAGACGGGTTAAGATTTCTCCATAGTCTTTCCAATTTTGTTCACTGAATGCATTTAATGTTTTTGGATTTGTGTATTGGACATGAATGAATCCTTGTTCAATTTCACTGACGGAAAAGAATTCGTAGTTTTGATAATCTTCTAATTTGAATGGCATACTTAGATAGATAGGATAAAGAGTAACTAAATGAAAAATTATACTTAGAGTTCCTTCCTTCCCAATATATTTATACAACTAAAGAAACCGAGGGATTTCATCATTATTGAAAAATATTGTGGGGGACAGAACAATCCCCCACCGAACAAAACAAAATTTTTATTCAAATGCATCTGACAATTTTCCATTTTATTTCCGCAATTTAGTTTTAATCTCCGGTAAGATGACGTTATGCTATAAGCTAACACTGATATATTTGATAAACATACAGGGCATAGAAATTGTAATCAAAAAGATAAACAATCAATACAAGCTTCCTCTTGATCACACAGTTAATGAAAAATTTCCTTCTATTACTGCAGCTAGTATTTCTCTGGCAATATAAAACTATATCTAAATTCTAAACTACACAGTATACTTACCACTAGGAGCAAGGTTTTCTTGTTGACTAGCCATTTCCAAACCTTCAATCATCCGATCTCTAATCAAATTATTAGCTTCCCGTACCGCCAATTCAGACAATCCTTCAACAAGCAAATAAAGCTTAGCATGCGCAATGTTTTCATTGATATCCTGAGGCAATTTCAGACCAGGTGCATAGAATTGTCCCTTTGTCGTGATCGAAGTTCTGGTGGTATCGATTATTTTTGACAAGTTCTCGCGATTAAGAATATTCAACCTTGCCTTTTGCGGAAGGTCATTGATAACAACTCGAGAATAATATTTACATTTATCTGGTCCTGATGTGTCTGGACTATTACCTTCAATAATTTCAAATGCAGGCAATATAGAGGGAACTGAAGACGGAGTTGCACTATTTGACCGTTGCTCTTGACCAGCCAATGGTTCACCAGATTCCTTTTCATGCTCTTCTTGATACATACTCTTCTCCAACCTTATCTTTGACTCCCTCACTTCCTTCATCTTATCCAATCCTTTCCCACCAAACCCAAGATATACTTTCTCCTTCCCCTGTTTAACCTTCCCAAAGAACTTGTCGGCCACTTCCTCCAATCTCGAATCAACACCTTCCTGTTTACTTAACGTCAAAGCCTTCACTAAGTTTGCAATTTCATGTTCTTGATCTTTAGATACAAAAGTAATTGCTCTTCCCATCGACCCAGCCCTCCCGGTCCTACCAACTCGATGAACATAATCTTCCATATGATTAGGTGGATCGAAATTAATTACCAATCCTAAACTTTTTACGTCCAAACCTCTGGCAGCTATAGATGTTGCGATTAGAATATCCATACCGCTCGACGTATCGGAGAATTCTTTTATGGCGAACTTACGATCTATCTGGTCTTTTCCACCATGAATAGCCACACATGGATATTGTGCTCCCAATAAGGTTGAGACTAATTCGTCAGCATCGTTTTGCTTTTGAACGAAAATAAGGATTTTTGAATTTGGATGTGATACCATATATGAATTTAAGATTTCATACAATTTATCCATTCTTTGCGATTTATATTCTTCTTCGGATTCAGGTTCAAACAAGATAATTTCCTGCTTGATCTCAGGTGCAACCACACTTATACCTCCCACAACAATCTCCACCGCATCCTCATGTTTTACTAATTTCCGGGCCAATTGCTCCATCTTACGCGGAAACGTCGCCGAAAACAATACCGTCTGACAATCGGGCCTGATTTGAGTGTATATCTTCGCCACTTGGGGTTCAAACCCCATATCAAACATTCGATCAGCTTCATCTAGCACAACATATGTGGTCCGTTTTAAATTTGTCACACGTCCACCATTGGCAGCTAATAAATCAATAACCCGGCCCGGTGTACCAACCATTATTTCGACTCCTTTTTTCAATTCGCTAATTTGCGTTTCGATAGAAGAACCACCGTAGCAACAACAAACTCGAAATTTGGTGGCACTAGCAAAGTGGTTGATTTCTTTTACGATCTGGAGGGCTAATTCTCTCGTGGGGCAGAGTATTAATGCCAAAGGACCTTCTCCTTCCCGTATTGGTCTCTTATCTTGGATATGACGTAACATGGGTAGGACGTATGCCAAAGTTTTCCCAGACCCAGTTTTGGCAACCCCTATGACGTCCCTTCCTGACATGATCACGGGAAGTGCTTGGGCTTGGATCGCTGATGGATGGGAGAACTGGAGCTTGTCGGTGATGACACTGCTTAGGTTGGCAGGGAGACCTAAATGGGACCATTTAGATATTGGAGTAAATGTGGAATCAGAACCAGGTGATTTGAATTTGAGGATACCGAGTTCTTGTCTCATATTGTCGACTTCTTGAGCTGTGAGAATCAGAAGTTCATAGGGTTCTTGATAGAATTTTTTTCTTACTGGTTCGTATGCTTCTTGGGAATAATCGATCGGCTTCAATTCCTTTCCTTTCTGTTGCTGGAATTTTGACAATTTGGAAGATAACAATTCTTGTTGTTTCTCGTCGTCATCCATCTCTTCTTCATTTCCAATTTCATCTTGCGCATCTTCCATTATGACAGATTGCACAGTTGACGCTTCCAGGTTTGGTCTTGCAGGAAGAGAACTGTCGATAGAAGCCAAATATGCATCCAATTCATCCTCCGACGTTTCGTCTTTCCTATCCACATCTTGAGATCCATGATGGTCAAGAGAAGGTTTCTTGAATAATGGTTTATGAGAATTGTCAACGTCATCCTCGTCTTCATCTAGCAGAATTTTTCGTTTAATACCTTTTGGTTTATTTACAACCAATTTCTTCTTACTGATTAAAATAGTTGTTTTCTTTACATCTGCCTTCAGAGAACCTCCGGACTTTCCCTGAATCTCTTTTGGTATATCATTACTCTTTTGGGCTCTGGTTCTTTTCCATTCTTCAATACGTTGTTGTCGAAGTCTCTTCTTTTCATCAGGTTCCTCCTTAACTACAGTTGGCACTTTTGAAGGGATCTCAGTTACTTCAGCTTTCTCTTCTACTTTCTCTTCCTTGCTCTCCTCCTGCTGTCGCTCTTGTTGTTGTTGCTTCTTCTCTCTCCAGAGAGCCAATTGTTCTCTTCTCTTTCTTAATTTTTCTTCCTTGGAAAGTTGGTCATCATTATCTTTATTCTTCGTTTGGTTAGTATTATTGCCATTCTTGACGCTGTGGTGACTACCACTTATGCTCACATGGGTAGTCATCAAATTTCTTCTTCCTGTCATCTTTGAACTACACACTCTTTGCTTTAGATAGAGATATTTTGTGATAGTGTTGATTGTTGAGAGAGAAAGAGTTATGTATGTGTTTCATTTGTGTTCTTTTTTTTTGGGTTCCTTAGTACGGAATGCGATGAGACTAACAAAAACTGAATAACTTAACAAATGCATAAAACAATCACTAATCACTATGTATATATAAATTTAAATGCATATCACTTCTATAATGCAGTAGTAACAGTTACGGTCTGCGAATTCACCAACAAAACCGGCGGCAAATCATCCAACCAAACTGCCAAACTGTTCGTATAATCAAAACTTTCAGTATCATCAAGGTGTGTACCAATAGGAGGTGCAGGCAAAGTCGAAAAAATCACATCAGTCTCAGTAACGGGAGAATACCGTTTCATCAATTCATTCAAAACTAAATGCTGTCCCTTTGCAGGGATATCGTCAAAACTTAACAGGTTTAATTCCTGTTGAAGTTCTCTTCTCGTTATCATACCCTCGATTTTGGGCGACTTTGGAACAGGAGCAACAGGAGGCGGTTGTTTCATCCGACTTTTATAAAATTGATCTCGAAGATTACTTGGCCCCGCAGGGCCCGGAGAAATATGACTTCGGTCTTTATAAGGCAAGTCTGGAATATCATCATCATCTTCCTCGTCATCAGCCGCTGCCAAAAACTGCGGTGTACGAATCTGCTGAATAATCTCATCATCATTTGCAATAATTGTGTGCGATTTTAGAGTTGAGCCTCGATTTTTTGAAACTTGTCGTTTACCTCTTCTCTCTGGTATTGGTCTCTCTCGGGACCTTCTTGATGGAATATACAATGCGTCTTCGTCAGGATTTTCTTCCTCACGCCCTCGCTCTTCTGCGTCTTCATCTTCGTGCTCATCATCCTCTTCTTCATTCATAAACTGAATAGAATGCTTGACTCTTTCTCCCTCTTCACCGTCACCATCTCCATCACCAGCATCTTCATCGTCATCATCGTCGTCGTTAATCTTAGGTTGGGGAATCTTAACAGACAGGAAATTTGGTCTTAGATTAGTCATAGATGAACGTGAACTCATACCTCCTGGAGTACCTGCCCCTGACCTCATAGGCCTATCCAATAATGTTGGTTTGAAATGCAATGGAGGTAATTGTAGTCCTTGTTGATCGGATACTTTCGGAGGCAATCTATCTCCACTAATCGTATTCAAATTAATAGCACTGCTGTTCATACTATTAGATGCTGTCTCCTCTTCGTCACTGGTCTCTCCACTTAACGGGTCCTCATAATTCAAAAACTGGTTCGCTGCCTGTGATTTCAAATTAAATGAAAGTGACATCCCTTGTTCATGCAAGTTAGATAAAGTCTCTCTTCTATTCTTTTTAAACGAGTCAAATCTTGTTTGGGATGGGGGACTCATTGCTGAGACATTTAGCTTTAACGGAAAGTAAGCTTCAGGTGCTATTGATGATTTTGAACTACTTCGAGATATAAGTTGCAGCTTTTGTTGTTTCTTTTTAAGAAGCTTTTTCTTCTCGATCTCTTTGAGGGTTTCTCTGGCTTTGGATAAATTTCTCCACCATTGATCTTCATGTAAGACATTATCTATCTTGTCATACTGAGCGCGATTCAGTTGGGTTTTGGTATATCCCTTAACCATATAATTATAAGAATCTAGCTGGCCATCTGATAGACACACAATCTTGAGCTCGGCCTCAATTCTAAGACTGGATAACAATTTATTCAATCTTGTACGTTCATCATCTACTTCTTGTTCATTCTCGACAAAAACAATAACTCTCAATTTATGATTCGTAAATTTCCATTCTTGTACAGTGGATAAAATCCAACCTAATTGGAGGATTAACGTATAGGTATCGAAGTTTGTTGAAAGGACAGATTGACCATTATCCAATTGATTTATCGATGACATTTGAATAGGATATAAATCAATATATTTCTTCTTCACCCCTTCTGATACTTCTTGCTTTTTCAAAAAGCTAAATATCGAAGTATTGTCATTCTCTCGTTTTGGTAATTTCAATTTGGAGAAATTTGCCGCCACAGCGACAGTCGCTTGTAAAACCACTAAATCCTCGACAATCTGAACCCATTGATTTATACTCACCTTTCTTTCCTTTCGACAGGTATCCGTTGGTAATTGTCCAAACCCGCCATCATTATCCTTTTGTTGTTGTTGTTGTTGCTGCTGCATGAATGGTGGGATTATTGGCATTTCAATACCATGTTTAATAAAATCATAAAAGCCCAAGACGGTAATATTTGGTTTCATACCTCCAAGTCCCGATCCAAGATAAACATTCCTCACACCCCATGGTAATGTTGGTCCTAAAGCAATTTGCACGAACGCTTTAACTTTCGACATGTCACGTAACTTAACCCACGCTTGCTTTTGTTTCCGGACTTCCTTGTATGTATTTACTGAGAAAACGGTGGCATTCTTTTCGGCATTTGATGGAGTGCTTGTATCATCGTTCATTAACACGACGTGACCTAGGATGTAAAGCCCACCTTTTTTAAGATGATTACAGAACCCGATTAAATTCCACGATGTTCTAGGATTGTCACATAATAACAAGATTTGGGGTCTCCAGTATTTAACACTCATTTCTAATTTTAGACGTAATAGGTATTTTCGAACTTGGTGATAGATTAATAATTGAGAAATATCTCCAAATTTCAGCGGTGGAGTCAGATAATGGATCATGAGAATTAAAAAAGTCAAACAAAAAATCACCAATGTAGCCGAAAGACCATCGACAATAAACATGGCAATGAAACATACTAATGCGCCTGTGAATGCAGTTCTTGTACTGAAGTATCGGAATGAAGGTCGGAAATTTGGGGCTGATCCTACTCGCAATAAGAAACAAGCAATATTTGTCACTATGAAAGTCATTAAGAATGCCATGGTTATGAAAGTTGCGATTTGATTAATGTCTGCAAACAAGAAAAGTTGGGCCATGAACCAAGTAGCGATGATACTATAAATTTTTGCTTTATTCTGTTGTTTGATTGTCTTTTTTGCAGTAGTGAAGATAGATAATCCCGGGATGATTCTGTCGTCGGCAATTGCATTAATCATAGAAGATGCACCTACTATTCCCATAATCACTGAAAATAACGAGGTTGAAAATTCTCCTACTATAATAATTATACTCAGCAAATTAACTGTTTGCATAATCTTGATATCAACATGCAATAAATCACGAGGGACTGCTGAACCCAAAGAGACAATGACTGATGTGTATAGGAAGAATGATACTAATAATCCTTTGAGAGTTCCTTCTGGAATAGATTTGGATGGAGTTTTCAATTCACCCGACATGGAAGCACCAGCAAGGATACCAGCAGTTGCAGGGAAGAAAATTCCAAATAAGTCTCTAAATGTTTCGGGGACACCAGGGGGTAATACCGAACCAGCAGCACCACTGGTGAATTTTGGATAAAGGTTTGCATAAAAAGTTTTCCATGATAATCCAGTATATAATAATGAATCAAAAGGTGGAGGTAATGGATAATAAGGTTTGACAAAAAATGTAGATATTGGGATTGATAATGTACTGATTGTCAATAGAATGAATAACAACAAAGCGGTTTTGGAAACAAGCAGGGATCCAACCATGGCAACACATGTACAAATTGCCAATAAAATTGTTGAATATAATACCAGCCACATATAACTCACTGGAAGTAATTTTATCATATCCCCGTTTTCTTTACCAAAATTGACCAAAAAAGGTTCAATAAACCCTACCACGTTTAAAGATGAATTAAGGATTTGTCCAACAACAAAAATGATTCCAATTGACCCACCAAATTCAGGACCTAAAGATCGTGATATCATATAATAAGCGCCACCGCCTTTGACGGTACCATTAGTTGAAATAGCACTAATAGACATTGTTGTTAATATATCTATGGTATAGGATAACACTAACAAGAACATCGTTCCTAATATACCCATTTGTCCAATAATGAAGCCAAATCTTAAGAACATCAAGATCGATAAGACATTCAATGAGGTTGGAAGGAATACACCTTCAAAGGTACCTAACTTACCTTTGTCATGTTCTTTCTTAATAGATTTTTCATTGGCCAGTTTATTATTGCTTGGGTTGTTGTGGTTAAGTCTAGGGGAAGGAGTGGCTGAAGATGAATAATATGAATTGCGGAGTCTTGGTGAAATATTATGTTGTTGTTTATTCTGTTTCGGTAGTAACTGTGAAGATTCAGTTGGATATCTCAGTGGTACTACCGATGATACACCAATTGAAGCCATTACTATTTCTTCTTTGTTGAATGAGTTTAACTCTTCTAGTGTAAATTGTTTGCTATCTTTGTTGGTTGTAAAAATTAAATCATTAATTAAAATTTCAAAATATTTGAGATCGACAGAAGAAAAATTAAATTTATAAATTCTGCAAAAAGATCATTCCTTTTTTTTTTGCACCATTCTCTTTCTCTCTTTCTTTGTTTCCTTTGATAGAAAGCTTTCAATTGGATCATAAGATAACATGGAATACTAAACAGTAATTGGTATTTGTATTCTTGTATTCTTGTAGACTTAAGCAGTGATCGATTCAATAGTACATCTTACTCTTATAAATCTATAAATCAAGAGATACAGAAATACAGACAGCTAGAGATACTGACACACAAACACCCAGAGATAGACAAAGAGACAGAGAAAGAGAGAGAGAGAGAGAGAAATTTAAGCTACCACTTCTTAGAATTCTCTTGCATACAATCTTGTGTATCTGCTCTTGTCTGAGTCTAAACTGACAAAAGTCTATTGAATTGTCAGTTTCCGAATATCCTCATAATATACTAAGGCACCCAACTTAATTGACTTAAGACAGACTTTTCTAACAATCGATTGAGAAGGCATTTCTGATTGGTTGAAGTAAATTGTCTCCTCACACTTCTCTATCAATTTCCAAGAACAAAAGCCCATGATAAACAGCTAAAAGCAATCAAGCTTCTGGTCCATCATTTTTAATGGCTATTAGGATATCACTAGATAGTATATAATATCGAGTTTGTCTCAGTCAAGCACGTTCAGGGGTTACCCGGCACATAAACTGAAAAATTAACCGAACAGAGCCAAAAAAATTTCACTCTTCTCCCTATAACTTGTTCTTCTAAATTCCAACAAACATCCTTTGGTAATATAATCTTATCAAAATGTTTAGATTAATTTCTACTAATACCCAGAATGGGTTAAAAGGTGCAGTATTATTGAAAGCTAAACACTCGAAGACTATCTTTTCCCAAATCCCCCCTGGAATGTATTTGCAACCATCATTCCAAATACCATGCTCATTGGTATCTTACCCGATATCACTTCCAACTATCCAATTCTTAAGATTCAATTCAATGTATTCATCTTCTCAAGAAAGATCAAATAGAGCACCACGTAACCGTGACAGAGACTATCATCATGAGACCGATCGCCAGTTTAATGATAATAGTAGACCTAATAGACGCCCTAGACACGACACCAGATCAGGCTATCAAGGGAATCGACAGAAACCACGTCGTTATCCATGGCTTGAGCCAGAGGACTTCGCAGATAAAATGTCATACATTAAGAAGATAAGGGCCCTTCGTGCAACAAAAGATCGAAGTGCCGATCAGATAACTGAACTACAAACACATATAGAAAGGCTTCCCAAGTGGGCTATAGCATCTGATTATGAAGAGTATCTTAGCTTTTTAATACATATGTCATACGATGTTGTAACAAAATTCGCTACAATACCAAATCCAAGTTCCGAAGATAGAAATCGAAGAATGCAAATTGAATTGGCAACTAAAGAGGCGATTTTAAGCTTTTCTGAGATAATTAAGCAGGGGAAGATAGACCACCTACTTTCTGAGAAGCTTGTTACTTATGCCTTGAAGGGATTCCATAGATATAGATTACATCGAGAAATAGTCGACATGTGGGAAAGAGGAATAGCCGATGAACTATTGCAACATCTATACATGAGTCCATGGAATTTCGCCAGGGTTATACCTGCTGCTAGCATCATGAAAAGATTCACTTATGAAGAGATAGTCCAGATTTATGAAAAGTTAACCGATGATACCCCGTTGATACCAGTGTTAGCTGGACCCATGGGAGCACTTGCCGTACAAAATGGTGATTATACCAGAGCGATGGATATTTTGGAAAAATTGTTGGATTACGAAGGCAGATCTGACCAGGATAACAAAGTTGCCTTTCGTGCCCTGGCAGAAATTCATAATGCACTTGTTGGTGAATGCACCGATCTCGCAACCGCGACTAGCTTCTTTGAAAAGGCGGTCTATGAAAGCAAATCATTACCTTATGATGTTCAGTTAAGGACCCTTAATATTAATCAGTTTTTTAGCCGCTGTCTTGAAGAAGGGGTTCCGTTTGATGATATAATTACCTATTATAATGATACCTATAGGTCAGTAGTATCCAAATCATTGGCTCCTTCTTCGTACGAGGGCTTAAATTGGCATTTCTTCAGCTTGTTTTTTAAGAATTTTCCCGAGCCTACGGAGCAAGCTAGGGATAAATTATGGGGAATTTTGAAGAATCATCCTGAAATATCACCTAAGATTTTACATATTGTTATTTCAAAATGTGCCTGGGAAAATTCCAAATTCTTGCAAGAGTTATTTGATTCCCTCGAATATTTCGGTTTCAAAAAAGATCTTTTTCTTTGCAAATCTATCCTTCGTGGCCATAGCAAGATCCAGTGCTCAAATGAACAGATTTTAAAACTATGGAATGAATTGTTATGTAAATTGGATGAAAACAAGGAGATATGCATTCCAAATACATATTGGTTCCTGTTCCGTGATGCTGCTTTAGCCTCAGAGTACCTGGCAGAAAGATATAAGTTATTTCTTGAAGTTACGAAAACATATAAAGATTATATGCTTGACAATGAATCGTGCAGAAAGTTTATGGAAGATATGTCTAAAGGGTATCCTTCGGTATATGACGAACTCTGTAGAATTGCTACTGAAGAAGATGCGGATTTTGGTTATGATAATGGAAAGATCGAGGTCCCTGAATTCAAAAATTTGAAGCCCAATGTTAATTTCAAGGAAGAAATTTTAGATACTTTAGAAGAATGTCCACCTGGTTCGATAGTGGATGAAAACCCAATCATTCCTGGTTATGTGGCCCCTCCAGGAGCTATTACATGGTTCGAAGGTAGTGTACAGAAAATTGCTAAAGAACTAGATTTCATCTCGGAAGAACTCGAAGGTCTTTCTATTACCATACTCGGCAATGGAACCCAAAAATCGTTAGACAAGATTGCTCAGGAAGTTGAAGCAGTTGTGACTGAAGTAGAGACAATCTCAAAAGAAATACGAGCTGCTCTTGGACGCGAAAACACCGGAAGTAATAATAGAGACGTAAATGATATCGCACGCGATGTTGAAAGCATATGCGAAGAAGTTGAAGCGATTTCTTTGGAAATTGGAGAGATTATGAAGAAGTAAGCCACGAGAACACAGACGTGCGTTGGCGAATCTTGTATATAGAAATAATAGAAGCAAATAGTATGAATCAAAAACCTCTAGAAAATTATCACAAATAGTATTCACTTGAAATTGTACTTTTGCATATTGTCAACTTGATCTTTAAGTTATCCCATTTTTCTTTAACAATGTATTTCTATATAATGATTGCGTCACAAAGCTGCAAATTCCATTGAACCCTTCGCATATAACCCACACTGGTGGTATGGATTATCAGATAATTTAATTGAATTCCAAGAATATCGTGTCAATGCCATAAATAAACGACATTTTGAGCTTCAAGGCATAATGTCGTATAACGTCTACTTTGATGGATATTGAAATCTATCTCTAGGATAGTCATGTTTTGTTTCCTAATAATTACAACAAAAGGAGTCGTGCAATAACCTATACTCGTAACTCCTACTGTACTATGAATTCCATTTGGTGTTCATTTTGTAATTCTACTAGGGGGCGTGCGTGTGTGTTAGTTGATGGCAAATTTCCGTTGTGCGTTTCCTCACCTGTTTTTTGATCGATGGGATGGAATCTAAAATTTCAAAAAAGAAACTTGAATTTTTTATACCGGCTTTTCCCACCATCTTTACCAAATCAAAGAATACAAATACTTCTGGGTTAGATGTTTAGATTCGTGTCATCAAACACCCAGAATGGGTTAAAAACAGCAGTATTGCTGAAAGCTAAACTCACCAAAACTACGTTAGCTCAACTCCCACCTGGACTTTGTTTACAACCGGCTTCTCAAACCACATCATTATCAGCTTCAAATTCCGTCCAAAATCTTCAGTTTATTAGAAATAAGAATTTCAGTAGACATAACGATGGACCGCGTTATGAAGATAATAGAGGTACACCTACTCGTGTATGGCTCGAGGATAAAGACTTCCAAGAAAAAAGTCGCTATATTGATTTGAAAATGGCCATTCGTAAGGCAGATGATTTGAGAATGGATGAATTGGCAGAATTAAAAGCAATAATGGGTAAGCTTCCCAAATGGGCTGCAGCCCTCGATTATATCGATTATCTCAGGACGTTACAAAATATGTCCATTAAATGTAGGAAAATAAGATTAAATGGGAAAGATCGAGTGGAAGGTAAGACGGCCCAATTTGAAAACGAGGTTACTATTCAGAATCTAATTCTAGATGTTAATGAGATGATTTTGGAAGGAAAGTTAGATCACATCCTTTCTGATCAATTGATCTACAATACAATGACCGCATTAATGCATTATGAATTAAATCAGGAAGTACTTGCCATGTGGGAAAAGGGAATAAATCATTCAACTTTAGGAGAACTATATATGTCTCCGATAGTTTTGGCGGCAGTTATTCCGCACGCTTTTGCCTTCAAAAGATTTACCTATGAAGAAATAGCAGAAATTTATGACTTGGTTACCAAAGATGTTCCGACTGTACCTGCTCTTTGCAGTTCTATGGGATTTCTTGCCCTCCAAAACGGGGATTACGGAAGAGCTATGGATATTTTCGAACTATTAGTTGACGATCTTAGCAAAGCAGGCAAGTCTAGCGGGCAGCACAGAGCCGCCATCTCCAGAATTCATTGTGGGTTTATAGGCGAATGTACTGATATCGCGATTTCTAGAAGTTTCTTTGAAAAATTGGTCTATGACTCGGAGAGTTTACCTTATGTTGTCCAGTTGAAAGTTCCTCAAGTTAATAGTTTCCTTAAGAATTGTGCTGAACAAGGACTTCCATTCGAAGAAATCACAAGCTATTATAACGATGCCTATAAATATATATTAAGCGGGTGGGGAGATCTTGGTGTTGGTTTCTTTAATAATTTGCATGTCCATTTTTTTGGCTCATTTTTTAAGCAATATCCTGAAGCAACAGAACAGGCCAGGGATAAGCTATGGGAAATCTTAGCCAATCATGCTTCAATGTCAAATATTATTTTAAATATTGTAATTTCACAATGTCCTTGGAATGACCCGAAATATGTTCGAGAATTGCTCGATTCATTTGAATATCTCAATATTAAAAAGAATCTTGCCAGCTATCGAACTATCTTCAAAAAGCTTGGTGATATACCATGTTCAAACCAAGAAATTATAGAAAAATGGAATGAATTGTTAAAACAATTGGATGACAGCAAATTCAAGTCCATTCCCGGACAGGACTGGTCTCTTCTCAGACAACCTACTGTACTCTCCAATTTCCAGGCAGAAAGATGCAATTTATATTTAGAAATTGTAAAAACTTACAAAGATTACATGGGAAACGAAGAAGCATGCACGAAGTTTCTCAAAACATGGCGTGCTACACAACCTTCAGTCTATGACTTAGTTAGCAGAATCACTACGGAAAAAGATCCTTATTTTGGATTTGGGAAAATCGAAATCCCTCAATTTAGAAATTTGAAACCAAGTGTTAATTATAGAAAGGCAACTTTATCTTATGTTACGCAACATCCCGCTGGCTCAAAAGTGGACGACCTTCCAATTGTTCCTGTTTCTTTTCCATCCGCTTTTGCACTGACTGTTGGTACTGTTGCTAAAGAACTTGATAATATATCAAAAGAGATCGAGTCTCTTTCTGGAATTATCCTCGGTAATGGTTCTATGAATGCTATTTCTAAAGAGGTTGAAAGGGTTGAGAACGAAGTTGAATCTATTTCAAAAGAAATCAAAGCCTTGCAAGCAAATTCAGTTACTAAACGAGGCATTAACTTGATTGCTCAAGAAGTTGAAGCCGTCGTAAATGAAGTTGAAGCAATTTCCAAAGAAATTAAAGCTTCCCATGGTAAGAGGAACGTAAATGATATTTCTCAGGATATCGAAGGTGTAACTAAAGCACTTGGAGCAATTTCTTTGGAAATTGCGCAAATTATGAACAAATAGTTTGTGAGAGTGTGTGGCATGAATGTATATAGAAAGCACTTGTAGATAACGTTATTTAGATAATATCAATAGATAAAATTTAATTAGTCAAAGTTTTAACATAAAGATATCTAAGAATTGTAGACCGAAGGGGCTATGATAATAAAAGTCCAGGGGCAGGGGCAGTGATAACTCAAAAAGCCAACAGATCGATACAGCCAAGAAGAAGCAAAAAATATAAATTACGATCTGATTTGAAGCCACTACTTGATTCACAAAAAAGACCCCATACTTGAATCCATCCAATTATCCTTTTGCTATCTAATTTACTATAAATATTTGCTTATATCCATCCAACAATGGGAAACAGTTCATCCAAGCATAAACATCAAGGTCATTCACTCAAGAGCACTCCTGCTGACAATATTCCCAAATCCCCAAAGAAATCGCGTCTTGTTGCGTCATCACCATTAAGTAAGAGACAAACACCCAGCCGACCAACACCGGTAACAAATACAAAGCCTAAATCCGCAACAACTTCAGAATCAAGACCATTAGGCAGTAGTGATAGTAGTAATAATGGTATCGGTCAAAATTCCGGGGGCGTTTCGCAGAGCGCAAAAGAAGCCCTGGCTCGTGCTGCTGAAGAAAGATTCAAGAAATTACAAGAACAGAAAATGGGACAGAAAGAGAGATTGAGAAGTAAAGCGAAGACTAGTAGAGTTGAGAAGGGCTTATAACGAAGTAATTAATCAAATTTCCTCAGATTTAGTTTTTGTAGATTTTTCTTAAATGATTGATTTTTCCATACGAGTGAGTAAATTAATTTGTGTATGGTGAGCATCAAATGAAATTTATAAATTAGTTGTTTGCCTTCTTTTTATGATAAATAGAACACTAAGAATTAGATTAGATAGTAAATTATATAAACAATCAATGGGTAGGTCATTCTATGAAAAAGAGCAAGAAAAGATTCGTAACTTAATCAAACTTCCATTATTAGAGTTAGTATTAAAATTCTTACCCCATCTTCAATTAACCCAAAAAGAAACCGATGATACTTGGGAAATCGTGGCAATTCAACTCTCACAAATACAATTCTCCGAGGCCATAAATGATAAAAAGACGACCGAAGAAATCGATGCCATCCCTGAATTAAATGGGATATATGTTAGACAATACTTCGAATCAATGTATGAAGAATTTACAAAGAATATTCAGAGGGGAATTATGGAATGGAACCAGGTTGAAGCATTAACTGGAAATAGGGGGGTTCCATTTTGGTATAACCCGAGTAGCAGGGCTGATGCTATTCTTTATCAGTTATATCAATTGCGGGGACGAGACATTGAGATTATGGGGATTATCAGTCTGGAAAATCTTGAAAATAAGATACGTAGACAATTGAAAAAGGAATTGAAAGTGGGACCGTATGGACTAAATGGACAAGGAGAGGAAGTACAAAACGAGAAGGAAAATGCAGATGATATCGAGGAAGATGATAAATTATTAGAATCAACAGATCTTTTACAAGAGTATAAGCGAAGTCTGGAGAAGCAAAGAAATGAGATTCTTCGTCAGGAGCTTATAAGAAAGGATAAAAGAATAGAACAATTGACTCAAGAGAATAAAAGACTTTTAGAATTGAATCATGATCTTTTGCGATTACAATGATTAATATGACACAAATAGATAACTTTGTGTAGTAGAAGCCCATGCCCGCCACCCGCACGGGCACTACACCCTAAAAATAGGTACAATAATAAACTGCCACGATTTAAAAATACAAAGTTTGAATATTTTTTGATATTTAATTAAATGTGTATATTTTATGTATTTAATTTAATAACAGAAGTTAAACCATTTGTATTCACAGTTAGATACATACAATAGGAATTCCACTACTGCTGCTACTACCCACCATTGATCCCTACTTTCACTTTAGCTCCAACTGACAAACGTTTTTTTTAGCGTAATTTATTTGCCCCGCATATTTTTCCCGAGATTCGACAATTGAGACCCAAGCTATACTTTATAAGGAATGGAATCAATACAACCAAAATACCAAGTTAAATTCTTCAATGTCAACTTCTTAGAATTCGACAATTTAGTTAAGAAAGCATTACACCAAAAAGCCACAAAAGAACAAGAACAACAAGTTATCAACTATTTACATACATGTTTTAAGGTGTATGTAATCGTCAATCAACAACTGTGGAGAGTAATTGGAAAGAGAAAAGACACTCGTGTTCCATATTATTCGAAGAGAATACACAATTTTAGGCTTCCATTATTCTTCAAAGATGCCATTAGGGAAATGGCCAGACCAATGATTGCTCCCAAATCACAACTCTATCTCCCAGATGTCATTGTTGTCAACGATGAAAATAAATCAGCACATTGCATTCCCCAATCATTGGATATAATCCAACTCTTCCCTGGACTCAAATTATCCCAATTGGAAATCGAAGAAGTAAATCCGACAATGTTGGGAATGTACCACGAAGAAGCAAATATAATCTCAACCACAGCTAAAGAACTCCCTAGTTATAGAATTAAAGCAACCAGTATCTTGAAGCATATCAGATTCCAACAGTTTAGACTCATTACCAGTCAGGAGAATTGGGTATTGTTAGATCGTGGAAATGGAAAACAGCCAGAAAGAGTCGAAAATATGAATGATATTTTTCAGAATACTGGGTTGTTAAGTGGATTTTCGGTCTATTCCAATAATCGAAAGGTTCGGATTAATTCCCAATCCTTGACTTGTTTGGCAATTGATAGACTGGGTGTGGATGTATTTGCAAGATTTCCTACTGAAGACATGTTTTTGCGTATCGAATCACCAGAGCCTCATTATCTCCTTTCCAGGAGCAACATGGACCGAAAGTATAAGGCATCTCCAAGAATCGAAAAGCCATCGAGATTAAATAAAAAGATTGAAATCTCAAGACTTAGTACTATGGTCAAATCTAGCCTAAAGTGAACGGGAAATTTGGAGGGTGTTTAAGATTTCATACACAAACAAATAAAACTTGCATACACATTATATATTCGCAAACGATACCTGGATTCTATTTATAGTTTCAGATAGCAATATATATGATTTCTGAATAATCTGCTTCTCGAATGAAGTAAATTATTACTGATTCGCCATAATCATAGTAGATGTATAGCTATATTGGTAGCGCTTGAGCTTTTATCTGTGCACAGTTACACGACCAGATCTGGTTTTTTTGTTTCTGGCTTCTCTACAACAACAATCAATTATTCTTAATCACCAGAAGTAGATAAAGCTAGTATAGAGGTATCACTAATAAGCAATGGAATCTAAAGTGCCATTATCACATTCTTTATGGTCTCCATATGATACTGTGAAAGATGCTGCTGATGCCTTGGGAATAATATTACCTGATGAAGCAGCCAAAAATCTAGCTATGGATGTTGAATATCGAATTCATGAAATCTTAGAGACTGCCATCAAGTTCATGAGACATTCCAAAAGAAAACTATTAATGACTTCGGATATAAACCACGCATTGAAGCTACTCAACGTTGAACCCTTATATGGCTATGATAATTCCCAACCCCTTAATTTCAAAGAAACTTTAGTTGGAGCAGGGGGTCAATCTTTATACTATATTGATGATCATGAAATTGAATTTGAAAAATTGATAAATCAGGAATTACCAAAAGTTCCTCGTCAAACTACATTCACAGCCCATTGGTTAGCCATTGAGGGTGTTCAACCTATGGTGCCCCAGAATCCATTGCCTTCAGAAATTAAAGCATTACCTCCAATCATTAGAGGTGCTACTTCGTCAATATTAGGGAATGATATTTTGAGCCTTGCCGAAAATAAAGAAGCAACTGGTGCTGATGGTACTGCTACAGGAGCTGGAAAACATGCAGGTAGTGCGGGTACTTCAAAGGATAAAAAGACAACAGAAAAAGATTTACAAGTTAAGCCATTGGTTAAGCACGTCCTTTCAAAAGAATTAAAACTTTATTTTGATAAAGTTGTAGAAGTATTAATATCCACTGATCCAGAGAAAGAAGGTTTGAAAAACGCCGCATTAACTTCTTTAAAGTCAGATCCTGGTTTACATCAACTTGTCCCATATTTCATCCAATTTGTTGCTGAACAAATCACCAACCAATTAAGAAACATTGAAATATTGTCTACTATGCTAGAAGTAATCTCCGCCCTCGCAGATAACAAAACAATCTTCTTAGATCCATATGTTCACGCATTAATGCCATGTATTTTGACATTATTGCTCGCCAAAAGAATAGGACCTGTAATAAAAGACACCACAACCAAAGAAGCTCAAGATTTGGTTAGATCACAATTGGCCGTACGTGAATTTGCTGCGATTCTATTGGAACATATTATCAAAGTATACGGGTCTTCTTATTCTACTTTACGTCCAAGAGTAACAAGAACTTTATTACGGGCACTTTTGGATTCTTCAAAACCGATGGGAACACATTATGGTGCATTATTGGGATTAAAGAATATGGGTGCTGAGGTCATTAAATTGGTCCTAATTGGGAATTTAAAAGTATGGTGTAATTCAGTAGTAGAAGATTCTAGTGAGTTTGAGCAACAGATTTTGTTGAATACTTGTTTAGAAACACTTCGGAAATTGAAAATCGAGAAGAACACCAAAAAGGAAGATGCTATGGATGTTGATCTTTCCGATGAAATAAAAGAAAAGTTAGCTGGAAGGATTGGAAACAGGTTGGCTGAGTTGATCTTACAACAAGAAGATTCAAAGAGTATAGTCGAAGGAATCTTCTTTGGTGAATTAGTCGTCGAATAGACAAAGAAAAAAAACGCTGTAATATTAATAGTAATACAAAACTTACAAATGATAATGACTTAGAATCTCTTCTTTCGAGAATACGTAACGACTTTCTTTTTTGGCAGTATCAAGAAATCCAGGTCGTATTCTTTATCCTCGTCCTCTTCTTCTGCTGGGTTATCCCGGAAAACCAACGAGCGCTTAGGTAATCCAGGGCTCGTCTCTTGTTTATACAAACTAGCATTATAAAATGGCGAAACATCCAACGAAACTGGCTCTCCTGGTCTCATTTTCTTGGTCTTTCTCTGGATCGAGGTGATAGGTTTTATCGGCGAGGAATCGACTCGACTTCTTTGTACAGGCGTGCGATCGATCAAAATTGGCGATTTGTTAGCAGGTGGGGTAGCTTGAATTTCCTTAGATGCAGACATTAACCTTTCCGTCAAGATGGTTGCCTCTCTTGCTGCTGGTTTCAAAAATGCATCTGGAGTTTTGAGAACAAGGGTATCCTGTCTCGTGACAGATTTTTGAGGAGTAGCTTCAACCAATACTGTCGATTTAGAATATACGGGAGTTTGTTGAACTTGACTAAAGGATTTCGGTTTTACTGGCGTTGCCATAACATGCACTTCAGGAGGCGCTGTAGGTGCTGCAGGTTTTGATGGAGCAACAGCTACTGATTTCAGTCGTTTGGCATTGGAAAAGATAAATGAAACATTTGGCTGGGACGATAAGGTTGTTTCTAGATCGGAAGTAGTTCTTGTTAGCTTGACGTTTAAGTCGACTTGCCGTCTTGATAGATTCTTGGAAGATAAGTTCGATTTCGATCTCTTTAAGGAAGGCGGTATAATATCATCTTCTCCAGATAGAGATATTCCATGTGTGCTTGATTGGTCCACAGTCGTGGCTGATTTCAGAAGGGTAGGCTTTCGATTTGGCAATAATACTTTTCTATATTTCGATGATTTTGAAGTCGATTTGTGAGCCTGAGATTTAATCTCTGATTCACCATTGGTAACGGTTGTCAGCTTCTTCCGTTTCTTCAGTTTGGAACTAGAAGATGTTTCTAGTTTCATATTCAAATCTTTCATATTATCAATAACATACTTCACCAACTCGGGTAGCTTCTTATTATAATAAGGTACAAACACATACGCCATAAATCCATATGAGCTATCTGCCTTTCCACTAAGTGTATCCCAAAGTCCCATTCTATCAACCAAGGTGTTCAAAGTGGAATAAACGGTGTATTGGTCGAGACTGCGAGATGGGACATTATTGGTATCCAATGTTCCATTGTCAGTCTTAACGTCAATTCCCATTCCTAAGAATGTGGGAACAATTTTCCTTTTTCTTTTCCTAATAAGATTCAGCTTTGCCTGCTTCTGGCGAGCTTTTAATTCTCGTTGCTTTTGAGCTTGATTCTCCAAGAGAAATTCTGTTTCGTTTAAGTTCCATGCATGCATTAGTTCAAATATTACGAGGATTTGTAATTGAGCCTCTCGAACTTTTAGATCGAATATCAATCGTTGGAATTTTTCATGATTCAGAACTTCCTTCTTATCTTTCGACTCCTGATTGGCATTCTTGAATTCGGTTGATGGGTCAGAATTCAAATTGTCTAGCAATTCTTGATGCATTTCTATAAATCGTGTTTGGTTCTCAATCTCAAACCTAGATTTCAAAATATGTCGTTGATCAACAATGTCTTTATCCAATAATTTCAAAACTCCATTAGAACCCCCATGTCTTAAATCAAGGTCAGATATCAGCAATATCATCCCACTTAGTACTTCACAAATGCGTTCCTCATTTTCATCGCATAATATACGTAGTCGAGATATCGCAGTCTTGGGAAAATAACTCAATGGATTATTCAACGAATACAAGGTGCTGTAATATCTCGATTCTATAAACTCAACAGGATCCAGGCCGTCCTTCCTCAAAGGAGACTCGTTATCGTCGCGTGCTATATCGTCCAGGGGCTGCTTTGGGGGACCCATTGAAAATGAATCAAGGATCTCAGTGTGGTCGTTTACTGGTTGTTGACTTTCCTCGATCGGAGTTTCAGCTACTTCGATCAATTCTTGACTATCATGAATACCATATGGTTCAAGTTCCGAGCCTGTGATATCCTTAATTCTTAAAGCATTCGGCACTTTAAACAACCCATAAACATTCACATCTTTTATATGATATAATATTCCCAATTCACTAGCCTTATCTGAAACACTCTGTTGAAGTTTTACTAGCCAGGTATGAATCCCTAATTGCTCACTTATATTTGAATCTAGTTTCAAGATATAGGTCCTTCCATATTCACTGGAATGGATATTACTATCATTAGGTGGGAGGAGTGGAAATGGTAATTTGGTGATATCGATGGAGGTTAGCGTGTAGAGTGGTAAAACTACTATTGGAACATTTCCTGGCTGGGTGAGTTCAAACAGAGGTATCGGCTGTATTTGTCCTATAGTCGTGTTGTCTGAATTGGATCCATTAGGCATAATTTCATTTGTGTTCTATAATCTCTAAAATATTGTCAAGTTAATTAAGCAAAGTGATTGGGCTTCAATGTTTTTTTTTTCAGTACGCGCACGGCTCACTCATTCACTCAACAACTCTTTGAAATCCGCAACTACAAGAAAGAAGATACACTTATAAATACAAACACTATATGTATTCTCTATATAGATTAAAAAAAGAAACACAGGCACTTATAACATTAACCATTCGTCCTCCACAATATCCGTAATCGTTGGTCTTTTTTCAATATTTCTATTCAAAATCTTCCTAATCAAAGCCAAAGAAGCCTCACTTATAACATATGGAATTCTTAAATCACCTTCCATAATCTCGTCAACATTATAAAAGGGATTTTCTTTGTATAACATAGTATACAACAAAATCCCCAATGCCCAAATATCTTGAGGTCTACCTTCATACTTTTCCCCGCGTAACACTTCGGGTGAGGCATAATCTATTGTCCCCACAAAAACGTCAAATGGACCTTGTTTAACGTATCCAGCACTACCAAAGTCGATTAATTTGATGATTCCATTCTCATCAACAATAATGTTTTCATCCTTGATATCACGATGTACGATTCCATTCTTATGAAGATGATATATTGCCGCTACGATTTGTTTAAATATCAATTGACATTCAAATTCGGATATATCTTTCTTGATTTCTATAAAATCAAATAAATCAATTGCGGGCGGATTTCCAAATATTGGAGTTTCTAAATAATAATATTTCAGATCTTCAAAAAAATCAATAATTCTCATTATATTTGGATGAGGTTCTGAATTCAAATAGGCCATGATTTGGATTTCTGATGGAATGGTACCCAATCTCCGATCTCGTACCCACGTATCTACAAGAATACGTTCCTTGTCAATACATTTGATAATTATTGTATACACTGGATCTTCTTTATGTCGAGCAAGCACAACTTTCCCATATGCTCCTTCTCCCATATCTTTAACAACAGTGAATTCTGTAAATTTCTTAGTACGACGAGCTAATCCAACTTCTCTGGGCCACCTTGTCGATTGATTCATCTTTTGTTCAATTGCTTGGTTTTCCAACTTTAATAATTCCTCTTCCGAAAATTTTTTATACCTAGTAGTGGTTGTAACACTGCTGACTTTAGTTTCTACAATCGTTGCAGCTCCCAGCATTTGATCTACAGGCAAAGCATGTTCTTGCATCACCGGAGTCAGCAAAACCAATGGTGATGATGGTTTCCTTCTATGTTCCTGTGTAGTAGTGGTAGTGGCTAGAAAACTATCGATTCTGCTGACCGGTATACCAAACGAATCACGTTTTGCTTTTCGTACACTGGAACCAGTGGTGATTTCTTTTGGCAAAAATTCCAATTGTTCAGTTTCTGCTTGAAATAATTTTAATTGAGAAGGTAACCTAGCTAAATTAGTGACGGATCGTTCATGTATTTTCTTTTCCATACTCTTTAAGGAGCTAGCTCTAGTATGTGGCTTTGACGACATTGAGGCTCCTGATGAAGTTAACGATATGGATGAAGTTGATGAACTCAATTTATCCAATTCTCGAACCATATGTCTATTCTTATATGATCGCGAATATGTTACCCAAACAACTAATGTGTCATGAGATGATGCACGCAATTGAACATCAACAAAAAGCGATTTCCCATCTCGATGTATTCCTTCAATACCATTAGAATTGAAAAATAATTGTTCTTCATCTTCGAGTTCAGAGCTTTGCAGCTTTCTCAATACAGCATCATACTTCCTAAAGAAATGTTCTGGTAATACTAATCCCGGAACTAGTTCAAATGTATCAACATTGGTTTCTAGTCCAATATTCAAAATCTTGGTGAAGTTAGGGATCAATTCATCAAATGCATGATCATATAAATTATCTATCGATTTCCCAAATAAATTCCTGGCAATTGCATTATTACATGACAAGATCTTATAATCTGAACTACTAATCACAAATATCCCTGCTATGTATGGCATTGTATGAATCTTTAATTTTAATTCAGATCTATTTTCATGTATTTCTAATGGATTGGATGTTATAGCACATGGGATATTTTCATTTGCCAATTGTAATGTATAATATCTTGTTTGATTTATGATCTCACTATCTTCGACATCTCTCTCGTCATCATGGTCCTCGCCAGAGTTGTTGTTAACATGCTTATTCAACTCTTTATTCAAAGATTCACTCAACTGACTAAGATTATTAAAACGACCAATATCACAATCATGAGCTAGTTTACCAGCAACCGGCACCATGCTATCAATATGGTAATCACCATATTCGTCTCTTTCACACAGAATAACAACATCAAATGCATCACATGGAATCTGATCAAACATCAATATAATCAAATTTCCCTTTCTTTTTGCCCAAAGGGATGTCCAAGCAAAATTCTGATCTCCTGGTCTAACAATTGCCACAATTTCTCCGGCAAATAAAATATTATTATCAATTGTTGAGTTTCGTTTCTTTCTTCTTCTCAGACTTAGGTCTAAATTACCTTCCAAATATTTCGTTATTCTAGCCATGACAAAATCACGGAATTGAGGAGCAATCAAATCCATAAACGTCAACGATTTAATCAGATTTTTCAGTACCCCAAACATAAGGCATGCCAAGTCATTAGCAGCAATTACTGACCAAGGAAAATCAGTCTCGACTGTAAATACCGATTGAGGTAAGGAATGTTTGCCAGCAAGCATTGAATGAAATGGTCTATTATTTCCAGTTGTATTTATTGAAGATGGAACTTGACCCATTGTAGTATAATTGTTGTTTAATAAGTTTAATGCGGTAGTTGAAGGTCTAATACGGGATGAAGCAAGATTGTTGTTATCGTCTGCTACCTCTCCACTTTGCAACAATGAAGAGGTACCAACTGTTGTTTCCATAAATGGCATAGCCAATGCATATAATAACCTTTTCTTAAGGAAATCATGTTTCAATCTCACACTCTCATCATTAGGCGAAAAGGACAAATCGTGCAATGAGGACGCAACTTCGGTGTTGGTCATTAATACATTCAAATCCTTTTCTAATAGATTCACAATCTCTTGCAAGTCGCCATTAGGGCTACGATCTCCAGACTTCTTTCTATTAATTGCGCGGTGGTTACTAGGTGTTGACATACGAGGGGATGAAGGTTCCTGAACCAAAGGTAAACTGCCTGAACGTTTCATAGGTGGACGGAAAAATGCAGCTAAGGCAGCTGAAGATGCATTAGGTTGAATCTTATATTTTTTATTTGAATTACTTTCATGAACAAATTCGCTATCCGTTTTAATTGAGAATGCACTTGCTCTTCTAGGTGGAATTAGTTTGTTTTCCACCAAATTTACTGACAGGTTTGAATGATTAACATCTGTTGAATAAAGTGGGTTTGAGACAGTTTTAAATATTGTTTGCTTTGATGAATCGATAGATTCTACGTCATCTGCCATGTCTATATCCTCTTGTTCTTCTTCTGTATCGTCTTCTTCTTGCGGTGCAATGGATCTAAATAAATCCGGTCGGTCCTTTAGTATTTCCAATGATCGTTTTAATACATTTAATCGTAATGCTAATGAATTCGGAGAAAGATGAGCATAAGAATATGCATGTGATGATTCAACCGGAAACTTCAATATATCGTCTATATCAGTGCTACTGTTATTTTGATTGCTAGCTGGGGTTATTGATTTTGGCAAATGTGGTACTGGTGAAGGGGCAAACAATGATGATGGTCTTTCCAAATTCCTCAGTCGTGCATTTAACAATGGATTATTAATAGGTGGAATAGTCGGACGTGGGGATGATGAAGAAGATATGAATGTTGGTTTCGGTTGTTGAACATGAGGTTTTGAATCTTCATCTTCAAATATATAAAACAGGGGATTTCCTTTAGGACTGGAAAGATTGGCATTGTTAGTGGAAAAATGTGGTATAGCATTAGAAGCATGCATTGTTTTATGACTTGTTGAAGAATATAACGATTTACTATTAGTAGTATTTTCTGCTGACTTTGTAGAAGTAGCAGTTGTAGTAGTAGTAGCTGCGGAAGAAGCCGAAGATGATAGTCTTGTATTAGATCGATGTATATCTTCTCCCATCATTCTTTTGGTGAATATGTTATAACGCCTATTTGTGTAAAAATGGTTGTGATGATGATGTCGATGATGGGATGATTCAAATAGGAAGGGGGTGATGGATCGATCGATATGTGTTCTTCTATTTAAATGTATTTAAAAGGATTGATTACTAAGGGGGGGTGGTGGAAGAAGGGGGAAGTGTTGTAAAAAAAAAATTATGATTAAATTAGAAGAAGAAGAAAAAAAGAAGGGAGAGCAGCAACAGCCTTTCGATTCTTCTTGTTGTTCATTTATTAAGGCAAAAAAAAAGGGTGGTTGTAATATTATGAAATTAATTTTTATTCAATTTTTTTATTTATTTTAAAAAAATAGATATGACAAGTAATGAATTAAGATTAAATCAATTACCATGTACTGGTCTTAGTTAAGTCTTATATTACTCTGTTCATATGTTTTTGAATAGATATGTTTGTGTAAATGTTTCTTTTACAAATGACAACTCCGAAGGGGGGGGGGGAGGAAGGGGATCGTTGATAGTTGTTGCAATGGTACAATTTATCTGATGATTTTTTATTAAATTCCTGACAAATTAAAGTGATCCATATTTCATAAGAAAATTATTATAAAGATCCGACACAAAGTGCTGTATTCAATATCATCCGATTGCGTTGCTCGCTGAGGAATGCTACATTCATTAACCAGTCTTTTTATTTATTTAACATTTTCGAACAATTACGTAATGGTTGTTTTTGTGATAGAAAAAAATATGCAGTTTAAGTGAAGATACAGCCCTACATGTATATTCTTACTTTATTTCTTCTATGGACTGAATATTTAGTTTAGAAAATTCAATTTTTACTATCTTCTAAGGATAAGGTCAATTTTCAAATTACTTCTATTGATAGAGCTATTCTTCTTATAGAAAATAAAGGGCTACCAACTGCTTTTTTTAGGTTAGTACCGAATGATTGTTTTGGTACAACAAAGATATTCATAATAATAAACTCGTGGAAGTAATTGGAACACGTTTCTCCCCCTTTCTCCTAAAAATTGCACCAATCATTATGAAAAGGACAAATGAATTCATCAAACTAGACAATCCAACATCTGTTACAAAGATCCGTAGTTGAGGTCTTTTGTTCAACAGAAAGCAAGCAGCATTGCAAACGTTTGACACTGTAGTGGATGAACATTGTCATTCACAAGATTCTAATGGGAAAGAGATGTACATCGAAGGAGCGGTGACCCTCTTCTCGGCTATGTCATGGAAATGGTTCACCAGGAGGGAGGGAGAAGGGTTGTGTGTACCTCTGGTAGCCACTCTTCTCTTGGTGGGCATTCATTCCTCTGTTGTTTCTAATGAGATTCTCTCGGTTACAATGACGAAGGATTTTGGTTGAAAAGGAGAAGTGATCTGATTAGCTTTAGATCCGGTTAATAATATTTCAAGCTAAAAAATATTTTATTTTTTTAGAATTAATTCAGTTGCTTAAAAAATAAATAAATAGTGACCAACTTATTCTGTACCTTTGAGTGACTAATACGTTAGCCTTTGCTATTCTGCAATTGATTAAGGTAGACATCTCATGAACAATTCCTTTGCAATCTTTTCACAATTCCTCAGCATCTACGTCTTAGTATATGTATTGGACGATTAATGAATGGTTTCAAATAGGCTATATTTGACTTCCTTTGACCTCTTTTACGTACCTTAAGTAGCATTCTTTTATAACAAGAACATAGGGGCCATCTCCCTAACCGTGAACCTAACTTGACATTATTGAATCAGATAATTTAACTGTAATTCCAAGGCTTGGGTGGCCGTTATTTTGTTGCAAAATATCTTTTGGGTAAAAAAATAATCTAAAAAATAATCGCGTATTCTTCGTTAATGCAATCATTCGCTAAGCACGAATATTCTATATTTGTGGGATCTGACTTTACAATATTGAAGTTTTCTATTGAGCAAGTTCCCCAATCACCATCTGAAATGCTTGAATTCATCTTCGTATTTATTCCGAATGAGTACCTAGTAATCTATATCGATAATCCACTTATGCTCTATCAACCAAGGTAATAACTGAATTTGATCAAGTTGGGTACCCATCATAAATGTTTGAGAAATGGGAATGTTCACCTTCCGCAAGCAGAAGGGTGTGCTTGTATGAAGTCGTCAAATTGTCGACTTCTAATCTGTTGATCAGTGAGCCTCGTGAACGTAATGGTAGACAAACTACAAATAAATTAACACATTTTTCTTTTCCTCAGTTTTAATTATATCAACCTACCAACTATGTAATTACTTTTATTACTTTCGCACATGCATTTACCCAACCAAATTAGTTCCATGGCCATTAATTGTACTAAGAAATCATTACCCTTGCTTAATCAGTTTAGAAAGCTTAAGAAATTGACTGTCGAATCAGAGACGAAAAAGATATTCTTTAATAAATCATTTTCAAATGATTTGGAAATCTTGAATATTTTCGTTGAAACTTCTAGAGAAATTGAGGTGGGTACAAACTTCTCGATTCCTCAAAACCTTGGTATTCTTAAAATAAACAGTTATAATTCTCCAATAAGTTACAAATTCAAAGATATACATTGCCCGCCAACTCTAAGAGTTTTAAGTCTATTTGGAAAACCGAGCTCTACAAGTGATTTTTCAAATTCCCAATTTCCAGCAAACCTTCACGTTTTTGAGATCTTAAATCACAGAGTGACATGAAATCTTCAACTTCCTGGATCGTTAACAACCTTGATATTGGATAAATGCAGCTTACGAACATTACATGGCTTAGATTTCAATCATTGCCTAAGTTGGTACGAATCAGTTTAAATTTTACAAAGCTAAAAGTTGTCGATTGTCTGCTTCCCTCAAGTGTCAAATCTTTAAGTCTTAGGGGAAATAACCGCTTAAAGATCCTGATTGACGGTCCCTGCTTGAAGGTCCTTGACTTAGACAGATGCTATATTCAAAGCATAGATGTACAAAGCTTCAAGATTCCAAACAATATCATTCAGTTGAATTTGAGACGTACTAGGTTATTTCACACTCCGTCAAACGAGAAAGATCTAGTGGATGATTTAAGCAGAGTACAATATTTTGATTCTTTGACTGTATCACTTCCTAGAAGTTTATTAATTCCAGATGCAATCAATTGCAATCTTTCATCTACTGAGTTGTTATCGTGGAGGTTGTCGAGTCAATGCAAAACTCTAAAGTACTTGTACTTGAGTGGAAACAAACTTACAAAGCTTGAGTCTTTTTATTTTCCAATTCTGTTGGTGACTCTTGACCTAAGTCGCAATAATATGGCATTACCGAATAGGGACTTTTTTAAAGGCTTTGGAATGTTGGAGAATCTTCATATAGCACATACCCTTCTTGATAGTTGTCTCATTCTGAAAAACAACATACACTTTCCGGAATCGATAGTAGCGTTAGATTTAGCAGGGAATAACCTAACCAGTGAGATGTTCTTGAGGCTTCATATATCCAATTACAAACATTTGAAATTTGTTCGAATGGGGTATAATCCGAGATGTGAAGACCTGGTTCTACATGATGCTATGAAACAAAGTTCTGTGTATATTTGTGATTAATCAAACGTATTTCTTGATTCGATTGATACTGTAGAATATCTCCTTTTCAGCCTACACGATTATATTTCGATACTTGTTGGATATTGCTTCTGGCAATATGAGTACTAAGTTATTTTTTGTTTTAAGGCGCCTCGTTAAATACACTCTTTAGAGGATTTGAAAAGTCAATAAAACTAGTCTACTATTACAAGCTATACTACCACTTAATTCTATACATTCATTATAGAAAAATATCTTGATTATATATAATACAACCCCCGAATTACTTATTGTCGAAACTCCTAACCCAAATATCAGTTCCCTCTTGTACTCTCCATAGTCTGCTTATTATCATACCTAAATCGTATTTCTTTTTCTCGATTTCGTCTTTTCTTCCATTAAGCTTACTTATAGCATTCACAATCTTAGTTCGGGTGTTGTAATCGACCTCTAAATTATATGGTGGCAACAAGTTGTTCAAAAAGTTGATTTCCTTCTCTATCTTAGCTATCTTTGCTTTATATTGGTCATATTTGGTTTGAGCGTTACGTAGTTTAGCCGCGTCCTTGGAATCCACCTCTAATGATTGCTGCGGAGACATTCTCTTGGCTTTATATTGAGTCGTGCTTGTGGTTGGCAGCTTTATTGTTTCACGAGACACCTTGCGTACGGTAAATTTAATTGCTTTCTTGGGTAATGGTCTCGAGTCATCTGTGGTTTCTATGTTTGATAATTCATTGTAGAAGTTTGCTTTGGAAGCTACTGACTTTGGTAATGCCTTAGGTATGATGTTTACTTCTGGAAGTTCGTTCGATGTCGGAGATGAACTTGTTATGCCTGGTTCTTTGTCATCGTTCGATACGGTGATAGATTTCGAATCTTTGTCATTAAAATTTGCATTAGCCAAACTTTTGACCAAATCATCAGTTGAATGAGTTGAATTGACAGACGATAAGGAAGAAAGGGAAGAAGAAGACCCAGCTGATTTGCTTAGAATTGGACTGGAATTGTTAGGATTTAAATCGGTAGTATCGGGCGAGTCTTTAATCGAGCTCTCAGTTGTTTCTGCGTCATGGCTCTCGCTGGATTGTATATGCTCAATAGCTGCTTCAGGCTCGTTCTTGTTGTCTTGTTTATTGTTGTTTTCGGGCTGCGCATTGTTTACATCCGGGGTGTGGGTTTCCTCCGAGTGAGCATTTTCGGTATTTCCTTCTTGGTTTTCCATCTCCCAGTATATTTATAAGTACAAGTTCTCTATTCCTTTCCTACTGTTGTGCGTCCAATTGAACCAATAATTGATGTGCTATATCTAAGATACTAAAATTAGATTTAGATGTCATTTTTTTTTACCCTTTGTTTTTTTTTCTATTTAAATTTTGTTTTCTTACAAGTGTTTTTACTTTTGCTCCCGTACCGCGTTTTCCCTTAAAACCGGAAGAGAAGCTTTTTTTAGATCCCTAGATTACGTAAGAATGGTACAAAGCTTACGTAATAGCGTTGATAAACTCCGCTCCCATTCCACCTCATCGGCAGCAACAGCAACCATATGAGGCTATTGTAGTACTCCTTCAATCGCACTGTAAGAAATAACTGCGATGGGAGAAGTAATCAACATATCACTTTCGCAATTGGCAGGGCACACGACCACCCATCTATACAACGACCAAGAATCTCTAATTCCTTACACTGCCAATGCGCCAATCACACATAATTTAACCACATTCTTATCACGATTTAAATCCACTTCAGGTACCGGCTCGAATTTTTCACCTCGCTCGTTGGTATATGACTTAAGAGGAGGCTTTGGGGCTTTGAACAAATATGAGTATCATGAGTCACTTCCTTCATTTGATGAAATTCCCCAGGCGTTACGAATTAGTGAGAATAAGATACGAAAGAGTGAATATCAACTGAATTTGGATGCTGGACTCATAGATGGAAGTAAATTGACTTGTGAAAACACTCGCTATTGGACCGATTATAATAAGTTGATATATAATCCGAAGTCATTAACTACCTTGAATAATTTCAATTATGTATCTGATGAACCAGTAGGATCTCATTTTCATTTCCCAAATCTTAAGTTTGCAACATTTAATATTGGACAAAAGGAGTTCAATGAAGATGATGTTGATTCATTTCGGAATTTTCTTGAGCAATGTGATTTATTCAATGGGTTACAATTAACCACCGAGATAGATAGTGCATGGGGTGGATACGCCAATGAAATGTTAATCTATTTGAATGATGAATATTTCAATACTTCTAAGATCAACATTTGGACGTACGGGTTGATGAATTCTTCAAATTCTGCCACTTCCAAAATAAGTCGAGTGAAAACAATAGTCGAATTGAGCAAGAGTCTGAGTTTGTTGTTCCCAATTGATGTCGATTATAGTTCAGGAATGTTGTCAAGTATATTCAAGAAAGATTCTTTGTGGCACAGGTCCGGTCTTCCTGCAATGTTTATAAACTCAATATGGGGTGTGAATAGTCAATTAGAAGGAGGAGAAAGTATGTCACATGTACAAGCAAATTTATTAAGAGGTTTTGAAGATAGAAATATAGTCAATGAGATTAAAATCGTCAGCGAGGAAAGTAAAAACTCAAAGTCCATGGGTATTATGGATGTTGATTTGACTGCTTATTATACTACTGGAAAGTTGCCTGTTTCCAAACCACTGGAATCCGTCTTAAACATGGGAGTATCGCGTGATTATAAGACGTATATGAGCAAGAATTATATTGTTGGAAGCAACAAAAAGATTGAGGACATTGCCAGTACCACTACCATTTACCAAAACCGATCTATTGACAATATATTGAACATAGAAACATTTCCAACTGAAATCCTTTCTCATGGTAAAAATACGAGTTACTGTACCGAGTTCAACATTCACGAGGGGTTAAAGGATAATCTCAAAGCGTCCCGTAAAATTATTAAGAATATCTCGCTTACAAATCAACCATTTATAGACATAATCGAAGATAAAGGCGAGCTAGTTGAGGATTTAAGCAGGATAATTGAAGAATATACTACAGGTTATGATCCTGATAGTGAAGAATCAGACGACGATTACTAAACATATTTAAAAAAAAGCAGAACGTAAGCTTGAAAAGTATATACACATAACCATCTAAGATACAGTCTTTTCAACTAAATAAATACCATATTTATCTCTTAAGGTCTTCATAATTGGATCATTAATATCGGAACTCATTGGAGCCAATAAACCTCTCTTGGATAAAGTACCATCCAAAATTTGTTGGGCAGCAACGGCACATGGTACACCAACTAATTTAGCCATAGACGAGTAACCCTTTGGATCACCATAATCAACTAAAGTAGAGGTTCTGACTTCTTTGGAACCATCAGCCCATTCGATACCAAATTTATGTTGTAAAATGACTAAATCACGTTCACCTTCTTCATATTGCATTAATTCTTCTAAAGTAGCACAAAGGGTATCCAATGGGTTTCCTCTTGGGGTGATTGTTTTATCAGAGAATAAACCTAACCATTTCATACCGGCAAGGATACGCTCTTGATCTTCTGGGGATTGGAATTTGGTTAAAGAATTGATTTTGCTAATAATATCTTCTTCGCTCGAGGAGACTGCATCAACTAATGCTGCGGTGGCTTCCTTCCATGCGACTTGTTTGTTAAAGATACCCATACCTTCGTCAGATAAGAAGCCAATGTCAACTAAAACTTTGATGAATTCTGGGAAACCTTGGAATCTCAATGTACCTCTGATAACAGTTTCAGCTTCAGGGATGTTGTACAATTCCTTGTAAGTGGTGGAATCTCTGTTTGGATAACAAACTAAAGCATAACCTGGGTAGATAAAGTATGGCTTGGCGGCAGCCATCAAATCCTCACTGCTAACTTCAACAATTTTACCATCTTTCCAGTATTTAGCAGAGTTTCTTAATGCTAACAAGACACCTCTAGAAGACCAGGAAAACTTATAACCTAATGGGTTATCAGAATTTTCTGGAGCTGGTAAACCACCACAATAGGACAAGAAAGAAACAATCTTACCCTTTTGTTCATGAACTTCTTCGATGGTCTTAACGGCATACAAATGGTCAATACCTGGATCTAACCCAATTTCGTTCATAACAGTAATACCAGCGTTTTCAATCTCGGATTCCAAAGCCTTTAATTGAGGATTAATGTATGAAGTGGTGACAACGTGTTTCTTGTTCTTGATGGCTGATTTAACAACATTAGCATGGAAAGTGTATGGAATCAAAGAAATTATCAAGTCGAATTGAGCGACTTGTGCATTCAATGCTTCTTCATCAGTCACATCAAGGGAAATGGCTTTGGCAGTTTCGCCAGCTAATTCCTTGGCTTTAGCCAAAGTTCTACAAGCAACAGTGACTTCTACACCTGGGGTTTGGGATAAGATATCAACGGTTGGTTTGGCAACAAAACCAGAACCTAATAAAAGAACTCTTTGGACCATTGTTAAGTATGTCTGCAATTGATACTTCAAAGAAAGTAGATGATAGAAGAAAGAATAAGAAACGTCAAATTTTGCGGGTGAATGAAAAATTTATCAAAATGGGAGATCCGCCAGTTTTTGTTCATTTAGTAGAAAATCTAATTTTTCGCTCCTTAAAAAATATTTTCTATGTGCCGTATAAATTAATCTAATGAGTCAACGAAAAACTAAATAAATTAGTACTTTGCTTATCAGCGCTTAAATTTCCCAATTAGGAAGTCGGCGGCTGGACATGGATTTGTGGCAAGTCTACCAACTTGTTGGAATATTGCACAACTATTACGGAAAACAGGCAACAATTCAACAACACGACTAGGTGCCGTACACAGTACTCGAGTCTATAAGGGAGAATATTACGCGCCATAGAAGGATCCTGCAACTTTTCTACGAGAGAAATAAATTGATTCATCGACTGAATATGTATTACGCTACAATAGAAACATCATACTATTTAAGTAAGTAGAGCGCTGTATACGACAAGAAGAGACTAACGCCTATCGCGACTTTCACTACCAGAAGAGTCTCCTCTTTTTTCTTCTTCAGAGTCAAGCTCGTCATCTTCATAATGAGCAACCCTTAATTCCTTATGGAATCTTTCCGGACCAAGGAAAACAACGACTATCATAAATGCAAAAACAGCACCTGAGAAAATACACATAACCAACGCATAGTCGTACACCCCTGGAGCCGCCCCTGCAATTGGGAAGTTTTCTCCAAGTTTTGCTTCAATCGTGATGGAGGCTGAAGAAATTAAATTACCTAATTGATAAGCTAAACCAGCTAATAAAGTTCTGTGGGTAGTGTTAACCAATTCTAAAAGATGAATTGGACCGACACCCCAAGCACCCATAACCCCAAACGTTAACAATACATACGCCCACCAATTCTTGTCAGCATTGAAAAAGGCTGGATAGCAGAAGGCACCACACCAGAGCATACAAATTATAATGGTTAATCTTCTTCCAAAGAGCTCAGACGCATTACCCATACAGATACCTCCGATCACACCCCCAACGTTACTGACAGCAACGATAATGGTTCTTTGGTCAAAATTAACATTGAATTGGGTGGATAAAAGTGTAGCATACAAATCTTGACTCCCATGAGTGATGAAATTGAAACCACCGTACAAAATCACAAGGTACAGGAACATTAACCATTCCGTCTTAAGTGTGACAAATACACTATAATCAAACTTCTTCAAGAATCCATCACCCTTTTCCATATCGGCATTGAATTTGTTCTTCTTTTCTTGAATTTTGATAAAATCTGGCGACTCTGGGGAAAGCAATCTCCAAACAATTAAGATAACCGACAAACCACCTGAGAAAAAGAAAAGTGATCTCCAACCTTCTCCTGGTTTATAGGTATCAGCAAAGGCACGATAGAAAATCATCGCTAAAATATACCCGACATTATATCCTGGTAAGAATAACCCAGAAAGAATTGATCTTGCCTTTGTTGGTTGTCCTTCTAAAGCAGTAACCATGGCAATCGGATACATACTACCCATGAGAATACCAAACAAAGATCTAACCCCTAAGAATTGTTCATAAGTCTGAACAAACCCAGTGCCAATCTCAACAACGATAAAACAAGCTGCAATAATAATATAGGTCCACTTTCTTCCTAAATAATCTGAAGCAATACCAAATATGATCGCACCCACAGATCTAAGCATAAGCACTAATGTGACCCCCCAAGTGATGTCAGTCACGGAAACACCTAAAGTTGCAGCTATTTCAGGAACAGCGACAGACACACAAAAGAAATCCATCGCATCAATAGCCCAACCGAAGAATCCCATAAAATAGAAATTCCAATTACTGGCGGTCATTTCTCTTAACCCTGGGATTGGGTTGATTACTTGGTACCATCTTTCGTCAGTATGATAAAGAGGCAAGTCCATTAGTGTGGAAAATCTGGTACCAAAGTATGTTTTGATAGATTCGGAGGAGAAGTCAGGCTTTTCATTGAATAATTCATGGTCGAATTCCCGATTCCTGTTGTCGATTGAGTTGACTTCGATTATATTATTATCTTTCGAGTCAGACGCATAAGCTACTGTGGGTTTATCCATGTTTTATTTCTAGTAGTTATATTGACCTTTTGTGGCTATGATGGAAATCAAATATAAAATTGTAAACAGAATTGAATGCTTTAGGGAAACTTGACCAATATTTATAATCCTCCAGAAATAGCTTGTCCAAGCCCAAACAAGAACCAAACAATAATCTCAATGGGTGAGAAAACTCTCGACGTAGTATTGAATAGAAAAATGAGCGGAGGACTTAGCTGGTGTTTTACTAGAAAATATTATGGTTGGGGGGTTATTCTTTGAATTGTTAAGGATTCAAGAAGGGGGTTGCAAGAGCGGACAAGAATAGCAAAGTGCTGAGAGCTTACTGTTTGAAAAAGACTTGGCTGTGGGGAATTTGGAAAGACCACAAGTGAAAGTTGTTCAGGAAGATTGAGGAGATCGTATTCGTGCCAAGGGAAGAATATTCCAACAAGTCAATTTGAATTCAAGGAACTATTCGAGGTAGATATACTTGAAACAAAGAATATAATCTATAAAAGGAAGAATTATGAATCCTCTAACAGAAAGCTTGGCGCCGCTTCAAAAAGATGTTACATAATCATTTTCTCTTCGAGCCGCGTAAACATATTCATTCAAGTTAAGCTTAGAAATAAATATTCGATTCTAACTTGCTAGCATTGTAGGTAATACAGAAGGCATTCTATGTCAAAGTAGTAATGAACGTGTTGTGACTTTTAAATCTTCTGGAAGACAACCCAACTTTCAATAATGTCAATATCACACGAGTGACTCTTGTTTGAGTAGTCATGCCAAGAATTGAAACGCTACCTATACACTGACCATGCCATGAAGACAGTGTCGCCGTTTCTTGGAAGAAAGTAAACGCCAAGTGGTGGTTCCATTACTATTCTAGGTACTGGTATTCCATTGGATGACATGGTATGGGACACCGGACTAGCCCAGTGCAAAGACAATAAGGACATACACACACTAAAACGGTTTCAAGTCGATGCCAGATTTTGCGTCGCATCCGCTATATCATTTAATACATTTGAAAACATGTAAAGCTAAAAAAAAAAATAAAGAAGATATTGGTACGCCACGCTTTTCAATAGAGAGTTGTAATTGAATAATAATTTATTATGAACTGCCCGCCCACTCCAATGGTATCAATTTTAAACGACAATATATCTTACTAAATAGGCTCAATGGGGAGTTGAACTTTGATTAATGGAGGGGGTAATGAACATCATTGATAATAGTTTGGCTGGATAGTTTTGTCTATCTGACTTGTTAGCTTAGGTTAGTTGAATCATTAGAATTTTAAACTTCCAAATGGTTGCAAAAGCCCCACTGCAACATAACTACTTTTTTTTGTAGGGCGCGATTTCCCGCTAATACCCGTGCGGCTTCGTCGTAGCACAGAATGAGAGGGTTTTATGGAATCCAGAGTTTAATCCATTTCCCTGATGCTGAACGACTGTCTTTTCAGTTGCAGGTTAGTCTTTTAGGTCATTAAATACACAACTAGTGGTATTAGATTGAAACTTTAAGTCTCGTGTATTTAGATTAAAACTTTAAGTCTCAAAAATCTTTAGCTGGATGGTTCATTCGGGGTACAAGTCCAAGAAAAAAATACCGCGAGTATTGAGTCACGTTTGTCGTTGTTGGCCCGCGGGTATCGGGCTAGGTTGAATGATGGTCCAATTTGCGTGGCAGACCATGAAGGGGAGTAGTACCGAGTGAGCTGTTCCATCTGAGGAAGACAAATGAGCTTTCTTTCTGTAATTCTTGAACAGATCCTCATAATAATATTCAGCTGGTGATATGCTTCATACTGTGCAAAAATTATGCATGCGCCAGGGCTGACATGCTAGTCGAAAAACTTTCCGGACTTTAGATCATTCTTGACCGAGGAATCTTGTGGGAAATTGTGGGGATGTTTTGGTAGTGTAAGTGTTGCCAAGATAAGATACGAGTTAGGCGATAAACATGACTGGTGTTTGTTATTTATCAATAGGTGAGAGCAATAGAAATTTTTTAATGGGCCAAGCAACTTTCCGATTCCAACTTTGCTACTAGAAATAGTCGAGTTGCTTTCTTGTAGATTGTAGATATGCACCTGGTTGATCTTATCTCATTTATATTCTCTCGGGTGTCTTATTTGGGCAAAAAGGCTATAAGGACTGGAAACTGATGTATGGGTCAGAGATCAATTCAGAATATAACGGATGTTTACAAAACTGAATTTGGACTAGAAGATTGGTATGTAGAATAGAAAATTGACTACATCGGAGACAACACACCCAAGACCAATGCTTCCCTTGTGTTCAGGCATCAGGAAAATTGCAAACTCAATTGGAGTAACAAAACATGCATAGTAGAACACTGTGAATAATAAGCCTCATAAACCTAAGTAGCACGTTCTCAACAGAAATTTGAAGAATTCCAGGAAACATGGCAATCAATTTCTTCTAATATAAGGTTAGCACAAACATTGCAATATACTGGATGAAACAAAATAAGATAATAATTTAAATACGTATAAACCTACACAATACAGAACTAAACTTTAGCATGGTTTTCACTTCCTGAAGTTTCCACCACCACTCTCTCTTCTTCCGAAGACAATTCTTCTTCTTCATCATCATCACCGTGATGGGCTAGTCTTAATTCCTTGTGGAATCTTTCTGGTCCAAGGAAAATACATACTATCATATAAGCAAAGACTGCACCTGAGAAAATACACATAACCTTACCATAATCATACATTCCTGGGGCACCACCTTTAATTGGGAACCTTTCTCCAATTTTTGCTTCAATAGTAGCGGAAGCTGAAGAAACCAAATTACCCAATTGATAAGCTAAACCAGATAATAACGCTCTATGAGTCGAATTCACTAATTCTAAAAGATGAATTGGACCAACCCCCCATGAACCCATAACACCACCGGTTAAGAAAACATATGCCCACCAATTCTTGTCAGCATTGAAGAAGGATGGATAAAGGAAAGCACCACACCAAAGCATACAGATTATGACAGTTAATCTTCTTCCAAAAAGTTCCGAAACTGACCCCATAATAATACCGCCGAGTATCCCACCAAGATTACTGACGACAATTATGATAGTTTTTTGGTTTAAGCTGACATTGAATTGCTTAGTCAAAAGAGTGACATATAAATCTTGAGACCCATGGGTAGTGAAATTCCAACCAGCATACAAAAGAACGAGATAAAGGAACATCAACCATTCAGTCCTAAGGGTAACAAAAACACTGTAATCAAATTTCTTTAAGACCCCACCACCTTTTTCAATATCTTGATTGAATTTCTTCTTCTTTTCTTGCATCTTAATGAAGTCTGGAGATTCTGGAAAGCACATTCTCCAAACAATCAATATAACTGATAACCCAGCTGAGAAGAAGAAAAGTGATCTCCAACCTTCTCCTGGTTTATATGTACTAGCGAAAGCACGATAAAATACCATGGCTAATATATAACCAACATTATACCCTGGTAAGAATAATCCCGAAAGAACTGATCTAGCTTTGGTTGGTTGTCCTTCCAATGCAGTAACCATAGCAACAGGATACATACTACCCATGAGAATACCAAACAATGCTCTTACACCCAAAAATTGGTGATAGGTCTGAACAAACCCAGTACCAATCTCGACAGCGATAAAACAAGATGCGATAATAATATAAGTCCACTTTCTACCAAAGTAATCAGCACCAATACCAAATATGACCGCACCTACAGATCTAAGCATAAGCACTAATGTGACACCCCAAGTAATGTCAGTAACAGAAACACCTAAAGCAACCGCAATATCTGGAGCAGCAACTGAGACGCAAAAGAAATCCATTGAATCAATTACCCAACCGAAAAATCCCATGAAGTAGAAGTTCCAATCACTACGGGTCATTTCTTTTAACCCTGGGATTGGGTTGATTACTTGATTCCATTTTTCCTCCGTGTGGTATAAAGGTAAATCTAACAAGGTTGAAAGTCTAGTACCAAAGTACCCTTTTATAGAAGCGGCAGAAAAGTCTGGTTTGTCATTGAATAAGTCATGATCTAATTCTTGCTTGTTGTCTTTGAGAGAACTAACTTCAATGATCTCGTTCTCTTTAGAGTCCGATGAATATTCTTGTGGAGGCGTTGGTTCCATATTAGGGTTGACAGTAAGTATAGAGAAGAAATAATTTCGTTATGCTGAATAAAAAGGTAGGGATTGGTATCTATTTATAATATCTGGCTCATTGTGACCTTGCGGGTGCAAATGCGGAGACATATTTGATTAGGACTTAAGATAAGCAGAAGGAAAATTAGATGACAAATACAATGCATAAGCATTATTATCATAACTCACTGCTAGTGCATATAATGATCCCTCCGCACAGAAACTATGGAATTTAAATTAATATTTTGGCATCCATTGTTTTTTTTTTTTGCAGTGGGTGAATTGAAATTGTTGCAAATATGGGAAGAAACTTTTTCCGAACGCATAACAAAGAGAGTTATTGCTGCCTGCATATAAGCTACCAATATCACTTCTTAACCGGATCACGATAATCTACATATTTGGAAAATTTTCTACAACTACTTAAGTATGCGTAGGTTCTAGAGGTTAATTTTGGATATTCTAATAATCCTACGAAATATACTAGACGGCCCAACCTTTTTTTGTTTCTGGTATACTTGAAACTCGCCATCGAATATGTTGGAAGCCACATAATACGAAAAAATTAAGTGATTAGTAATGAAGATATCGCCACGGCATTCGTGTTGATTTGTGGGGTTGAGACATGTATGCACCATGGACTAGAGCTAGTGAAAGCAACCATTGTTTTGTTGACCTTGTTTCCTTTATAACTGGTGGGGGACCACTCCAAACAATCGGAGTGGAGGCAAGAAAAAAAATATTTTTGGTCCAATTTTAACCGAGTGAAATAACTGAAAAAGCCTCAGGGCAACTCCGAAAATCGCGTGCTAAGGAATTAAGTAGCTTTCCCTTGGCTCTATGGATGATCGAAATTTGTGGTTAAGATATAACGAGAGAATTACTCCGCATATGTATATTTCAATTGGTATTCCAAATTTGAATGTGACATGTATTCAAGTTTGTCTTTCATGAATTCAACACTGTGGGGGGCGCAAATATTTTTAACCGACCACTTTTTAAAAAAATTCAAAATCAGTTGATTACTAAATTTATTTAATAGCTTTAAAAATAAATTGGTTTTTTAATTAAACTCCGGATTACTGATATTTCTTTTGAATAGTAGAATTTTCAAGATCAATACTATGTGGAATATATCCAGCACTTATAGTCAACTCTGGTTAGAGAACCCTTGATCCAACAAGCATCTTCATGTAGTTCCCCAATACTTAAAGGTCAATTTCATGCATATTTTGCCGCGAAATAACGCGGAAGTTTAATTGCATTTTCTTAAGCTTTTTTGAGATATTTTTTAAGCCTCGAAAAAATAGATCTATTAATAATTGCGTTTGTTTTATTCAATGCCTTTTTAGATTTCAATTTGTGTGTAGTTTCGTGTTTTTCCCATTTTGTGAGGGGGGCGTCTTTCCAATTCTTATCTTTCTTTTCTTAAGCCCCATCCAATGAAAAGTAATTCCCTTAAAGAGAAGTTTTATAGATAAGACAACCCGGTCAGTGTCGGAGCTTGTTCAAAAATCCTTTCTATACTCTCCGTAACACAAGTGCCTTTTAACCGACCACAAATAGAAAAGAGAGGTTTCACTATCAGAATTTCAGTCTACACAGTTCGCTATTTCATTCCTTCTGGTCAAACTATTCTGGTCAAGACAGCACGCCCTTTACAAAAGAAATAATGTTAAGAATCAGTCATTAACATTAAAATTTCCTACGTTTGTCGAAACAAAGATAAATATTATTCAAACTATAAAAAGACATACTTCAACAAATATAAACAATCTCTTCACCTCCCCTTCATCAAACTTACACGTTTGGCTTCTTTTCTCTCATGTCAACCGCTCTTTCCTCGTCATCTTCAAGCTCATGCACATCCTCAAGAACTCTAATTTCCTTATGGAATCTTTCTGGGCCAAGGAAAACACATATGAACATATACGTAAGGACTGCTCCAGAAAAAATGCACATAACTAAACCATAATCAAATACACCTGGTGCAGCACCTTCGATTTGGAAACTTTCTCCAATTTTTGCTTCAATGGTCATAGAAGCAGAGGAGATTAAATTCCCTAACTGATAGGCTAAACCAGCCAATAAGGTTCTATGAGTTGAATTCACTAATTCTAAAAGATGGATTGCGGCACTACCCCAAGCACCACTACCACCAAAGATTACCAAAACATATGCCCACCAATTCTTATCGGCATTGTGGAAAGCTGGGTAAAGGAAAGCACCATTCCAAATCAAACAGATTATGATAGTTAATCTTCTTCCAAAAACCTCAGAAGCAGAGCCCCCGGTAATACCTCCAAAAAATGATGCAATGTTACTGATGACAATAATCAACGTTTTCTTATTTAAAGGAACACCGAATTGTTTGGTTAAAAGAGTGGAATATAAATCTTGAGTCCCATGGGCCATGAAATTGAAACCAGCAAATAACATGACGAGATACAGGAAGATTAACCATTCAGTCTTAAGTGTGATAAGTATACTTCGGTCAAACTTCAGGAATATACCACTGCCACTTTCAATTCCTTCATTGAATTTCTTCTTCTTTTGTTGGATTTTAAGGTATTCGGGGGATTCGGGAGTAAATAATCTCCAAACAATTAATATAGCTGATAACCCACCAGAGAACCAGAAAAGTGCTCTCCATCCTTCTCCTACCTTGTAAGTATTCTCAAAGGCCAAATAGAAAATAATGGCAAAGTTATATCCGAGAGTGTAACCTCCTGGAAACATCCCAGAAATGAATGACCTAGCTTGTGGGGGTTGTCCTTCTATTGCAGTCACCATAGCAACAGGATACATACTACCCATGAGGACACCAAACAAAGCCCTAACACCCAAGAATTGATTATATGTTTGCACAAGTCCAGTACCAACCTCAACAACAATGAATAAACCGGCAATTATAATATATGACCATTTTCTTCCAATATAATCTGAAGCAAGACCAAATATAAGAGCTCCCACAGATCTAAGCATAAGAGCAAGTGTGACTCCCCATGAAACCGCAGTAACTGAGACTTGTAAAGTATCAGCAATCTCGGGAACAGCGACGGATACACAGAAGAAATCCATTGCATCAAGAGCCCAAGCAAAGAACCCCAACAAACAGAAATTCCAATTGCTTGCTGTCATTTCTCTGAATCCATGGATGGGATTAAGCACGTGAAACCACCCTTCCTCTCTGTGATGTACAGGTAAATCCATGAGTGTTGAAAATCTCGTTCCAAAGTAGTGTTTCAAGGCATGGGGAGAAAAGTCTGGTTTGTCATTGAATAAAGCAAATTCTAATTCTTCGTTGTCTTCGTTATAAGTAGCGGCCCTAATAAGAGCATTTTCTTCTTCTATGGAAACAATATCCTGCGAACGTTTTGAACATTTTGGTTCCATTTTGTTCTTAGTTTTTCTTACTATAAGCCTCAAACCAATTTTGCTTTAGTTACTGAAAAGTTCGTCTATTTATATTGTTCTGGGCATTTCCCATTATGATGATGATTTGATTCGCATGTTTGATAATCATAGCGGGGATGAATGCACAAGCGGATACGTTACCAAATTAGAAAGGCTTCACTATAACCAATTACCCACGGTTCTCGCCTATCAGAAGCTTTATCCGTCTCCCCAAGATAAATTACTGGAATTCCGTGTCTAGTTTTAGCCTTCTATGCGTTTGTTGCAAATTTTGGACCTATAAGGTAGCGTGTGTAGCTTTTTTCAATCCACTTGATCGTATATGATTATGTTCTGAGAAGTACCCAAAAAATATTTTTTTCTTGTGATGCTAAATCCGCTTCAAGAATTCGCGACGATAATCAATGGATGTTCACGCATTAAATGTGGCTTAGTACCAATTGTTCTTTTGATTTAGCTTGTACATGTAATTAGTGAAATTATAAAAATATTCTGAGGCAAAATTGTACCCAATAGAAGCTAGCAAATAGTTTCTCTGGACAATTCAGAAATGGGACAACCGTGTATAAATTTCCCGTGCTTCTCTGCTTGGTTAGGGTACCTTTTAACATTTTTGGGTGCTTATGCACGAAGGGTAAATGGGTATGAGCCTTTTTTTTTTAATACAAAGCAAGGACCGAGGGAGATTTCTTGTAGAAACTAATGTATTGTGGCGAAACAACCTAACTTAATATCCTGATCGTGGAAAAGGTAAGTTGTATCTATACTCGACAATATTTAATTTTCACGGATATGAAATCCTATACATTGAGGCAAAGCCTGATTAAGTACTAAATCTCGAACTAATTTTCAAACATTTTGGAAAGTCAAGTGAATGATGTACAGCAGTGTAATTATAAGCGAAAGGTGTCCGAGAATTGCACAACAAACAGTTTGGTAAGGAAATAGATGGACGGGAGGGGTCGACGACAATTCCGAGAAGTCAAGACCCCACAACGTAATTGTGATACTACGAGGCACAGTACTCCGATCTATGTGGGGAATGGTAGACCAATAAGATGTGAACGATTGGTTCGTCCCAACTTGCGAACGATATCTGATAGATATGCCACGGAAGAATCAGCCTTATGTTTTTCCGCAGGATTTAACCGAATATTATTTCCACCAATCCTTAAAAAATAAAAATCTAGTTAGCTTCAAAAAAAATAGAAAAAAATAAGCATCACACAAAAATACTCTCTCTACTTCTAACGATTCCAATTGCAGTCGTAATAATCAACATGAGAAATTCGATTAGCAACAATAACAAGGATCAGTTTGGCTCTTTCCATGGTCCCGGGTCCTTGAAATTTGGGTTGCGGATGTGCTCACTGTCAGAGCTAGTGTCATTACCTCAGGAATTGTGATGTTTATAGAAAACACGACTCCTCTTGCCCGATTGAGAACCATCAATATGCGAAACTGATAAAGGGGATTTCTTGGAACTTTGGCTAGTTGAACTATTCCTGTTCTCTAGAACGTTCCTTATCTTTGTTGTCAAAATGTTTGAAATCAATGTTAAGTAGTTCCACAGATAGGTTAGCCGACGGAATCTCAGTCACCGATTTCCGGTAATATCTTTAGTATGAGCTATTGGTTGGAATAGTTTTCTCGACAAATTGATAACAAATAGTCTTTTCAAAGTCCCCAGAAATGGTTTACGAGCTTTGCTGACTAGTTGTTTGTAAGTTTGAAAGCTTGGCAATTGTTTAAAATTATACAAATCGACTGATGAGTTAAATGCTACTCCACTAATTTATTAAATTTCTAACTAAAGTTAAAAGTTTATCTGAAGTCGGTAGGTGCCAGGGCTTCAGTATTAATTAAATCTAAATCCGTTGTTAGCCCCGCATCTTCAAAATGTATGACCACGATGGCCATAAATCCTAACAGATTAAGTGGTTCCGCTTTAAGTCCTTCTAATTCTCGGAAAACTTGGAATGCGATTGTTGCGGCTAAATTTCATGTAGCTGGCTTGCATTTCCAGTCGATTAACTGAAGGGAGTGTCTGAGGGTTTCTTAATGCCATTACAATGAACTTCGTCATTTCAGTAATTGCGGCAAAAATTACTTGTGCGAAGTCGAGATTAGCTTGAATGTGAGGTTGTTGAATTAAGGGAGGGGGGATGGGGATGAAGCTTGTATTGGTTAGCATGAAAATATTGGTTCATTTAAGTTTTGAACCTTGTCAGTTTCAGTATTTTCAGTATTTCCGATATCAGGATTATTGTGTGGAGAATCCATGTTTTGATCCGTGTAGAGGTGGTGGGGTTGAACCTTTAGTTTGTTGGCTTTCGATTCATATTGACTAAATAAATTACCACGTCGTCACTAGAGGATACGAGAACAATGGCGTAGTTTGAAAGGTGGTGATCTAAGGTGTACTTATGTACAGTCCCCTCAAGAGAGATGTTACCCGGAGGTTAACACCCTAAGAGTGAAACTATATTCGGTGGAACGAGAAGTTGAAGCTTGTCTGAAGTGTCTAAAATAGAATCATACCTCTAACAGTTCAGCTCTGGAAGAATTGTTCCTCCTTTTGCTTAAAACCTGATCATTATCCCCAGATTGCCAGGTGCGTCAGTCGATTGGTTTCTATACTCCATGTGTTCCTCGTTTCGTTTGGCATCTAATCAATCTCTAGCTCTTACTAAAGCACTGGATTGAAGGACTGCGACTTTCGAACTTCCTTGTATATCGCTCTAGATCTTTATTGGATTGTCTTTCTCGGTGTAATTACCCCGGAGAAGCTCCCCCTGAATTGATTTGAAGCTTACCGTATACTCGTTGGTATTCCACAATATACAAGAGAACACACTATATAAAAAATACTACAAATCATTTTCAAAAACAATCTCATATCATTCAAGTTATAGAAAGTCATATCTAAAAAAAGCCCAGGTTTGCTTCTCTAAACTTGCAGCTTTGCGACTTTTTCAATAGCTTGATCTTCATCGTGCTCCACGACTCTGATTTCTCTGTGGAATCTTTCTGGACCAAGAAAAATGCATACAACCATATACGCAAAGATTGCTCCCGAGAAAATACACATAACTTTAGCATAATCATACACCCCTTCTGCTGCACGTTCGATTGGGAAATTTTCCCCAAGTTTGGCTTCAATGGTCATAGAAGCAGAAGAAATTAAATTCCCCATCTGATAAGCTAAACCGGATAATAAGGTTCTATGTGTTGAGTTCACCAACTCTAAAAGATGGATTGCTGCACCACCCCAAGATCCATTAGTTCCAAACATTAACAATACAAATGCCCACCAATTCTTATCAGCATTGAAGTATGCTGGGTAAACAAAAGCACCACACCAAAGCATACAAATGAGAATCGTTAATCTCCTTCCGAAAAGCTCGGAAACTGACCCCATAGTAACACCTCCTAGCATAGCTGCAATATTACTGATGGCAATGATGATTGTCTTCTTATTTAAAGTAACATCAAATTGTTTAGTTAAAAGAGTGGAATATAAATCTTGGGTCCCATGGGAAATAAAATTAAACCCGGCAAATAAAAGGACAAGGTACAGGAAAACTAGCCATTCGGTCTTAAGGGTCACAAATACACTATAGTCAACCTTCTTTAAGAATCCATGACCTTTTTGAACTTCGGCATTGAATTCCTTCTTCTTTTGTAGGATTTTAAGGTATTCTGGGGATTCGGGCGAGAGAAATCTCCAAACGATTAATATAATTGACAATCCACCTGAAAACCAGAAAAGCGATCGCCATCCTTCCCCTGGTTTATAGGTATCAGCAAAAGCCAAATAGAAGATGATTGCGAAGTTGTATCCGAGATTATACCCAGCTGGAAACATACCAGAAATAACCGATCTTGCTCTCGTGGGCTGTCCTTCTATAGCTGTCACAACAGGATACATACTTCCCATAAGAATTCCAAACAAAGCTCTAACTCCAATAAATTGATGATATGTTTGCACAAGTCCAGTACCAACCTCAGCAACAATGAATAATGCAGCGATTAGGATATATGACCACTTTCTTCCAATATAATCTGAAGCAAGACCAAATATAAGAGCACCCACGGATCTAAGCATTAGAACCACTGTGACTCCCCATGAAATGTCAGTAACGGACACACCTAAAGTTTCAGCAATTTCAGGAACAGCGACAGAAACACAAAAGAAATCCATTGCATCAAGAGACCAAGCAAAAAATCCCAATAAACAAAAATTCCAATTACTGGCTGTCATTTCCCTTAATGCTGGGAATGGATTGACCACTTCGAACCATCCTTCCTCTCTGTGGTGTAAGGGCAAATCCATGAGTGTTGAAAATCTTGTTCCAAAGTAACTTCTGATTGCTGCGGCTGAAAAATCAGGCTTCTCATTAAATAAATGGAATTCTTCCATTACAGGGTCGACTACGGGAAGCTGAATTGCTTCGTTCTCTTTGGAGTCTGAGCTGCAGTCTTGTGTAAGTTTTTGGTCCATTTTGTTGTTATTGGAAGTGAAACCGTAGAAGATCCATGCCTTAAAAATGGTGGTCTGGGGTCCTATTTATATTCAGCTAGATATCACTGACAGTGTGGGGTAATCTGTGGAGATTATATGGTTGGTTATGATATTTGGGATAAACAGAGAAGTATAATATGAAGAATAGTTCACTGAGATTTCATTCGCCATCTCTTATCTCGTTAATTCCGCTATAACCTCTGAACGGAATTATGGTTCCCTTTAGATTAATTATTTTAACTTTATTTTCCTGATTTTGACCAATCTCTTGAAAGAGAAAATGTGATTGGTCATACGGATCTTTTTAAGCTAGAGACATTATAAGCACTAGTGGAGTTATCCAACAAGTTATTGCTCTTCTAGATGAGTTGTTAAAGAACACTCGTCAAAAATCAACTGTGCTTAAAATAAAAGCTACTCCTGGGAGATCTCAGGTCGTACACAAAGTAAAAAACTCCAATTCTGACAAAGATGTCAACTGCTAATCGCATTAGTATAGAAAATTCCCTGATATGTTGAAGCAGGGCGGAGTTTTTCCATTAATGATGTATTGAAGTATTGGTAGAGATGTGTAGGGGTGCAGGTGTCAGAAATATCGGCGTCAATTTCCCAAGCCTTCTGAGCTCTGACAACTTAGAGAAAGCTTAGTTTCGATGTCACAACGGGGTTGGACGCACCTTTACTAAATTATCTCTATGGACAACAGCCGATGCTTGCAGTTCATATACACTCCTTTCGGACAGACCTTCGGAGACTCGCGCCGCTATGGTTATGAACTTCGATATAGTCGAGCAATTGTAGGAGTGGGGCAGGGGAGTAGCAATAGAATCGACAAGTTGAAAAATGTTTAATTATTAGTGTGAATGTTTAGGTACATTTAATACACATGCTATTCGCCAAGGGGAAATTTAATACAATCTAAGGCTACAATAGCTCTTTAAGAATCCATTATCATAAACGAGTTGGTCCTTTAAATCAGACCAAGTACATTCCAATTTTCAGCTAGTTATATTCGTATAGAGTGATTGATACGAGAAAAAGTTATCATAGTGTCAGAGCTTATATCACTCAACCAAAGCCACGAATCTTAAATAAATTCGAGAAATCAGGCATAGCATAATTACATTGGACTCGGGAAGCGCTGTCCGCGGTGCTCCTGATTAAAGTTTTTGCTTTCTACAAACGAAAAAGGGAAAACTCATAACCCACCACCACTAATACAAAATCAAAGTGGAAATTGCTGACTCCACCGCGATAGTCAAACTGAGTTTTGTTTGAAGTGGGCTCATAGAAATTCATCTCCTACATTCGTGGGGAATAATGCTGCTTCTGTAAATAAGAAGCGGGTCATACGATAGAGAACAACATGCCAATGAAAAACTTCCGCAAGGGTTGATGAGAATACTGAGTAAAATAAATTGGTTGAATAAGGTAAGTGTTGGATACCATTTCAGATGTTTCCAGGATATGTGGGACCCCACAAAGTGACATTTGTATCAAAGGGATGGCTTGTGGTATGTGGAGACCAATAGTCTTCTCCAAAGCGAATAGTTGGTGAAGTTTTCCCAAACCCCGTAGTCATGGACATGCTAGTTGCTATAAACAAATGTATCAAGTGGGCAGTCATCGAATTATGAAGCCAATGCTTAGCTTCATATTCAAAATCCAATAGATTGTAATGAAGGGAGTCACGAAATATGATAAAGCAAGGTTTCGCAACCGATTCCTAATATATGTGACTAACTAAAAATAAATGGTTGCAAAAAAAATTGATTTCTTGCGATTTTTACAACATTTTTTGCAGTAACATGACAATTTCTTTGACGAACATATTTTGGAGAAAATATGACTAATCTAGACTACGCTATTGGCTGCAATAAGTCGTTGTATTGATTAATATTATTATCAGTGCAATATTATAAACACATGTAATTCTATCTTTATGGATATTGTTGTTCAATTTAGAAATTTGGTGCATGTTACCCGACTTTGGTGTCATGTGCCAGTAACTTTGGCATTTTTGAAATTGGATTAAACCCCTATTTATTTCAACAAAATGTAGCTTAAGATTATAATTCTAATAGAATACGACCTTCTTGTTTGTCATTAGTATATGGGCTTTTTGGTAGTAAATTGTTTTTGGTTGAACTCAAAACATCAATTTTTTTAAGCATGATTGTAGTTTTGTGATTTTGTACTACAATAAAACAAAATCTGGGGTTTTGGAAATTTTGGCAATCAGCAAAAAAAATCACATGCTTCGATTAAAAACATAACCCAATAATTTTTTTGGGTAACTAATTAAACTAAATCAATAAACGCCAAGTTTGTTAAAAAAAACTTGACAGCATAAATTGCTTGGATGAAAAATTTCCAACGAGTTTTTTAAAATTCATTCATCTTCTTCTTCTTCTAATCAATTCATCCGGATTTAAATCAATTCAATTCAATTTCAAATCATGTCATCCATCCTAGCACAAGAATTAGAGACATTGCCATCCGATCTCCTCTATCTCGCCCAAAACTTCCCTAACTACATCAACATCAATTCGGAACTATTATTCGCCATAGGATGTATCGCATTCAATCCAATCTTTTGGAACATTGTTGCCCGATTAGAATACTCCACTCATTTCTTAACTAAATTAGCAGGATCTGCTAAAAGAGGTTGTTATCTTTTAGCAATCACCATTTTTGGATTAGGTATTTATCGTGATCATGTATATCATGATGCTTTGACTTCACAACCAACTTATCAACCATTGATTGATAGTTTATTGATTAAAGCATTGGCTGTTTTCACATTCGGGTTTGGAAATGTGTTGGTTGTGAGTTCGATGTGGGCATTAGGAGTGACTGGAACTTATCTTGGTGATTATTTTGGGATTTTGATGGATGAAAGAGTGACTGGATTCCCATTTAATATTAATGATAATCCAATGTATAATGGATCTAGTTTGTGTTTCTTGGGGACTGCTTTATGGTATGGTAAACCAACTGGGATTGCGGTTGCTGGAATTGTGTTTGTTATGTATAGAATTGGTTTATTTTTTGAAGAACCATTCACTGCCAAGATTTATGCCAATAGAGATTTGAAGAAGGATTAGAGGACGTGTATGTAGTTTGACTTTATATAGAAAATGTGTTTAGATGTTAATAATATATAACTTGTTTATTAAAATTACCTAAAATTACTTATAAAATGCAACCCATTAAAAAAATCATGAAATATAAAAAAGCCCAAGTCGACCCAAACCAAACCCAAACCAAACCCACATCATGTTATCATATATAGCAAAGATGCAAATAGATATAAAGAAAAAACTTGTTTCCACTAAACAAACTCAAAATTATTGGAAACCCCATGATCAGCAACATATCTCAATGACAAAGATTGGAACTTTTCTGAAGATTTATGATAATACAATCCACTAATTGACCCAGGGACAATATTATTAGAAAATCTCAAACATTCCAAACTACCATTCCTTGACATTGAATTATCGGTACTAGGATATCCACCAACATTCAAAACAATATAATAAAATCCTTCAAATGAAGCCCCACTAATCTGTTTAACTCTTGAATCAGGTAATAAGAATTCTTCTTTCCATCTCATATATATGAATTGATTATCTTCTTGTCCTTGTTGGATCCGATTTAGACGTTGCTTGAGTTGTTCATCATCCAAATCTGAACAATTGGTTAATTTCTTCCAATGCTCGAAATCATTCTTGGGAAATGATCCCCAATATTTATTTTCGGTAATAAATGAATAATTCTTAATTTGTGGGTCATAAAAAGAATTCTTATTTGATTTCCATTTATATTTATATAATGGATTATTAATTATTTCACCCTTAAAGCAAGTTATAATTTCTGAATGCTCTTCAGTTAATCCCGAGATTTGAAGAAATCCGGTTATGGCCGAATTTATTAAATCAACAGTTTTAAATTCAACTTTAATATGGAACCGTGATTTACCTGATTGTTGTTCACCTATAAATTGAGCATTTGGATGAAGATATGCATTCTCAAATTGAGGAATATGATTTATACCATTTATTAAATGAAAATCCGAAATTTGATCAAAATAATCATATGAATATTTTGAATGACAAGTATTATAATTTTTATTAGTATTAGTTCTATTAGTCGTATTTATAATTCTATTAGTATAACTTTTGTTTGTTGTTCCATTATTGGTAATTGGTAGTACTTGTATATCGGAATTGACGTTACTCCTATTATCATGATCAGCATTAATATTAAATATGGGAACAAGTTGATCTGGAGGACTACTATCGGTGGACAACACAAGAGGAGCAGCAGGTGGTATTTGCTGTTGATGATCACCAACGGAAAAGCAAACAGTTGAATCTGTAGGTGAAATGGGAGGAGCTGGAGGAGCAAGTGTAGTAGCAATACCATCAATCATTACAGCATGTTCTCCATGTTGGATTGCTTGACGGTTATGGATTTCACTTTCTGAAGATATATCCAAATCTGGTGAGGGGGTAACAAGTAGGGTATTTATTCTATGAAACGATGAAGATGCGGAAACAATAGGTTCATAAGATGTTAGTGGTTGAGAAGGTTTCAATTCATCTAACGATTGATAGGGACTTGACGACGGTTGTTGCTGTTGTTGATGTCCATTAGTTTGTTCTGCTAATATTGTGGTGCCTGATTCTGGGTGTGAATTATGCTGTTGCTGTTGCAGTGGTTGCTGAGATTGTTGGAGAGCTTGCAGTTGTTGTTGTTGTTGAGATTGTTGTAGCTGCAGCTGGAGTCGTTGTACATGCTGCTGCTGCTGCTGTTGTTGTTGCTTTTCAGTAACTGGCATTTATAATTCCCCAATCGTCGAGTGTAATGATGTTACCCTGATTGTTCTAATCAAGTAAAGGAACAGAAATAAAGAGTGATCTCTTTTTTTTTCTGGTGATTTGCTGCGCTTTTAAATTATAAAACAAAGGAGGGGGGAAGTAGGAGAAGGAAGTAGGCTGTACGAGGATTGATAGTTGTTGTTGTTGGTTAGTCTAGGGGATGTTCAATTCAATCTTTGTTTTTTAAGAATTGATATTCGGAAACCAAATGTTAAATTTCTAAAAAATGTGTATTTTAACTTTATCAAGATTTCAAAAATGTGTAAGAAAAAGTTTAAATAGGAAACAAAGACAAGAGAAAGATAAAGAGAAGAAGAAAAAGATGAAATGAAATTTTGGTTTCATCTTTGTCATCGCCTCATCACAATCATTCGTAAATTTCATTATTAATCATTCATATTTCCAATGTACAATATGTGTCATCATCATATATTAAATTAAAAATAAAATATCAAAAAAAAAATATACAACATTAAGTATCAAGTGATGGTACCAAAAATCTGCTGGTACGAAGGAAAGAGATCTCTCAAACTAATTATTATTTTTTTTAAGTTGCAAAAAATCTGTTAATTGTAACACAAATTGAAGCTACAAAGTAATTCAAAAATAGAACAATAGAGATTGAGTGTGGGGATATTATCTATAATAGTAATTGTATGGTATGTTATGTACAGGCTATATGCAACTATAAATTTGATTAGATCATTAAGGGACCTCATTCTTCAAGTAATAAATACTTGGAGTCTTTCATAAAAAAACCTAATCAATGTGATGTGATGTGATGTGATGACTTAAAGAATGCTAAGAAAAATTTTTAGATTTTTATGATGACGTGCCCCCCGATGACGGGAGCGAACGAAAAGAACAAAGACAATGAAAAAATTAGGTTGTCAATTGTTATATGCAGGATATTACATCGGGTATCGAGATTCCTCTATATTTGCAATTGAATATCTCATGTTATACTCTTATGCATCTATCGATAAGTGAAACTCTAAAAATAATATGAATATACTCTATAAGCATTCTTATCTGTAATATATCTTGTGAAAGTTATTCAGCTTTGGCTATTCTTCAGTGCTTTACAGATCTCGAATATTCGCTTCCTCTCACGCGATAATTGATTTTCTTCATGACATTTTTGCGCTTCTTCAGTTTCGCGTCATTCAGCTTCTAGACTTGGTGATCTTTTTTTTTTTGCTCCTTGACTTCCCAATGTACTCAAGAAATAATTTATATCACCCAATTCTAATTGAGGTAAAGTCGTCAGTCAATTTAACTATATATATTCTCAATATGTCTACACCTCCAACCCCAATACATCCCGCACCGAATGAAGAAGTTAGGGATTTACCGAGTGAAAAAATACCCGATTCTACCTTGGCTGATATCGATTTAAATCCAGATTTATATAGTGAAGAAGAAGAAGATAATGATAATATTGAAATTGATCAACAGGAAGTTGAGGATGAAAATATAGCCATTGACTCGCATACACAACAGCAACAACCAGACTTCCAAACCCATGAACAGAAGAACGGATATCCAATCCATCTAAATAATTCAAGATTGAATAGACTAAGACAACCAGATTTGGTAGAAGAAAGTGAATCAGAAATGGAAGATGTGGATCTATATAAATTCCAACAAATAACCCTTCCATTTGAAGAAGCATTCCAATTGTTTCAAATTGATTTCAATTCAATTGAATATAGTCCAATTTCACAACAACAACAATCAAAATTAATCAATTATATTGATGAACATTTATTACAAATTCAAAGAAATTTCATTAAATCACAAGTTGAAAATATTCAGACTTATTCATTTATTCAATTGATTAAAGATTTATCAGAATTAATAAGTATCATATGGATATCCATTTCTAAGAAGAATACATTATTTGGACAAATGGATTATTATATTAAAATATTAGGAGATTTAGAAGATCAATTGAATCATTATCAACATATCTTTAATGCTAATTTTTCCATTGATTCAATAAGAATTGATTTAAATAAATTGGTAACATTCTTTAAATTCTTCCAAAAGATTGATTTACAATTATCTTTAATTATCGATGGTTATGAAACTAATACCAATACTATAACTAAAGCTAGTAATACTGAATTAATTCGATTATATCCAATAATTTCAAGATTAAGAATTTTAATAATTTCAAGAATTGAAGATTTAAGAATCAAATTAAATAAAGTTAGAAATGAAACTACAAATAAACAAATCATTTCTGATTCACAAAATTTACTTAATTTATTCGAAGTTGAAATAAGTCGATTATTTGAAGGTGTCTTAGATAGGGCATCCTTATAAGTCCGGGGTGGGTTGCAAAAAGTTGAATCTTGCAAAGTTCGTGTCTTAACCAAAAAAAAGGTTTATCACTTTTTTTCTGGTGCAGTTTGCACGCACTCCCATACAAAATTTTCCACTTCCCTTGCCATTAATTCTATCAAATCATATAAATAGATCATCACATTAAAAACATACATACAGACATTTCAACTACTCTAATGTGGCCATTTGGATCCAGTAATACTATTCCTAATCTCGGGAAAAATACCGAAGAAATTAATAAGGAACTTCCCCCTGATCTTCAAGGGTTTTTCCAACAAGAAAACCCTGACAAAAAACATGAACGTATCTTCACCGTCTCTCCTCAACAATTACAAGTTAATAAAATACTAGAAAAACATAAGAATGATCCATATGATGATGAGTTTAATACATATAAACGTTCACAGACAATTAAGCAAGTTGCAGGTATAAATTGTGCCGAGATTCATAATTTATTACATGAATGTTATAAGAATTGGAATTGGCTTCAACCTGATGCATGTATTGATGAGACGAGAAAGACTTCAAAATGTCTTGATTTACAACTGGAAGCATTGAAACGATTACATTATAATGATTGTTATTCTGTTAAACAATGTAAAGCCATTAGATATTATGTTGATCATTTTTTTATGAAGAATTTTGGTCCGTTAGGTGAAGAAGTTAATGATGATGATAAAGCGGAAAATTATAATAAAGATTTAGATGGGGTTTTTTATAAACTTTGGAAATAGAGAAGGCGCTGTGTTGTTCCGTACATAGTCTCGTGTAAATATTTATAAAATGTACATTATTGTTATCTAATACTATATGAGCCATTCGTTTTATGGTTCAAATCTATTACCCGGATCTGTCTATTATGATATATGGTCAACTAGATTGTTCCATAATTGTAGCTTATTAGCATATGACATGCTACCAACCAACCCAGAAGTACTCGGAAATACCCAAACTATAGTCCTCCTCTCTAATTTCTCATTCAACCATTCAATCGCCGAATTATATATCTCATCATTTCCAACTTCCACTTTCCCCCAGATGAAATTAACTTTATTTAACTTCAACTTCACCTTAATTTCCTGGGCAATATACTTCACAATCATCTCCCAGATCCCCTTGCCTACAATCACAACATTCTCAACCTTACTCAGTTTAAATTCTTGCAATAATCGAGGCACATTTTCCAATTTTTCAACCATTGATAATTCTTCAGCACGTTTCGTACATCGTAGAACAAGATCCGTGAATCCTATACCATATTTTATCAATCCCCAATCATCTAGATGACTACTGCCCTTTTGAAGTAGCGTGTGTAGATATTTGTCATCTGATGAAGTTGGGATCTGGTGGGTGTCGCAGATTTTTTGAAGAAGTTGGGATTGGTTGAATAGTTTCCAGAATAGATTACTGTGATGGGCATAGTGGTGTTGTTGGATTGAGGATTGGATACCGGGATTGAATCCGACGAATATTATATGCAAGTTGGATGAAAGTGATGGGTTTAGATTTGGTAGTTTTATGTTGGAGGAGCCTGTGGTGGAGTTGGTGGTGGGCTTTGGTTTCGGTTTTGGTTTCGGTTTTGATATTCGTGGATGTGAGATTGTTGAATTCAGGGTTGATGGTTTTTCTTTCTCGTCGTATGCAAATGTTTGAATTAGGGATTTGAGTCGTTGATTGGACATGACTTCATCATCTAGTGTTATTCATTTGCTGGTGCCCCCCAAATTTCCCCACCTAAAAGACCACCAAATCAAACCCGAAAAAAATTATTCACATCTTATTGATTTAGCGATGTTACTGAAACTCATCCGTAGTTAACGTTTGTGAAGCTATGCCATTCAATCAAAAAGATAATAATCAAAAGCATGAAGAATTACGTTTGTTACCTCCAGTGGAAATTTCTCGTCAAACAACCAATGAAGAATCTATAATTGAACAATCCCATCCAGAATCGGAATCAACAAAAGATGAGACTGGTGAGATTGATAATCCTGTAAATTGTGAATTTCCATCATCTTCATCTAATCAAATTGTTCATTCTGAGAAGTCAGGATCTATACCGAGACAATCTTTCAAAAACAATGATGCACAAATACATAATGGATATTCAATTCTTTTCGATCCAATGATTCCCTATACATTGGCATTATATCTCCAATTACTCGTCAATATAATAATCGTCTCAATAATCCTATATCTAATCTATATATTCATGAAAACAATCCAATCGGACATCAATCACAAACTTGAACTTCACACAATGGAAGCAATCCATGAAATATCCCAATGTTCAACCCAGTATATTCGGAATAGATGTAATCAACAAGAACGAGTCCCAGCAATTGAAAAAGAATGTTTAATATTAGAAAAATGTCAAAATCGAGATCCGGGACAATTAGCAAAATCAAAAATTACCGCTGAAACATTTGCAGAAATTATTAATGGGTTTTTAAATGGTATAAGTTGGAAATCTTTATTATTGACTAATGGTTTGATTTGGGGTGGATTGGTGGTTCTGAATGTTGTGTTTGGGAATTATCGATCTTCTTCTGTGAATGTGGTTGAGGTTCTGCTGGTGGAGAGGAAATTGAAGGTGTTGGAAGATAGAATACGACAACAGGAGGAAGTTATTAGGAGGTATGAATTGTTGGAGAAGGAGGAGAGTAAGGATCTAATTGATTCTTCTCCTGTAAGAGGTGTAAGTGGGTATAGACGTTTATAACTTGATGTTAGAAATGATTATGAAGTAAAAGTAAGTTCATGTATAAAGTGACAACAACTCTAGAAAAACCGCTCCCAATCCAAGCTAAGAGAACTGAGAAAAGATAGTAATAATTAACTAGACGTTTTTTTCTATATAATAAATAGTTTCTTTTTAAACGATACCATGCCATTATAGAACGAACTGATATTTTGAAGTGGTTGCTTAAACTGAAGAGCATACGGACTCTCTAAGTAGATGCTTGTCGCACAGTTCTCATGAGGGAAAGATTCTGACAAACAAGAATTCTGAATTCGTTCAAATTTGTACCCAATTTAGAAAATGCAAAGCTTAATGGAAAGTTGAGTAATAAGGGGGCGGACAATGGGAATTCATTTGCCATTTTCCAAACTCTGGAGTAATTAATATTAAGTAATTAATTTCTTATCAAATAGTCATCTATTGCGTCAGTTCTTCTTAACTATGAGAAAAAAAAAAATTTCTTTCGAATTTTTTGCAACCAACATTGTCATGTCCCAAAATGGATATTTTTAATCAAACCACAATTGTTTATCAAAGATGCATGATGCTTAGAGTTAAAAGTTAACAAGATATGGCTGGAACGTTCATATAATTAAAAAGGGGATAAAGAATTGTATATAATGGGATGCTGTTGTACAAATTTACAGAATGAAATAATTCAATTTTTGCAGTTCAAAATAAAATATCAACATAAGTTATACAATGGAAGACGAAAAATTAGAAGTACAGAACGTCTTTGATAATTACAAATCAAACGACAAAGATGACATTCCAATAGATGTCAAAAGAAATGTCTTCATGTTCTTCGAAAAGAGGGATATTCCTTTGGTCTTATTAGGTTCCTTCATTATGTGTGCTTCTGCTGTTTGTACTCCCATGTCAACCCTTCTTTATGGGAAAGCATTGGGAAACTTGGCCCTATTCTACGCTGGTGAACAAGAATTAGGAGATTTCCTCAACGAAACCAGAATCTTATGTGGGGCAGTCATGGGTGTCGGAGGAGCCAAAATGTTACTAGTTTGGTTAGGTGTGACTGTTTTTATGAGATTTGGAGAAATTCAACAACTGAGAGCTCGTGCTGTATTATTTGATAAGATTCTTAAAGAAGAAGCTAAATGGTATGATCAAAAGAAAAACTTAATGGGTAATTTAGCACAAGTTAATAGATGTATTGAAGAATTAAGACAGGGAACTTCTGAGGTTATAGCAATGGCAGTACAATCGTTGGCTTTGATTATTTCTCTTGTGGCAATGTCGTTCTACCAGACTTGGGCAGTTACTTTGATCGTTATGGCAACGTCCCCAGTTATGGCTTTATCTGGTTGGTGGTTTGGTAGATTGACCTATAAGGGTGCTGAAGAAGAAAATGAAACCACTTCAAAAGGTTCCAAACTTTTGGATTGGTGTTTGGTATCTCCAGCACTTGTTAGAGTGTTTAATGGTAAATACACCGAAATGGCTAGGTTTAATGAGATTATTGATAAATCAGCAAAAGCATATTGCAAACTTGCTAATGCAATTGCTGCAAATAGTGGAATGTTGAAATTTTTGACCTTAATGATGTTTGTTCAAGCATTTTGGTTTGGAAATCATTTGTTAACAACTGGAAAGGTTAACATTGAACAGTTGATGACATGCTTCTCTTCTTGCTTGATGTTGGGATCCACAATTGCTCAAACCACTGAGCTTCTTGCTGCTTTGAATGCTGCCCATGCAGCCGCTGGTAAGATTTCTACCTTTTTAGATTTAGACGCTGTATATGAGGATTATGATGAATCTCAAGCCAGCAGCCCATATATGGAAAAGTTTCAAATGCATCCCCCTACTTGTTACGGTGCTATTAATTTCAATAATGTTAGTTTCAAATATCCTTCTAGAAATGAAGTAATTCTCAACAATGTCTCATTTTCATTACAACCACAAAGAATGAATTTTATAATTGGAAAATCAGGTGCCGGTAAATCAACCATACCATTGATATTAATGAATTTATATGACATTGAAAGTGGTTCCATTGAAATTGATGGACGTTCTTTACGTCATTTTGAATCTGGTTGGTTGACTCATAATATCACTTTAGTTCAACAAAATCCAGTTGTTTTCAATGCAAGTATTAGAGACAATATAGCTTTAGCCGTTCTGGAAGATTATGAAAGTTTAGGTGAGGTTCCTGAAACTTTGATACATCAAGCTGCTGAATTTGCGTTATTGGAAGATCTTATTGACGCCAAAGGAATCGATTCAATGGTGACACAGTCGCTGTTATCTGGAGGTCAGCAGCAGAGATTGGCTTTTGCTAGGGCTAAAATGAGAGATTGTCCGGTTTTGATTCTTGATGAAGCTTTCAGTGCTTTGGATGCTAAGAATAGAGATAAGTTGTATGAAAATACCAAAAGATGGAGAAATGGTAAAACAACAATTGTTATCACTCATGAATTTAGTAATATTGAGCCTGATGATCATGTGGTTGTTTTGCAAGCCGGTCAAGTGGTGAGTGAAGGTGATTTCAAGCATATCCAACAACAACCAATTTTTAAAGAATTCGACTTTAAAGCAGTGGATAAAATAAGTCAAAAGGAGAAGTCAATGGTTCAAAGAAGGAGTATCTACTACAACTATAAAACAAATCCCTATATCTTGAAAGACTTAGAAATGTTGTCAATCAAAGCCAAGGACAAGGAGGAAGATATAATGGGGGTTCTAAGCATTCTTAAATACTGTCGTTCAAGTATTCAACAGAAATGGTTGATTGGTTTAGGAATTCTTATCTCCATTATGGATGGTGCTGCCAATCCAGTTTTTGCCATGTGTTTTGCCAAATTGCTTGCTACTTCGGTTGAAGCTGCTATTGGAAATGACGTAGAAAAGGAAGTGATCAAGTGGTCTATTGTTGCTTGTTGTATTGCTACCTTTAGTGGTGCCACCTCATATGTTGCCGACTTTGTTTTAGCGTATTCCAGTGAGAAGTGGATTGTTGCCTTACGAAAACTCTCTTTTGAAAGAATTAATAATCAAGATATGTCATTTTTTGATTCCGAAGAAACCAAACCTGCAGAATTAACTGCTCTTTTGATGAATGATGCAAGAGATTTGAGAAGTTTGATTTCTGATTTCTTGAAGGTGGGGCTCAATTTGATTTTCATGGTTCTTGTTGGTATTATATGGTCAATTGTTACGGGTTGGAAATTAGCTCTAGTAGGTTTGTCATTTGTACCCTTGATATTTGTCCTTACAGGGATCTACGGGTCGGTTATGGAGAGTGCTGAGAATAAGTATAAAACACGTGTTGCCAAGTTGGAAAACCATTTGCACGAGACAGTAACTGCAATCAAAACTATCAAGATCTTCAACATGTCAAATCATTTTCAAAAGACATTTTATTCCAATCTCGATGAAATCCAAAAAGTCGGTTCTATGAGGGCTATTCGAACTGCAGTTGGTGTAGCCATGAACGATATGTTGGTTGCTGTTGCAACCGGTACTATTCTCTATTTTGGTTTGAAATTGACAGGAGAATTAGAATATACGGTAGGTTCATTTATGCAAATACTTACACTTTTAATGTTTGCAATGAGTAGTGCAGGGGCATTGCTTGGTCAACTTCCAGGTATAACAAGAGGACAAAGAGCAGGTACGTTCATTGTCAAATTGTTAGAAAATACACCTTATTCCAAAGTTGAAAATGATGGAGATGCAAGACCCACATCAATACCTGAAACTTGTATCAAGTTCAACCATACACGATTCTCCTATCCTTTAAGACCACAGGATCCAATTCTTGTCGATGCATCTTTCGAAATTCGTCGGAATGAACTTGTCGGTATTGTTGGTGAATCAGGTTCTGGTAAGTCCACAATTGTCGCTCTTTTGTGTCGTCTTTATGGGTCAAACCCAGGTCAAGTCACCTTGTGTAACAATGACATATCCCTGCTTGATCCCGATTGGTTGAAAGAAAAAGTTAGTTTGGTCCCCCAATTCCCCAAGTTCTTCGAAGGTTCAATCTATGATAATCTTGTTTATGGAATTAGTCCATTATTGCAAATTACCCATACTGATGTCTTGGAAGTGCTTGAGATGGTAGGAATTTTAGAGTTTGTTGTTACTTTACCAGAGGGACTTCAAACTCCAATTGGTGAAGGTTCTAATTCTTTGGTTTCTGGTGGTCAGTTGCAGCGGTTGTCAATTGCAAGAGCATTATTGAGAAGACCCAAGGTTTTGATATTTGATGAATGTACTTCTAACTTGGATCCAGTCAATACTAGAGTTGTAATTGATATGATCAGGAATAAATTGGCTAAAAAGTATACTATTCTACTTATAACTCATGATCGAGAAATGATGAAAATTACCGACAAACTTATCGTATTGAAAAATGGTAGAGTGGGAGAAACGGGGACGTACGAGCAATTGATTGGGCTTAATGGGGAGCTTGCAAGAATTACTAAATCCGCAATGTAAGGGAAATGTATCTCTAAATATAATAATATAAAATTTATAATTGAACTATATAATTAATTGTATAAAATCCAAAAAAAATAAACGAACTAATATGTAACAATCTAAATCTTAACACAAATGTAAGGCACTTCTACATCTTCACCTTCTTCGTCGTCACAACATATTTCAAAGATTAAGTAATTGACGTGAGGAGGAATTTCCTTTTTGCTTACCTCTCTAATCAATTTGGTCAACTTCATAGTTTTTCTATCTTTAACTTTCTTCGCTGGGAAAAAGGAGGCATACAAAAGGGAAACACCATACGACAACATAGAAATGGTTAAACCTTCTTTCTTCTCAAAGTGGTCTAATAATTCTTGTAAAGTCATATCACCTTCAAGTTCGAATCTATCCCAGATTTGATCAAAAGTCTTGTTATTATACTTTCCTTGTGCTGATTTGATTGGCTCTGAGAATGCAATAAATGGTAAGGCCAAGTTAATGAACCCATTCTTATATTGCTCAATATCTGTCTTTTTGGCAACAACTTTGTAAAGTTCCAAACAAACCAATCCAGTCACCAATGCGGTAGTTGTGGCAATTGCAGGAATAATCTTACCAGCGATAAACTTAGTCTTGTGAGCATCCGCGGTTTCAATAGAATAATTCAATGCTCTACAGTTGGAAGCAGCGGTGATAAATTCAATATGATGGTTAGTGTCATCATCCTTTTCAAACTCGATTGGGTTTAATCTGTATCCAGCCAATGAACTTGGTTCTGGCAATGATGCAGCAATCTTTCTAATTTCTTCGTCGTCAAAAGAGCCAGAGAGTTGGTTTGCTTGTTCTTCAGCTTCTGTATCAGTGGCGGCAATGCGGATACCTGATTTAGGAACAAATGGATCAATCTTCATACCTTCCAAAGCCTTTTCATAAACTTCAAAACCTGCATTTGGTTCCTTTAATCCATAAATGTAGGCCAACAAATTGGCACCACCGACAAGGAAGTCGAAATGGTCCTTATTGTTGAGGTCGAATTCCAACGGCTTTGGAGCTCTCTTTGGTCCGGTCCAGAATGGTGCACCGCTAGAAGTCTTGGCATCAGGTGGGAAATTGTATAATAATTGTTTGATTTCATTGCTGAACTTATCTTCAAATTGACGTCTTGCCCATCTAATACAATCTTCAAAAGAGTAAGGACGATTATTCAAATATGAAGCAATGTTTTCCAATGATCCTTTAATATCTGGGTTTTGCTTTAATGTTTGTTCAACAAAGTTTGGTTGACTCAAATACAAGTTAACACTTTCTGGAGAATCAGTGAAATACCCTTGGAATAAGGATTTTGCCCACGCAATTGTATGGTCAATCTTATTAGGGAAGGATCTTAAGGTACATAATGGAATAGACTTTTCTGGAGGATCTTGAGATGAAGAATAAGATTCAGTCAAGTTTGGAATAACAACTTGAGTATTACCTTTAGTACCCAATGTACCTGATTCTAATAATGGCTTCTTGTAAAAGATACACCTACGGTCAACATAAGTTCTAGCTTCAACGTTATCTAAGGCATTGGTTACGAAATCCAAGTTAGACCAAAATGCATCATCAAAGATATCTTCAGTTTCAGGTCCTACTTTATCCAATCTAGATTCAATTTTACCAGTCAAGGCAGGATTCATATGTTGAACAGCAATTGCTGCAACATCCGATTTGTTCTTTCCAACATCTTTTGGTCTGAATAAAAATTGACGGTTCAAGTTAGACTTTTCAATTGAGTCATTATCAGTGATAAATATTTTACCTTCTGGTCCAGAACCTAATCCCATCATAGCCCAATTCTTAAGCATTTCACATCCGATTGCACCTGTTCCAACCAAGAAAACTTTGACGTTAGAAATCTTTTCATGGAATGCCTTACCAAAAACTGCAATTTGTCCATCATACCTGGAGCCAATTGGTTTGTTGTTTTCTGCATTTCTTGGATATTCATCATTCGAAGGCAATGACTCTAATGAATCGAAATATAACCATTGTTTAATAGGTGTGAATTTTGAAGAACAGTTCTTCAAGACTTCTTGAGCAATTAAACCACCATAGAAGGCGGCAATACCTGGAATGTCACCTCTAGATTGGTAGAACAATTCTTTCAAATATTCTTCATTGAGATCTTCTTCAAATCCACTTTGAGTAGCTATTTCTTGAGCTAATCTGAAAGCTTCGTTTGCATGCTCTTCATTATATGGTAATGGCAATACACCATGTCTGTTTCTGAAGGCATGTAAGGCTTGGAAACCTAAATGTAATTGAGCAGGTTTATCAAACTTACCAAAATCAGAAATAACATGTTCTGGATTTTGTAATTGTTTAGACAATGGTTCAAATGATATTTCTTTCGGAACCTTAACTTGAGTATATAACCCATTTCTGATGTATGTACCATAACTTTCATCAATCTTTATCTTGAAAGCATAAGGACCCAATACTTCAATTTTATGTGGGTTACCATCGTTTAACTTTGGCATTCCTTCGATTTCACTAAACTTCACATAATCTCCATCTTCCAAACCATGTCTATTATCATCTAACATTGTTACAGTTCCATCACGTTCAACATCAGACACAATTCCACTTTTTGGTTCTTCACCGGTTTGGTCAATAACGGTAAACTTTTCACCAAAGTCAACAAATAATTGTCCAAATAATCCTCTAACATCTGCGTGTATATATCCAATGTCACGACTATGAGTAATGCTGTTAATTCTCAATTGTTCTTCCAAGGAAATATCGGTGGTAACAATACACTTAAATCCAGTCAATGCTTCTTCATCGATATTATCAATGACATGAATAGGAACATATGCATTTAATTCCCCCAATTTTTCAGCACTTGCTTTATCTCTAGGTTGTCCGATATCAGATTCATTCAAAAAGAATTGGGAAGATAAATCTATTAATTCAACAGGTTCTGGATCATATAGACTTAATGATTTAACACCAGCAAGAGCAATATTCTTCGCGATTTCAATACCTAATCCTTTTAAACCAACAATTAAGACATTTGCATTTTGCATTTTTAACATAGCTTCTTTACCCAACACATATAATTGACGGGAGTATAACCCTTCATCAATCTCTTGTGGGGATGGAGAATCTATTTGCATGTTGTCACTCATTGTTTCTTCTTCTTCTTCGTCTACTTTAATGTGTTTAAGTTGTTGTTGATTTTGTTGCTTATGTGATTCAAAAATGAATTTTGGGTTTTTCGCCACGAAGATTTTTTAGGAGATTTGGTTCAAGAGTGGGCGTGTACTTTTTACAAAATTATTTAGTATGTACCATTGCTAGGGTGAAGGATGAATTGATGCTTTGTATTAGTTAAACTAAAAGAGATAGTTATAAAGATGTCTAATGGATGAGATCCATGCCATATTCTCTTAATACTGTGTGAACGTCAAAATCTGGATCTACAGGGTCCATAGTCTTGACAACTCTGGCAGGAATACCTACGGCAATTGAGTTTGGAGGAATATCTTTATTCACAACGGCACCAGCGGCAATGACACAGTTGTCTCCAATAGTAACCCCTGGTAAAACTGTCAGACCAGCTCCAAGCCAGACTGTGTTACCGATTGTGATAGGTAATGCATTTTCAAGTAATTGATCTCTTAAAGTTGGATCAGTTGGATGAGTGGCAGTTAAGATTGATACGTTTGGACCGCACATTACTCGATTTCCAATTTTCACTACTGAAACGTCTAAGATTGTTAAGTTATAATTACTATAAAATTGATCTCCAAAATAGGTATTGAATCCATAATCAAAATAAACTGGATATTCCATGAAAGAATCTTTACCAACATGACCAATGAAGCTTCTTAAATGTTCAAGTTTTGCATCATAAAACTCCTTTGTGGTTTTGTAGTCTCTTCTTCTAAAATTTCCATAGTCTAATATACTATCTCTAATTAACATTCTTGTATCTTCCAATTCTTTCTGGTATGCATTGTAACTGTGTGGTCATTTTGTGTTAGTAAGTGGAGGTGGCTTTAATTATCTGTTAATGCTTAATACATACATCATTCCACTAATCATTCTTTCGTAATTTTCATCCCCTTTCTTCAATGGTAAATTATTCAAGTTGTCATATGCGAATTGAATTAGTTCTTTGTCAAGTTCAGCTCTGACATTACTTTGTTTACAAAAGTCTTCTTTTGATGTGAATTTTGGCATATCTAGGTTCTCCCCTTAAGTCTGAAAAAAGTACTGATAACTGATTCTTGGGTATTGACCTCCCAAAGTCTAACCTTTTTATACTCCCAGCCTTTTCCTTTTCAACTGGGGAACACGTCAAGCGGAATTTTTCTTGGTATCGGAGGCGTTTCCTAATCGGGAAGCGTTAATTCCACATACTAAAAAACTTTCAATGTACTTGTTTGAAATTATCATTATGGAATGATGGTCGCTGGTTACTACGGAAAGAATCTCGCAGGTTGATCACACTCTAATGAATTGACGAAGTCCCTGGAGCTTGCAATTCATATAGTAGCCCCGGCTCCTAAGTAGTCTTCTTGTTGTCCCAAAAAAGTCCACAACAGACACAATCTTGTTGTATCTGGAGAGAATGTTTGTATCTGATACACTAGTACTCTATCATTAACTGCAAATCATTGCCAAAAGAAGCCTATTAGGTTAAGTCTTATATCTGTATGGACTGAAGGATATGGAAATGAAAATGTTTACTTCACAACATAACCATTAATTAGTGAAGTTCAAAATGATCTGGCCCCAAGTAATTGAAATTTCGTATATATCGTGCATAGGATATGTGCGGATTCTTCTTTCCTACTTTCGTCGCATCTTTGCATTGTTCCATGGTATCCCCAACAACAACATCATCAACCGTGACAATGAAGTACAAATTCAAGTTTTGGGTGAATTATGCAGTGTTCAACGGTCCTTTGATTTTGTGTATTGAATTGTTTTAGTCTAATATTATTGTCGCGAAACAAATTGTGTCCCCCCTAAACTAACCTGTAAAATACTAAAAAATTCAAAAATTGTACTAAAGTTGCAAATATTTTTCTAATTCTTTGTTGTCTTGAAATTTAATTTTTTTCTAAAAATTTTTTTTAAGATTGTTAATCATTTTGACAATCTAGACTTGCTATAAAATAAATTATTATTTTTATTGGGAATATTTTTAGGGGGCTTGCATGATAATGAAAATTTATATATTTCATTTAAATTGTGATATTTTTTATTAAAGAAATATTTTATTGTTTATTAACTAATATTACTGCACAGTCTTGTGGTGTGAGTGTAGTATTTTTTAGATTGACATTCTCCACAAATGATTATTATTATTATTAATTATTATTTCGGAGAAATTGTAAGATTCAGATATTTTTTTGTGATAAGATGTGGTTGGTTGGGTATGGAATTATATTTTTTTTTTCACAAGAGAACAATAACTGCTTGGTTGTTAGTGGGAAGTTGTAGAAGACAAAGGGAAGAGTTCCTTTCCTGTTGCTTTGTTCTAGACTACTTGAAAAATATTGATTCCATTTGCAACAACCAAAAAAAAAATATCAATGAAAGGTTTAACTATCGTGCATCAGTCTAAGTTTTCTAGAGATCCCTTGAAAGAATTATTTTATTAATTTAATGGAAGTATGAAAAATTATTGGAAACTGAAGGAAAAAAATATTTAATTAATTAAAACAATCGATAGTCATTAGAAAAAGAGTCAACCTGTAAAAAAATATCTTGATTACTAAATGAGGGAAAGAAATAGGGGGGTGTGCGGAGGGGTGGAAGAATACGAAGTAAATTATTTTTGAATTTGTTTGCTTTAGTTATGAACGGTAAGGATAAATAGCAAACAATCGAAGAATAGGGATAATAAAATAGAAGGTAAAGTGATGAGATGAGGGACGAAGACAATAGAATGGGAAGGAAAATAAATGAGTTTCTTAAAAAAAATTTGAGAGTAGGCAATCTATTTGGTTTGGAACCTTCTCATCATTTCTTATCCAAGGATCGATGGCTGTGGCTAACGTACTAGAAGCAGTTGGAAATATGAAATAGAGTCTTCGTAAAGCTACCATAACCAGAGACTTACGTAGAAAGCCCAGTTCTTCCTTAATTGTGGCAAAGCGATCCTTATCGCAATAATTATACCTGAGCCCCAAGGGAATTTATACCCACAAATCCTCAGCATTTTGTACTTAGAGGATCCATTCAAAGGGTGTAGATTAGACTTCTATTCTTAATGTTATATAAGCTTGAATAATCGTATACATCTTGCTTTTGCAGTAATAATCCTCTTTATATTTTACTGGACACCAAAAACCTTAATTAATATTCAATATTTTCTTGTAATTAAGACGACTTAATAATTTAATTTTTTTTTCTAACAGAGATAATTAAAACCCACAAACTTTAATAATTCTTCTAACCGAAATCTGGCAACCTTTAGCATTTATCCGAATTAAAACATCGTTCAATTAATATATAAATAATAAGAAGAAATGCCAGTTACATTGCATTGTTTAGCTGATGTCTGCTTAATTCCAGTATGTTGAATTCCAACTTAGTTTCATACTATCAATATGAGATACTAACTTATGCGATGTGTAGATTGGTACACGTTCAGCGTCTGTTTCAGATGAAGTCACAGCAATAACTAGACTTGCACAAGAATCATCTCTTAAAACGGTGTTACATTCGGCAGGAACTACAATTGAAGGTCCATGGAATGAAGTTATGGATTTAATTGGTCAAATGCATCAATTATTACATGATAAACATAATGTAGTTAGAATCCAAAGTGATATTCGTGTAGGTACAAGAATTGATAAGAAACAATCTCCTCAAGATAAAATTGATGTTGTTCAACGTAAATTAAAAGAACAGTAGCTTTGTGTAGTAGTACACTTTATATAGTAATTAATCAATATACAAACTGGATCTCTTTATAAATATGTATATTAGAAATGAAGAACTTAAATAACTAAAACGTTTCGAGAATTGAAAGTAAAAGGTTAATTACAAATAATAATAAACCCTTTAGGACAAAAATAATAATAAAAAAAAGGAACAATCTACAAAAAAAAATAAAGCAAATCTTAAAAACCAAACAGGGGGGGTAGCGAAGGGTAGGTGTGGATGTGGGTGGAAAGGTAGCGAACGAAGAAAATTAATCAATAGTAATGTTTTCCATAAGCAAATTGATTAACTTGTTGTTGAACCGCTTGTTGTTGTTGCTGCTGTTGTTGTTGTTGTTGTTGAGGATTAGAATAACCCCTTTGATATGGATGAGGTAATGAATGATAATAAGCTTCCTTCTTATCAATACCACTTACAACAGATGCATTTGAAACGGGAGTTATGGTATCTTTCTTAGTTTCTGAATATTTACCATCAACAATATCCTTACCCTTTTTCTGTTGTTGATTATATTGTTCAATTGCCTTTTCAGTAACTTTCTTTTCCTTCGTACATTCATTAATAGTTTCTTCATTAACACCAAATGTTGCAGGATTAGCCCAAAATAATTCTCTAATCATTTCACGACATTCTAAATCAGTGAAATTCTTATTAGATGATTTATTTAATTCACTACTTATAAATTTCCATTTATCTAATTCTCCAGCATCCAAAATCTCTTGTAAATGAACTTTATCTCTTATATCCCAAGAACCAGAATTATTATTCCCCTGTTGTCCAACAATAACTTGATATCTATTTCTAGCAGCTAAATAAGATCCAACATTGGTTAATTCAGCAATCTCAACCCAAGACTTTCCTTTCTTCTTTAATGAAACAATCATATCATCTTGTTGTTTACTAAATTTTGATTTTCTCTTTGCTCTCTTTTGTGCTGAATTTTGATTCAAATCAGGACGAGTTGGAGCTCTAGATAAGGGTGGAATAGGTAAAAGTGGTTGTATTCTTTCTGGGAAACGATCATAAATAACATTAGATGCAGCATTGCTGCTACCACTGGCTGATGCAGCAGAAGCTGAACCATGAGCTGCTGAACCTGCTGATACATTTGCAGAAGTGGCTGAAGCGGAAATTGAACTAGCTTGTTGCGCACTACCTACACTTGCGCTCTTATGAGTAGCACCACCAGTACCTGTAGTAGTTGCTGAAATATTAGATGGCTGTTGTTGCTGTTGTTGTTGTTGCTGCTGTTGCAAATGATGGTGCGCAGCTGCAGTAGGTTGATGGAATTGGGAATAGTTTGGATTATAAAAGGTTTGAGCCATTGATTGCTGAGGAGTAGCATTAGCTTGGCTTGGAGTAATACCACCTTGACTACCTTGTGGAACTAACAAATAGTTGTTAACAGGAATACTTTCAAAATATTGACCAGAAGCAGCTGCTGCTTGTTGTTGTTGTGATTGTGCAGCTGCTTGTTGTTGAGCTGTAGTCATTGGTTGTTGAGTTTGTTGTGCTTGTTGGGGATAAGTAGTACCTATTGGAGGTGGATACATCATTTGCTGGCCCATACCATATTGTCCAGTGGCAGGATTCATCAAGTATGAAGGTTGTTGTGATTGTTGCATAATCACAGGATTGGTATAATACCTTGGTTGATTATCATAAGCATTGTCTTTCATACTGTGAGGAACTCCAACTTGTTGACCAGGATAATGAGGATGAGGTTGAAAATTAGATTGATTATTAGGATTATTATTGTCGTACGAAGACATCATACGTTTTTGGATTCTTTAATGATGTTGTTGATGTTTTGTAAAAAAAAAAATATTTATTAAAAACTAGGCTCAGTAAACAAATACTTTCTTGTTTAGTGTTGTTTTTTCTTTAAAGGAAGGAGAAGGCTAATGGAGGGAATGTATTTCTTACTGTTTATTCAACTTGTAATAGTAAATTAGTATGTGTCTGTTGTGATGGTTTGTTAGTTTGTGGTTGTTGTTGATGTTTGATGTTGATGAATGAATGAAACTGTAAACTTAATGAAAACAATTCTTTCTACTTTTTTCAAGAAATAGGAAAAAAAGAAGATTTTTTGATTGAGAAAATATTTGACTTATTTAAATGATTTTTTTTGAAAGGGTAGGAAATTATTTTTTATGTTTTAACACACTCTACAAATATAAAAAATACTTTATTATGTATGACTTATAAAAAAAATAATGAGGAAAAAAATTTTCTTTAAAAAATAATTTCGCCCAGTTTGCATTTTCCGTGTATTTAATTTCCGCCAACTTTTTTTTTCTTCTCGATTATTGCATGTACTATTTTGCCAGAAATTTTACAATAATATTATTTTTTCGTATGTATTATTTCTTTGCTAAAATAATATTCTCCTTGATCATTAAAAACAATGTTAGTTTTACAGTTTACGTAAAAGAAGAAAATCCAAACAGCTGTTTACTATTGGTCGATACAAAATCTTCACTATGACGCCATTTGGCCAACTGAAATTCTACTAAAAACCAAAGTTTCGGGACCAGCTTCTGGGGCTATGAAGTTCGTTGGTTTTTAAGTATGACTTGAATTAAAATAATATTCATAATAATATGGTTTATTACACAAAATTAAGTTTACGATGTTCAACTATGCATTTTTTAGAGTTTAGAAAATTGTTCCTTTTGTATTGTTTTACAGGTTATCCGGACCAGATGCAAACCCACGTCATGGTATGCTTGGCCCAGCAACAGACTGTTAACTTCTCCAGTTGTTTGCCTTGTAAAAACTCGCCAATTCTTAGACGATACAGGATAGGCGGGTTATGCAAATAGCTGGGTCCACTTATAGCAAAAGGCGACTTTAACCTGGAACTTTCATCGCTCGTTCCTTCAAAAGTTGGTCTGCAAATTCGATAGTTGGAAATCATGCAAACAATACTCGTTAGTTGCAGTGGGTACGCCTGTACACGTCTAGGTAGGTCTTGAACCAAGAATTACCTTAGGGTTTTAACCAGAGCCCTTGAAAATTCTTTGGTTTCGAGTATGGAAGATGGAGAACAGGGGAAAATAACGCTAGAAAGTTATGAGCTTTTCCAAGATATTACTCTCGTCCACTGACGAAATGATGCTCGGTGAACCTTCTAAATAATACTGTTCCCTTTGGTTGGTGCTCTGGTGGGATTGGTATAACTTTATTTCCGGTTGTTTCTCTGATTATAGCCTGATCTAATCCTCTAATCATCTATTAAACTCCATTCTAACACTTCCTACTTCAACGTACGGCCAACGCCAAGTCAGATTTTGCTCGTCTAACATTTCTAACGTATTTAAGTTTGGTTTGTTTAAACCTTAAATCTTTGAATCCCATTCCATGATGGAAGATAAGACTCATTATTACATCACACTAGTAAATGTATTTTTTGATCTAGATGATTGAACTAAAAAAATAATTAGAATTATTATCTCAAAGTTTTGATATTTTTTTAAAAGAAACTGTTACAAATTATTTTATGGTGGGGAGGGAGGTTGAAAGATAAAATAATAATTTATTAATTAGATCTTTCAACCTCTCATCCAACTATCGACTCCCTCTTTGACAGTTTACCTGGTATTGATTCATAAGCTGCAAACTCTGTCAAAGAAACTCATAGATGCTGTTGTCACTAAAAGGAATAAAATTTTCCTGATTAAGCGAAAAGAATCTAGAAACTGGATATATGGCAAGACAAAGATTGTGGTTTATTCGTAAATGCAAGATCGACAATCGTATGACATTGTCATTTGTTTAACATACGTTAAAATTCATACACAAATTCAATACTCGCAGAGTAGCTAGATTCCAGAGTGGGATTCTCTCTTTTCTTGAATGGCTCCAGCCCTGATTGTGTTTCCCTAGTTTTTTTGATTGTGTTTGTTTTTTAACACTGACGAAACGTCATGCCTAGCCTTTGATGGAGAAATCTTTGTACAAAAGATATTTTTTAATGTTCCTATTATATAATTGGTGCATGCGTGTGTTAATTTTCTTGAAACAAATAAGCCAAAACTTTAAACTGTAAAAATATTTTTGCATGTTTTTTTTAAATGAACGAAAAATCTAGAAAATAAAACAACTAAAACAAAAGCTAAGAAAAAAAAATATCTCATTGAAATTCAGAATAACTTTTAAGCTTTTTCCAATTGGTTTTGTAAATATCATTTCATTAGTATGCAACTAAAAACTCGCCAACAAACTCAAAGTATTCAAAAAAATTTCAACGCAGCTCTTTCTTATGTTGAGATCTATATGATGAACCATAGAACTCTATGAAGCGTTGACTACTTTGTTACCATGAGGTGGAGTTCGTAAACTTTGTGAGATTCTGGGGCGGGTCTAATCAGTTCCTTTTTTTTCCAATTTATTTTTACAGTTTTTTAAACTTTTTATGAATAATAATTTATTATTTCCAAAATTCAATTAAAAAATTGTTTCTTTTTTAGATCTTTGTCAGGCAAAAAAATATAGGGATTCCAAAAAAATAATCCAGATCTCTCTCTCATTGGAAGTTTCCGTTAAGGGATGGGGATGAGATGAGATAGAGAAAGGGATAACTTAATCTAGTCTAGCTTCAGAGTTCTTATAAGTGCCCTTAATCTATTTGTGTCAGTGCTATTCTTTTCTGAAGTCTTCCGTTTCTGTGTCTATCAGTAAAATGTATATTTTTTTATTGGTCCATAGATTTTCCAAAAAAAAATATTTATAGTTTCACAAAACCTTAAAGTTCCTTAAATAATAAAATTTTGTTCGTGTGTATTTTCTGAATCATATTTGATGAACTACAGATAGCTCGCCTCTCTATATCGATTCTGTTCAAGTGGTGGAAACCATTTCCGCTTCCAATTGTGTCTTGTATTGTGCGTTCGTATATAGCCGAAGGCTGGTGTATAGTTTTCATGGCCAATGACAATGGACGAGAGAAAATAGCGTGCCGCATTGACAGATTGTCCTGTAAGACTATGGTGAACTTCATCTTCAAACAAAAAGAGTTCCATTATGCATTCTTCTCGTATTTTCTGGTAAAATATAGCACATAGTGTTGATTGCCTTCTTTGTGAACGTCGAATGGATTTATTCTACTTTATGTTGGCTAAGAGTTCAGCCCACATTATAGTCTTTCAATCTCGTAATTTTAAGTTGGCAAGCCTCAGTTAGATACTGAATTGCGTATGTGCCATTCTCCTCTGATCTCGTATCTTTACCTTGTGAAAGTATATCTGACCAAGCGTCAGTGCCTTATGCTGATTATAAAATAAGTAAACCATTTTTTGCAACTAGTTACCTCGCTTTAAATATTCTTTATTTAGAAATACTACAAGCCCTGTAATCTACCAAAGTTCATAACCCGAAACACCATTTATATTTCCTAATTAGTATACTCCAAAACTATCAACCAAATGGATTCAAGAAACACATATATCTCATATTAGACTCTTTCATCCAACAATCTCTAAATTGACTCCGTTCCTAAGATTTTTGCTAAATCTCCACAAATGCAGGGTCATATTTTTTATTTTTGGAAATAAACTTAGGTTTACTCGCCTTGCATTTTGATAGCCAAATAAACTTTATATTGTAGTTTACATAGGTGTTGTTGCATACTCTATCTCCACTCTCGAAGCGAGAACTTTATTTTTGCTTTGTGGTGAAGTTCAAGTGGAATACTAATTGGCTGCAAATTTACTGATGGCGGCATAATTAATTGGTTAGATAGACTTTGCTGCGAAACTTGAATGAAGCTTGTTAGCACTAATTACTCTGAATAAGTTTATAGCCAACGAATAACAAGAGTGTTCTTTGACACCTGTTAAAGTGGACATAATCTTTTGTAAGAGCCTGGTGGCAAACAATTTACATCTTCCCCGTAACGGAGTGCTGCCACCTGTTACAGTTTTTTTTTCATACACAATCTGTTTATTTGGTTCTTGTCCACACCTTTTACTGTATGTCTGCTGCTACTTTCAAACCACAGAATTCACACTACCTGTTTCCACCAATTTCCTTGGATGATCACTTGCTTCGTCAAGCCTTGATCGATGCTGCTACTAACAAGACTCATACATTGGTGCTTCAACTTCCCGACTTACCATTTTCATCTTTTTAATATCTGATTACTTAAACATGCTGCACCCATTAAGACTCCTAGCAGTGTTAGTTCTCTTCAACACCTTGAAAAGAATATTCAATTTGCTAAAGTTTTAGATGAACAACCTATTTTTTCCATCAACTTCCCAGACCATGCCTGAGTTTCACGTACAATTGTAGCACCTTCCCCAGCTCAATTACTTAGTGAATTACTCGGTCTCTACGGTCTACAACATGCTTCGTTCAACTACATGGAAGCATCTCCCAAGGGCCAGAGCTACCCTCGAACCACTTTTAGCTCAGCAGCCTGACTACGACCTCATCCATTTTCTTTCCATGTATACTTTAATACGGTCATCGATGTTCCACCCTATATTCCTCGTACACCAACTGCTTCTGTGGGCCCTGAAGTTATTCACTCTAATGCCCTTCCAGCTCTTCCTGCACCTGAATCTGAAGAAGCTAATACAGAATCCACTGAAGGGAATACCGAATCTGCTGAAGTTAAGTCTGAATCTCCTGAAGCGAAGGACGAATCTTCTGATGTTCCCGCTACTACCATTGGAGTGCCTACTCCAGTTCCCACTGTTCCTACCTAGGCTTCTACTGAATCTATCCAAGCTTCCAAACAAGCTAAGAATTCCAGAAAGAATCCCCCTACCCCATACACTGCTCCCTATCCTGAAGTGGATGCAATGACCTAGCTGAACAAACCAAACTCTTTGGGCTCCACGATTTATTCAAGAGCAGCTAAATGGTTTAATTTTTAAGTTTGGGGATCTGATATATTGTTATAGTCAGTAACTTGATCTAGAAAATAAGTAAAGAAGATAGATTTAACAAAAGTAGGAAAAAGACCGATATATGTATAATTGAGAAAACAGATTAGTGGAAATAAATAACAATATTTTTTCAGAAGTAAACCAGCAACAGAACCTCCAATACACCAGAAAGGGCCAAGCTGATATTCAACAAAATAATCATTAAGCAAGACTAACCATGATATTAACAGATACAAATATAGGGAATTATCAACCGTAACCAGAAATAACCAAGTAATTAACTTACCAGGAAATACCAAGCCGAGCCATATGGCCAAAACAGAGCCCACTTTACTCTTAGTTAACCAAACAACATGACGCAAAGGAACCATATAAACTATTTTAAGTTTATTTTCCCAGAACTATGGCATGGCGAACAACAGTCTAGTCTACTGTTGTGGTCGCCACCCGAATTGACCATCTGATTCAAAATTTGCAACAAGGGATTGGCAGCAAAGCGGTGAAATTGAATTCAATGGGAATGAATATATGTTGTTTTCAAATAATTTTTTTTTTTGACATCTAAAATGATCATTGGACTGGCTTTAGTTGCTTCTCTGGCTTTTCAGAGGAAATCGTTCTTGTATGTATAAGAACTCAATAAACAGATTGTATATGTAAAAAAAAAAACACAGTAACAATGCTGCTTTACAAAACTCCAAATATGAAAAGAATGTAATTTTTCGCAGCCAAACCTGCAAAATCAATTTCATGGAGGATTTTCACCAAATAAGACAAAAAATAAAAACAGCAGCCAAAAATTCCAATCTCACTCTTTACTTAATTGAGACATATTCGTGTTCCATAGTAGACCATTATCCAATGAATAGACCAATCATACCTATAACTACCAGTTGATAAACGAGGTCGTGTGTAAACCGAGTTAACAAAATCGCCTTGCTTCAAAAAATCGAAATTCGTGGAAAACAGCCGGTCTAGTATAGTGGTAAGTACGATTCGTTGTGGCCGAATAAACCCAGGTTCGATTCCTGGGACCGGCAATTATTTTTACTGATTATATTTTTCATTTTGACTATTGTTGCAGGAGATATTTAGAATAGAGACAAAGGAATTGAGAATATTGATGTATTTTTTTTAGAAGGATTGACATTTATGTTGAAGTATTTTCTTTACTGCACCAAATACTCGCACTGTTTCAATTTTTTTTGCAACCATTTAAAAGCAACTTGAACAACGAAACATTATGAAAAGGTATTGCTTATTATTATTAAAAGTATTATATGAATTATTTAAAACAAGAAAAACATACAAAATCTATTTATATAAAAAATATCTAGAGAAGAAGAAAGAAAAGAAAGGAAAGAACACATATTAAAAAACAAAGTTCAAATAAAACATATAAATAATAAACGTGGTGTCAACAACAAGACAAAGCTTACTTATCTTCCTTCTTAGCTTTAGCCTTAGAGAAGAATCTAAATGGTAATTTAGCAACTTCAGCTAACGATCTATCAGGATTAAAACTCTTATCAGCTGGCTTTTCAAATCCATAGTTTTGCAGTAATGGAGCGGCTTTAGTAGATGAAGAGGATGAACCAGCTTCTTCAGAAAGTTTAACAGTTTCAATATCTTTAGCTAAACCTTCTTCAACTTGTTGTTCAGTAGCTTCCGCATCTTCAACATCAGGTGGAGTAGTTGGATGGAAGACACGAGTGGCTTCTCTCTTCTCCTCACGATGTTCCCATGGGAATAATGGAGAATGTTCAGTTTGATCTTCTTGTGGACCACCAATTAATTTTGAGACATCCCATAAATTCTTATTCTTAGCGAATTTCAAATTTGATGCTTCACCTCTTGGTAAGTTTAATAATTTATATTTCAAATGAGCATCATTACCAAAGAATTTGTTAAAATCATCCCACCAATATTGATGGAAATTAGCTAAATCACTCGATAAGATATCTTCATAATGCCATGGTTTGACTGCTCCAATATAATGTAAGATTCTAATATCATTAAAGAAACGATGGAATGCAGGAAGATATTGATAATCATTACGATAATTTGGAGTAACATTGAATAAATAAGGTAATCTAATCCAATTATTACCATTAGCAAAGAATTCATTTAATAGACCTTGATCAGCACCATCAAAAGTATTTTCTTCAGAATTTGAAAACTCAACTAAAGAATTAAAAGTTTCAGTATTTGGTCTTAATTTAAAAACACCAGAATTAAAAATATCAGGCCAACCAGAATCTGGAGATGCAGCAATTTGATTTGAATTAATTTCAAATTGTTCAAAGATTTCATCTAAATTTTGTAATGGTAAAACATCAGCATCAAGATAAACTAATTGTTCAAATTGTGTTAAATTCCATAATAAAATCTTACTAAAAGTAACTGATAATTCTGATCTATCTAATTTTTCTTTTAATTTCCCTAAAGGAGCAACAATTACATCATTATCAATTGAAATGATTTCATCATAAACTTCATTAATTAAATCTTGAGAATCTTGTGGAATTGAACTTGAATCTAAAAGAATTACTAATTTATGTTTAGTACCTAATTCTTTTAATTTCTTACCTAAAGTTAATACCCCTGGTAAATAACCTTGACCAGTTAAAAGAGTAACGTAAGCAGATGTCATTATGTGTTGTTTTGTTTTGGTGGTATATGGATATGATGTTATGATATAATGCAATAGATAAGAAAGAAGGAAAGGAAAGGAAAGGAAAGAAAAAAATAGAAAAAAGAAAAAGGGGGTTTTTCAAAAAACTTTTCTTATAAAAGACAATTCAATCAATATTTAAACAACAGATCTTTTTCTCATAAAAAGTTACAGATTTATAAGATTGTATGTGCATGTGTTGATGTGTTAAAATGAAAATCAAAATTAGATTTTCCAGAAATCTAAAATTAAAAATAATAAAAAATAATTAAAATGAATAAAAGGAGTTGAAACTTATAACTTCTATTTGAGAATAAAAATTTCAGGTTAGATTTAATTTGTAACTTGTTGCGCTTCTTCTTCTATTTTTTTTTTTTGCAACAATTGTTAAATTTTAGTTCAATTGCATGTTGGTACCTTAATCAATTGATTTGGTAGTTCAGACCAGACAGACAGAGATTGAGCTATTAGCAGGTTGTAAGGCAGACATACATATTACAGCAGATTAAAAATATGTGTATGTAAGGATAATTTGTTAATGTGTAAATATCGGATTATCAATTCAAAAAAAAAATGTGTAAGTGTGGTTTGTTTACTTTATCTAAAAGACAACAAACGAAAAAAAAAATAAAAAACAGTAAAAAACGAATCACAAAAAAATAAAAAAACCCGCATACAATAAAAAATAAATTAAAAACCGAATTAAACAAAGAAAATGAAAGAAAAAAAAATCCGTATCTACGAGTGCGGCATTGAGATTTATTCCCAAAATGAACTTCATCGGACGCCCCTTAGATCTATTTCTATCAATGGGTTGGGAAATATGTGTATACCCCCCTTCTAATATATATACACACACACACACATTACAGTGCTATTACTCTAAAGAGCGAAACAATAAAACTATACATTTTTTATTTTTATACAGAACTAATCAATATATGTAAAAATTATAAATTATAGATGACACGAATAAAGTATAAGCGCGTACCAGTACCACATAGCAGTAGTACCAGAGTAACTCTAATCCATTGTACTGGCCAAAAAGGTCCAATTACCAGACTTTGGATCATAACTAACAAACTCTAATTCAGGAATATTCTTTAAATTGTCAATATGACGTTTAACAACTTCATTGGCAGGATCAAGAATTGGTAATTTATCTTTCTTACTAATTGGATAACAACCTTCTAATGTAATTCTAGCAGGTAAATTTAAACCTTCACCTGGTTTAGGCCTATTGTCATCAGGATAGACAACACATGATTTAGATGCAAATATAACTATTTTACCACAAATATCATCTAAATTAATTAAAGATGATAAATCAACTGGTTCTAAGAATTCTATTAATCCATAATGATTTCTACCAATTTTGAAATTAGGAATATTTCTTAATTCACTTAAGGATTTCTTCTTTAATTCTGATAATGGAGGTGTCATCCAATATCCATCTTCATCAACTTCTTGAACTTCTTGTGATGATTTCTTAGGCTCACTTATAGTAGTACGTGGTTCAATATTATCGGCAACAGCAGCAGCAGCCTTCTCCTTTTCTGGAGTTAACAAAGGAGTAGACGATCTTTCTTCTTCAGAAATCAGTTTATCTAAAACAAATGTAACTTGTTTACTTGGACTATATTGATTTTGACCACTTGGCAACAATCCACTAATACCACCATTCGCAATATCACCACCATTAGCCGCTTTTTCCAAAACCAATTTCTTAAAGCTCTCTTTTGGTTTAAATATATCACTAGAAATAATTGCCAGATCAGTACTTGAAGAAAACAAATTATCAACCTTCTTAAACACCGCATTTTGTTTGGTTTCAATTTGATTATTCTTACTAGTAGTTGGTGGTAATGAAGATACTTTAAACAATGGAGCAATCTTAGTAGCACTTCCACCTAATGTAACTGGTTTCTTTACTGTATTTGGAGCCTTAATAACCGTAATCTGAGGACCTACACCACCAGAGCCAACACCTTGTGCTGGACCAGTAATACTTTGAAATAATGGATTGTTTCCATATGGGTTTTGTGAATTGATATTGGCCAACGATTGGGGTTGCCCCGATTGTGAAGCTTGTCCGATACCACCCATACCACTACCAGAACCACCACCAAATAATCCACCAGTACCGGTATTTCCAGTTCCTGCATTAGCACCACCAAACAACCCCCCACCGGTCGATGTACCAGTATTTGCACCACCACTTCCAAATAATCCACCAGTAGTACCTCCGGTGTTAAGTCCAGTTTGACCACTTGTTGTCCCTGCTCCACCGAATAATCCACCAGTTCCGGCAGGTTTAGATCCAAACAATCCCCCAGATTGTTGTTGTTGTGGCTGCTGTTGTTGTGCAGCACCACCGAATAATCCACCAGTAGCTGGTTTTGCCCCACCGAATAATCCACCACCTTGTTGTTGTTGTTGAGGCTGTTGTTGAGATTGTTGGCCGAATAATCCGCCGGTAGTTCCTGCTGGTTTGGATCCAAATAATCCGCCGGCTTGTTGTTGTTGTTGTGGCTGTTGTTGTTGTTGTTGGCCAAACAATCCTCCTCCTGTTGTTCCTGCTGGCTTTGCTCCAAATAATCCACCGGTTTGTTGTTGTGGTTGTTGTGCTCCACCTCCGAATAATCCTCCTGTAGCTGGTTTGGATCCGAATAATCCTCCAGTTTGTTGCTGTTGTGGTTGTTGTTGGCCAAACAATCCACCAGTCTGTTGTTGTTGTGGCTGTTGTCCAAATAATCCTCCACCCTGTTGTTGCTGTTGTGGTTGTTGTCCAAATAATCCACCTTGTTGTTGTTGTTGTGGTTGTTGTCCAAAAAGACCCCCAGACGCTGGTTTATTAGCTCCAAATGCATTCTGCTGTTGTCCACCACCAAATAACCCGCCACCTGTACTTGTCGCACCAAATCCCGTAGTTCCAGTATTTGAAGATCCAAATAATCCACCACTCTGTTGTTGTTGTTGTGGTTGTCCAAATGGAGAGCTAGAAGCCCCACCAAATCCACTACTTGTTGAAGTCTGACCAAATGGCGTCGCACCACCTGCTGATCCAAATCCTCCTGTTGATGATTGTCCAAATCCGGCGGATGTAGTTCCTGATTGTCCAAATAATCCACCACCACTAGATCCACCAAATGCACCTCCTCCAGTGGCAGTGGTTCCAAATCCAGTAGGTTTATTAGCTCCAAACGCCCCTCCTGATGCTCCAAATGCTCCACCAGACGATCCAAATGGTTGCTGTTGTTGTTGGGTGGATGCCCCAAATGGAGATGCAGCAGCAGCGCCACCAAATCCAGTAGCACCTGTTCCAGTTGATCCAAATGCTGATGTTGTAGGTTTGGCTCCGAATAATGAAGTACCAGTTGTTCCATAGCCGCCAGTGTTGGAGCCGAATGGAGATGCTGTATTTGTTGAAGAACCAAATGCACCACCACCTGTAGTTGTTGGGTTTGTTGCTCCAAATCCAAATCCGGGGTTTGCGCCTGTTGTTGAACCAAATGCACCACTTGAACCAGGGGTTGCATAGCGTCTACCTTGTTCATAATCTTTTAATCTTAATTCTTCAAATGAGAAATTCTTATATTCGGGCATAGAACAAATATTTTGGAAAACATTAAGTGTACCAGTTGAATCTTTTTCACTAAATGGTGAGAATGGTTTTACACCTGTTCCATTATTGACAGTTGAATCCATCAGACCAATACCACTAGCACCTCCTAATCCGAACCCACCAGTTGTGACAGAACTTCCAAATGGTGATGTGGAAGTATTTGCCGTTCCAGCGCCTCCAGCGCCACCACCAAATCCAAACCCAGTCTTGTTAGCTGTCGATCCAAATAATCCACCACCAGTTGTTCCACTAGCTCCAAAGGCAGAAGTCCCCGTATTCCCACCAGCACCTCCAAATCCAGTATTTGATCCTGCTCCAAACGGAGAAGTCGTAACTAATGCATTACTCGCCCCAAATAATCCCCCACCACCAGCACTACCGCTAGTGGCACCACCTCCAAATGCTGATGTATTACCAGTTCCAAATGCGGCACTGGCCCCAGGTTGTGATCCAAATGCAGATGACCCAGATGCTCCACCAAAGATCCCCCCTCCAGTGGCTCCAGTATTGGCGGCTGAACTTCCAAATGGGGATGTACCTGTACCTGGTGGATTTGCTGCAGTGTTTGTGTTTGATGTTGCTCCAAATGGAGATGCACCTGTGTTTGATGTGTTGGTGTTCGATCCAAATGCACCAAATCCTGATGATGTACCTCCTCCAAACATAATTGATGATTTGTCAATTGGTAATTGGTTTGTTTTTAATCAATTGAGTTTAATAAAGAGATGATGATGATGGTTGATGTTTGATGTTTTTTAAATTTGAAAGAAAAAAAAACTTTTTGGGTTATGCTAGTCGTGTACTTATGGTCAAATTATATCCTTAGTTCAGAGCTACCATGTGAATATCTATTGGAAGTATAAACAGAGAGAAAGGGTATTTAGAGTTTCTATTTAGTTTTGGTCTTTTTAGTAACCATTGAAGCAATATCACCCTTAGCTGATCTCTTTGTAGCTTTAGATACTTTTGCTTCATATTTCTTTAATTGCTCATCTCGTTCTTTTGCCCCCAATTTAAACAATTCATCTCTTTTGGTAATATATTCTTTATCATCAATCAGTTTATCTTCTAACCATTCCAACAATTTAATTTCTTCTCCATATACAGAATCATCATCTTCAACTGGAGTTTCTAAAATGATTGGTATATTTTGTAAACGTTCACAATTGGCAATTACTCTAAATACTTCCAATCCAAGGAATCCCAAACCTAATTTCTGATGTAAATCTCGATTTGCTCCCAAGGGAGCCTTGGAGTCATTTAGATGAATAGCACTTAGATATTCCGGACCGACAATTTCATCAAATTGGGATAAGAATTTGTTGAATTTCAGTTCATCAGATATATCATATCCTGCAGCAAATGAATGACAAGTATCTAAACAAACTCCAACTCTTGATTTATCTTCAACCATATCTATAACATCTCTAATATCTTGTAAATTTGATCCAATTAAATTCCCATGACCTGCCATATTTTCAATAACAATCTTCACAAATTTAGTTTCTTTAATTGCTCGATTTATATTCTTGGCTAATCTTTCCAAAGCTAATTTATGATCAGAATCTAAATTTGAACCAGGATGGAAATTATATAATCCAATATTTAATGATTCACAACGTTTTAAATCATCAAGAAATGATCCATATGCTTGTTCCTCTTTAGTTGGATCTGGATTACCTAAATTAATAAAATATGATCCATGAGGTAAAACATCTTTCCTTGGGTCATATCCATATTTATCACATAATTGTTTAAATTTCTCAATTTCTTCAGGTTTAATATCTGGTGATATCCATCTACGAGGTGATTTAAGAAATAATGCAAAACTATTAGCACCGATATCCATAGCATTTGTAACTGCCTTTGAAATACCACCCGACATACCTACATGAGCACCAAATTTGAATTTACTAGAAGTATTTCTTTCATATTTAAATGTTATTGTCTTTTCTACTTTGACTTTAACTGATTTGACTACGGTCTTTGTAATTGATTTACTAGGGAATGAGCTGGTTAGTAGAATTCTAAAGACTTATAGTTTGACATGACATTCTTACATACCTTTTTACTGCTGCCATTCTAACTGCCTATTGTCCTTGCTGTGTTATATGAACTATGCGATTTGAGATAGATTGGATATTTCTCGTTCTAGATCTCTTGCTTTCCATTCCATTCCTTCTGTTGCAATGAACAACTGGAATGGCACTGAAAAATCAAAATCTGGCGTAAGCGCGCGTGAGAGAGACCAATGAAAAAAAAGGGTGCGATGGGAACGACGATTACGGAATCAACGATCCACACGATAGTACGATTGATTGACATCCACAATAATTATTCTTATGCCAGAGTAAAACAACACCGAGGAAGTGATATAAGAAGATACACATGGAGATGTCATTATTGGATAATATAAGAATAACGTTACATCGATATCTTCGTGCATTTTTCATTCCTGATTCAACATTACATTCAAGACAACGATGGGTATTAGGATTAATTAACTTATCAGCCGTGGTAATATTTTGGGTATCGTCAAGTTTCTTGGTTAATGCTATCGTAGAAGATGATAGTTATAGAAAGCCATTCTTCATTACATATTTAAATACCAGTTGTTTTTGTTTTTATATCATTCCGTACTTGTTAATTGAAGGATATACGGTTAATGAATTTATACAGAAGTTAATGAATGATTATGAATTGGATAAGATAAAGAGGAGGCAAAAATTACAAGAGGATGACGAAGGGTTGTTACATAGTAATTACGGATCAGATGATAACTTATCCGAAAATCGACAACCATCTCCATTACACGTTGTAATGGATTCTTCAGATCTGCAATCAGAACAACCAGATCCATTGGAAATATCCACGTATGAAACCGTCAAACTTTCATTACAATTCCTAATCCTTTGGTTCTCAGCCAACTTCGTCACAAACTCATCCTTATCCTACACATCAGTCGCCTCACAAACTATCCTATCATCCACATCCTCCTTCTTCACCCTCATAATCGGCTACTTAGTTTCAGTCGAACAAATCAACAAAAACAAAATCATAGGCATCCTCCTAAGTTTCACCGGAGTCCTATTAGTCACCAAAATCGACACATCCCAAACCAACCCCAATAATTCCTCTCCCAACAACAAATCCTCAATCCTCGTCTTATGGGGAAACATCCTTGCATTATCAGGAGCATTAATCTACGGTATTTATACTATCTTACTCAAATTCAAAATCTCCATTCCTAATTCCAAAAGAGAGAAAAACCTAAACACCCACCTATTCTTCGGATTCGTGGGAATATTCAGTTTATTCCTCCTATGGCCCATTATTATCATCCTCCATTGGACGGGGGTCGAACGGTTTAGCCTTCCGCCCAATACTGAAATATGGGCGATTGTGGGTATAAATGCCTTAATCACATTCATTAGTGATTTCTGTTGGTGTAATGCGGTATTATTGACTAGTCCATTAACGGTGACTGTTGGATTATCGATGACTATCCCGTTGGCGATGGTGGGGGATTGGGTGATTAAAGGGTTTAGAGTTAATGGATGGTATGTTTTTGGTGCTGCGATTGTGACGGCGGGATTTCTTATTATAAATAAAGATGAAGAAGAGGATTTTGTTGTGGATGAGTAGAAAGATTTGTTTATAGAGTAAATAGAGTGAACTCCACACATGTTAGATATTTATGTTTCTTGACCTGTAGGTAAAGCTCGTGGTCGTCGTGGTAATTCTTGGCCCGTCTTAAGTTTTTTAGTACGAGCTCAGTTCAGCATCGACGTACAAAAAAAAAAACACAAGCCCCCGAATGAAATATCGTCACCACTACCATCATCTCTTCAACCAACCAACCACCAATCGCACTACACCTACACCCTCAATTGAATCACCAAAATGAAACTATATCAACCAATCACACTCATCATTCTCCCTCTCCTCCTTCCATTCCTCACCTGGGCCGCCTCACCCCAAGCCATCCACCTCACCACCCTCTCCCAATCCCATCCCAACCAAATCATCCCTGTCCAAAACGGTGACCTCTCATTCTTATCAGGCCCAAGGGACTACTACACCCTCATACTATTCACCACCTCAGATCCAAAACACAATTGTCAACCCTGCGAAGCCCTCTTGGAAACCATCTCAACCGTGAGTCGGGCCTGGTATACTGATTATGCCGACACTCATTATTTGACGATCTTGAAGGTTGATGTAATTGACTCCGGGAATATTAATATATTCGGTAGTATTGGACTCCTGAGTGTGCCCCATCTCTGGCTCATTCCTCCCAATGAACATGCAATGGACGGAGGGAATGGATATGAGGTGCTACTGGAAAGACATTTGGAATACAGATTGCCCAAGAATGTGCAGGATAAGGAAGCGATGGCGTTGGATTTAGCCCGGTTTTTGGCGGATGAATTACAGAGATCGATCTTGATCCGGGATGAGAATGCTAGTTTGAAGTTTTTGAAATCGTTTGGGTTTACATTGGCTGGGATTTTGGTTATAAAGAAAAAAGGACCCAAATTGATTACTTCGACGAGAAAGAAGACGATGGCGGGGTTGTTTTGTATTGGATTGATATTGTTGAGTGTGGGAGGATATCAATTTGCTATTCAGATGGGAGTGCCATTTTTGGCGAGGAATGATAAAGGGGAGTTGATATATATTAGTGGGGGCAGTCATTATCAGTTTGGAATTGAGATTGCGATGATGGCCGGGATGTATTCTAGTTTGGCCGCTTCTTTGTTGAGTTTGATATATCTTGGGAAGTATGAAATTGGTAATGGAGCTACGGAAGAAGGAGCAAGGGGGTTTATAAAGAATGAAAGAGTTAAGGTTGGGTTGATTTTGATAAATACTGTATGTATTTATTTGTTGTATAGTTGTCTAACTAGTATTATTCTTAGAAAGGATCATGGATATCCTTATGGATTTACCAAGTTGTTTTAAGATAGTTAATAGATAAATAGTTATGCAGTAATTAAATGTAATGTTACAATTTTTCAATGTGTCCTGAATTGGGAGGTGGGGAATTTTCAACCCCTTGTTCATCATTCTTCTTTAGCTGAGAACATAATCTATCATCAATATATCCGTCTTCTTTCAACTCCATACAATCTTATACTAAAAAGGAAGTCTTCCTAGAACATAAATCAATCAACTTGAAGTAAGTCCCCCAGGCAGTGTAACATTGCATTTACCATAATAGAGAAAAAAAATTAATGAGACGCGTCTTTACTTTAATTAAATCTTCTTCTCATCATCATCAATCAAGGAATTATTTCAGTACTACCACTTCAAATATGACCAAGAGAGTACTCATAACTGATTTCTTTAATAGTCAAGGTGGTAGTAACACCTTAGAGAACAAGAGAAAGAAAACTACACTGGAAGTTGTGAAAAAAGTGGAAGTGGTTGAAGATGCTGTTGAGAACAAGGAGAATATAGTAGTCACCAAAGAGAAAACAATCGAACTGACTGTGACTACTACTACTACTGCTACTTGCAGCAATATTGATACAACCGCTGGACAAGACTACAGCACCTTCTGCAAACAATACAACTTTGATAAATCCAAATGGATCTCATCCCTCACCCCAGAACAACAAGAATTATTATCATTAGAAATCAACACATTACATATCACCTGGTTAGCATTTCTCCATCAAGAACTCACAAAACCCTATTTCCTCAACCTTAAACGTTTTCTTCATTCCCAAACTGCCAATCATAAAACCATATACCCGCCACAAGAACTTATATATTCTTGGTCCCATTATACACCCTTACCAGAAATAAAATGCTTAATATTAGGACAAGACCCCTATCATAACATAAACCAAGCTCATGGATTAGCATTTTCTGTATTGGAACCCACAAAACCTCCACCATCATTAGTTAATATTTACAAAACCATTGCGATTGATTTTCCAAATTTCAAAATCCCCGAATATCAAGAATTACGAAAAGCAGGAAAACCCGGTGGAGGGAATTTGACAAAATGGGCAAGAAGGGGTGTTTTGATGTTGAATGCGGTGTTGACGGTGGAAGCCCACAAAGCAAATAGTCATGCCAAGCGAGGTTGGGAACAATTTACCGAACAAGTGATTAAAGTTGCTCTTGATTATCATAGTGCTAAGGATGATGGGGGGTTTGTGATTATGGCATGGGGAGGACCGGCACAATTGAGGGTTGAGAAGTTTGGAATGAGGTTGAAGGATGGGAAGTTTTGTGTTTTGAAGGCGGTACATCCATCTCCATTGTCTGCTCATAGAGGATTTTTCCAACTGGGAGTGTTTAAGAAGTGTAATGAGTGGTTGGAGAAGAATGGGAAGGAGAAGATTAATTGGGGGATATTTGATGATAATATAGTTATGTAGATTGGAGCAATAGATATGTTATATGTATATTGAGTTGATTCTCTGTGTTCCAGTTGACCAATTGAATGTTGGCCAAATCGGGAAAGGAAAAACAATTTTCCGAGTTACATTATAGAAGATTTGGAGGAGGGGTGGCTAATGGGGAATGGCCGTAATTAAACATCTGTCTTGCTCAATCTATGCAAAGTTATTGACGGAAGTCAATTGCATTATAATAGTTTGATTGAATCCAAATGCACAGTAGTCAAAGTTTGAATTTTGCAATAAAGTTATCAACTTTCATTTGCAATGTTGATAGGGTTACTGTAAGATTCGGCTGGACTGGGCGGGTTTATTGAGAGAGAAAAATATACTGCATATAACCAACGGCTTTAGGCTATGAGCCGCAATATAATTATGCCAAGTAGACTCCAGTGAAAAGGGTGGTCATTTACGATAGATAATGACTACTTAAAACAACGTTTGACTACAAATAACTAACAAACAAAGATATTTATGAGAATAGAATGAATCAACTACAAAAGTCACTTGATATTAACTAAATCCATTTAATTGGTAGGGTATTTCAATGTAAACATCTATTGAATACTGTTTAATTTCAGCATAATAATGTCTTTTTGTATTGAATTACAAGTATATTTGTTGTTATATCGAAAGTAGAATATGATACCTTTCATATGAGTATAAATACACTATAAAAGCATGTGTTAAGAATAAAGAAGAATAATAATAAAAAATCGGTAGAAAAGAAGAGAGACAGATGATTATAATGAATAAAATTTTTTTTTTCCGGTGATTAAGCGCCAGTTCAAACATTTGATCAGTAACTTCTGTTGTTTTTATTTAAATTATTTTTTATTTTTTATTTGAATTTTTTGCAGACAGACATCATTAAGTTATATGCAGTACCAGACATTTAAAATATAATAAACTCAAAAAAATTATTTTTTCTTCTTCTTCTTCTTCCAATTCATTTTATATTTCCCAATTTCTCTCCTTTTTTTTCTTTTACTTTTTTCCCACTTTTTCTTCTTAAATTTTTACAACCAATTTAAAGAACAATTATAAAGCAATCTATATACATTAATCTATCAACTACAAAGGTTCTAAATCAATAAACAAACCCAATCTGGCTGCAACTGCAAAATTTTTCCACTTTTTTTTCTTTTTTTTTCCGGGTCCCTTTACTTAAATAAACGACAGATATGAAACAACAACAACAACACACAATGAATGGAAACGATATTCAATCACAACCTCCAAAGGAATCATTACAAGACAGGAGAAAGAGATATCTATTACAGCAAGATGTTAAACATGCAAGACTTAATGATAATGATGATGCTACTAAACGGTTTAAATATTTACTTGGTTTAAGTTCATTATTTAGAAAATTCATTGATCTTAATGCTTCAAAAGATGTTGCCTTTAAGAAAAGAATAAGAGAAATTGATAATCAACATTCTTTTCAAGAAAAAACAATAACTAGAAAATCAGGTAGAAGAAGAAAAACTGAAAAAGAAGAAGATGCAGAATTATTACAAGATGAAGAACATCAAGATGATGAAGATCATCAACATACAGTTTTTACAGAATCTCCCTCATATGTACAACAAGGAACATTACGTGAATATCAAATTCAAGGATTAAATTGGTTAATCTCATTATATGAAAATAGATTAAGTGGTGTATTAGCTGATGAAATGGGTTTAGGTAAAACTTTACAAACTATTTCATTCTTGGGTTATTTAAGATATGTTAAACATATTGATGGACCTTTTATTGTAATTGTCCCTAAATCAACTTTAGATAATTGGCGAAGAGAATTTGCTAAATGGACTCCTGAAGTTAATGTAGTTGTATTACAAGGAAATAAAGAATTAAGACAAGATGTTATCCAAAATAAATTATTAACAGCTGATTTTGATGTTTTAATTACTTCTTATGAAATGGTAATTCGAGAAAAATCTCAATTAAAAAAATTTAAATGGGAATATATAATTGTTGATGAAGCTCATAGAATTAAAAATGAAGAAAGTTCATTATCTCAAATTATTCGATTATTTTATTCAAGAAATAGATTATTAATTACTGGTACCCCATTACAAAATAATTTACATGAATTATGGGCATTGCTAAATTTCTTATTACCTGATGTTTTTGGAGATTCTGATCAATTTGATGAAACTTTTGAAGACAATAACTCAGAAGAAGACCTAACTGAAGAACAAAAACAAGCAAAACAAGATAAAGCAGTACAAGACCTTCATCAATTATTAAGTCCCTTTTTACTTCGTCGGGTAAAATCAGATGTTGAAACTTCTTTATTACCAAAAATTGAAACCAATATCTATATTGATATGACAGATATGCAAATTCAATGGTATAAAAAATTATTAGAAAAAGATATAGATGCAGTCAATGGAGTAATTGGAAAACGTGAAGGAAAAACCCGACTCCTTAATATCGTAATGCAATTACGTAAATGTTGTAACCATCCTTATTTATTCGATGGAGCAGAACCAGGTCCACCATATACCACTGATGAACATCTAGTTTATAATTCCGGAAAAATGATCATCTTGGACAAAATGCTCAAAAAATTCCAATCAGAAGGAAGTCGGGTATTGATATTTTCCCAAATGTCAAGACTCTTGGATATACTTGAAGATTATTGTTATTTCCGAGATTATCAATATTGTCGAATCGATGGATCCACATCTCATGAAGATCGTATTGAAGCAATTGATCAATATAATGACCCGGAATCGGATAAATTCATCTTTTTATTAACCACTCGTGCTGGTGGATTGGGGATTAATTTAACCAGTGCTGATATTGTCATCTTGTATGATTCTGATTGGAATCCACAAGCGGATTTACAAGCTATGGATCGAGCCCATCGGATTGGACAAAAGAAACAAGTTAAAGTATTTAGATTTGTTACTGAACATGCTATTGAAGAAAAAGTTTTGGAAAGAGCCGCGCAGAAATTGAGATTGGATCAATTGGTGATTCAACAAGGAAGAAATATAGGAAAGAATGATACAAATGTAGGAAGTACTAAAGATGATTTGATTGGAATGATTCAACATGGGGCTAAAGAAGTGTTTGAAAAGAAATCAAATAAAGATGGGAAGGGTGATATGTTGGATGAAGATATTGAAGCAATTTTATCAAGAGGGATGGAAAAAACAGCAAAATTAAATGAAAAATTTAATAAATTAGGTTTAGAAGATTTACAAAATTTTACATCTGATTCTTCAGCATATGAATGGAATGGACAAAATTTCGCCAAGAAGGAAAATACCGGATTGGGTTTCACTTGGATTAATCCTTCCAAAAGAGAAAGAAAAGAACAAACTTATTCAGTTGATAATTATTATAAAGATGTTTTAAAACAACAACCTTCAACTCCAACTCCTCAAAAGGGAGGTGCTGCCAAACAAGGTGGACCGATCAGAACAAGGGCTCCTAAGACTTATAATATCCAAGATCATCAATTCTTCCCTCCAGGATTGGCAGAATTATTAGAAAAGGAACAATTAGCCTATAAGAAGGAAATCAAATATAAATACACCTTGGATGAATTTGGAGACAGTGATGAAGAATTCTTAGTAGATGCCGAAAAACCCGATCTTACCCGTCAAGAAAAACGAGATTATGAACAACTGAAAATCAATTCCGCCAAACCATTAACCCCGGAAGAAATCACCTTGAAGGATGAATTACTCGCACAAAGCTTTCATAATTGGTCCAGAAGAGATTTCACCAATTTCATCCACGCCATAGCAAAACACGGCCGGGATAACTACACCCAAATCTCCAAATCCTTAGGACCCAACAAATCACCCCAAGAGGTCCAACGATATGCCCAAGCATTCTGGGAAAATTATACAAAAATAGAAGGATATGAAAAATATTTATCCCAAATCCAAACCTCGGAGAAAAAACGAGAAAAACTCCAAAATCAACAACGACTCCTCTCAATCAAGATCCAAAACCTTCGTAATCCCCTCCAAGACCTTCGAATACAATATCCTCCCAATAATTCAAAACGAGTCTATTCAAAATCAGAAGATCGATTCTTATTGGATTGCGTACATAGATATGGATTATTTCTGGAAGGATTGTATGAACGGATTAAGGATGAGATTCGTGAGAGTGATTTATTTAAATTTGATTGGTATTTCCAATCAAGAACAGCTCAGGAGTTGGGCAGGAGGGTTAATACTTTATTATTAGCGATTCTGAGGGAGATGGATGGACCACTGGTTAGTCTGGGGAAGAGAAGGGGGAGAGCGGGGACAAATGGACCACTGGGGTCCAATGGAAGTTCGAGGCCGGGGTCGGTGGAGGTGCAACAACTAGTGTGGACGAATGGGAATGGTATGGTACTGAGTCCTCAGGAATCTAAATTGAGTGGTGAGATTGGAACTGATGGGGATGGTGATGAAAATGATGGACCCTTGAAGAAGAAGAAAAAGACGGAGATGGAGGCGGCAGAGGTGATTGTAGTATAATAGTAATAATAGTAATTAGTAACATTTTCTTTATAGATGGTTTTTTTTAATAAAAACTAAAACAATATATAATATAACAACATAAATATACAAGGATCTTTATAAATTCTAAAAATCGTCAAAATAATATCTAATATACAAATTCAAAAGCAAGTAAACTTTTTCTAAATCAATTCTTTGTAGCTGACTCCAGTTCAGAAACATCTGTTGGAGGAGTCATATTCCCATTCAACAGGGACGACTCATCTCCACTAGTATTATGCAGCATATCTGGACTTGGAGCTTTACTCACTGGAGTCCCCTCACCACCACCACCACCAAGAGCAGCAAGATCATCTCTACCTAAATAATCCGGTAATATACTCTCCTGAACGGTGGAAATATAATACGGAACCTTATTTGCTGTCCAACTAACCGACATAATATCACTCATTTCATGTTTTTCAACCAGGAAATAATCAAACACAGTATCAAAAGAAGCCTTATATCTTGGACTAATAAAATTCCTTAAACTAATCACTTTTGTACCTGGTCTTAAACCATATAACAATCTCCCAACTTGTGCATTCAATTCACCATCGAATAAATAATTATTAATAATAAGAACATCACAATCTAAACAAACATCCCTCACCGCATCATTATTAACAAAACTTTGACTCAATGCAAATGTTAAATTCAATCTCTTTAATCCCAAGACGTCTAAATGCTTTTGGATTAATCCAGTTTGTAATTCAGTCAATTTAGAAGCATGGGCCATCAATTCACATCCACCACTTAAACTTACTCCAAATTCTAATGCTGCCTGAAATGTCGTATTTCCAACTCCTGAACCCAAATCATAAAACCGTTGCAGGGGTAATAAATTGACTTTTTCCAATACTTCACTAGTGAAAGATGGAAGAAGTTCTCCATATACTTCGGCTGTGAATGCTTTGTAGGATAATAATTTTCGACAATCGGTAGAGACTACTCGGGAATAAATTCGGAGAAGGATTTGTTGGATGGCAAATCTTGATACTGATTCTTTTTCTTGAAGACGTTTGAAGAATGCTTGGTTGTAGTTTTCCGGTTTTAAATCCCGAAGTTCCGCTGAAACATTATTTGGAGCTGGGATTCTAATGGCTGGCACAATTTCTGTGATTGTAGTAGAAATATCATCTTCTGGTGCTTGTTTAATCAATTGGAAAGAAGGACTTACTGATTCAAGAGTAATCTCCTCGAAAAATGTCTCCAACTTTAAATCTTCAATAGTAGGTACTCTCATTTCATTCAAACTCAAATATGTTCTTGGTGCAGCATTAATATCTTCATTTGATTCAATAATCTTTTGTGCTTCAGCCACATTGGGGGATAATTTAACCATCAACATATTCCAACAATCAATTACAAACATGAATTCACCAAAATCATTCTCAGAAACAGAATGTTCCAATCGATGACAATAATCTTCAGTAATAATAGATTTCAAAACTTCAGAATGGGAGAAATATAATGAATATTGGATCATAAACAATTTGACAATTTCATAAATTGGATCAAGCTCATTACTTTTGGGTTCAGCAAGGAGAAACAGTTCTGTATGTTGGGGATATAACAAAAACCTCACTTTTATCTTGTTCAATTTATTCATTGATTCACCATCAGCATCTAATAGTGGTGGGAATGCAATTGGCATATCTTTATATCTCTTGGCATGACTTTCCACAACTTCATAACCAACTGAATCATCATAGAGGATAATATCATCTTGGGTAGTCATAATCTGTTTTGCACGTGACATATCTTCTTGCTCTACTTCTGCTTCCTCCAAAGTAACAAAATTCAATTGGGGAATCGTTGGTTGATCTGGATCATAGAGTGAAGATGCATAGAATTGACGACCACTCAATTTCACCATACTATCGGAATTTATATCTGGTGGATCAAATGGACTAAATGTTTCTTGCTCATCTTCTGATTCTTCTTCTGCATCGGCCTCTGCTGCTTCTCCATCTGCATCGTCATGATTAATGTCAACTTCAGTATCCAATACATCAGGTTCCTCCACCTCAGCATCATTGTAATCCCGCTTCTTTGGCTTTTTTCCTGGTTTCCTGCCTGGTTTCCTACCTGGCTTTATTCCTGGTTTACCAATCTTGCCCTTCTTTCTCCCAGGCTTACCTTTCTCTCTTTGCTTCTCTTTCGCCTTCTTCTCTTTTTCCTTCATCTCCTCTGCCTTCTTCTTCCTAGCTTCCTCCTGCAATTGCTTCATTATCTTCTGTTTCTCAGCTTGTCTCAGAGTGGTCTTCATCTTTTTCTCTTCAATTGGTTGGAAAAACTCAGCCTGTTTCCGTTCTCGACTTTGTCCTGGCTCAACCGGTTTCTTATCCCCTACAATACTTTGGAAATGGGAAGCACCAGCAAATAAACTCCAGGGGTTCTTTGAAACTCTCTGTTTCTTGGGAGGGATATATCCTTCTTCTTGACGTTTTCTCTTTCTTTCTTCTGCTTGTCGTTTCTGAAGTTCCCACTCTTTTTCCTTCTGTTGCTGCTTTTGGATACGAGCCTTCTCCCGTGACTCCCTACGACGTTGCTTTTCTTCCTCACTCATTACACTTCTTGGCTTTTGCGATACATCAATCTTGGCAGCTTCTTTTGCTAATTCTTCAAGCTCATCACGTTGAACAGCTCTACGATTTGATCTTCTTGATGTTTCACTGCTAGACTCAAATGAACAATACCATTGGGCTTCATATGCTAATTTTTCTGCCGCATTTTTGAATCCCTTTACACGTCTCTTGGAAATAGTGTCTTCATGAACATACTTATCCCGAATATATTTTACATCACGGAATGGGAATCGTTTCAAATGATTGTCAATAGATTCTTCTTGCTGGATTATTTGCTTTATCAACTCTTTTTCTCCCAAAGTAAAATTCAAAGTCTCTTTATCTTGTAATTGTGACTTGATTAACTTAACTGCTTGATCAATAGTTTTGTTGGGGAAATTTTCTCTCAACCCATCAGATGTTAGATCATATTGTATACAATAGGAAATTGATTCTTGGATATCCAATGGAGCAAGGACTATTTTTTGTTTCGCGGGTTTTCCAACATATACTCTTTTAACATTGATTTCTGATTTGTTTTCATCTTTCTCAGATTTATCGTCCGTCTCGTGTTCTCTATTATCCCTTTCTTCGGCAAGTCTGGATGTCTGGGTAATCCCCTCAAGCTGGACCACCTTACGACCAGATCTTCTTGTTCCATTCTCTGCACAATACCATTTTGCTTCATATGCCAATCTTTCTGCCTGATTTTTGAATCTAGGTCTTTTTGAAACGGTTTCTTCACGTGCATACTTCTCAAACATATACCCTTGATCTCTAAATGGAAACTTATTTAAATGCTTTTCAATTGGTTCATTTCTCTGTACTAATTGTCTTAATAGTTTCTTTTCTCCAGTTGTAAATTCCAACTCTTCATCATCATGTACGCTTGATTTAATTAATTCAACTGCTTGTTTAATGGAAATGTTGGGGAAATTGTCTTTTAGTCCATCAGCTGTTAAATCGTATTGTATGCAATAGGAAATTAATTCGTCTTCATCTTCTTCGTATTCTTCGTCATCATCGTCATCACCATCATCATCTTCTTCTTCTTCTGCATTGTTTGAATCTTCACTGAGACGAGCTTGAGAACCATCAGATTCTTCTTTCGCTTTCTCTTTCAGCAATTCCCTAAGTTCTGGGTTAAGCAGACCGATAGAAACTCCATGTAGTCTAAGGACCTTGTGCTCGAGGCCAGAAATTGTTCTCAACGCAAATTGAAATATTAGATCTGGTTTTGATTTAAGTTCATTTTCCAATATTTCCATTTCCCGATCACTGTAATTTGGAATTGGACCCAACATATTTTTAATGTCTGCAATTGATTTGCGAGGAAGGTTCTTTTTTAAGGAATCGCTCGTAAGATCATGAAGCATCAAACAGCACAAAATTTCCACATCTTGTTTGGACCAATCCGATTTCTGAAATAACCTAAGAAACCTTGCTCTTTTGCCATTTATAAGTGCATTGGAATCACAGAAGAGCTTCTGATAACAACAAATCTTAACATACCAATGGTTCCTAAGAGATTCTGTAGTTTTCGTGGTAGCCATGACTTTATCTGCAATAAACTTCTTAGAACGTCCAGGGAAATTTGATAATAATTGAGTGAATGTTATAGGTTGTCCAACTAATTGATTTAATAACTTTTGAGTCAGTATTGTCCATCCATTTTTTTTCAAGTCAGATACAGAATCTGAATCAATTCCATTGTCGCTACTAGATAAGCTCATGACTGGACATTCATTAATGCCATGCAGTTTTGATACAATTGAATCAATATTTTCTTCATCCTTTGATATAACCGATCCATTGACATCATCTTTCATCTTTTCTTCCTTTTCTTTCTTGATTTGTCTTTTCAACAATTCATTTGCGATTGGCGAAAGCTGAAGAAGAGATCGTCCAGTTAGGGTTTTCAACTTGATGTTGAGGTTAAATAATGTCCTCAAAGGAAATTGCAATATTAACTCTGGCTTGGATTCTATTTCGTTTTGCAATATTTCCGTTTCCCGATCACTATACATTATGTATCCACGCAGTACCTTTTTAATGTCGGCAATTGATTTATGGCCAAGGTTGGCCCTCAAGGAATCTTTAGTAAGATCATGAAGCATCAAACACAGCAAAATTTCCACGTCTTCTTTGGACCAACCTAAATGTTCCGAAGTTTCATATAATCTGTCAACTCTTGAACGATCATAATTTTCGAGTATATTGGAATCGCAGAAAAGCAACTGGTAACAATAAATTTTATCCAACCAATGATTATGAATACGGTGTCTTGCTTTTGTTGCGGTAATGATTTTGTCAGCTATAAACTTGCTGGAAAAGCTAGGGAAGTTTGAAAATAATTTGGTAGATGTTATAGGTTGTAACACTAATTTCTCTAATAATTGTTGATTCAGGATTGTCCATTCTTCTTCTTGTAAAGTAGATATATGATTTGATGCAATTCCATTATTGACATGTTCGGATTTCTCTCCATTATTGACTGGTTCTGATTCCTTTCCATTATTGACAGGCTCTGATTCGTTTTCTCTATTGGCAGGTTCTGGTTCGTTTTCCGTATTGACAGGTTCTGATTCCTTCCCATTCTTGATGACTTTCACCTCCTTTCCACTTTCGCCAACTTTCAATTCCGTCTCTATAAATGATCTAATATCCTCATAAGATCTAAATGGTAATTGTAAACAAAGAATATCATAATCCAACCCATCCAGACTCTTTTTCAACTCCTTTATAATCAATTCTTTCTCCGAACTAGTCCATTTAATCATCCCAGATCCAAAAAGTAGTTCCAACGCTTGTTTACAAATCTCCAAATTTTGACTCATGGTAGTAGTTAATGTCCTGGCGGTTAGATCTTCAAATGCGAAGCAATGCAAGATTTCCAATGATTCTTGAGTCCAACATCTACCTACATTCACAATCCAACTACGATATTCTTGGACATTATTCCAGCCTGAGATAGATGCAATTTGATAATCTGATAATTGTCCAGAATAAAGACAATAATGAAGACATATTTTCCGTTTCCATATATCTGATGAAGCTGTTGTTATTGTTGATAAATGGTTGAGTATTTGTCTTGCAATAAGATCTGTCATATTTTCATGCATAGCGAATTTACTTTTTAACTCAGCGAATGATATTGGTTTTGATAATAATTCTTCTAATTGCAGTTGATGCTCTACAGACCATACTCCTTGACTGTCAACACCATTGGTGATGGTTGGTGGTGGAGATAGCACCCTTGGGGTTGATAGTAAAGCTTCAATGTCCATTCTCTCTTTGATTGATGATGAGATGATGATTTTTTGTTATTGTTGTTGTTGTTGTTTGAATGTTTTTACTATTAACTGTTGACTTTTTCTATTTCATAGAAAGTTAATAAATCTGCAATATTGCTTTGGTGTCTATCTATCCTATCCTTCTATCTTTCTCTGATGTGTTGTGAAATACTTGTGAGTTAAAAAAGTAAAATAATAATTAGCAGCAGCATCAATTGATAGTGGGCAAAGGTGGTTGTAAAAAAAAACATACAGTAAGTAAGTGAGTAACTGAAGAAAAACAAATGGGTAGTGTACCATGTATCAAAAATTATTCATTTTGATTTGTTTTGATTTTTGATTTTTTTTTCAATCCCAAAATGGAAAAGGGAATTTAAACGCGCTTCTATCATTTCCATTCACATTTACATTAAACTTTTTTTTCCACACAATAAACGCGTCTTTCATTCTTTCATACTTTAATTCCAAATAAATTATGACTTTCTATTCATTAATATAGATGCACCAAAGTACATCAAACGTATCTAATAAATACTAATATACAAAAACTATAACTTACTTATTCTTAACCCATTCAATCTAAATTTAAGTTCTTTTAACAATTTAGTCTCGGGTTTCCATTGATTAAAAATCTCATATAATTCATTAATTTCTTCATACCCATTTTTATGACATTTTTGATCATATTCACATTTAATATTTCTTTTAGGCCAATTCTTTTCAATATTAAATAATAATCCTCTAAGACACCAAGGTAATATATATGGATTAGTACCTAATTTCCCCACATTAAATTCTTTAATATATAATTGATTAGTTTGGGGTAGGATTAATTCTTCTTCAATTCCTTTCAGAGGAATAATTATATCATCGGTATCTAATACAAACTTCACTCCTAAATCATATACTTTCCCATCATTATATATTTTAGAATGTCCACCACCTGTCAAAGGACCAGCCAATGATATACTCAATTCTTTCAAGACATTATTATCGAAATATCCCATATTTAACAATTGACAACATAATGAAACCAATTTCTGAACAAATGGAGGAGTATTCGAACTATAATCAATATAACATGCCCGATAAATATTCGGATGGAATACATGAGAAGCTAATGCCGAATAAAGGGGCACTAATTGATCATTTATCGAACCAATAAAACATAATTTCACATTATGATTTATAATTATCCTCATAGATTGTTTATATATCATCGATAATTCACTATTGAATTTATTAAATTCAAATAATTCAATCAATGAATCATGTTCAATTGCAGAATATGCCTTCATGAATAATGATTTATCGGCTCCATAAAATGGTCCATTATTAATCCCAGCCATACCCAAAATTCCAATTCGTTTATGGATTGAATCTCGTAATATACCCATCTTGATTAATCGAGCCAATAATATAATCGAAACTACACATCCTTGAGAATGCGATGCTATAAAGATAAAATCAGCTTGATTTAATTCTTTTTGCCAATCTCCTAAAATTTGACTAAAAAATTCAACTCGATCAAATATTTTCCCTTCTTTTTCAAGGGCAATCTTTTGAATACTTACATTTGATTCATTTTCGGAAATTAATTGATTCTCAATACAATATCGAATAATGGCTTTTTCGGCCTCATTAGCAAATTTTAATGATGTACCCTGGGGTGCACCTATAATTGGTCGAATCATTTTGGTGGGGAAAAATCCATGTACTCCAATAATTAAAATCTTTTTAATCTTTTTCAAAGGACCTGATTTTTGATTGATGATTTCACTGGGGATGTGACTTTCGTGGTGTGATGGGACATTGGGGTTTATTAATAAATTGCCCATGAGGTCGTTGTCTATGGCTATGCCTCCTTCTCGATGATCTTCTTCTAATTGAGTAGGTTCTTGTGGAGGATGTGGTTCATCATCATCATCATCAGCGGCAGCGGCAGCGGCGGCGGTAACAGCAGGAGCATTAGATCCAGCACCATTGGTCGTTGTACCCGCGAAATATTTATTATAATTAGGCAAACAAGCACGTTTATATTCCGGTAAAACAGTCAATGATTTCCCATACAACTTATATGATCGTTCATACAAAGAACCAAATTCTTTCTCCAATTTATCCCCATCCAGATTTGTTGTCGTCTCGGTAGGAATAGAACTTAAATTAAACCCAAATTTACTAGAAATCGTACTTAATAATTGTCTCCAATTACGTAAGTCCGTCTTCATCACCCCACCAGTTCCACTCTCATCATTCGAAGTTGTCAGTGAGAAGAAATGACTGGCAATACTGGATGATTCTTGACTTGGGGGTAAACAAGTATTCCAATCAGGTACGATAATATTCTCACGTAAGTTTTCATTCTTGTGGGTGTTTATTTGTTGGAATTGGGCGGCATTATCATGTGGTTTATATAAGACTGCATCGTCGACCTTAATTTCATCCTTTTTCTTCTGCTTCTTCTTGTTTGGAAGGTCGGATAATTCTGGAGGAATTTCATGGGTGGAATTTAGGATTGTATTGGAAGGATCTATTTCTTTTATTTTTGATTTCTTGGTGGTGGCGTTGCTGGCACTATTATTCAGAGTTGGACTTCCTCCTCTTTCAATTGATTCATTACTACCTTGTTGATAATTAGTATTCCAAAAATTCCAAATTGTAGTTTTCTTATTTATATTAGCATGTTCACTAACTTCATCCCCATTATCATCAGGTATGATATCCTCATCATCATCGACATTACTATTCACAATACCAACGCCAGCTTCATTCTTGTGTATGGCTGGACTGTCTGCTTCGTTCGCTTGCTCTTTGTCTGTTTGACTATCATCTTCATTGACTGTTCCTGAAGTTGAAACAACTGCAGCCGCAGTACCAGTAGCAGTGGTTCCTCTCCAACCAAGCCAATTTCCAGAAGTCATTGAAGCTAAAGATGTAGTTGAAGTTTTATGCCGTACTGTTTTGCCACCCTGTATATTTCGTTTCGGGGTTGAGATTGGTGGCGATTTGGATTCTTGTTGTTGTTGTTGTTCTGGGGTTGGTGATTTTGACGATGATGTTGATCTTGGCCAGAGTGGAGATAGTAGCCATGATGTGGTGGTTTGGTTATTAGTACTGGCTTGCTGTTGTTGTTGTTGCTGTGACATACTTATCTATTTATTTGATATTTATTATACGGTGACTGAATTGATAAACCCAATGTAAATTTGTAAAGGAAAAAAAATAGATGTTTAGTATTGTATCAAGAATATATTAAAACCTCCCAAAGTGTAATGATAAATGTTAATTTAATATGTAATGTAATGTAATCTGTAAAGTTGTAAAGTTGTAAACAGAGAAAAAGAGATTCAATCTATAAATGAATGAATGAGGGATGATAATGATGAAATCAAAATGAGAGAAACAATTTAATTAAATATTCATGTGAAAAAAAAATAGAATAAAATCATAAAACCTTCTTATTGTTCTTAATTGTGTTCTTAATTGTTATGTTATATAATATAGATTGATTACTCAAATAGGGAATTCAATAGAGTTTACAATGATTGATTGATGGAACTGTACTTAAGTAACATTTCTAATTGGGATAAGAATTACAAAAGAATAAGAATTGGGGTTATTGAAAGGGTTTGATATAAATCTATAAAGAGCTAAGTGTTTATAATAATGATTTATAATAATTTAATACTTCATCATTTATACCAGAACCACCACAAACAATTATAATTATAATATCATCATAATTTAAATTTAATTTAGTTAATAAATTTAATTTATCAAATGCAATACAAACACTTGTACCACAAGCAGGTTCAATATAAATTTGTAATAAATTAAACATATCAATTACACCTTTAATTGAATCTAAATCATCAATTTCTTCAAGATAAGTTTTATGATTAAAATAATTTTCAAATGATTTAATTGATAAATATGGTGAACCTAATGAAGTTGCTAATGTATTAACTGATTTTAAATGAATTATTTTACCATTACGTATAGATTCATTAAATGTTGGTGCTTGTTTAGTTTCAACGGCAATTATTGGTACTTTTGTTAATTCAAGATGTCTTTCTAATCCATTAACAATTCCATTATAAAGACCTCCACCACCAACACTACAAACAACTCCCTTAACTTTATCAAGAGGAATATTTTCATGATTAAATTGTTCTACAATTTCATCAATCATACATCCATGACCATCATATAATAATTCACCTTCAAATGGATGAACATAAACTGGATGAATCAATTCAGTATTTAATTCTTTAATTATAACATTTTGTAAATAAGAATCAGCTTCACCCCAATGATTTCCATTTATAATAACTTCAGCATTTAATGATTTTAATTTTTCAATTACATTAGTTTTAGAAGTCTTTGGTAAAACAACAGTACATGGAACTTGATAATATTTACTGGAATAAGCAGCTGCTAATCCTGCATTGCCCCCTGATGATGAATATACATGAATTTCCTTTTCAGAATCTTGGATTTGTTCAAGTGATTTTGCAATTAAATGTCCAATTCCTCGTAATTTAAAACTACCAGATGGTTGTTCATATTCATTCTTAAAAAAGATACGACATGGTGGAGTATTAGGAAGAAGATTTGTTACTTCTGTTAATGAAGTTTTAATCGATGGTTCTTTCATTTTCACTTTCTATCACTTTCTTAACAAAGCTTTGATTAGATCTAATTTCAAATTACCCGAGGCAGATATCGATTTACTAATTAAATTTTTTTTTTTCTCTCTTTGTGTGTTTATTTAAAAAGGATGGAACGGACCAAGACTTTTCATCAATCAAATCCTGCTTAGTAATCAAACATTTATTGTTTGGCTTTTCTGGTATCTATTAAGAGAAGGAGGAGATGGCACGAAAGAATTCAAACAAAGATAAACAATCTCCAATAGAAAGATTTGAAACAATACCACCAGAAATAGTTCTACTTTATAATCTTTGAATAAGAGTTAAATGAGACTTAATACTTCTTCTTCTAGAGGAAGAAGAAGAACCAAAAGATCTTACTTTAAATCAACTTATTGAATTCTTTGATAAACTTATGATACCTAAATGTTTTATTGAAGATATTATAAATTGTATTGATTATTATAATTTAATTATAAAACCATCATCATCATCATCAAATGGTGGACTTAAATTAGATCCATTAAATCCTAAACAATCAATGACTATAAGTTTAATTCAAGCTTATACAATTACCAATAATGTAAATAATGATCTTAATAATATTATTGATATTATTGATATTGATAAATTATTAAGAAATGTTAATCGGTTAATTAAATTTAGAAATAATTATAATCATATTCAACAAAGTTGGAAATTATTTGTCATGAGTTGTTGTAGTACCACCAATATTGAGAACGATCGACATATTGAAAATTATAAACTTACATTACCTGATCTTAAAACAATCAAAACAAACTTAAACCTAGACAACCCCCAAACCAATGAATCTTTCTTAATAGATATGTTAAGTTGTTGTACTCATGATTCAAATGGTCATATATTAAATTTCGATTATACAAAGAATAAACATGGACCTCATATATCAATTAAAGATTTTGCCGAAATTTTAGGCAATTTAGGTGAATTAGATTAACAGAATGGATTATTATGAATTTCAACAAATTGAATCCAATTCATATGTTTATATTTCCCAATTATCTTCCCCGATGGATGATTCTTCATCGTGGATAATTCAGGATCAGATTCAAGGGTTTCAATTGCATCAATTCCATCGATAATTCGTCCAATTGGAATATAATTTTCTTGTTGTTTCTGTTGTTGTTGGAGTGAATCTAGATGTTCATTCGATAGGAGGAAGAAGAATTGAGAACCAAATTCATTAGATGAATTATTTATGACATATAATGTTCCACGACCATGCGGTATTTGTTCTTCTGATTGAATATATATATCGTCGATATCATGGGTGTCTAATGTATTATTAGGATCAGCTTCAGACGAATCTAGACTCTTGTTGGTTGGTGAACCTGTTTGTAGTATGAAGTTGGGTATGTATCTTAATATCTTTATATTGTTATAACTACCCTTGGCACAATGTCTTATGAAATTTTCAAGTGGTTTGGAATGAGTCTTGGTGGTGATTGAAAGTTCGACTTTTATATTTCCTGTAGTTGTATGAAACTGAATATGTGTTAGTAAATTATATTTATAGACTAATGCACTATAAGATTACATACTGTAAGTGACATTATCGTTCGTCTTCTTTCTCTTCTCTTGTTTCCTCTTCCTCTTCTTCTTCCAAACGCGTTGAATCAAAAGAATTAACATTTTTTTTTCCAAACGTTCAAAAGTGTTGCCAAATTTGCTTCCCACCACCCACCCTACCCAACCAAACCCACGAATGTCCAGTGTTACCGGTGTTAGTGTTGGTGTTGGTCTCTCCTTCTTGGAGAGAAGGCCATAGAATCATTCCATGAATCCCAAACAAAATTGATCGACCGTCTAATCCCCGAAATCGGTTCGCAACAACAAGACGAAATCACCCAAAATGAAATCAACATCAACAGTGCCATCCAATTCGATGAACTTCTATCCCATCTAGAAACGTCCTTCAAAACAAACACCTCCCTCGTTGCTCCTTCTTCTTCTTCATCATATGAATACCTTGCCTGTCCTTCACCTGATGTCTTACGCGTTTTATTCACTTTGGCTTCACGAGCACCGAATACGAATTGGACCCTGGGGAGTTCGAACCTAGATGGAATAGTCACTAGTAATGAAGTGGTCAAGAGTGTGAATATAGGCTATGATACATCGTTATATCGTACTTCGTTGAATGAACGAAGTGGGGATATAATTAGGAATTATGTTGAGATAATTATAACTGGTAGAATTAGTGATATTGGAAGAGATAGATTATATGGTAATATTTGTGAATTTTTGGGAGATTTTATTACCACTAGACCGACTTCGACTTCTTCTGTATCGGGTCTTAATGGTAGGCCAATGAGGAAGGCGGCTGTTGTTCCGACTGGGCCTGCTGTTCTTGCAAGTTCACCGACGAAGAAACGAGATATTATGACTATTATTCGAGAATCACCAAAGAAGAAGAAGAAGAACCTGGATATAATTATTCCAGAAAGTGAACTTGTGATAATCAGTGATTCTGAACAAGAAGAATCAGTGAATACAGTTAAGAAAGAGAATAAGGTTGAAGAACCAAGTATATCAGCCATGGAGAAAGAAGTTCAGAAATACCAAGATTTTGGATTATCCATAAATAATAAACCGGCAAATATGTTCGAAATGGAAGATCGAGGAAATATCAAGAATCCATTCTTATTGTTAAATGATGTCGATCAACCTTCAAAGAAATCGAGAAAAGATCAACAACAACAACAACAACCAGTTGTGAAAGATAAATGGGATCATATTCGAATTTTTGATGAGGTTATCTTGAGTAAGAAATTAAAACCCACGAATTTTACATTATGGAAATTAGTTAATTGGGCCATGTATTGTGCTGGGAAAGATCGAGATATATTTGATTCAAATTATCGAAATTGTCATTTAATTTATCTGACTCATAATTCTGTCCTATCTTGTATATTTTCCATAATTGAATATAATCTTGTGGAAGAATTGACAAAATTATCCAAACACCCTCATGATCCATTGGAATGGATCTTCAACCAGTCGGAGAATATTCGAAGATCGATCTCACAACAAATAGAATCCAATAGTGATATTCTATTACTGGTCCTAATGACTCAATTATCATATTTTAAACGAGGTTGGTATGATCGCTTGATCGAGAATGTATTCAATGGATTCACCACTACTCATTCTTCTTCTTCTTCTTCAACCCCAACCACCTGTTATGAACATGAAAAGTTCTTATTACGAGATGATGAAAGTATCAAACAAAAAACTAGACTTGTTCGATATAATTATTTTAATGATTTAATGGATTCGATGAAACTTCGATTTAAAATCACCAATATGGTTTTTTATTGGTCATATTTCTTTGATTTCAAGACTCGGGATGGAATAATTCGAAGTAAATCAGAATCATCAATTGGAAATTCATTATCTCCAACTATACTCATCAAAGAAATCGCTAGTCGATTTATAAATATTGAATGTTATTACTTAGAAGAATTCTTCCAATGCATGTTTAGTCCAAGTGTTATCCCTCAAAAGTATCATGAATTATTTTTAATCAATCTTTCTCAAGAAATCTTGGAGAAATTGACCAATTCATTCCAATTAAAATTCAATCTTTGTGAGAGATTAGATAATTCCGATATTACCAATAGTAATAATGACTTGGATTGGAGAAGAAATAAATTACGACTTGTACTTAATTGGATAATCAATGATGAGATCTATGAACAAATCACTGAGGATGAAACATATCCTTCATTTGCACATTTTAATCAAGCTTGGCTTAAATTGAATTTCCTCTTGGGTTGGATGTTGGGTGTGGTATTGAGAGATGTGAAGCCATGTCTAGAACTGTTGGATATTGATCTGTTATTGAATACGTGTGTTTTGATGGACGAGAGAAGGATTGAGAAATATAGAACGTATTTAACTCAGGTTGGTATCAAGAAGTTTTCCCTTTCTCAAGATGAAGTTAAAGAGAAGATGGAGAAACAGAAATGGGAGAATTTTAAAGTGATTATGGAAACTTCCTTATGAAGATAGTTGATTACGTTATTGTTAAATTAATTAATAGAAGAAAGTAAGGGTTTATACTTGTATATGTTATAAAAAGACAAAATATATTTACATACTTTTGTTTGGAGGGGGGGGAGGCGTGGTTGGATTGGGATTCTAAATAATATGTTTAACTTTAAAGTAATGTCTCAAGTATTGGACTTGCCAAGCACCCAAGGCAATCAAAGAGAAAATAATAATAATTGAAAACCATTTGACTCTAGAATTGGTGGATTCATTAGTATCTCTCATTCTTTCTTCTCTTTGTTTCAAATATTGTAATTCTTGAACAATTTCACTGGTTAATCCTTCGATTCTACGTAATTCAATTTCAATAGGTTTTAATTTCTCAGTTGCTTGTAAAGCATTCCAATCTCTTGCAGCTGCACCACTTTCAATATCCAATTCAATCGATCTAATAAAACTAATTCGACTATTCTTACCCCATTTCTTTTCTTGATAATTTGTAAAACAAATATCAAAAGCAGCATTATTATGACTTGTAAATGCAACCTTTACTTCTCCCAAAATATCCTTTTTATTTCTATATTCATTACCTACCGAATCGGTAATTTTTAAATCTAACCGTTGTCCATCTCCTTTTCTCCCATCTGTTTTGATGTTGACAACAACCATTTGATTCTCAGCTACAAAATCACGAATACAAACTGGTTGTGGGTTTGGTAAGGCGGGGATTTCCATATGTAATGCATTGATTACTTGAGTAAAGAAGAATGCTAGTATATATATGATGGATAACAATGACTTCATTGTGTGTATATTGGATTCTTCCTATATTCTAAAGTCCTATATAAATTAATTGATGGGTTGGGGTGGGGGTAGGACTAACTCAACTGAACTGAACTGAAGAAAGCGATTGATTAAGATCAATTGTATGAAATTTGTTGTGTGAGTGAGTGAGTGAGTGAGTGAGTGAGTGAATTGCGTGTCCAATTTACCAAAAAAAATGTGAAAAAAAAAGAGCTCTTTTTCACGCATAAATAAAGCAAAACACTAATTACACTACGCGTTGACTTATGAAACCATTCACTTATAGTTATTTCCTAAATAGGAAATCATAATTCAAGTAACAATTCCAATCAATTTAATTAATTTTTCAATGTGAAAGAAAAAAAAAAATTCACTTCAATATCAAAAACCAACCATTTTCCATTTGGATAAATCCATTCAGAACAAAAGACAGGCAAAAATGGCAAAGAAGTCAGCTACAACTATGATAAAGCTTGTTTCCACAGCTAAGACAGGATACGAAAAATGGTTTAAGATGCCAAGACATACTCAAAAATTACAACTTGTCTTGTATGATCCACGAGCAAAAAGACATTGTTTGTTTGAAGAAGGAAAGAAGAGAAAGATAGCGGAACTTCCAAAGAAGGATTATACTAGAACTCATAGGTAGACCGCCAATGTCCAAAAATGGATTATTTTGTATATAGCTGAATCTGGACTTAGAAGTGTGCTGGATAGGGTCAGATTTATTTGTTTGCATATAGAGAGAAGAGGTTTTATATTTAAGAATAAATTTACGATTATTAATGTTTCATATTGTTTTGCAAGTCCTTTTCTTTATTCAATGTGGAATTATGTCTGGACAAACATCTATTTAAATGGGTATTCATTGTTACTGCCACCATTTCGTTTTTGAGGCTTCTAGTCCGCCATATTTTGTATGCTTTAACCATCTCATTATCACCAATCATAGTAGACATATTGTTCCGATTACGAATCATATACTTTTGGGTAATAGCACTTATATCCATGCCAGTTACATAAGTTTTCTCATCTCTTTTGTCTTAATTCATCTGAAATCACATGAAAAAACTCTTGAGCTCAGTGCAATTTCAATTCGTGCATCCACGCTCCGGAGAATATGTAATTCAACTTCTTATCTCTCCAGTTGGTTTGACTCCCATATGGAAAACAACTCGACAAAGATCTAAAGTGATCCCAGTGGGTTTGGATCACTGTATAAAAAAGCAATGCAAGAATCCCCTGCAATTCATGATAAAACAACCCACCGCCATAGGTACCATTATTAGCTTCTCTGATCTTGGGATAAAGATGCTTGAAAGCATATACTTGAAATGTGATACTATCCTTGGATGCATGGGGAAAATCGATTTTAGATAAATGCGAGGTTCCAACTGAGTTTTCATTTTTTTTGCAATTGGCCAACACCTTTTCAATTTACATCTTTCTTAATGGATTTTGAATTGAAGTTAGTTAACAAAAAAACTCATAACCCTTTCTTGTCTACTTTCTTGGGAAGTTTTCTTAATGATTTAGTTATGTGAAACAAAATGAATGGATGGCAATTGGTGGTTTTAAGTTAGTTAATAATGAGCCTTTTCTTTATTTTTAATCTTTGCAACCTAATTGGTTTTTTTCAGTGTGGTGTATTTACTGTATAAGCTAAAATAACGGGAAAGGAATTAGCATCAATTCCTGATTAAATTTATGATTCTCTTCAATTAAGATATATGGTTTACTTTATAGTCACGAATTGATTATTAGATTACAATTTTATTTGATTAAATGTACTTTAACAAGTTTTTTGTAGAAACCTCACCAATTTTTTTTTTGGTTGTTTTTTTGCAGTCATTAATTTCAGGTGAATCAATAAATGAATTGTTAATTTAATTACTATAGACTATCCAAAGCAACTCTTGAATATAAACACAAAAAGAGTGGATAGTTAAACATTCCAATCGACAGCTCAGTAAATGATTTTAATCGTTTTGGAACACCGACTTGCACATTCTTCCAAATCCAATTTGAAATCTCTATTCTTTTTTTGCAAAATAATCAATGTAAAATCAGAAGAAATTATGATAAATTACTTTATTGTACTTTATTGATTGGTAAAATCAACCGGACATGAAATAAAGCTGTAAAGAGGTATTGCCAATGATTAGTTTAGAAACTAAAAGCTAGCACTTGTTACATGTTTTGCAACCAAATTCAAAAAACGATGCACACAATACCAACAAAACAATTAATCCGGTAACGGCCAAGCCACGTGATATAGTCGTGACTTTCACCTGCAATTCAGGTGATAATTTTTTTTTGATAAAATTCGGCCCGTTGGAGATTCTTTTTTTTTTTCTTTTTCTTTTTTTAAGTTTAGATCCGAAACCACATTTTTCAAACGGGATCAAATTCAGAACCATCAGTTCTTGTTGGAAGAAACGCGCAAGATAATCTAAAAGAGAGAGCGATGAGTCTGAGCGAATCGACCTTGTTGGTGCCTACAACCATGGAGATTAAGAATCCAGTTGCAAAATTACAACAACAAGAAACAGTCGTACCCAAGAAGAAAACCAATGCAGCTGAAAATGTGTCAACGTTGGGGGGATTCCTTGCTGGAGGAATTGCAGCATGTGGTGCGGTTACATTCACTAATCCTATTGAACTAATTAAAACAAGAATGCAATTACAAGGTGAACTTACTAAAGCATCGAAAGATGCCGTGAAATTATACAAGAATCCAATTCAAGCATTTGCAGTTATTTATAGAAATGAAGGTATTGTTGGTTTACAACAAGGATTAATGTGTGGTTATTATTACCAACTAGGTTTAAATGGTTGTAGAATTGGATTATATGAACCTAGTAGATATTATCTTACAAAATACATTAATCCATCTAAATTTGATGAATTTGGAGTTATACCGCAAAATTTACCGATTAATGTTATGGCTGGGTTTATTTCTGGTTCTGCAGGGGCTGTATTAGCATCACCATTCTTTTTAGTCAAGACTAGAATGCAATCATTTTCCAAGGCTGCCACATCTTCCCTGGGATTAGCAGTTGGACAACAAACATATTATAAAAGTGCATGGGAAGGACTTGCACAAATCTACAAGGCCGAAGGTGTTAAGGGACTTTATAGAGGAGTGGATGCGGCCGTATTAAGAACTGGTGCTGGTTCAGCTGCCCAACTTCCAGTTTATAACTTGACTAAGAACTTTTTATTGAAGCATGATCTTGTTGAAGATCATTCAATTGGATTACATTTTGCTTCATCTTCAATGGCAGGATTAGGGGTAGCTATAGTGATGAACCCATGGGATGTTATACTTACAAGAATGTATAATCAAAAGGGAAATTTATATAGTGGACCAATTGATTGTTTTAAAAAGACAATCCTGATTGAAGGTCCTGGTGCATTATATAAAGGGTTTTGGGCACAATTATTTAGAATTGGACCACATTCCATTCTTACATTAATGTTTATGGAACAATGTATGAAAGCAATGGTTAAAATAGAGAACCGTTTGGGATTTTAAAGTTTTATAGATTGAATAAATATTTATTAGTTATAGAGAGAAAGTTTGTATTAAAATACAGTTATTAAATAATTTAAGTAATGACTATATCTTGTATCACGTGATAAAGGTAGTGGCAAACAAACAAATCACCATCAAAAAAATTAATTTTAATCAAGAAAAGAAAAGAAGGTGGTGAATCTTGGTGATTGATGTCGCCCCCCAGCCCATCCATCGTCTTCCTTTTTGATGATTTCTTATTTAGAAATATCAAAATTATAATAAATTAATATAATGAAGGATTAACAAGGTTGGGAATTCTTTACTAATTATTATTAACTAAATCTATTCTTCTCTTCCCAATTAAAAATTTATCTTTGTTTTCATAATTATTAATTTATTCATTTTTTAATAATTTATTAAGGGAAGAAAAGTGTTTGAAATTTTTATTTATTTTAACTGAATAAATTAAAGTGTGACTAAAGACAATTTCTTCCATCCAAGAATATCCTCTTTCCTTTATTTGTCCAGAACTACTAGTTAATCTACTTCTACTATACTACTACTACCACTACTACCACTACCACTACTATTACAACAGCTACCACTGTAGTTATTTGTAATATTGATCATCATCCTTGTAACAAACCAAGAACTTTTTAATTATTTTTGTTTTGGCACTGAAAAAAAAAAAAAAAAAAATTAATTAAATTAAAAAATTCTAACGGCAAACTTTCAAATAAAAGGATTTTCCATTTAATCAAAATCATTTGAAGGTATAAGAAAGATTTTAGGAATGGCAATAGAATGCGGGACTCAAATTATAAATCAGTAAACAATAATAAAGCAGCAGTCACAATCACAACAAGTTTATATGACAGAAGAGCCCTTGATGTTACATCAGATAAACCATTAGTAAATTCATTGAATTATTTAACTTATTTTGTATCTTCCCTGGCAAAAGTTCGAGAAACATTATCGGTTGATGGTGGTATTGAAAGATTAGTTGAGATTTTACATGAATGTCATAATACAGATTTTAATATCCAAGATCAAAAATGTAATAGTGAAAAGAAATTACTTACTGCTTGGAAATGGACACTTGCATTTCAATGCTTAGTTCTTGCAGGTACAAGAGGAACTGAAAAGATAAGACAGAAAGTCGTTAAAGCAGGAATACTTCCCATAATTGCCACAGTACTAGATAATTATTTATCATTAAATGAACGAACATTCTTACATGCCAACGCTAGGCAAGGATTGAATCCAACTCAACAACAATCTTACGCACCCAATATCCAACCACAATCGGAAGTCATACCCAATGTCTTTAGGGCATTTCATGAATCTCAACCGGAAGACATTGAACAACCACTGCAAATGCAAAATCATCCTGAACCAATCCCCAGACAGAACATAAGGGGCCAATTTGCCGCTTTCAATAATCAATTTGGAACAGACGGCAATGATACACCGCTTCCTACAGAAGCTGCATTTCTGCAAGCATTTATGAATCATTTTAATTTCAATTTTAATCTGGACAATTATCAAAATTCAATTCTGGCTGCAGCAGCTGCCATTGAAGCTACATCTATATCTAATACTACCATCAACTCCACCACCACTACCACCAACACCATTAATTCAAATCGTCCGTTTTTCCACAATAGTCATGTTGATAATTTGACTAGTGATGATTATGAGAATTTAAGTGTTGAACAATTATTTAAATTGATACGAATAACAGCATCCGCCCCACCACCATTCAAAAACGAGAACCAGCATCAACCTCCATCACCACAACAAACAAAACATAATACAATCAGTAATGATATAAGAAGAAGATATATTATTGTAAATATATTACATAAATTGAAACAAGAAAAACAGATGGAAATGTTAGACGATCGATTTTTTAATGATTGTGATTACAATATGGACAGTAATTTACAATTTCTTGCTGATATGTATGCAAGAGATTTCGAAATTAATAATAGACAGATTAGCACCAACAATAATAATAATAATAAAATCACCGTTCGGAATTTCACTGAGACAGGAGTAGTCATTCCTAGAGATGATGACGTTGTGTGGTCATTACAATTACTTGCATATATTTCAAAATATCCTTATTTGAAAGATGTCCTACAAAACACTCATATTGTCACTGATATGAGCATTAGAGAAAAACATATGAAATTATATTTAGAAAGACAAATGAAACTTAAAATGAAGAAGACATTGGCCATTAAATTGAAATGTAATCTGAGTCCGAAATCCACAAAAACAAAAACTACATATTTGGAACCATTTGATCCTTCGCCATCAAATTCACCCCAAATGTTAAGTCAATTACAAGATGATAATTTGATATTGGATGAGGATAAATTTGAATTATGTAGTAAAGCAGGTCTAACTGAAAACGCCGAATTGGAAGACGAGGAAGATAGCGAGGATGCTGAAGGAGAAGATGAAGAAGAGGAAGGAGATACACTTTCCAATGGCAGTGGAAGTGTGGATGATGAGATGATGATGAACAATCTTGCTAAACATGGCAGTAACACAACAAGAACAGCCAATAAGGCTAGTAACACCACCCCAGATGACTATTTAAGTAAGCTTTATGAATCAATAGTAGATTGTGAATCGATTGTGGATGATTTAGAACGTGAAATAAGTTTATTTCAAATAAATGAACGAATGAACAAATTTATTGAAATCGAAAGCAAAAGTCTTCAAAATACAATCATATCTACTCGAAAA